GTGCCCCTCCCCTCCAAATATTCAGGTTTGCGTGAGAGAGCGTCCGCCCTAATGTTCTCTGGGCCTGGCACGTAACTAATCTCAAAGTTAAATTTGGAGAACTCCTGGGCCCATCTCACTTGCCGTTGGTTGAGCACTCGTGCCGTCCTCCAATACTCTAGGTTCTTGTGGTCGGTGCACACTTGCACCTTATGTTGTGCGCCAATTAGCAGGTGCCTCCATCTCCGGAACGCCTCATAAACGGCTAGTAGTTCTCGGTCATACACCGTGTAGTTCCTCTCGGATTTGTTCAGCTTTCGCGAAAAAAGGCACACGGTCTCCACTCTGACCCCTTCTTGCCTGGCTGCAGAAGCACCGCCCCAATCGCTCTGTCTGATGCGTCAGTTTCCACTCTCATCGGTTTTTGTAAATCCACATGCAGGAGTTGTTGTTCCGAGGCGAAGGCCCTTTTAGTTCCTCAAATGCTCGCTCCGCCTCCTCAGTCCACACGAACTTCTTCTTACTGCTGAGACAGTCCGTAATGGGCGCCGTCAGGTGGGCAAAGTTTCGGATGAACTTACGATAGAAGTTCCCAAATCCTAGGAACCTCTGCACATCCTTCTTTGTTTTGGGTGTTTTCCATTCCAGTACCGCCTGGACCTTGCCGGGATCCATGGCCAATCCCTTGTCTGACAGGCGATACCCCAGGAATTCCACCTCCTTGGTATGAAACTGACACTTCTCCAGTTTCACCCACAGCTGGTTGGCTTGCAGCCTGCTCAACACTTCTCTGACGTCTCTCACATGCTGCTCCTCATTCTCAGAATACACCAACACGTCGTCTAAAAGGCCACACAATTCTTGTAAAGCAAAGGCCCCAGGACGTGGTTCATAAACGATTGAAATGTTGCGGAGCCTGCTTGTAGGCCGAAGGGCATAACCAAATATTCAAATGCCCCTAAAGGGGTGAACATAGTGGTTTTCCATTCATCCCCCTTCCTTATTCGTACCAGGTTGTACGCCCCCCTTAGGTCCAGCTTTGTGAAAATCTTTCCCTTCCGCACCCTTGTCAAAATGTCGTCAATCCTGGGCATAGGGAAGGCTACTGGTTCTGACACTGCATTTAAGGCCCTGAAGTCACACACCAGCCTCGGCTTGTTCGTGTTTTTCTTATCCACAAAAACACTGGGCTGCCCCCACCGCCCTGGACTCTCTGATGAACCCTCTCTTCAGGTTCTTGTCAATGAACTCTCTTAACTCCTGCATCTCTCTGTCTGACATGGCGTACAGCTTGCCTACAGGGAGCTGTGCTCCAGGGAGTAAGTTGATTTGACAGTCAAAGGGTCTATGCGGGGGTAGTTGGTCAGCTTCCCTTTCGCTGAAGACGTCACGGAGATCTGCATATTGTCGTGGTACCTTCACGTTCTCTGTTACTTCAGTCCCTGCTAGGGCGGCTTGGACCCCTGCCAAACCCTTTCCCTCTTTGCAGTGTTCTAAGCAATGTGCTGAACCAAAAGAAACCACTCTCTGATGCCAGCCCACCAGCGGATCATGTAACGCTAGCCAGCTCATCCCCAATATAATGGGAGCTCCTCCCAAGGTGGCCACATTAAAAGCTATCAGTTCGGTGTGCCTTGCTACCTTCATTATCATTGGGACGGTCTGCAAGCTGACTTCTCCACCCAACAGCTCCCTGCCATCGATCGTGGTAACCTGCAGGGGGCTGCTTAAATGGATTGTCTGTATCTGGTGTTCAGCTGCAAACTCTTTGCTCATGAAATTGCAGGAGCTGCCTGAGTCCAACAGCGCCTTTATCTTTAGAGGGTGTCCGTTTGGCAGCTCTAGCGTCACTTCTATCACTAGGGCGGGTTTAGGAGGTTCTGGCGTGGGCACTCTCACTGCTCTTTGGCCTGGCTGCTGTGCCCTGACAGTGGCAGCCAGGCGTTGGCTTTTACTTGCTCCGGTATTTCTCCTCTCTTCCATCCACAGCTCCTACCATCCCTTGCCATTCTTTCCTCTGGGGGCAGACTCTGGCAAAGTGACCTGGCTGTTGGCAGAGATAGCATTTCCGGGCGCCTTTTCCCTCCTTCTTTGCCCCCTCACTGGGCTTTGAAACTGCGCGCGCGCCGCTGTTCCGATTTCCATCGGCTCTGCCGGTGGGAAAGTTGGCTCTGGAATGTCTGGAATGCGGAACTCCTTCCAACGTTCCCCTTTCCCTTCCCGCCTCTCCAATGCTCTCGCCTCCTGGCGCGCTCCTATGGCCAGCGCTGATTTGGTCAGCTGGTCCATAGACTCCGCCCTGGGCGCCCGGGAAAGTTCGTCTTTCACAGCCGAAGAAAGCCCTTCTTCAAAGAGCATTTGAATGGGTTCCGCCGATAAGTCCCACCCCAATCTGTGAACAAGCATGGTGAACTCAGTCCAGTACTCACGGACAGATCGGCTCCCCTGTTTGCAACCCATTAACTGTCTGCGCACCACTCCTTTTTCAATATCGCTGGAAAACATCAGATCCATGGCGCGAAAGAACTTCATCGTGTCCTTTAAGACGTCACTATTCGCTGCCATCAGGGGTCTAACCCAGTCTCTCGCCCCCTTTTCAAGATGCTCAATCACGAAAGCCACTCGTGATTCCTCGTCAGGGAATTCATCAAACTGCAGATTGAGGGCATATTGCATTTCTGTCCGAAAACCATGATAGTTTTGGGCTCCCCCCCCAAACTTCTGCACCAATCCTGGTACCTTTCTGGCGAACTGGGTGGCTTTCCCCCTTTTGTCTGCATCCTGAGCCCTCCTCTCCTCCAGCCTCGCCGTCTGCATCGCTAGCTGGACCTCCAACATCTGGTACCTTTCTTCCAGGCTTGGACCCGCTCCAGCTCCTGCTTCTCCAGTTCCGGCTGGGTTGCTCATGATGCCTTCTCCTGCACAAGCTGCTTTCAAAGACTGTCGGAATGCTGTGATGGGATGATGAGCTGCTTGTGCGTAAAATCGTATTCCCTCAGAGTTTGTTCAAGTCCACAAACCTCTGTCTGTGACAGAGCCCCTCAGACATGGCTGCTCTAGTCACTAGCAGATTCCGACAGTGGTTGCTTTCGTGATCGCTTCCAACATAAAAGCTCCTTAACGGAAACACGTCTTCTGGAATCTCTGCGTGACAGTTTCCGGCGAGGAGTGGGTGTTCTTACAGGAGGTTCTGAAACCTCCCCACTGTTTTCGCTGGAAGTGTCTCTGAGCCATCCCTCCAGCTCAGCTCCCCTCCCCCTGCTGGTTCCTTCTTCAGCTGCTGCGTCTCTCCCAACCTGTGTGAGCCCTTTCACCTCCCTGTTGTTTCCCTCTTCAGCTGCTGCGTCTCTCCCAACCTGTGTGAGCCCTTTCACCTCCCTTCCGTCCGATGGCAGTTCCCTGACACAGGGCAATAAAAAATGAACTTATATTCCCATTCCTGCCAAGCCGGGTATCTGCTTTGTATTGTCATCAATCTGTTTATAAGATTATGTGGATAGTATGGATTTTTTTTTTAATGGCTCACTGAAGCTTTAGCTGTGGAAATCTGGTTTCCCAATTGTCAGTTCAATCACTGTGACCTCTCCAAATCTTTGGAGGAAGACAACCTTTCTGTTGAGGCCCGTGTCAAGATGCCTGGTTGATTTCCTCCTAGATTTCCTCTCCTTTCCTCTTTCTGCTGGAGAAACAGGTATGGATTGGATTGAATGTGCCTAGGCACAGGTCACACTGGCAGCAGTTTACACAGGAATCCCTTGTGAGTGCTAAGGATCTACTGCCAGGCTCACTGTCACAGAGGGTCGCCACCTGCTCATTTATCAGCTGGACAGTTCAGGAATTACAGCTTTGTATCCATTTTGGTCTAATGTACATATTTCTTGCAAAGAACATTTCACCTAATACAACACAGTGGTGTGTGTTATTTTCACCAATACATGCTTTTTTATGCACCCTTTACCTGGTTTATGAGGGGCTTTTTGCACACATTACTTGCCTGGAGAATCGCATTGCAAAATTTGGAGAATTGCAAATTTCAAAGGATGGCTGTTTTGCAGCTCCCACAATGTTTCAGAAATGTGCATTAGGTGCATTTGTCTTTGAATGTGAACTGAATCAAATTTCCCCTGAACATCCCTACCGGTGGTGAGTCAAGTGTGGTAGAGGAGGAAAGCTTCACCTGGATGGAAGGTGATGGACAAGAGGGGCCAGGTGAACATATGGAGCTCCAGGCAACTGTTGCCAGGGAGACTGGAATCTCGAGGACAGGGGAGTAGCAGATAAACAGTAGCGGAGGTACAAAGCTGAAAAGGGAATGTTGCTTTATTCCTTTAGAGTGGATTTATTTGGGGATGGGCAGAATGTGGTCAAAGGCTCGCAGCAGAGCTTGGCCTAGAGACAGGGATGGGTAACCTGACGCCCTTTAGAGCAGCCCTAGAGCAACATGGCCAATAGTGAAGGCGTTGGCTTCTATGACACCTAAAGGCCACAACACTGGCTAGGCGTGGACTGAGGGGTACAGCTTCACCTACAAAGGACCAGAATGGCTATGAGGAGAAAAGCGAACCAGCAGCTGGGCATGCATCATTACAGGACCGTTGCATCATTGTGGAACCCAGCCAGCGCCAAGCATCACTCCATTAATACAGAAACCCAAAGTTCCAGCATATGGAAGAGTAAAATGCATGCAGGATTCTGAAAATTGTCCTGTGTTTATGCTGAATGGAACTTCAGACCATACCTTCGCCGCAAAGGATGGAGGAACAGAAAGGAAAGCAGCACCCAGATCTATCCAGTCCCAGCCCCAGTGGTGCCTGTTTCTCCTCTAGGACTGGTTGCAGAAATATAACATGAGCCGCTGGATCAGACAAAGGGGCTCTTTGACAGGCCAGCATTTGGCTTGCAACACTAGCTGTCAAAATGACTATGGGAAGCTGCCTTTCCGTGCTGTTTGTCCTCTCCTGAATCTGGTAGTGAGGGGTCAGACTCACCCAGCTTCCCTTTGCTGTTGATTTCCATGTCTGATGACAAGTCAGGAAAAGAAGGATGCTTCCTGCATGGACCATTCATTGCACACATTTTCAGTAAACCAGTATGATCCCATTCTAATTTCTACAGCTTGTGTAAGTACCTGTTCCCTTTAATACCTTTTCGTGGGGGGGGGGGTGTCAGATATAACAGCAACAGCTCAAAAAAGGTGCTTGCACAGAGGTTCCTCATAGCCTGGACTTTTTCTTGCTCCATCATCATTTCAAGCTGATAGCAATCCATGGAGCAGGGCCAGGTTCTGGAAAATTCTAGGGTTGATTAGGGACGATCTCTTTAGCACTTTGGAAAGCAGTGGCTTTTTCTTTTGTGGAACAGCATACCGACAGCCAGGATTTTCACCAAACTGAAATAAGCCCTGCTTATTCTCCAGGCCAATCTGATATTTTCATCCTCCAGTCCATTCTGATATTGTAGGTGGAGTTCAGCCAATGCATTAAATCAAGACCCCTTAAACCCAGGCTAAGAATAATGGTAGTGCACCTGAGCTTCTGGAGTACAATCCCCTTGAAAAAGCCACTCACCACTGTATTTCCTCAATTTGAATTTTACTGTATTCATTTTGCATTCTGCTGCTCTTATTGTAATAGCTAGGTGGCTACTGTAGCCTGGCAACAAGAAGAATGCCGTCATGTACATTCTGCAAAACCTATTAAGACTTAAGCTTCCACCTCTCATCATGAATTTGAGCGTTTGCCATACAGCCTCTTTGATGTACAAATCCTGACGAGGCATACCTTGGTTACTTCTTGCAGCAGGGTGGTCTGAAACAGCCATTAGAAACAAAAGAAGGTGGTGTGATGCCAGGCGACTCCTTGGAGACGTTAGCTCGCTCCTTTCAGTATTCCAATTCACCTCTTTGCCTGGAAGAAAGGAAAGATTTCCTCCCGCCCACCCAAAAGCAATCCTATAAACTAGTAATTTCCGGGCCCAAGGCAAGTTCCCAAATACATAAGTTTCCAAATGTATAAAATAGTAATTATCCCAGAACAGTTCCACTTGCGAAATGATTGGTAAAATCTGGGCTAAGCCAAAAACGAATGTATTCCTTTATGGGCAGTAAGTACTGCTGCTGAAATTCTAAACTGACACAGCACAGATAGACTGCTCCTGATATGTGGTGCTCTACAGTGAGTCAGCTCAGAAGCTGTGTTGCTGCTACCTAATCAGCAGTAGCTAGACAGAGTCACATGCCTACAATTCATTCCTCCTGGCCAGCAGAACTCAAGGGAGGAATATGCTTTTAGGCAGAAAGCAAAGAGCCTGTTGCCTTCACTATGCTTCCCAGCAAGCTGACATATGGCTTTTCGTTTACCACCTTGAGTACATAAAATTACTCAAAACTGAAAAGACCCTATATAATATGAGACCCATTTCATGTCCCAGTATAGCTTGCTTCAAGTTATGTGCCCTCATCACTATTCCTTCTTTATACTACTGTGTAAGATATGGACTGTTAAATTTGCATTATTTTAACTGGTTTTACTTTATTCGTACTTGTCTGGCATGTCTTAAATTAAAATAATGATGAATAGTATCTATAAGACATTAGAAGATTCTGATTGGCCAAACCTGTCACACAGTATTATTGGCTATCCTAGTGCTGTTTGGAATTAGGTGTTACGTGCATCTGAGAGTTAATATAATTGCTTTTGGCAACTGCTCTGCCAGATGCACTATTTACAACACTAATGGAGGAATAAACACATCAAAGCAAGAAACCCAGCCAAACCTCCCTCTTTGTATATAAGAATGTTTCAATTCACTTTGTTAGGGGTATTTTCTAGGGTTTCCAACTTATTTTAAAAGTGCTGTTGCAGATTCATCTGTCTTTTAACCAATTAACTGATTGGCTAACACTATATACATAAATTTGCATAGTATCAAAAATTTGACGGAAGGGCATTGGGTCATTTTTGAGATAGGAAAAAAGTGTGAGATAACTTAGAATTAGAAATAAAAGCTACCACCAATTAGTAGGAAAAAAGGTGATATTTAATATCTTGCTTTTTCCATGTTCCATCACAGTATAATAACAGAACAAAATAGCCTTGGAAAATAAATTGGCATGTCCTTAAATTGCACTTAAATTGTATCCTCAGAGATTAAAATTGCCCACCATTGATTAATCTGCCGATTAAACTGGTGCTAATGAAGCTAATGCCTATTTTCTCAGATGAAATGAGTGTCATTCAGCAAAAGTGCCTGTGGCTGTAAATGTGACAGTTCAACGTAGGCAACATGGTGCTCTCCAGATATTGTGGACTAGGACTTCCATCACGGCAGCCATCATGGCTGGTGGTATGCAATTAAGGGAGTTGTGGTCCAAAACACCTGGAGGGTGCCATATTGGCTACTTCATGATAGTCTTTAAAGTGCCACAGAGTTGATTTTGCGAAAATCAAGGCACATGCCTATTGTTTCAATCCACCATCCTGAGTGCACAGAGAGCAGAATGGCTCCTAGAGTCCTTCAGTATCATGGCGAGCTCCCAACCTGAAACCTGTATCACAGCCCTTTGGCGGTTTACCTCCACCAACAATGCTCCTCTTTGTCATGGACTGGTCGGATGCCAAGGAGTGGGAGGAGGCACCAGCTGGGGAACCTCCAAGGGAACCCCCGGATGAAGAAGGCTCAGAGCCTGGCGATAGGTGGTGTGATGACAATGAATGCTCAGAGGGTAGAAGAGGGGGCACACTGGGAGGAGGAGGTGTCGGAAGCTGAAGAGGAAACAGGCTTTAGTGAGCAAGAAGAGACTATGGCAGAGAGCAGTCCAGAATCAGAGGCAGGAGAGGAGTGGGGCCAGGAGACAGAGATGAGGAAAGCAGGTGAAGAATCTAGGGAGTCTCCCCCTGCTGCTGTGACAAGCTCCTCTCCCACCTGGTTTCCCAGAACATGTAGAGAAATGAAGAGGGCAAGGAAACGAGAGGCAAGATGCGGAAGCCTTAGGCTGCTGGGGAAGGAACCAGGGATGGAGCCTTAGAGAGTGGTGGGAAAATGGGGACCTTCAGTCCTCACAACTGCTTCACTGGGGCAAGACCTACTGGGAAGGGTTGCTACGACCACTAGGACTGCACTGTTTTGTTTCTTTGAATAAAGAGTTAATGTCACAGACATTGGGTGCTTTAATGTTTTATCACTGACCTACACCTGGCTCCAGCTCCTGACACCCTCCATCAGCAAGTCCCTATGAGTTGTCCTGGGGGTGGCAGAACTCCAAAGTAGGGCCAGGCTGCAGAGTTAGGTTTCCTTTAAATGCCATGCAATGGCCCAGCTGTACTGTTGCCCCAGGGCCCTGGGGAAAATTCATAGGATGGCTAGACCGCCTGGCATTCCAGGTCTGAAAACAACAGCTAAAGAGTGGCCAAAGGTAAGCATCAGCAGTGGACTTTGTTGGGGTGCTCACAACTGTCTTGAGGGTGCTATGTGCTGGTGCCAACCCTCACCAGTACAACTTTCTCCCCAGCTTCTGCATGCCAAGGACCCAGGTAAAACCAGCTGCTGGAACATTTGAAGGAAAAGCATGGAGAGCTTCTGCTGAACCTGATCGTTCTACCTGAGCCTCGGGGTGCACATGGAATAACAATGCTGCACCATGCGTCAAGGCTACTGGTGAGGGAAGGGGTGTGTTAAACTGGGCCCTGTGGGAACTGCTTCACAGTGTTCAGCACTGAAGCCTTAGACGTTTCTACTCAGAAGCTGATTGCCATTGCTATGCTGCAAAAACAGTTACACAGCAAAGATTTTTGAGATCAGAAATTCTCCCTGTGAACCTCTGCTGGGATTCTGAGTTTACATTCCTAGTGATGCTCTTGTGAAGTGTTCTGTTGCAAATGCCAAATTCAGACCAACTGAGGCTCTGTTTTACCTCAGCCACAATAAACAAAATAAACCCTTTTGAAAGGGATTACCCTTCCTACTGGCGCAACCACTAAGATCCACTGCCAGAAGAACATTTCGACTTCTTGCCAGATTAATTGGGGAGGCGAGGGGAACATAGCCTGGAGCTCTCCTGAGGCTTAACATCCATTAGGGTGGTGCAGGTCACATCTAATGTTTAAATTAGACATTTGTACTATGGATGATCCTCACTGGCTCTTTGATGTGGATTGTTCAAATTCCTGGGTACTAGAATTCTATCTATGCTGTGACACATACTTAATGCCGACTATGGAACAACTAAATCTTCTGTAATTTTTTTGTATCTTTCTCACTTGCAGCAAAAACAGGCTGTGGCAAGCTGACTTGACATGATCTTTGGGTGGAAGATATGACATATTGGAGCAGGGAATATATATCCAAACAGTGGCCTTTCCTTTGATATTCCCAAGCAGTGTTTTTTTCCTTAGAGAAAAGGGTGCTGGAATGCAAAAGACCCACCACAGAGCCCAACGAGGATCTCTTTGAGCTGAGGGGGGTAGTTCCCTTGCCAGCCAGAGGCTTTTTGAGGCTGCACTGCAGCTGATCAGCCTAGCAACCTCTCCCCATCCCTCTGCCTTGTGTGAGCCAGAGCATGGGGCATGGAGAGGCTTCCGTGCCTCAGCACAGCAGCTTAAGGAGCCCCCACCCCAGGCCTCTCTGGCTCCAGAGCAGCTGGGGGCTTGCTCAGCTGAGGCACAGCTTTCTCACGTGTCAGCTATTAGCCAGGTGGCTGAAAAGCCTCAGCAAAGCCCCACTGTGCCTCTGGTTCACAAAAAGCTCACAGAGGATGTCCCCTTCAGGCTCTGGGGAGGGTCTCCTCACGAGCTGGAAGCACAGCGAGGCTTTTCTGAGGCTGGTCAATCTCTCTCCAAACTTCCAAGGTCAGCTCAGAGGTGCTGGAATGCCGTTCTGGAGAGTTCCAGCTGGAAAAAAAGCCCTGGACCCAAGGAAGGATAAAACCCATGAAGACTTATTTTTGGAACAGATCGGTCTAGAAATGGGCAAACATAACACTGTCAATCTGGGGCCACAGACCATCTTTAATACAAAACAAAAGAACAGAAAATTCTTTTGCACATTCTTAAGTCACAGATTCATGAATGACCTTTTTTTTTTTTTTAGGAAACAGAAGACATTTCAGCATTTTGTTTACACTGGTTGTTTTCAAATTAACTTCTTGAAAAAGCATAAAATTGTAACATAGTCCCTCTGTAACTGACTAACCTAAGAAATCTAGGACCTATTCAACCATTTGTCCCACCTATTATGAGTGCATTGAGTGTTTGCAGGACATGTGCATCACCTCACTGATGAAAGTGTAAAAAATGGAGCCGCTGAAAACACAATACAAAGCTCAAATATGATTTCCCAATAAAATTCAATAAATTGAAGATGTCAGAACATTCCAGAGGAACAACACAAAAACAATGTCATAAGTAATATAACATTGCAGTTAGTATAATTAAAGTGTCCAATATGATACTGGGCTTTTTGGGTGGTGGCCCCACGATTGTGGAGTATTAACCCATACAGCATTAGGCAGGCTCCATTCCTGAATATTTCCAAACAGAACCTTTAAAAGATCCTTGCTAGTTATCTGAAATTTTTTCTTTCAAAGTGCCATGGGGTCTCTGGTATCTCCTTTAGGACTTTTATTTCACTTAGAAATGAGGTAGATCATCAGCTGCCATTTGAAGTGTCTGGGGTGTGTGATGTGATTTTTAAATCCTGGGGAACCAACAGTTGGAACTTACAGGGCCATGATAACTGGCTGTTGATCACCTGTGCCATCACTATCTTATTTCACCAGAATCCAGCAGCTTTGTTTGCAGATTCTTTGCTCAAGGTCGTACCTGTACTGGAAAAAGTTCAAGAAAGAGACAACTTAGAAACAAAAATCAATAGCAGCATATAGTGTTCTCTATTTTGGTTCTATGGAAATATTTTGCTGAAGTCATTCTAAGACACATTTAGATTAGAATAAGAAGAACAATCCAGACCCATGACTTTTGGACACGGGATTTGGATGTAAGATTCATGGCCATTGAGGCTGTCCTACATGCAGATTTAAGACCAATCGATGGGGATGTTAGCTGTTAAAGCTTGCCTTAGTGAAAGATAGAGTAAAGGAACAACTGTTGAGACAGAGATGAACATTCACTATCTCCACTCAGCTATTTCCAGAAGGGTAGCTATGTTAGTCTCTTGCAGCAGAAAACAGGGAGTCTTGCGGCACCTTAAAGACTAACAGGTTTATTAAATGTGTTATCTTTTAAGTTGCCACAAGACTCTTTGGGGTTTCCAACTACCTGTTTTATCAGCAGTATGTGGGAAATGCACTGCCTTTAAAGGGAATAGATATGAGACAGCACCCTGGGGCATGCTTGCATTTTCCTGAAAAGTGACTCATCAACCTCTTCTTCATGGAAATCTTGGGACCAGTTTTAATTTATAGATATCTGAGATCACAGAGTATAAACAAGAAAATAAAAAGGAAACCCTAAAAGGTTCTCCATTACCAGTCTGATAGATAGCATACTGTCAGGGAACTGCCATCAGTGCCGGAGGGAGAGAGAGAGCTCCAGAGGGATCCCAGAGAGCGTCACGGGATTGGGAGAGGCAGCCCATCTTCTGGGGAAGGGAATCAGCTCAGCTCCAGTGGAGAAGGGGGCAGATGGGGGAATCTGAGAGGGAGTCACATGACTCCTTGCCTGGGACCAGCGGGGGGAGGAAGGGTCCTCCACTGCCTACGCCTTCCTTGCGCAGAAGGCTTCCATGCAGGGAAAGTAGGAGGAGACTGGGCGTGAAAGAACTTCTTTGCTGGAAGAAGTTTAAGAAACGCCCACTGACGGATTCTGCCAGCGATTGAGACAGCCACGGGTGAGTGGCTGTCCGGACAGAAAAGGTTCACTTAGGCAACCCAGCCAGGTGTGGGCACCGGCTTACGCACGAGCAACCCCTTGAACCACTACACATACATTATTATTTATCCAGCACTATTGGCTTTTTAAACCTGGTTTTCACAAACACACACACAAAAATCTTATTTCTCAGCAGCTGAAATTGTCACTGTCTAGAATTTCACTATCTTGGAAGCTACCTCTTGCCTACATATGTCTTGTATAACAAGTATAATGAAGAATTATAAATCTTCTCTCCTTTTACGTGCACAAAATGTGATTATGTTGGCCCAGTTGCTAGACTTATATCAAGATTCATTCATACAAAAATAGACTTTTAGTTCCTTGGGAGTGGGATGACAAAAGAGGGGAGGGAGGGACTGGCTTTTATCGCCTGGTATGTATAAATTATTTATTTTGAGTTATTTGAATAATTCACGTGATGCCACTTTTGCAAGCACTAAGTTGAGTTCCTTTAAAGGAAAATCACATCCATTACATAGTGGAATATATATTATGGGTGTGCATTAGCTGTGCATATACCCAAATAACAAGGCACATCAGGGTGATTCAGGGTAGTCTTTCATGTTACTGAGTTGGGTTACACCAAAGCAAGAGATCTCAAGGTGGATTAGGGAATTCCGAACCTTCCAAGTAGCTTTTCAACAAACACACAGCCTTTTCCTCCTCCCCTTTGCTGAGAAATGAAATCAAGATGTCTGGGAAAACACCCAGAGCTTGAGAGGAGAGAGAAGAAGTGGAATTGTGCCCCCTTCCCTGTCCCCATTTTGACAGAGAGGGGGAGGGATGTGGATTGTCATTCCCCTTTGAGTTTTGGCTGTGACAGCAGGGCATGAGACAGAGGTAAGAGGTAGCCTGCTTCTTTCTCACATAGCTGTTTCCATAAAAACCATAGCTCTCTCCTTTTTTCATGGAGGATGCTTCCAGGAAGGGCGGGGGAGCAGTGAGAAAAATCATTCTCCCAGTTGTTGCTTTTTAAGATATAATGAAGGTAACATCACCCAGTCTGAACCTCTTTGTCTGAAATTTGACATGTTTTCTACCCAGGGGCACCTCATGTCTACAGATTCCAAAGGGGAATGCACACCCGAAAATAGTAAAGCTTTTCATTTCAGAACAACCAATGCACCTTTATTTCTGAAATTTGACAGATTTCATCCCTTTAGTATGTTGGACCACGCCTAAAATGCGCATCCAATTCTGGCAGATAACATTTTTTTAAAAAAATTGTAAAAGTTCCCTGTATGAAAACCCATGAATGGGTATGCATGGAATTTGGCAGGCTCCATCCAAGTCAAAGGGGCTCATTTGCCTGCAAATTCCACCCACTTATGTTAAAAAGGGGGAAAAAACATGACCACCATCTTTAGGTTCCCCGTTATAGTCAAAGGGAACAAAACAGAGATTTGGATGAACAGAAATGAACCTGAATCGAACTGGAATGACAGAGCAGATCCAAAACAGATCAGGCTGCTTCCAAAAGCTACAGATACAGACACAAGGCAAATATTGTGGTTGCAGCACACCCTTAATATATATAAACATACAGAATTATTTCATTAAGAGACATCTGTGATCCATCCTTGAAAACATTCCATTTACTTGAGAATATACTTCAACAAGACTATGGCTGAATAAAATGTGGGTTCTGTGTGTCTGGCCTTTTTTGCATCACAAGTCTTTGAAACATTTAGAATTGTTTACTCCTGAACGGGAACAAACATCGATAGGGTTTTCTGCAGGATGATGTCTGTTCCAATTCAGCAGTGAACAGCCGGTTTTCCAGGGTAAGTGGTGGGGCGGGGAGAGAAAAACCTGTTCGCAACAGGAGTGGGAAACCTGTTTGTTTGTTTGTTTGTTTAATTGTATTGAATTAAAGTGATTTGGTTTGATTTGCAATAATTTGGAAAACTAATAAAAATAATTTGAAAAAAACCCTCTCAGGCCTAGAAATCACGGGACAAACAGAAGTGGTGGGCGAGCCCTTAAAACTTGCATCGAATTCAGTGAAATTTCCCCTCACTCCTCAAGGTGTTCAGGGGTTCTTCACTACCTTAACTGCAAATATGAGGGAATCCATACTGAGCAGAAATTCATTATTATTTCTGCTGCCTAATATTAGAAGGTGCATGCTTATGATGATGAAGTGCCTGCCCTTCGCTATTGACCACAACACCTGGGGCGCCTCATACCACACATGGCGCCTTCTCGCAGGACCGCAAGGGAGGCGCTGTGCTCGGCGAGAAGGTAGCCGGCCTTCCCCCTCAGCTGGGGCGGGCGGAGATTTGCAGGCCTGTCCTTCTGCTCGGAGAGTGAGCGAAGAAAGCCGCCCGCCGACGACTCCCAAGTCAGGGGGGAGAGCGAGCGAGCGAGCGTTACCTCATGCGGACAAGGATCCGGCCCCGGAGAGTCGCCGCCCAGCGCGGCCAAAGCTTTCTCCGCCCGGCCCCCTGGGGCTGCGGACGCGGTTTCCGACGGGGCCTTTCTCTCTGAGGGACTCCTCTGCGGGAGGAGGAGAGGCCTAAGCGCCTCGCTTCTTCCTCCCAGGCAAAGCGAACGGGCTGGAAGCCGGGGCGGCCGCCGGAGATGAAGCTCTCGAGTGCGGTGAGTCGGAGCCCCTCGCCCCGGGGGAGGGAGAAGGAAACGAAGGGCCGGAGCCCGTCGCCTCAGTGACCGGCTCGGAAGGCGCTCGCTGCGGGTCGGGCAGCACAAATGAAAATAAGAAGAATAGTCCCGAAGACTCTCCTGTGGGTTTGGGGAGAGGAGGCAGGACCCCGAAGCTTGTATGCATACGTCCACGCACTCCCCGCATTTAAGGTTTGAATGTCGGGGGCTTAACACTTAAACTTTTTTTGTTTTGTTTTTTAAAAACGCGGTTTATATATAGGGGGTACATTCTGCACTGGCTATCAATGGATATGGTGTGGGTTGATGGGCACAGGGTCACACTTGGACCGAGGAGGCCTGAAGTTTAATTCCGTGGAAAAGCAACTTATTTCTCATCAGTCTTATCTCACGAAGTTTAATTTGGGAATAAAGTCGTGGGTGCCAGCCAGCTTCTTGAAAGAAGGGCAAAATGCAAATGAAAAGAAATAATCTGGCTTTATTTTAAAATGGCTCTAATCTTGTTTTCTGTACTGATTCGGCAACATTTGCAGTGTAATATTTTGCTGCTGCTCACAGATGAGGTCACGCACGAGGAAATGGTACAGTGGAGAGGGAGAACTGAATAGACCCTCCAGATGTTGTAAAATGTGGCTCCCCCCATCCCTGGCTTTTGGGCATCCTGGCTCTGGCTGATGGGAGTCCAAGAGCGGCTGGGGTGCCACTGGCTTTCCACCCCTGATGTTTAGGATTGCAACCTCAGCCTTGTGTTTATCAGCCTCACTAATTATCATAAGTGTTATGTAAACATGCTTGCTTTTGGGTTGTTTTTTTTAAAGATTATTTACATACTGCTCTTTATCTAGTGATCCCAGGCCAGTTAAAAAACACACACGTATGATGGAACGTTTGTAGTCCATTTTAATCCTAAATAACTATTTTCCTCTCAGTATTCACATCTGCTACTTCAGATTAGAAGAACTGTTTCATCCATATACATATTCTGAAAGGATGGAAAAACATTCTTTTTTCGCTACTTTGAAACACTATGCTAAACACATTGTCACTGAAAAATGTTAAAGGGTGCCTTATCACAGACCTACTCTAGTCTTTTTACAATTTGGACGCGGGTGGCGCTGTGGGTAAAACCTCAGCGCCTAGGACTTGCCGATCGTATGGTCGGCGGTTCGAATCCCCGCGGCGGGGTGAGCTCCCATCGTTCGGTCCCAGCTCCTGCCCACCTAGCAGTTCGAAAGCACTCTTAAGTGCAAGTAGATAAATAGGTACTGCTTTATAGCGGGAAGGTAAATGGCATTTCCGTGTGCTGCGCTGGTGCTGGCTCGCCAGAGCAGCTTCGTCACGCTGGCCACGTGACCCGGAAGTGTCTCCGGACAGCGCTGGTCGCCGGCCTCCTAAGTGAGATGGGCGCACAACCCTAGAGTCGGACACGACTGGCCCGTACGGGCAGGGGTACCTTTACCTTTATATTGTATATACAGTCATACCTCGGGTTGAATGTGCTTCAGGTTGAGCGCTTTCGGGTTGCACTCCGCGGCAACCTGGAAGTAACGGAGTGCATTACTTCCGGGTTTCGCCGCTCGCGCATGTGCAGACGCTCAAAATGACGTCACGCGCATGTGCGGAAACGGCAAAGCGCGGCATGCGCCGTCGCATCTTACGTTCCATTCAGGATGCAAACAGGGCTCTGGAATGGATCCCATTCGCATCCTGAGGTACCACTGTATACTATAGAAAAACATGCAGTTGTTTTTAAGAATAATCTGCACTAAACTGCAAGAACATGTTAATTCCTAGAGCTGCAGATAAAGAATGACAACAGAAATAAGCTGTCACTGCCAGAGGTTTTATTTATTTATTTATTACTGCATTTATAACCCACCTTTCCTCCAAGGAGTTCAAGGTGGAGTACATGCCTCTCTTTCTTTCAGTTTAACATCAATAACAACCCTGTGAGGTAGGTTAGGCTGAATGTCCCAAGGTCACACTTCGTACCAGAGTAGGGATTTGAACTCTGGCCTCTCAGAGTAGAAAGGTATTGCCAGGTATTACTGCAGTTACTCTCATAACAATGAATGCTGTGGGGCTACTTCATAGTAAGTAAGTGTCTGTCCTAGTTACTCTGGTGATGCCACGTACATAAGATTGCACTCTTGCATGCCATCCTTTTTCATGTGGAATAATTATCACACCTTGATTTTGTGCTGTCTCACAAGTACAGATTAGAATCCCTCCTTTTTACTCATAAGCCTAAATGAAAGTTGGGGATCATTATATCCTTTTACTGCTCTTTGATCAGTGTATGGCATTTTCTAAACCAGACGTGCAATTTAGATATTGGAGAGTGACTTACTGAAAGGGGAAAAGTTCACTTTCTCCTAAATTGAGACCGAATGCTGGTGTGCATTGTGTGTAAGGAAGAAGTATTATGCAACCTGTAAAAGAACATTATGGATCCATCCTAGTTAATAAATTCCATATTTTCATGTTGACATGTTTTTTCCTGTAAATTTATAATCATGGACATATGCTTCACCGGAGAGCCGCTATTGCTGATTGTGTGAAGAGAAAAACTGGAAATAGGACTCTGTGAACCAGTCCTAGATGCCTCAGTGCCTGGCTTATGGTGTTGCCTTGTTCCATCATCTCTGAATCATTTCCTAGATAAGACAGAAGTAGAATCTAGTTCATCGTAGAGTTTACTTGGAGGACTTGGTTGAAAAGGTGTTAGGACCTGTCAGTTAGGGCATGAGTAGCCAATGTTGTACCTTCCAGATACTTTTGGATTCTACTCTAAAACTATAGCATAGCCAGTAGTCTGGAATTATGGGAGTTGTATTCCAGCAGCCTCTGGAAGGCACCATATTAGCCACTCCTGGTTTTTCCATGGTGCTGGCAGGGTGTTGTGCAAAGACCTGAGAAAGTCAAAGATGGGCTGGCCACTGAAAGATGGGCAATAACATGCAGATGATACTAGGATCTTCTGACGCACTGGTGAATATATGTGTGCAGAGAGCCTCTTTACATCTTCTGCTCCTAGGTGAGAGGGAAGTTGGAGCATTCCCACATCACCTCTTATGTGCTCCTGCAGTGAAACTTCATTGGAAGAGACACGCAAGGATGTGTGGCTGCTACTGTTGTGACAGTCCTCTTCAGTAGTCTCTGGAGTCAGAGACAATTGATGAAGTGCTGTTCTTATGGGGTGTGGTTTTCTAAGCAGAGGGGACATGCAGAAATCTGTTTACTTCCTCTCATCTTCTCTCTGTTTATGAAGCCAATAAGTAGTTTGGATTGGCTATCAAAACATGTTTCTTGTTCCTTTAAACTTAGTGGGAAATGATGACAATTCTCTTTTAAATCAGTGTCTTGTGATCCTTAAATTTACTAGATTCTGTGTCTTATAATTCCCCTCCCAGATCCTTGGCCATGGAGGATATGACTCTGATTTTAGTGATGATGAAACAGCAGAGAAATCGGACCAGCAGAAAAATAGGTAATGCCTTTTACTAGTAGTATTATAAGATCCTTCCTAGGAGTGTAAATGACAGACTCCTTCGTCTTCTTTCTCTCAAGCTTGACAGAGAGTGCTGTCTCCAATGAGGAGTGGGGTAGGGGAGAACTGCTGTGCTCATCTAGTGTCTCTGTGCCATCTCATTTCTTGCAGTTCTGTGCTTCATCTCTACAAGAACAGCACTGAGGCCTAGTTGGTCCTTTAGTTTGATTTTCCCTCTGCCACATCTCAGCAGGATTAATCAAGCAACTGAATGAGAGATCAAAGCAGTCAAAGCCAGGTGGCAGCAGGCTTTGAAAGAATAAGACACCTGCTGGAAGGGAATGGAGTGCTCTTGCTGCTTGATTATTATATCCTATTACTCGTTTTTGTGGCAACTAAGGGTGCAATCCTATGCACACTTACCTGGGAGTAAATCCCTAAACATGCCTAAATAATTTATTTATGTGGATTATTTATTAACCTAATGGTTAGTTGCCTTTCCTGTGCTGAAGACAGCATTCAAGAGCAAAAATAACAACACCAAAACCAGCTGGGGCTGTCTGCTTAACTTCAGGAGAGTAGATCAAAGAATATAACTTTCTTGCCACAGCCTTGGCTGAATGTCAGTTCTAGTGCAACATTTTCTACACACTGGGCTGGCCTAACCGTAGCACATCAGCACATTGCAGAGAGTGCCAAACTTCCTGTCTCAGCTGTATAACTGTCTTGGAGAAAGAACTAGAGCTTCCCTGTTTAGAAGACATGCACAAAGGCAGCTATGCAGCTCATTGGGTTGCATTCCAGGGATAGATCTTTCATCTCTACCAGCTGCTCAGAGCATCAGAAAAGTTGTAAACATGTAGATGTAAAGAAGTGACAGACATTAAACTTGAAAATAAGAAAGTAGTTTCCTAGTTAACTCTTGTAATGTTGCTCAGATGTCAAGAGAGGGATGCAATTTTATTTGCAGAAAAGAAACCTTAGTGAGCTTTCTTTGCATGGTAGTCCTTTAGGAGCGATTCCTATGGAGAACTAACACATAGTGCTGAATATCTAGAGATTTGCTGGAGTTTAAACCCATATAAAAGCTGCATGTTCCAATCTGTAAGCCCTTGCTCCTGATCCCAGATGTCTGAGTACTACTTATTGTTATTTAGGAATGTGGACTTTGGGGTTTTTCTCATGGGCCAACACAGCTTCCTTTACCCAGTAAGTTAGAGATCAGTGCCTGGAAAATCCAGGGTCAAGTCTGACTCCTGAGGATGATCCATTGGCCTTCCAATTGCTAATCCAGAAGCAAGAGAGGTGTGTAGAGGAAGCTCATGCTGTAGCAGTGGGAGTTGCTGGCCTTGCTCTATGCCGTGGGGGGTGGGGGGGCGAATGAGTGGTGGTGTAGACCAACCTCCTACCTCCCATCCCTTCTCCAAGTGGTCCAACTAATTATTGACAGGGGGTAAGCTTTACTTTTAACACTAAGTTGCTCCTCTTTTTATACGTATTTTCTTCTAATAACCAACTCTGTGTGTTTCCCCTCCTGCATGATAAGGAATGAAGATGCATTACTCAAAAAGCCCTTCCAGAAAGAAAAACAGAGCAAGGTGGCCCACAGACAGGTGGCGACAGATGAATGGGACAGGTACTTTGCCATACTTATGGAATGTTTTCAGAACAGCATTAAGCACATGGCATGTAGACAACTAGAATAACATTGTTGTTTTTACCAGGGAAGAAGCAAGAAATCAAAGATTTCATTTCCTAGCATTGGATGCTGTATCCTTTGAATTTGCGTTGATGAAAAAACAGTTCGTCTTAATTTTGAGAAGAAGAGGAAACTTCATGAAAGAGACCTTTGTTTGAGAGGTTGCTTCCTTAGGGATATTTCATTTCTCATGATCTAAGAGAGGAATTTGCTGAACAAAGTTAAGTACCAGCCATTAAATTTGCCACATGTATAATATTGGTTATATGTAAGTTTTTCTAGGAAGCACTCTTGTGGCACAGTGTGGATCTCATTTCTACCACCTGCCAATACCACCTGCTAGAACAATTTATTCCTTCTGAACTCCCAACAGAAACACCAACTTGACTTGACACAACCGGCCCACCCACCACTCCTTCAGTATGATCTGGAGCAGAACTGACAATATGATGACCTGAGAGGGAGTCATTGAGTGAAATTGAACTCTTTAGTAATAGATGTGCTGCTCTTCTTCTCCAGGAAGGTGACTGAAGGCTGTCGGAGAGAGCAAAAGAGGAGGCAAATGGATTGCAGCTCCTCATAGTGAGTCTCAGTGCCCTTTTCTTGTTACAAGGGGAATTCAGCAGGTGTAGCTACTGCAGCAGGTTGAACAGTACCAGTTGCAGTCAGTAGGGCAGGTGGGGTAGCATCGCTCACCTGGCTTGTGAGCATCTCTGCCAGTTGCCAGGAGGAGAGCTCAGTGTGGGCACAGTGGTGGAGCCACTCTGACGCCATTATGCCCACAGCCACACTTTGCATTGGGGAACCAGGTGAGCAGTGCCACCACACCACCACCCCAAATGCTATTGGGTATGACATAAAGCCTTCGTCAATTGATTAGGAGAACTAACTTGGACTCTCCTACTTCTGTTCTTGCTGTCTTTAAGACAACAAATGTGTGGATGGAAGAGAGGTATGACTCCAAAGCTGGATTCTAGTCAATAATATGCAGGCAGTGAGCACTTCACTCCTGATACCTCTTCAATGAAATGCGGTGTTAATAGTTGAATAGTTTGTGTCTTTTGCTCGGTAAGCATATTCCATTGTTTTGCTTTACCTCATTTTTGGGGAGTAGCATTCCTTGTCTGTCATGAATCCAGCTGATGGATGGATTGCTTTCTCTATTTACATGGAGCGGGGTGTCCTTAGTTCAGCTTCATATATATTAGGCCTGTGTCAGCAATAGTGTACAAAGTTCAACTGTCTATGCCTTGTCTTGTAATATTTAGTGCTATATCCTAGGGGCAGAGCTCTCTGTCTATATTTGTATACGTGCTGTGTAAGTTAGAAGCTTGATAAATGATTTATGATAGCATGGCTGAAAGCCTGTTGCTTTATTGACAAAGGAAGCAACACTTCTAGACGTCTTTTATGTAACCAGTTCTGGAACAATTCTAAAACAACTAAATATTCTGCCCCCACCCCTGCAGTTACTTGCCTATATTTATTGAGTTGTCCTTGGTTAAAAATAACCAGCACAGAAGAAGCCGGTGTAAAAAAAAAAATTATAAGACATTATATCGGGAATTACCATATTATTAGTATTTTCCTTGTTCAGTATTTTCATCAGAAAACTACGTCATGTGGTCATAGTTCTAATTTTGCCAATTGCACTGTGGTTGGCACTTGTATGAAATGGCCCAAATTGGAACCTTCCGGTGTAGATTTTATTTTGGAGTGGTAAAATTTTGTCACTAGATTTGCCAGTCTCCCCAACTTCTCTCTTGCAGAAATCTTTGTCTTGTTCCTTGAGTGGTCCTTCATATGCTGAGTGAGCCATTTCCAAATTTGTTAGGTGTAGGCAGAGTTCTTTCAGCAAAGGAATGATAGATTTCCAGTTATCTTATTTCTTTTTTGGGAAGCAGGAAAATGCTATCAGCAAATTCCTTAATTTTTGTCAGTATGCAAGACATAAGAAAATGGTCAATGACTATATTTTGTACTACGGTGGCAAGAAAGAAGATTTCAAACGTTCAGGGTGAGTACAAAATAATTACAGAAGTCTGTCTGCTTTCAGAAGTTACCAAGTCTGTAATCTTATGCATAAATAATAGAGAGCAAGTTAAAGTGAAATCACTGAGGGCGTACTTTTGAGTAAATAGGAGTGGGCCGTGCGGAAGTAAACTCTGGATAATTCAGGAGTGCTTCACATGTTACAATTTACTTGCATCCATCCCATGTTGTTGTTTGTGTTGGGGAAAAGCAATACAGTGCATTGATATAGTGCAGAGTAGGGGGTGGGGCGAGAATCTCATCCCACAGCCATGTAAGATGAAGGCAGAACATCTCATTTGGTCTTGAAGAGGCCAGTGAGCCCTGCACAGAAGAGTGGCAGGATGGACAGGTGCCATGTTTTCCCCAACTCAGTTGGGAGGCAGACTTCAGGCATTTTACAGCCAGCCAAAACTACCTCCCCATTGGCTCAGGAGCAGCAGTTGTGGCTGGTTGCTTAAGTCTTTCCTGCCTCCATCTCCTCCTTGCTGAATTGCAAAATGTTCCACCCTTTCAAATGCTGCAGAAGGGCAGGGACAAACATTGCTCATTGTGTATTTTGTATGCATTATGTGCCACTTTGGACACAGATTTTTCTGGAAAAGTGAGCTATAAAATGGAACTGAATGTGTTAGAGATTCTGAAAGGAAATGCAACAAATGAAGAGAGGTGATCTTTTTTTAAAAAAAATCATTTGATAACTGATTGATTTTTTTTTTAACAGAGAAAATGACAAGACTGACCTTGACATTATAAGAGAAAACCACAGATTCTTGTGGAGAGAGGAAGATGAAGCTGACATGAACTGGTAACTTGGGCTGGGATTGATCTCATTTATTTCTCTCTTGTATAAATATGTTAATTCATACATAGTCTTTTTATGTAAAATGACTTGATAAACTTAAGGAGTCTAATAGTACACCTTTGTGGCTAATACACTCATGATTCGAGTGAGTGGGAATTATTGTTGTGCATTGCCAATTAAAAGAAATCTAGTGATTTGTTTTTAATGCTACAAAACAAGGCATCTTCAAAGCTGTTTCTCAGCTGTGTGTTAGGCTGCCATTCTATACACCAGATGTGCAGAACTTGTGGCTCTCTAGATGTTGTTGGGCTGTAGCTCCTCTCATTCTTTACCATTGGCTAGCCCTTATCATGCTAGCCAGGACTGATGGGAGTTGTCCAACCGGCCCACCAATTCTCTACACCTCTATATTCACTATCCCCATTTAAACACAGGGTGGTTTCTGCATAAATGCATAGGATGTTAAAGTATTTAAAGAAAAGGTCATTGAATTGTGCTTTTTCTTTAATTTTCTGTGACAGCTGTACATTTATAAAACTACCTTGCTAGTATTCCTGCCTTTTTAATATAAGATAAAAAGATAGAAAATAACTTCTATCTTTTGCCAACATTTGCGTTGTCTAACCAACTAACCCATAATTATGTCTCCGTCTTTCAGGGAGAAGAGGCTTAGCAAGAAGTACTACGATAAATTATTCAAGGAGTACTGCATAGCAGATCTGACTAAATACAAAGAGAACAAGGTACATGCTGGACAAATTTTGTAACTCGGGGGCTGTCTGTGTTCATCTAAGTGAATGTAATATCTCTTAAGGCAATATATGCTGTTTCAGAGACTATAGGTAGAAACGTAGCCAGTATCTTAACACCTGTGGCCAATAATAGGTACTGTAGAGAGAATGTCCTGGTTTGCATGTAATCATAAGCCAAAATATAGCCTAGTGTGAACACACAAGAATGCAGGTTCTCATGGAGGTGACTGTGGCTGCTTTATAGTATTAGAGCTCATGGACATCCTATGAAGCTGAATGTTGCAAGATTCAGAACAGACAGAAGAAATTACGTATAGTGATACCTCTGGTTAAGAACTCGATTTGTTCTGGAGGTCCGTTCTTAACCTGAAACTGTTCTTAACCTGAGGTACCAATTTAGCTAATGGGGCCTCCTGCTGCCGGAGCACGATTTCTGTTCTCATCCTGAAGCAAAGTTCTTAACCCGAGGTACTATTTCTGGGTTAGCGGAGTCTGTAACCTGAAGTGTCTGTAATCTGAAGCGTCTGTAACCTGAGGTACCACTGTACTTCTTCACACAGTGCAGAGACACTATGGAATTCACTCTTACAAGCTGTAGTGATAGCCGCCAATTTGGATGGCTTTAAAACAGGAATAGACAAATTCATGTGGAATATTGCTATCAGTGTTTACTACCCACAGTGGTTTTTGCTGTGGGTTACACTTTTTACCTGCTTGCACCTTGCTGAAAATGCAGAGGCTGAACAGGACTTTGGCTCAGACAAAAGTGGACATAAGACTATTATGCATAACAGTGCTTTGTCTATTCCTTGTCATTTGATGATAAAAAGGGAGTATAGCTAGGAGGCCAGTATGTTGGATCTAGATCAGCAAATTGGAACTACCAACTTTTCTGTACAGTGTTATTTGCAGTCTTTCTTTCTTTTCAAAGCAGGGTTTTTTGGAGAGGGAATGCCCTTGAATGAAAGTACACATCATAGTCTTATTCATTACACAGCTTTTTAAATGGGGTATGGTGAGAGAGGATGGCAGGGCGAAGACCCCAGGAATGCATATATCCTGTATTACTTCCCCAGAGTGCTCTTTTCACCTCTCTGTCCCCTATCTGCACAGACAATTCATACCATCTATATTTGTTACTGTTTCGCCAGTTCTGGAGAGGCTTGCAGGTACAGATCTGACCTGGCTAGTCATACAAAGGAGCCTGGGGTTCCTGTAGGAGTTGGAGGCTCTCAGATAGGCCTTGATCCCAGCAGTCACCTTCACAGGTTTCCCCTGCTCCCAGGTAGTGTCATGCATCTAGCTGGGTATTTCACTGGCACCCCTGAAGCTCATGATCATCTCATTACCTGCTCTGCTCCTGGGACCATGAACAAGTTGTTGATCTCTGTGATAAGACATTATGAAAAAGTTGGAATGCCCTTGTGTTTGGGTCAAGATTCAGGATGGCAGTGTCTTCTGAACAAATAAAAGGTTATCCTGCAACTTGCTGCAAGATTTAAATGGTACAGAGGAAGTACGGAAAGTTGGATTAAAGTAAATACTTTGAACTTATAAAGTGGAGGAAGAGCAACCTAGAGTGACACCAGAAGCAATTCCAGGCGAGGGTGGATCTTACCAATTCATATTTTAATCATTCCTATTTCTTGCCTACTAGCAGTTATCAGAGTCTATGAAATCCATTCTTACCATTGTCTTACCAGCTACCATTCCTACCATTGTAGCTCAATATCATAATTCAGTGATAGTGAACTAGAAAAATAAATTTGCAATACCTGAGGCATAAGAGAAATATCTCAGTTGCACTGGATGCACTGAATGTGTAAGTGCAAAATACTTACTGCATGTCTTTTATTCTTCTAACAGTTTGGATTTAGATGGAGACATGAGAAAGAGGTTGTGTCAGGAAAAGGCAAGTTGTTATTTTTTTTTTTTCTTATTGTGGTTTGAATTCTAACTTCTATGAGCAGAGTTCTGTTCAGAGAATGGGGCTTCCCGCTGCAGCCCCTGCCCCCAGTTGTTGTTTGCCAGCTGATAAACCTTTTGTAACATTATGAGACTTAGTGTGGAAGGGTGCAGCTAGGAGGGGATTCTCCCTTGGTCTTTATGCTCACATAGGGAACTTTGAGATCTAAGCCTTTTTGAATCAATGTTTTTACTTGTTCTCTCTTACTTATTACATTGTCACATAATGACTATTTTTTTCAAGATATACACGATAACATGAAATTAGCTTACAGTGGTGCCCCGCAAGACGAATGCCTCGCAAGACGGAAAACCCGCTAGACGAAAGGGTTTTCCGTTTTGGAGATGCCATAAAAGCAATTTCCTATGTGTTTGCTTCGCAAGGCGAAACTGTCTTGCGAGTTCCTCGTGAGGTTTTTTCCTTTCCCCCCTTTTCCCAAGCCGCTAAACCGCTTATCAGCTGATGGCTAAGCCGCTTATCAGCTGATCTTTAAGCCAGCAACAGCTGATGCTAAGCCGCTTATCAGCTGATCTTTAAGCCGCTAACAGCTGATGCTAAGCCGCTTATCAGCTGATCTTTAAGCCGCTTATCAGCTGATCGTTAAGCCGGCTAAGCCGCTAATACTGTAGCGCTAAGCCGCTAAACCTCTAATGGGCTTGCTTCGCAAGACGAAAAAACCCGCAAGACGAAGAGACTCGCGGAACGGATTCTTTTCGTCTTGCGAGGCACCACTGTATATCGTTCTGTCATGGCAGTTAGCATTTCTAGAGTGCTTTAATGATCTGGGTGGAGAATAGCTGAGAAACAAGCTTAATTTCATTTAGTATTTATTGTTTCAAGAAGCATTTGCTAATGCAACCATAGGTAGTAAAGTAGACAGGGCAAGAGGACTGTTGATACCAACATGACTCCTTATGGGGTCTTCGCTGCGAGATCATATTCATCCAGTACTATACCAGCTGCACTGGCTCCCGGTGGAGTACAGGATCAGGTTTAAGGTGCTGGTTTTAACCTTTAAAGCCCTATACGGCCTAGGACCCTCGTACCTACGGGACCGCCTCTCCTGGTATGTCCCACAGAGAAATTTACGGTTTGCAAATAAAAACACCCTGAAGGTCCCAGGCCACAGAGAGGTTAGGCTGGCCTCAACTAGAGCCAGGGCTTTCTCGGCCGCGGCTCCAATCTGGTGGAACGCTCTGTCACAAGAGACTAGGGCCCTGCGGGACCTGACATCTTTCCGCAGGGCCTGCAAGACAGAGCTGTTCCACCAGGCCTTTGGTCAGGCTGCGCCCTGACCCCTCCTCGGGCAATCTGCACAGAATTTTGCTTAATGGTTGCCATCAATTTGATTTTAATTGATTTTAATTAATTTTATAATGAATGTTTTTAGAATGTTGGATTATTTTGATTGTTGTTAGCCGCCCTGAGCCCTGGGGAGGGCGGGATATAAATAAAAATTTATTATTATTATTATTATTATTATTATTATTATTATTATTATTATTGTTATTGTTATTATTTTGTATGTCTCACTCCTTGACAGTCCATTCCATCTTTTCTCATGCCTGCCTATTGATGCAGGCTCTGGCTGGTAGAGTTTCCCTTTCCTGCTGCAGCTCCCTGTGCCTCCACAACTAAGTTGGGCCATCCTCTGGAGCTGTGTAGCTGGTGGTATTGGGGCTGCAGGGGTGAGGAGAGATTGGTAGAAGCCGCAAATGCAATTTTCTCCAGTTGGAGCTTCTGCTGGCTTGGAACCATAGATACTTTGTAATTTATAGAAAGTTTGAAGATATAAATATATCTGATCAAGTTCCAGTAAACAATGTATAGGAAGCACAGCTGTGCTATGGATAGCTTCTTGTGACAGTTTCTTGTTCTAGCAATGCAGTAGTCCGCTAATATATATTCTGCATTTATTTATTGTTTCTCAGTTATTATTTCTGAAACCATAGGCTGTCTTCACAAAGACAGCTGCAGTTACCAGCAGCTGTTAGCATAGATCAATAATATAGTTCACCACTAAGGGGCGCAAGCATTCAGCAATTTTGTAAACATTTCTAGATGCAGTTGTGTAATCTGTTTTGCAGAATTTACTCTTGCAAAACAAGTTTTGTATATTATTTTATTAGCATTCTCAAATCAAACATTATTCTGATTTTGCATACATCTCAGCATGGCAATAGAAGCTGTTTAAAGCTTCTCCCAGCCCAGTATGTAAGAAAAACAACAAACAGTGACATTAGTTTTAAAATGACATTTTCTTCCGAATTCTGGTTTGGCTTCCTAGCTATCATTTAATTAAACAAGTTGTGTTTTCCTTCCATAACCAGGTTGAGGTTCATATCAAATGTTTTCATTGTAGTTATTTTGATGCCAGACGTTCTTGTAGGAAACTGATTTTGTAGATCCATTTCAGTCAGGGTTTAGGTCTGCTTTTGGCACAGAAAGAGCTTTGGTCACCCTGTATGATGAACTCTGTTAGGAGAAAGACAGTTTTCCTTGACCTCTCAGTGGCTTTCAATACTGTTGACCATGGTATCCTTCTAGCGTGGCTGTCGAAGTTAGGGTGGGTGTCACTCCTTTATGGTGATTCCCATCCTACTTGGATAGTCGTTTCCAGAGGGTGATGCTTGGGAAGTACCAAGACCCATCTTCAGACCCGGGGAGCCTTCAATGTGAGGTTCCTTCAGGGTTCGTTTTTATCCTCCATGCTGTTTAATATTTACATAAAGCTGCTGAGTGGGGCTATCTGGAGGTTTGGAGTATGTTGTGAGCAAAGAGCTGATGACACACAGCTCTCCTCCTCCTTTCTATCTGCAGGTGTGGCAGTGGATGTGCTGGACCACTGCCTTACCTCAGTAATGGACTGGATGAGAGCCAACAAACTGAAGCTCAATTCAGATAAGACTGAGGCATTGTTAGTGGGAGGTTCCTAGATGGATGGGAGGTTGCCTGCTCTTAATGGGGTTACACTCCCTCTGAAGGAACAGGTACACAGCATGGGGCTACTTCTGGATCCTTTGAGGCTCAGGTGGGCTCGGTAGTGCAGAGTGCCTTCTGTCAGCTACAGCTGGTGGTTCAGCTACGCCCCAGATAACTACTGTTGCCTATGCTCTGGTATCCTCTAGGTTAGATTATTGCAGCACGTTATACGTAGGGCTGCCTCTGAAGATGGTTTGGAAACTTTGGCTGGTGCAGAATTCAGCACCCAGGGTGCTCACCAGGGCAAGGCAGTTTGAGCATATTACACCTATCCTGGCTCAACTGCACTGGCTGCCAATTAGTTTCTGGGCCCAATTCAAAGTGATGTTTTTCACCTATAAATCCTTAAACAGCTCAGGACCACAATGCTTCAAAGACCACCTCTCCCCATATGAACTGACCCAGACCCTGCAATCGTCATCCAAGGCCCTTATTCATGTGCCTCCTCCGTGAGAGGTCTGGAGGGCAGCAACACAAGAAAGAGCCTTTCCTGTGGTAGCTGCCTGTTTGTGCAATGCTCACCCCAGGGAGGCTCGCCTGGTGCCTTCATTACTTATCCTTAGGCACCAGATGAAAACACTTCTCTGTAACCAGGCCTTTGGCTGATTAAACATTATATGGCCTTTAAATGTGTTTGTGGGAGGGGGATTATTGGTTTGGTTTGGTTTGGTTTTGTTATGTAATTTGTTTTTGCATTTCACATTTTTATGTTGTGAAACACCCTGTGATCTTCAGATGAAGGGTGGCATACAGATTTAATAAATAAATAGTTATACCAACCACGAACAGGAAATATTGCGCCAAACCACTAGGACGTAGATAGAGCGCAATGACTCCAGCAAGTGAGTTAAGAGATACAGTACGGCTGAGAGTGAAGCATCCAGAGATACTTGCCAATCAGCTGTCAGAGAAGATTCCTCCATACCACTAAACAAAGTGATCAGCCTAACCCTTAAGTGACTTAAATCCCCTCTTCCAAGGTTCCCCAACGGCTGTTTTGTGCCACAGCAGCTCAAGCCTTTGAGGGTCCTTAAATATATTTTGATTCCTCCCCTCTTAGATTAAGAGCTCTGTTGTGTCTAAAAATCAGCCTATTAATCAGGCACATCCTTTGTCTCCTTTGTGCATATGTCTTGAAGCATGGGCTACAATCCCAACCCATCACCATCAGCCAGAGTTTTAATGCTGGCATCAGATTGCTGTAAGTGTAAATTAAAACAAAATACACCGTATTGATTAAACAAACAAACAAACCCTGATGCTTCCCGTTTGTGTGTTTTGTATAAATATTCAAATGTTCTTTTAACCAGGGTTGACTGCGTGTCTCTTAATTTATTTGGAGAAGTAAATGAGCAGCAGCATTCTGTGCTCTTTGGTTCCTGCTTTAGCATTACGGTTGGTTTTGCACAGCAGAAGTGAAGTATCTGAGGACACTGTCAATCCATTGGTTAGCAGCTTAGGCAGAACATTCTGAGGTTAATCTTTCAAAAACAGTTCTGGAGGTGAGCCTATTAATACAGATAGTTACCACTCGCTAGGCATGGGGATGTCTCATTTTCCGAGAGGCAGTATGTCGCTGGTACTACACACGGGGTTAGGAACACAACAGAGCCAGTGAAATCAAACGAGATGTTGGGCTTTCATTTGTGGGACATGCTGAAACAAGGCTGCCACATGCTGTGCCCGTTTCGTTACTGAAGTTCAGCATCCTAAGAAAGACGTGCACAGTACAGAGTCCAGCTACGCATCCCTATCAGGGGTTTTAAATGGTTTGTTCTGAATTGCAGCACAACCTTCACTCCAACACAACACTCCCCTTCACTGGAGGTTTTTAAGCAGAGGTTGTTTTAATGGCCAGCTGTCATGGACGCCTTAGCTGAGATTCTGCTAGGTGACTCTCAAGTGTGCCTTGCAACTCTGCAATTCTATGATTCTGTGGCAACCTGCTTTTGGAAAACCTGGGGAAGTTTCAACAGGTTAAAACGTGGCATAAAGTGGGGTTGGAGAGGTGGGGAGAATTAACAAAAATAATTTAAAACACACAAAGGAGTCACCAGGATCAGGAACATCAGTGCCAGTACCCAGGGGAGGTCTGGGATGAGTTGGCACACTGCTGTTACCCCCGTGGTGCCGAGAAGGGCATGTGGGTCTGCAAGGGGCTTCCCCTCAAGGAAAAGCCCTTGCAAATCCTCCCCACCCTGCTGGGTGAGAGGTGAAGCATTCTGTGCAGCTGGGCCACCCACCCTGCTCCACTCCTAGGGGTGGGGGAGACCAGCGGCAAAGCTGGACAGCAGAACGTGGTTCCACCATGGCCCCACCAAAGCCATGGCCCCACCCCTTGCCTGGGGTGCTTCTCTGGTGGCAGTGGGGTGGGCTGGGTGACTGTGGGAACACCCCCTGGGGTAGCTGCTTCACCCCGCCTCATCAGTGGGCTGGCTCTGCCAGTATCCATCCCAGTAATAAGCGGCATGGAGAAGCAAGAGTGGAAGCTCTCCCAGAAGTGGGTTTAGGGCAACACAACTGGTTCAGTTGCACTGGGCGTGGAGCCTCAGGGCCGCTGCAACCATGGTTTAGAATGCAGGATGAAAAACAGGGTGTTGCACAGGGCGCCACTGAAATTTGAGACCCCACAGTCCACTACTGCTCCAGCTACCACCACCTCTGAAGCTGCACTGGCTCACACTGGCCCGAGCAGAAGGTGGGAGGGCAGGTTCCTTTTCTTTTTGTTATTCTTCCCCTGGGGTTAGGCCCCCTGGGGATCCACCTCCCCATGCTTTATAATGTTCCAGTTTGGGGTTTGTCACTGGTGGGAACTTGACTCCTTCCTAGGCATAGCAAGGGCTTCTGTCATGGGGCAGCCCCCACCCCCCACACAGCAGAGTTCTTTTCTAACACCCCTCCAGCCATTGAAATAGGCATGCTGGTTTAGGATTGTGCACTAATGGAATGATTTCAATATATTACTCATATTTCTCAATGTCTTAGATTTTGGACCATAGAACTGTATGGGTATGGCATTCCAGGACCATCAAATAATTACGTAGAACCAAGGAAACAGTGTTATTGCACTTGCTTGCTCTTGCAATATATTATTTTTCTTCCCTTGCCTATGCAAAGTGCTGGAGAGTGTATCTGATTTACACTAACCTAATCTTCATTGTAAATACCGCATGATGTTATAATAATAATAACATTTCCCCAGCCACTCTGGGCGGCTCACAGCATATATCGAAACATATTGAAACCTTAAACATTAAAAACTTCCTGATACAGGGCTGCCTTCAGATGTCTTCTAAAAGTCAGGTAGTTGTTTATTTCCTTGACATCTGAAGGGAGAGTGTTCCACAGGGAGGGTGCCACTACTGAGAAGGCCCTCTTGTTAAATAAACCTAGTAGTAGTTTCCTTAACAGTTAACTTAATTGTTAGCAACTTACCTGGGGAGAGATAAATTTAGTGCGGTTTTCTGTTTTGCCTGCTTTCTAGGTCAGTTTTCCTGTGGAAGTAAGCACTGTGATGAGAAAGAAGGCTTGAAGAGTTGGGAGGTGAATTTTGGTTATGTTGAGCATGGCGAAAAGAAAAACGCACTTGTTAAATTAAGTGAGTTCTAACAGTGAGCTTTGATTTTTATTTTTATTTAACAATACACTGCTTAATTTTAAGAAAACCTCAAAGTGGTTTAGTCGGCTAATTATAAATGGATCTGGCCAGCTGAATTATTACTGTTGATGCTCACTCGGGGTAGAAAATTACATTAGGACTTTTATAAACCCCATTACAGGATTTTTTAAAGTACAGAGTTCACAAAAGGGGAGTGCAGTCTGGATCCATTCCAAACCAGCTGATTTCTGTAGAATGTGGATTGTTTGGCTTTGCTGTAAACCACCTTCTGCAGCAAAAGAGGAGGTGAGCAGGGAGCAAATGAGCCGAACCCTTTGCTCAGGCTCATCCCTCTAGTGGTTAAATTATGTCTTAGTGTTGTGTTCAAAGGCCACCAAAGATTTCTTTGGTTGAACAACAGGGTAGTCCAACACATATCTACTCAAAAGTAAGTCCCATTGAGTTTGGTTATGCTTACCCCAGCGTAGCACTAAGTGGGGCATGCACACAAGGAACAAGGTCTGCTCTTTCTATGAGACTTTCCCACTCTCTCCTCCCCCTGTGCGACTCCCCCATGTGCCCTAAACCTGTCCTGGGGGTCCCAGCAACGCTCCAGAGGACATTTGGGCAGTGCGGATGGGAGGAGAGTGAGGAAATTCCTTCTGTGCGGGCAGACCTCATTCCACACGCACACACAACAACTTAGTTGAAAACCTCCACGAGTGTTTTTTAATAATGCGTTTCCGATTTATTTATTAAAAGGCAGAATTAGTGCTGACGGTTTTGATTAGTGTGCAGCATGTGTGACATGCTAGACATGGCAATCTTACAAAAACTGAGGATATGGGTATAATTGATGTTAGATGTAAAATTTATGGGGATAATTTAATTCCTCTACATTTAATTCTTCTTTTTCCCCTCTTTTTTAAGGGCTTTGTCCCGAATGCTCTTACAAATTAAACTTTCACCACAGGTAACGAAAGTACAGTCTTTGTATATATATATGGGTATATTGAGTTGTATGCACAATGCTATGTCGGCAGGGTTATGTTTCGTCTCCTCCCCTTGGTGTATTTGCAACATTGCAGGGGATCGGACTTGATGACCTTTGGGGTCACGCCCAATTTTACAATTCTATGATTCCATGATCTGCTCCAGTGAGTTCCCCAACAGATGTTTGCCACAACCTGAAATTATCTTCCTCTCCCAAGCAACTGTTTCCAGCTTTTCCAAAACTGAAATCTCAGCTGTTGGATTGGGGAGCAGAGCCTTTGCTCTTTGCTAGTCCAGCTAGGAATATACACATATGGAAATCTGCTTGTGTATGCGTAAAGTCCCCTCATGCCCTATGCCGCCTAGGACCCACATACCTACGGGACCGCCTCTCCTGGTATGCCCTGCGGAGGACCTTAAGGTCCACAAATGACAACATTTTGGAGGTCCCGAGCTGCAAGGTGGTTAGATTGGTCTCAACTAGGGCCAGGGCCTTTTCAGTACTGGCCCCAACTTGGTGGAATGCTCTGTCACAACTAGGGCCCTGCGGGACTTGACATCTTTCCGCAAGGTCTGCAAGACAGAGCTGTTCCGCCTGGCCTTTGGTTTGGACTCAGTCTGACCATTATGTTTCCCTCCCCTTATGGTCTTGATTTATCGTCTACTTTTAAAATGAGGCTGCATTTTAAATTGCATTTTAACCTGTATTTTAAATTGGTCCCCCCCCCCCAATTATGTTTTTACTGTGATTTTATTGGTGTTATCCGTCCTGAGCCCAGATCTGGCCAGGGAGGGCGGGGCATAAATTATTATTATTATTATTATTATTATTGGATTGGGGAAACGTGTATGCATGTTTATTGACACTTCTTCTACTTTCCTGGTTCAAGAACTGATTGATAGCATTACACAGTTCTGGGGTTAAGCTTTGATTCAGGTTACACTCTGCACCTTTATGTTCAACTAAGATGTGGCCCTTTTTTGGAAGCAGCTGAGTTGGCTCAAACTTTTTCTCTTTTATTAGAGCATAAAGGAAACATCTTTTCTTACACAAAAAACATCCATGCTATGTTCAAATTGATCAGTTTCAAAACATCAAATTTACTGATTTTTTCAGGGTTGGCTGTTCAGGAATTATAAAGAGCCCTTCCCCACCCACCATATATTTCTGTAATACTTTTGTTGCTGGATAAACACATTGATAGAACTTTTAACACCCACTCCCTTTTATAAAGGAGGAAGGAAGTCACACCAACGAAAAAGAGAGCAAGCACAGAACAAAGCTCCAAAGCTTCAAAGAAAACAAGATTATCTTCACCTCACAGACACAAGCCAAAGAAAAGAAAGAGCCATAAAGGTAAAAGAAACCTTTATGCTTAAAGCAAGGTTGTTTTAAAATGTTAACATTCATAGTTGAATGTTTGACTCTACATGTACATTTCGTGGTTTGGAAAACCGCTAGCCGATTCGACTCAGGAGGATTTGTGTGCCTGTGGGATGCCAGATCACATCTGGTTGTGAGAGGAAAGGACAAACATGGGAGGAAGAGGGGAGCTGGGAAAATGCCTGGTCTATTTCCTACAGGTGGGAAGGTTTCCCAAGTAGGTTTGAAAGCAAATCTCTCTGTCCTGGGGTGCTTCTAACCTGACATTTCAAGCCAAACCTTGGTTTCAGGTGCTAAATTAAGATTATCTGTGTTTCATGTGGTCTGCAAATTACGGCTGAGGGTAGAAGGAGAATTTGTGCACAGGAGGCCTGGTGGAGGAAGCAGCCTGTTGTCCGATGAACTAGCCTTTATGTCGTCCTGGGTCACTATGTTTATGTTGGACATTTAGCAACATTTCATGGTAAACTCATTTGCTGAAAACTGACATTTAGGTATTAACCAAAAGCATTTGTTATATATTTGAGACTTACTAGTTAAAAACCATAATTATTATTTTTTAGCATTTCTCTCTGGCCTTATCAAATGCCAGGAATTGCTAGGTAGATGTTGAGTTTCTAACATGATATTTGTACATGTATTTTAATAACCAGACGTGTAACTAACATAAAATTCTAAAAATGTCTCTTTTCAGATCAGACATTCTTAGAAGAATCAGACGATTCTGACAAAGGTAACTAAATTGCAGGTGAAATCTTGATTTTTGGCTTAAAGGAGTGGTGGGCCCATTACCGCAGCCACATTCCTGTTGAGCATGTCAGTCAAAGTGGAGGAGAGGCAGGCAGGTCCCTGGGCCAGCCTGGAGCCTGGCCTCCTAAACGCTTGTGACCCAGATAGACACATGTTGCCCGTTCTGTAAAATGCCGGCAAGAAGCTCATGTTACCAGGAGATTTTCTACCCCAAGTAAGCATTAAGTGCCGTGCTCCAAATTCTTTCCTTTTTTAAAAAAAAGTACTTAGGTGCTGCCAGATGTACAAAGATGTGGATTGGGGGCTGCATTTTGAATACACATTCAAATGTCCATTCCACTGAACGCAATGCAGAGTTGATAGGTGGCAAGAAAGTACATTCTGATGCTAATGTGGAAGTGCAGAAAATTACAGTTTGTAATCCAGCAGCCGATAGGCTGTTGGGACCCAAACCACATTGGCTATTTAGTTGCATTGCATCTTTTGCCTTGTTTAAAAAAGATACTTTGTTTGGGATTAGGAAAAGAGGTGATAAACACAAGTCATTTAAACCTGCAAAAGTATTTGTTCCTCTTATGCCTTCATGCAGTTGGGCTGTAGCCCACAAAATCACATGCCAAAACTACCTGTTTAGGAAGAAAAGCACACCATGATTACAAAGGGATGAATTTTAAAGAGGAAAGGCTTGGTCAGTCTTTTTCACAATGTTGATATTGGAATATAAGCTAGCTAAATATAGTTGCAGCTTATCCATAAGCCTGTTGTTCCTAATTCTTCTCCTGTTTTATTATTTACAAAAAATAGATTGAGAATGTTACCTTCATTGGATTGTGAAAGACTTGTTATTGAAGAAAATGCTTTGAGATTATTATTTTTGTTGTTGTTGTTGTTGTTGTTGTTGTTGTTGTTGTTGTTGTTGTTATATTTACACCCCACCCATCTGGCTGGGTTTCCCCAGCCACTTTGGGCAGCTTACAAACATAGTTTAAAATGTGACATTCCTAAAATCATTTTAAATGCTACTCTTTCATTCACAGATTCTGTCAATAATGACGAGCAAGATGGTCCCTCAGATGCTGATTTTTGGAAGGGTCCGCCACAAGAAACTGAAGAGAAAACACGGTCAGTTTTTTAATGAGTAGCTGTTTGTTTTAAAACAATGGTGCTTATTTAAAATAAATATAATTATGTCATTTTTCCTCAAATTTGTAACAATTACAGTTAACCTTTATGGGCAGATGTCCTCCTTCAGTAAACGAAACAGAGAAGAGAACTCCTCTCTGTAAATTGCAGACTTATTTGGAGACTTTGTAAAATGAAATTTGCTCTGCCTCTAAAAGAGGGAAAGTGGCGGGCAAATCGCGTAGTCAAAAATCTATCAGCCAGGGCCAGTCATACAACAGGGTGAAGACAGACAGCACCAGCCTTAGAAGGAAGGTAACAATTGGTGTCTGGGAGGTTCAGGAAGACATTTTAAATGTGGGCAAGGATGCAGTTTGGGCCTCACTGCAGGCAGCACCATCCTTTGGGAACATTCCCCTTTGATTTCAATCTTCCCATAGGTTTCTCAGTTTTGTTTCAGCCATTTCACACATTTGAATGATCTAACAACCCTGGCATTACTGTTTGCGCACGTGTTATCTATTTGCAAGATTGGTACAGCACCTCTGCCATGCCACCATAAGTTGTAAGCATTTTTGTAAGCATATGTTTGCTTAACAATATGCCCCAATGGTGCAATGTTTTTGTTAGCACAGACCCTGCCCGTACACCTAAAAGGTGTACCACACCTTAGACTGAAAAATGTCCTTGTGAGTAAATGAAAATGACTGCATGCATGTCCGCCCCGTCCGCCCCCAGTGCTTCTTAATACCATTTGCTATTGTTTTACAGGGAAGAAGAATTTGATGAGTATTTTCAAGACTTATTTCTCTGAAATGTAATGTGGAAATCTGGAACTTCATGGATCATCAAAATCCGTAAATAAACATCAAGCTTCCAATTTCATACCTGACTTTTCTTTAAATATGGTTTTAATTGCATAAGAATTATCCAGCACAACATTTCTCCACAGGCTCACTTAGATATCTGGCATAAGATTGTGGTTTTTTTGCAGTAGTTTAACCTAAGAGATTATTTCCATGTGATATACTACATTCAAAAACTATGATAAGAGTCAGCATTCTCTGATGAACAGAGCAGCTGATTAATGTTCACTTTTTAAAAACAAACAAACACCAAACAAATATGCAGAGGCAATTTTGGGGCCTTTTATTGCTTTGTAGTTCTGCATTCCTCAGAACTTACCCAGCGTCACTGATACCTTCCTCTTCTTCCTCAGCGCTTCTGTTTTGACTCCAATCATATTAGCAGTCAGTTTGCTATTAAAGTTTGCTGTTAGAGGGAATGCTTAGGTTTGGTGATCAAAGGTGAGACTAGCATGAGCGCTTGTATGGCTAGCTATTTCTGAAGGATAGATACGTAAGACTGGGAACTAAGTTAACTGTCACATTTTGTTTTAATGAACGAGGGAGATGGCTTGCCTTGGGCAAAGGTACATGCGGCTTAAGCATTATCCATGATTTCTGATCCCCTTAGCAGTGAACGAACAGTAATCTTCCTTTAGAATGTAATCCTGAGCATACAGCAAGACGAGAACACACAACCTTTCAGCCTGGTTCTTTCTCCCCTGTTCAAAGTACAACATATCTTAAATCCATTTTACCATATGCTTCTAATAAATAATATGCTCGAAAATAACTATCTTGTTTGGTCCCTGAGCAATGTGAAATAAGGTTTAAAAAGAAATTAGCATATTTTTGCATGACATTTACATTTAATTTTTGGGGGGGTGCGTGGAACAATTATATTTAAAGTAATGTGCTTATCATTTTGACAGTAGACAAATATGCCAGGTAATAAAAGACCAGAAGTTTTCAAAAAAATAACGCTAATTGAACATATTCACAATATATTCATGAACATGTTTTTACCCTGGTGTACAGCTTGAGTGAATATTGGAACATCTCTACACACATTTAATGTTATTTCATTATATTTTTCAGCATTCATGCACACAGAAGGAAGATAAATCATTAAGGGTGTCCTTGAATAGCAAAGAAAGGTAGCTGTCTGTGTGTGAAGGCTTCTTTTGGTAAGAAGGTGGATTTAAAGGTTAAATCTTTGCCTTCTTGTAAGTTTGGTTGGGAGCCAAATCCAATAAGCAACAATCAGCTTGCATCTGTGTAACATGTCTCTCAGGGCTTTGGAAGAGTCCACTACGATATCTGCTGCTTCAAACACTATGAAGTGTCCATTGTCGAGGTCCAGTTTTTCTTGTAGGTCTTTCCAGTGCAGTTATAAAAAATGGTCAGTACATATTTAATATGCTGTTTTTTGTTTTAATACAAAGTATATGATCAACAGCAACCTTAGTATCTCTTGCTTGTATCTATATTTAATACAGAAAAATAATAGAGTTATATATTTTTATGGCATTGTAAAAGTCTGCATAAAATATTTGGCCCAGTAATCAATAATCGAACAAATGATAAATTTTAATGAAGCACTGTATCATTGGGTTACTCTTGTATTCTGTATAGCTTTGACCCTTTTCAGAAACATTTTTGTAGCATGTTTAGAAGTTTATAGAAGCAGGTGCTGTACAGCTGTATTTGCATTTCTGCCCCTAAGGTATTTGCCACTATTTGGACGTATAAAAACAAAATGGCTGGCTTAGCGAAGCATCTGATACTAAAATGATCTGAGGATCATAGTCATAGCACAGTTGAAAAAATTGTTGCAGTTGTGTTTTAATTTCAGTAACCTAGTGCACAGCAGATAAAGATTTATCAATGAAAGATATTTCCTTTGCCCATAGTGATCAAGCATACTCTGAAAAGATTAATAGATATGGACTGGATGCTCAATGCTATGTAATGGCCAGAGTTTTCCATATACAACATCTGTATATGCACATGGAGTTAAAACTGTTAGCTTAACTTGCATGGTGGTTGAAGCTTTTTCGGAAACAAATGCCTGTGAGCTGCATTCAGGCTTTAAGATTTTGGCCAAAGTATTTACAACTGGGTTGAGAAGGGTTTTACATTGTCTACTGAGTGAGAATTAGTGCTTATTCAAGGACTGAGCTTGAGTTTTGTTGTGGGTTTGCTTTCAAGACAGATGTCCATTTATAAACTACCCTTGCTGATTTGAGCAAAAGAGGCTTGGCAAATCAGGCAAAGGCCCATCTAGTCTAACAGCCTGGTCTCACAGTAGCCAACCAAATGCCTATAAGAAGCCCACAAGCATGTCCAGCCACTGGTATACAGAGGCATAATGGCTCCTACAGGGGAGACAGAACATAGACATCTCGGCTAATAGCCATTGATAGCCTTATCCTCCAGCTAAGTGGATGGTCATCGTACATTGTGGGGAAATGAATTCCATATGCACTGAGTGAAAAAGTACTTTCTCTTGTCTATCTTGAATCTCCCAACATTCAGCATCATTGAATGGCCCCAAGTTCTAGTGTCATGACCAATAAAATTGCTGTGTTTGTGTGATTTGTTAGCAGATAGCCTGCCTTCTCACATACTTTTTACCACGCGATTCATTTTGTACCACAAAGCTATCATGGGAAGTGCCAAGTTATGTGGGAAGGGTATGGAAACGGGAATACTGGTGTGAAGATGAACGATATACAGCACGGGTTCCACCAACGTGGTCTTAGGTTTCAGATTGTATCTTTTCAGTGTGGGAAAGAGCCACACTACAGTAGCTCCCACACTGCAGAGGTGATTAGCAGAACACAAGAGTTTGTGTGTACATGAACCTTCCATTCATTTCAGTGGATCCAACAGATCCACATATGCAAAATAATGGGCAAAGATTTACTACCTCCTTTTAAGAATAGGGCAGGTCTTGTGGATGGGATTTCTCCCTATCTGCTCTGGAGTGGACTGAAGGCTGGTTGTGATCTCTGGGAAATTGGCAAGGTTGTCTGATTCTCAGATAACTGATAGCAGTAACTAACAGGTTCCCCCCCTCTGCAACACCTAAGTTAAGCTTCTGAAGCAAAGCCTGGGTGGGAGACCAAGAGTGAACAGAGGTGCCTTGTCATTATTTCTGAGCACTCGTCCTCCCTCTTGAACCACTATTTTGCATCTGGCTCTGGTTGGTGAACCTCGGCATGCTAGTAAAAGAAGCAAAGTTGATCCTGCAGGCCTTAAGACTGCTCACCTCTGCACTACAGCTCCTGCACCCATTGAAACTCTCTGGATCAAGGTGTATATATGCATGTGCAATAGGTCTGTTTATAGGCACAAATCTGATGCTGGAATTACAGCTACTAACATGACATCTGCTGCAACTTTATTTGTAACAGTACAGGGAAAAGAAGATAAATAATTCCAGATGAAAGGGCTAAACATAATATAAAACCTATTGTTCTCCATTACTAATTATGGGATTACAAGGTGTGCAATGTAGAGATGCTTATATGAAATTGACAGAAAATAGTGTAAAAATCCTGACAGTTCGCAGCTTTAATTCATTTAATAAAAAACATTCTGTATAAATTGAGGATGACAGCAACCCAAGAAATGAACCCATAATCCACTTGTACAAATTAATCTCTGATTATATTTCATCCATTCGTCGTGATTTTTTTTCAGTTTCCTCCCAATGCTGTCACTGTTGATTCCACTGGAAATGGCAGACAAGTAAGGACTGGACTGTATGCTACTTTATGTTTCAGAGAAATCCCCAGGCTCACTGAAGATCTTCCTAGATTTCTTCCACTGTAGCAGAAATATTGTCCTTGATGTTTTTTTAGTGCCATTGAAGTCAGTTATAAAATTGTACATGTTTTTGATTTGCCCTCTTCTCCTCCACCTCCTCCTCCTCCACCACCACCGCCGCCGCCTCCTGCTGCTGCTGCTTCAGCTAATAAAAAGCAGAAAGCAAAGGGTTATTGAGGTGATGTGTGTGTGTTTTAATAGTGTTCATTAGATATTTTACAGGTGTTTACTTTGTGGCATGAAAAGCACGTGTGTTTGGCCATTTTAAAGCTCAACACATTATCAGCAATTGTGCCATTTGATGAATAACCATTTAGCAACTTGATGACTAATAACCAAATATTATTCACCTAAGGTATGGCACAAAATATGAAAACTTTTCAAAGGACAAACACACACTGAACCACTCTTCCTGGAAAGTTTCAGCAACTAGGTATACTTAACTGCATTGACAAAACTGTAGCGGATGAAAGGTCTTCGGACAGAAAATTAAATCATAGGTCGATATAATCTTCCAAACTCTTTGGGAGGAAAAAATGTGGACTTTTTTTATCCTAAATACAGATGACATGGGGGGGACGCAAGAACTTTTATTGAATCTCAAAATCAAACCCTAAAACTACTTTTTCTATTGCTTCCAACGTCTTTCAAATGATTCCACAGGTTTTAATTTTTCAGAGTTTTTCTTTTTGTAGTAAAGCAAATTGTTGCTTTCTGGTTCATGTAAATTAACATAGCAACATTAGAATGAAAACTTACATTTGAAAGCTGTGGATCACCATGCTATTAGGTTATTTTCGACCCTTTCCACCTGCATTGAAACACGTCACATGATCAGTGGCCTAGCCTCTAGAATGTTTACCTATAATTAACAGCATGATATTCAAAATATTGATCTTAATTTTTGTAATATCTCATATCATCCTGTTTATTTTCTATTCTGAACTTTCCACTGTAGTGGTTCAGCAAATAAAATTTCTTTTTATTTTGAAAGGCAAGCATTCAAGGCAGCATCACAACCAGGTGGTCCAAAGATATGAGTGTAATCCAAATCATATATTGAACTCTAATGGCAAGCCTACCTAATGTTTCAGGATTGCACTGTTGTATCAGTGAAGTATCTGAATGGTCCTTACATGCCTATATACAAAACTGAAGTGTTTCTACTACTCTACAATTTTTAGACCATTGATCTCTTTTTATAAAGACACTGATTTTGTAAGCTTACTGTTTCACTGTAACACTGTAATGACCAATAATAATACTTGAATATTGTAAAGACTATTTTAAATACATCCTGCCAAAAATAATATTTTCATAGCTTTTAGAGGAGCAATCTTTCCATATTACCTTGTCTTCACCCACTTTTAAAAGATGCTTTTTAAAGGCGGCTTTTCTTTTTGAAATTAAAATTAGCAGATCAGAGGACCAAGGACCCAAAGCACTTTCCCAAACACATCCACATTTTTCACAGGAAGAGAAAAGGCAAAAGCATCTCATCATTTAAAAGAAAAAATGAATTGTGTAGGGTGCCAATTTCTATGTTCTTACAAACCAACTTAGCTATTGGCCCTGATGTAGCCCTAGCTATGTATCTACAAGGTATTACCACATACCTTGTTGCATACAGTGGTATCTCGCAAGACGAATGCCTCGCAAGACAAAAAACTCGCTAGACGAAAGGGTTTTTTGTTTTTTGAGCTGCTTCGCAAGACGATTTTCGCTATGGGCTTGCTTCGCAAGACGGAAACGTCTTGCAAGTTTGTTTCCTTTTCTTAACACCGTTAATACAGTTGCGACTTGACTTCGAGGAGCAACTCATAGAACGCGGTGTGGTAGCCTTTTTTGAGGTTTTTAAAGACTTTGGTGATTTTTGAAGCTTTTCCAAAACTTTCCCGACACCGTGCTTCGCAAGATGAAAAAAATCGCAAGACAAAACTCGCGGAACGAATTAATTTCGTCTTGCGAGGCATCACTGTACAAATATGTACATGCACAATGGAATGCACTTTGGAATATGCATCTTATTCAAGGCAGTCAAGTACAGATGAATAGACTTTTTCACTTGCACCCGATCCTATACTCTTAGTTCCAGATCTAAGTGGTAAGCCTGTTTATTTATGCAGATCTCCTTAGCAGGATTGGGCTGACTGTTTTTATGAGTCTTGCTAATAACTTCGAAAATATCGAGTCCAGAAGGCAAACATGAATGTGAACTTTTCGTTGCAGCTGAAGTAACAGATACAACAACATTTTCTATTGTTTTTGGCAAGGATACTATTTGTTTTGGACTCAGGTTTGTGCAAGGAACAGCATGAAAATAAAGTATTGTATCCTCATAGGGAACAAGGCATTTTTAAAAAGTTATGAAAGCATCACAAGATGAAGTCGATTCAGTTGCTCATGCCATTTTCCTTTTCCTTCTGCCAAGACTCACTTCTTAAACTTAGGCTAGAAATAGATGTCTAGTTCAACAGATAACAACACCAGTTGATTTCTCTAGTGTGTAAAGGGAGATTTTGCTAAGGATTTTCAAACTGGCAATTAATGCTACTGTGACTCTTCCACTTTCCCCACTAACAGCTCAATCATGTACATATCTGCTCGGAGAAGTAAGTTCCACTGAGTTCAATGAGGCTTCCTCTGAGGTAAGTGGATATCAGATTGCAGCCTATACAGCAGCTAATGACATGGTAGGGCAGAGGCACTTAGGCAACCTCTGAGCGCATAAAATAGATTGAAGACACACACACACACACACACACACTGGACAATTCTCTTCCTTCTCCTTCTCCACGCAGGTGCTTTCTTCTCTGCTGAAACGCTTAGGGGAACTCATGGTGGGAGGGAGAGTGTACTACCTTTGCCCCTGCACTGCGGGCTTTCTCTGCTGGCTTCCTCCTGCACACTACATTTGGCAGGACTGGTCTGGTATACTCTCTCTACAACGGAGTGCTCATCTAGCATTTGCAGTGGCACCACAGTTTCCAGTGACCTCCATTCTCAGGAAATCAAACCTGAGGTTTGCCTGGCACTCCTGAAATCTCTTACCACTCAGAGACTGGGTCACATGTAACACAGGTGTTTGACTTGCGATTGTGCTTCCTGGAAGACGAACTCTGAGCAAAAGGTGTACTGAGCTAAGATGGTGAGAGTAAGCACCAGACGACTTGGTGTTCCAGCAGCAAAACCAGAGGTTTCTTCTATTCACAGAAGGGTTAGGGTCCCACTAATGGCTTCTGCTCATGAAAGCTGCAGAGGAGATGACTTTCAACCAAGTCTACCTTCCTTCTGCCACCTTCCATGGTGTTCCAGAGCCCCTAACGCACTCTGGAACACATTTTATGGGGTGGAAGGAGGGGTAGCAAGCAGAAAAGGGAACCGTTGAAAATTGCCTCTCTCCCCTTCTGTGAGTCAAAGGTTTCATTTGCAGAGCTCAGCTCATGGAATCTCTTAATCCAGCCCATTCCATCCCTACTTACCACTAAGTGCTGATCAGCAGACTTTAGCCTTGAATGCCAAATCCAGCCAAAGTTACCCAAATTGCACAAGCATGTGCATGCATGTAGGAACACATTTTTATATGCCTAACCTTTCTTGGCAGCTTCTTCCTCCTGCCTTTTCTTTTCTTCCTCAATCTTCTTCATCTTTTCTTCATACACGTCAGCTCGCGACTTCCATTCCACCCGGTTGTTTTGAAGACCATCAAACATAGGCGTAATTTCCTTGTGGAACCTCGAGAATTCCTAAGTAAACAGTGCAGATCCATAAACTGACCTTTCATGGTGAAATGGTGCATCTACAGTGGTAACAGACATTTCTGACATGTGCAGACTAAAGATGGCCATTAGCTGGCAAGCTGCGGCGACAAACATATTTATCTCAGGGCAGAACTAAGTTGGCTAGCAGGAAGGTTTCTGATGCGCAATGCCAGGATAAGGTAGCATTTGTCAAAAATAAGCGGTTGATGGGCAGAAGGGGTTTAATTCCCCCAGCCTGGCTTATAAACTTGATTTCCCAGTCAAATGAGGGAAAGTGTTGGGTTTTCCCCTGTAAATGCCCCAAGAGGCAAATTTGTGATTAGAAATCATGCACTTGCTGATGAAAATCTAATTCTGTCCTTAGTGTATGTATACGATAAGAATGGTGCTATTTACATTGAAAGGAAACTTTTAAAAGTAGGGAGGATCAGACATCCTGATCCAGTAGGAGATGTTTTAGGAGACTCAACAGTTCAAAACATGCACAATTGTAACCATTTAACATACATATTTGACTCTTATAATTCCTTATGTCTAAAAATGTAGGTATACATTGTAAAAACTGAATAATATGACACTCAAATTATTCGTCTTACCTTGTATACAAAAGTACACACAAAATCAATGAAACCAACTTGAAGCTTGGGCAGTTCTTCACCTTTGTTCCTGTCCATCATAGGCTAAAAAAATGAATGAAGCAGATATAGTCAGTTGAAATACTTGGAAGTCTTTGTTTTTAAAACAAAACAATATAATAGATAATATAATTACAACGAAACACTTACAATTGGCTGTTGCTGTAGGACAGTTCGTTCAAGATCACCTTGCTCCCAGAATTCATTTGCAACCATGATGGCAACCTAGGAATGAATAATGGCTTCTATTGAAAGATTCAAGATTAAACAGCAGTTGTAACCTAAAACAGTATTCAACCTGTTCCACAGAAAACGTAGCAGAAGAATGTGTTTTTGCCATCATAGTAATAACTCTTTAAAAATGACCAATAAGATATATTTGCCACACATTCTGATCGTTTTGGAATATCACAAACATGTCCTGAATCCAACTCGGAATTGAAATGTATCACAGCAAAGAAGGTGGGAATGCATTCTACAAGTATTTAATATGTTATTCCAGTATCTATAGCTGGAAATGAATGGTATGCTGTCTACTCGCTACCCTCTGGAACTCACTAACTGATGGCATTCACTGCTGCAAGAGATGGTTATGGCCAATGATTTAGATGGCTCTAAAACACGGGTGTCAAACACAAGGTCCGCGGGCCGAATCCGGCCCGCCAGACCTCGTCATGTGGCCCGTGTAGCCGCTGGCGGCCGCCAGCCTTCACCTTTTATTCTCGCTTTTCTTTTTTTTTGACACAAGAAAGCCGCCTCTTCAGCGCATGCGCGGCAGCCTACAAGCCAGAGAACGTCTGCCCTCTAGCGGCGCCGGCTGTTCTACACAGGAAACCTCCACTTTACATGCATTCAGGAAACCTCCACTTGTTTTTATATTGAGCGCATGCCATCCTGTGATGTGACAGATCCAACGGCTGCCTGAACCCTTCTCTCCTGTACTGTAAGTACATATGATGTATGTGGGGGGGGAGGGGGGTCTGCTTATTAGGGGGGGTCTGCTTATTATTCTGCTTAAAAGTCTGAGCGGTAAACTTTGGATATACTGACCACTTCCGTGTCACTTTACAGTGGTATAGGGACCATAAACTACAATCAAATAACCCAAAAATGTCCAAGAAAAGAAAAGTTGATGCAGAGGGAAGGCAATTTCAGGAGAGATGGGAAAGTGAATACATGTTTGTGATTAATGGAGACAAGCCGGTATGTCTTATTTGCTATGAGGCAGTGGCAGTGATGAAGGAATACAATTTATGCCGGCACTTTGAGACCAAACATGGAGCCAAATTCGCTAACCTTAGCCACCAGGAAAAGCAACAAAAGGTCCAAGAATTAAAAGGTAGCCTGCATTCTCAACGGAATATTTTTGCAAAAATGACAGCAAAAAATGATGCAGCAGTGAAAGCCAGCTAAACGATGTCAGCCATCTAGTCAGAAAAGTTAAAAAAAAGTTAATGCCTTGTGTTTGCCATATGTGTAATAAACAGTGTTTGGCAATATTTGTATGTTAAAAAAAAAAAAACAACTGTCTGTTACCAAAAATCATTTTTCAATAACTTGAATATCTACTTGCCATTATTCTGACTATGTTTCTGCTTTCAGAGCTAGTTATTACTTACATTATTACAAAAAACAGTAATAATTGAATGCAGTGACAATAATTTATGATAATAAAGAGTGGACACATAGTCCTACAGATACAACCGGCCTTTTGAGGGTGACTAAACTGCTGATGCGGCCCCCGATGAATTTGAGTTTGACACCCCTGCTCTAAAATATTATCAAACCTGAATGATTGGCCTTAGCTCAGAGCCAGAGCCTACATCTGTCTGAACACCAGTTGCTTGGGATGGCAAAGACCATCTGCTTGAGGGCTTTGCAGAGTGCTTGGGCCATACGGACCCTTGGTCTGATCTGCTCTTCTGAACTTCTTAAAGCTGTTGAATTCCTGTTTTATTATTGTTATGGTAAGCTCGTTTTGGAAAAAGAATAGGGAACAAATCTGGAAATCAATAAACATCTTCACATGCTTCAGCATCAAACATATATCTAGATATTACTGAAATAAAAGCCTCATGTATTTTCTCTCAATAAAAATTACGTCAAACTTGATTCTGAAGATGCTCACCTTACTCTGCACCTCCCATGGTTTGGTGATAGCAGACAAGTCACAGCCAGTCATCATCATCGCCCTTTAAATAAAGATAATAGATTTATAGCAGGAGGAAAAACAGTACTAGCCTTAGTGGAGGAAGGATAAAATGAAATTGACCTACATTATTACTTCCTTTTTGGTCGGGTCCATAGATATATATTTAATTGCTTCCTCTTCTTTTTCCATCTTTTCAATTGCATCCACAATCTTTTGAAACATAGTCCTTTTCCTGTGGAAATATGGTGACTTTTACAATGCACGCATGGTCCCTTTTACAGCCTACTTGGGAATTTTACTGTCCTGGAGCCCAACATGGGCCTCTGAAATGGAATTATGAGGCCCAACAACAAGAAACCCTGATGGATATTAGGCACTAAATTACGTTGGGTTTGTAATTGCAGTAATGACCTAATGGACTAACCCTGTCAGGTAAACCTTTGCTAAGATTAACAATGGAATCACATTATCATCACTTTTCAGGTCCTTTAGTTTAAATATGCACCAATATGTACACAGTGTACAGGGTATCTGACTAGTTTTTTCCCCCCACATGATGAGACACAGACAAAAAATCATTCCATACATAAATGCATTTATTTTTTACATTGTTTATGTTTTTGCCTTTTTTGTTAAAGTAATACTTTAAAACATTTTTAATCTAGTAGGCTCAAAACATGAAAAACTACACAGAAAAAAGTTTTTAAAAATTATAAAATGGCCACAGTAGCTGCATTTTAAATTTTCATAAGAAGGAAGCATTATAGTAGAAAAGAATTTAGCACTTACTTGAAATATAAAGCCAAGTCAGTTGCTATGATTGCAACTTCAAATAAATGTAGAACAGTTTCATACTGGCGCTTATTTAGGTTCTGGAAGATGTTTAAACTCTGCAAGATTGAGATTTTTGCAAATCAATACAGCTTACAAAATTATTCCATGTGTATATGCTACTATATAATAATGCATCTACTTAAAGTAAACTGTCTTAGTATTTCCTAGTCATTCAAAATAAAAACAAAAACTAGGGATAGCAGTACTGTTGTGTATAAGTTGTGTATAAGAAGCTAATAACAGACTTTCTGGGCAAAATAAGTACAAATAAATAACCTGAACACAGACACAGACCTCATCTTGTAGCAAGGTTTTACTGTACTCTAGATGGTGTCTTTCTAAAATGGAAGAGCCATGAAGTCTTGCCAGTGGAGATGCTGACCTGATGAAACACAATTATATAGTGTAAAATATTCCACAGGGTGTATTTCTGAACCATGAACTTACATACTGTAGAGCTTATCCACGCTAATTTGCTTTTAATTAATAGGAAACTATTCTCATTCATAGAGTACCAACAACATGTCTTCCTGCTGGTCCATCCTGTTGTTATTGACTTCAACTTTCATATATGAAAGAGATAAGCTGAGCCCAGAGTTCAGCTGTCCCTCCTTGACTGATCTAGCTGATCACCATGAAGTAGCAGGCAACCGACAGTGTAGATCAGGGGTCAACAAACCTTTTCAGCAGGGGGCCGGTCCACTGTCCCTCAGACCTTGTGGAGGGCCAGACTACATTTTGAAAAAAATAATAAAAAATGAACTAATTCCTATGCCCCACAAATAACCCAGAGATGCATTTTAAATAAAAGGACACATTCTACTCATGTAAAAACACTGATTCCCGGACCGTCCATGGGCTGGATTTAGAAGGCGATTGGGCCGGATTCGGCCCCCGGGCCTTAGTTTGCCTACCCATGGTGTAGATATAAAGGAGGAGTGGAAGTGCGGGTGGTGGGTTCTTTGGGGTTGTGTTTTGTTTTTGCAATAAGTGGCTATCTGAACAAGAGGACCAATAAATGATGCATGTCACTCCCACCACAGCAAATGTATCCACTACTTAAGAACGTGCCTGGTTGGCCACTGCAGAAAAGAGGATTCTAGCCTAGATGCATATATGGTCTGATCCATTAGGCACTAAGTTGAACTGGCTGCTTTAGATAACGGCAATTTCTTTTCACCACCTCCAATCATGTTTCCTATTTTTAAGACAGTTGTTCCAGATGTATATGTCAACAGACCACTTACTTCATTTGATACAAGTTGTTGGTCCCTCTGTGATCAATGTCATGGCAAAAAGCTGCAGATACCATAGCAAAGGCTTCTAGGTCCGTATAATATTTCTTTATTCTACCTGTCTATAGAAAGAGAAGGGTTTTTAAAAAAAATAAATAAATAACGCATCTCTGCAGGTGTGTTACAAATGAAAAACAAATTTAGGCATAGATCCAGAGAAACAAAAGATACCATCAAAAGGGTGAACATGGTCTGCCCAACATTGAATCCATGCCGCCAGTTGTGGTAAGTGATATCGCGATAGCCTTTTCTCACAGTATACATCCACCTTGTAAGCACCTGTGGCAAATGAAACACACTTGATTCTCTGTACTTTTAAGTCTTGTAAACAAAATACAAAGTTATTTTGCCACAGCTATAAAATTGGTTGTACTATAATAAAGTTGAGATTAATCCTGATTTTGTGTCAGCGTAGCGTTAACAGAATACTAGACTACATACCCTCCAACATTTCTCCAATGAAAATAGGGACGTCCCATGCCATAGTGATAATTTTACAATTTATACCCCACACATGGTTGCCCCAGCCACTCTGGGCAGCTTCCAACATATATAACATCATAATAAAACATTAAACATTTTTTAAAAAAACTTCCCTATACAGGATTGCCTTCAGATGGCTCAGGGGGGTCAGATAATTCCATACCCTCCAACATTTCTCCAATGAAAACAGGGACATCCTAAGGAAAAGTGGGACATTCCAGGATCAAATCAGAAACTGGTACGGCATCTCTAAATCAGGAACATCCCTGGAAAATAGGGGCACTTGGAGGGTCTGGGACTGTGACCTGGGAGACCAGGGGTCAAGTCCCCTCTCAGCTTATCTTGGCCTGCAAGACCATATTGGGTAATCCGCCTCCACCCACCCTACGCTTGACATGATATAGGTAAAGGTTGGGCCTAAACAACCTCAGCCCAGTATACCTGAAGGAGTGTCTCCACCCCCATCATTCAGCCAGGACACTGAGGTCCTCCTCTGAGGGCCTTCTGATGGTTCCCTCACTGTGAGAAGTAAAGTTACAGGGAACCAGGCAGAGGGCCTTCTTGGTAGTGGCACCCTCCTTGTGGAACGCCCTCCCATCAGATGTCAAGGAAATAAAGAATTACACAACTTTTAGAAGACAGGGCTTTATAGGGAAGTTTTTAATGTTTGGTGTTTTATTGTGCTTTACATTTGCTAATATACAAATCATCCTCATCCTCATCATCAGAAAGAGTAGAGCTTTGTCAAAGCCCACTTAAGTAGTTTCCAAAGCACCAGACACCCAGCTGATGCAAAGGGAGGGCAATCCTGTTTGGTGACTGACTGATGCCAGTTATGAGGAGCAGCTGCATAAGATGGAGGGTGCCTGTGGGCCTGCCTATGACATAGAGTCAGGCCTACATTCCATATTGCCTCTTCTGTGTTGTGTTGCCGCCTATTCCTTGGCTTAGTTTGCATGATGAAATGGTGCATCCTGGCGCACCACAGCTGAATATATATACAAGAGCAGATCTGCCTCATATTTAGGACTATTAATGGCACGCTAAGTCTGCAAAGGTAATGCTATGTTCTTTGTTTCATATGGCACAGGCTTAGGGAAACAAGGCAAAATATATCTGACCTCTGCTGGTACTTTGAACTTTTCCACAACATTTATCTCAAAGAACATCCGTATCCCACACTTGATCAACTCATGTTCTGTAACGGGGAAGTCACTGAAACGAAATTCATAAAGTTCTACATCCTTTGGTTCAGGCAATTCCTCTTTCTGTTGGGAAAACCAAACAAAACCCCATCAGTTTGACATGTCACAAGGGATTAGGCGGAGATAATTTTTCTGTCTCCAGCTTCCGTGGGAGGGTTGCCATGCCAACACTTTGGAATCAAAACCACCATGAATATACAGATCTCTCATGTTTCAAGCAACAGTTCTAGAAAAATTAGCATTGCATACTAAGTTGCTTAATATCTCCAAATTATTTTTAAGGTGGGGAGGCGTATGTTTATGCATTGGTTAGATCCAGTTAGATTTGTCATCCAGTTAGATGCACTTAGATCACAGGGTATATATTGTTTAGATCAGACTGGCCCAAATTGTGACCCATCAGACTGAACATAGCTCACCAAAAAAAAAGCATTGTGGCTGCCAGGTGCTTGACTTTTAACCACCCCAGCCACCCTGCTTTTCTCTTTCTTTTTTGCTGTGCCAGGCAAAGGAGCAAATCTCGAAGGTTGAATGGGCTGCTAATGGCCACTGGTGGGCTATGTGCATCTTGGCGGGTCACAGGTTGGGCAGGCCTGGTTCTGGAGAATATTATTTTTTCCCCCTAAAGAGTTGAAGGTGGCATGATTATAGACAGATTGCGGCTTCTGGTGTGTATAATGATCCCACTTCCCCCTCTGGCTCAACAGGTTTTGCAGGTTTTCAAAACAGAATTGTTTCAAAAACCTACAAAACCTGTCTGATGATGAAAGGCAACAGTAGGCCAAAATACATGCGCATGAGTGTATGTTGTAGAATTTTTTTAAACTTTTGCACCACTTTGAATGTTCTTTCAAACTATTGTATGTCTCTAGCCTTAGACCAGGCATCCCCAACCTGCGGCCCTCCAGATGTTTTGGCCTACAACTCCCATGATCCCTAGCTAACAGGACCAGTGGTCAGGGATGATAGGAATTGTAATCCAAAACATCTGGAGGGCTGAAGGTTGAGGATGCCTGCCTTAGACTGTCAGGTATTATTTGGAGAGCGGTGCAGGTATTATTTGGAGAGCGGTTACCAGAGCAACAGCTGGAAAATCAGCCTAAGCTGGCAAAAGGGGATTCATGCCACAGTGGAAACTTGCACCTCTAGTGACAGAGACCGTGGAAGGAGCATCCTCATACTGCAAACCTGTTCCTTCAGAGGGACTACAACCCCATCCAGAACAGGGGGCGGGGACACTTGAATAGACAAACACGCTACAGAAAGCCTCTCTGTCTTATATGAATGGAGACTCAGCTTGTTGGCCTTCATACAGTCTGTTACTGTACTCAAGCACCAATGTAGCACTTATACTGATGGCATCTCAGCCCAAATCTCTGGGTGACCTTACTCAGTGGTTTCATGGTAGGTAATAAAAAAGCAAGGAACAAGACTTAGTCCCATGGAACACCACAGTATAAACGTTGTCGAGCTGACTAGTGGTTCCCCCAGTGTCATCATCTGAAATTGCCTGTTCAGGTAGGAACAGAACTGTAAAATTATACCTCCAGTTCTAAATCCAGATAGCCTAGCCAGAAGGATATCATGGTCCACTCCATAGCACTGGCGGAGGAAGAGGAGTGCGGGGGGAGCGCACCGCCCCCAGCAGCGCAATCCCGGTGGTGTGCCATCACGGGTGCCCCCCCGCCCGCACTGGGTGCCACGCCTCCAGGATGCGCGCCAGCCCCGCTCCCGCTTGCTCTCCACCTCCCTGGTGCCGAAGCATGAAGCTCCGCCACTGCTCCGTAGTATGAAAAGTCATTGAGAAGTCCAGGGGAATCCCTCTCCTGGCACTGGTCATTGGTTTGGGTGACCAAAATTGTTTCTGTACCAAATGCAGAATCTACTTATATTCTACAGTGGCCAATGGAACTGCTGTTTAGCACTGGGGATATTGAGTGCAAAACTCAATGACGAAAAGTATCTCAACATGCCTCCCTTTTTATTATTATCATTCTTTTCAAAGTAAGTAGGTTCCCTCTTCTATTTATTCTGATCCCAGGTCAAGGGCAAGAGCCAGTCACTTCTGGAGCAATGACAGTTTTAAGATTCAACGCCTGCTTTATCCCATTAGCAAGCTGGGATTCCAAGCTTTCTAATAGGATAAAGCCGTTGTATTTGGCAGTGCACGGGAGATCAGACCTTACATTTAGGTGCCCTTCTCTATCAGGAATTTGGCTGCATTATTTTCTAGAGCTTTTCAGCCCAATGTTTTCTCACATACAAGCTCAGTGGCGGGAAACATGGGACCCTGATTTTTAGTTTTCAACACACACACCTCACTATCCAGGCAAACAAGAGGTATTACCACAATTCAAGGGCTCAGGCAAAATAACACAAGGAGAACACAGATCAATGCCAGGGAGGGGTGTGATCTGGGGAGAATCCTGAAGGCCAGATAAAAAGGTCTGTAATTCAACTGGCCCCTGAGCCTGAGGATTCCCTCCAATGGCTTAATGAATCTCAGGGCACAACTCTTTGTTATAGAAGACTCCTAGTGAAAATGGCATTCTGTGTCAAGTCTATCCCCTGTTAATTTTTCTTCTCCCTATCCCATGATAGGATGCTGTGCATTTCATCACCTCTACTGTACATATGTGGTTGGCAGTGGTGCAGAAGCACATGATGCCATGAAAATCTGACATATATACATAACAAATACATGATACAAAATGAGAGAATGCTCAACATGTGGATTCCATTTTCAATAACAACCCAGTGTCTCCCTGCAGTACAGTCCTACCAAAGCATATACTATATGAAGTCACAGAGAGGCACACAGCTGTAGTAGGAAGCAGATGAGGACAAGAGAGGGCTCATTCTGCCATGCTGTGCAGTACATCAGTTGCATAAGCTGTAGACTTCTACCGGGGATGGAGAATTGCAGAGACATAACTAGTTCCCTGGTAGGTAACATCACCGAATAGTAGCAGTAGAAGTAATTAAAGCTATTTTTTCCAATCACAAGCCAAAGGGTGGGGATCACCCACATTCTCTCATCCTTTCCAACCCCAGCCTCTGCTAATCCAGACTAAATAGTGATACAAGCAGAGAGCAGGGATACCAAAGAATGTTCCCTGCTAAACAAGCCATTCCATGTGACTCTATCAAAGGAGTCTAGTTATACAAAAGAAAAACAGAAGGAAAAAACCACCCCAGAATTTCTTGCTAATTCACTGAGAATTAGCCATGTAAATATCTGACCAAGTGCATTTTAGAACAATCATTCCAAATGCGCTTTTTTTTTTTTTTTGCCTTGTAGATTCCCTAACTTTATTAGGTATATTGCATAGGGTACTGCTTTAAGGTCATGCACCCTAGTATGTAGATCCATGGAGATATGGTAGTTCCAATGAATTCATCAAACACCCCTGCAAATGCTTTCTTGGGCATGGTTCCTTCCCTCTATGCCAGAGCTCACAAAACTGCAGCAAAAGCCCAGTGTGAGCAAGAGCTATTCTTTGCTTGTTTATTCGTTAGACTTCATATCCCATGCTTCACCCTAAGTTCACAGGCTTGTTGCAACATCAAATCACATAAATCTAAACAAATAACATAAACAAAATTAAATCACTAAAACCTCTAGAACCAGTACCCAACGCTCATAATATTTATCATCTCTGAATAACAATATAAATTAACACGTACAACTAATGCATAAAGACTCAGTGAAATAATGGTGTTTTCTGCTGTTGCTGGACCTCAGCGCAGTAGCTTGCCTGATCTCAGCAGAAAGCTCATTGGAAAGCTGTAGCCCAGTTCCACTTAATTGGATCTCCCTTGATGATAGTACAGCTAATAGCACTTCCGCAGCCGAGCTGGGATCATGGGCAGGATAGTATTGGGAGAGGCGTTCTTTCATATAATCAGGTGTCTGTCCCCCCGCACCAAGCCATTTAGGGTTTTATATATAAGAGTCAACACCTTGAATGGGACTCGGTGACAGTGTTCCATGCTCCCATTTGTTGGTACCCATGCTGCATCATCTTTGAACCATCTTCAGGATGCACATAGAGTGCAATACAGTAGTCAATGTGGGTGTGGGTTACTGTGGCCAGGCTATTCCTGTACATGGTGAAGCAGGTGGAACTGGCAACAGGCATTCCATGCCCCTGCAACTACCTCAGCCTTCAGAGGAAAGACAGAATAGGAGTATCCTCAGACTCTGTACCTGATCCTCTGGGGACAGTCTAACACCATCCCAAACAAACAACAAACACCATGTCCCATATCAAATATAAGTATGCCTTTAGTTACTTACCAAAATTTTGATAAGTTGTTTCTCATCACAGTTCTCATCTATAACATCTAAGTTCAGTTTTTCTTTGTATTTCTAACATGGGGGGGAAAGCAAATAAAACCATTGAGTTCAGTTGATCTCACAAAAATGTCCAAACTTCATTTTTGTACAAAAATGTCCATACTACATTTTTGAACTCACACTCACCAATATGGTCTGAATTTCAGCCGCTGTTGCCTTTGTCTGATACATCAGCATTTCCTGAGCAATGTCTTTTCTGTTTTCAAGCTTATTCATTTTGTCATAGGTGTCGGTATTTAAAACAGACCATCCCAGGAACTGTGTAAGCATCTGAAACGGAGTAAATAAATATAAACATTTAGGTATTTCCATCTGCTCTGTGCAGCTGGGAAGGCACACACTCTGTGATAATGCAAAACACCTGTCTTTTATAGACACGTCTTCCACTAGCACTTGAGCATCACTAATTAGTGAACAAGTTATTTATCCACTACTTTGGATCAAACCCATTGGCATTATCTTTTATAGAAAATTATTACTTTTTATAGGAAATTTCTGTTGATAAAAGCAACAGTGACATCCAAGTCCTCACACTTATCATGACAATATATTAGATGCTCAGGATAGGTTGTATACATACCAACTACTTTCCCAAGATACTGAAGTGTAGTGTAACATGTTAGTATTTTATTTTTAAATTTCCAATTATGGTAAAACACCCTCCCTCCAGTGTCTGATTGTAGCCTGACAATGTCAAGCAACTTGGAGCGTACTTCAGTAAGCTGTTCATCATGCTCATCAAAGGGTTTGCCATCTTTCCTGTTGTAAAATGTAGCTACACCGACAATTTCTTCCTTCTTGTTGACAATAGGTAAAGATAAGACATTTTTAATAATCCACCCTGTCTCATCGAAAGCTTCTTTCTGCAGAAGAGAAAAAGAAAAGAAATTACATTACCACATACGTATTAAAGCACTATAATGCCTGTGTGAACACAATGGATGGATAGATCAGTCGACTTTCATCCCCTGTCAGTTTTGCATGTCGGGTGCCCTGTTTTTTGCAAATTAAACACACACAGAGAGAGAAAATTGACATTGAGATGTTTTTATTACTTGCTGCTCTGGACTCCTTTGGGCGGAAGATATAAATTTAATCAATCAATAAATGTAAATGGCACACTTTTTACTGTGCTATTCAATGAATTTTACCTTAAAATACTATTTCTTCTGGGCAATTATAAACACATAAGATACATGTTTTAGATCTGATTGGTTGCTACATTCCAACCCACGTATAATCTAAGACTGGCAAATTAGGTCAATTCACTTTAAAAAGCAGACCAAGAATTGTCTCATCCATCTCTAGTGCTGATGTATTATCTTAGCATTATTTACTTGTTAATGCAATAAACGAAAAGACACTACCTGAAAAGTGAAGTATTCATCTGCTGGTGCATTCATCATATTACAAATCTAGAGCGAGAGGGAGAGAAATACAATAAAAAGAAGCTGTGTCATTTAAATGTCAGATGTCAGCTGTTACAGGAGACAGGCCAAGTAGAGTATTTTTGCTTGCATCTTCTTGGGGGCACTTCTAGATGATGCTTCTACAGAGTGGGGGCTCCTGCTGTTATGGCTACAGACTTCTTCACATACACTGATCCTGGGTAAAGTAAACCTAAAGTAAATACCAGATATAATCTAAACTTTGGGTGAAATTTGTGCAAGGAAATCAGGATGAATGCCAAATAAGGAGGTCACCTAGAAGAGCCCTTACACATATATTTAGATTATTGTGAAACATACTGACATAAAGATTTAAACAAAATACACCTATACATATGGAATTGTATAAAAAAAACACCCCTGAAACTTACAAATCCATTTTCAGCAACGTAAGTTGGCAATCCGCTAGCAAGACACCAGTGATCCGGAGTAGGTGATCTTTGAAGAAGAGAATGAGATAAAATTGAGCACTTCCAAACCAGTACCAGATCTACAAACTGAAAGTTGACCAGTGACACCCATTAAGCTCTTCAGACTGTGGTGTTGGTGTGGGTGGGTGGGCTATAGAGGGTTTTTTTTAAAAAATGTTGTGGGTAATGAATCTGAGCGTTTGGGAGCAAGATTGGCATTAATAAAAATATATGGAAAGCGCCCCCTCACATATTCTTGTTCTCAGATTTGTCTCAAATAATTACATCCTCTGTGTATTCTGGTCTGTCTATCCCACCCCTCTACCCTTATCACCAAGAGAGAAGCTGCTCTCGTGGTCAGTGTCAAAGAGAGAGAAAAGGTGCTTTGTTTCATTTAAACAGAAACATCAGAAAGGTATTGCATGGTGCCCACAGCTGCCCTCACCTCAATCCCCCTCCCCAGATCTTAGGGCAAAAGCAGGCACTGAAAGGAAGAAACATCTTGGACTCTGGCTGAACCCCTAGTCTCTTCCCACTTCCCTCCCTTCCTCAAGTGGATGTTGCATAAGGGCTTAGTGAAGTGTAAGCCACAAGAGGAAGCCATTTGCTAAATTCTGGAGCCTGGGGGAGAAGGAAGGAAGAGCAAAAGGTAACAGAGCAGAGCAAAGCAATGTCCATGTTTTTATATGTACTGTAAGCCACCCATAGTGGCTGGGGAAACCCAGCCAGAAGGGCAGGGTATAAATATAATTATCATCACCATCATCAACATCCTTCCTATTTTCCCAGACCTGGGGCACAAAGAGCAGCAGCAGCAGTAGATACCTCTCCTTTTGCCTCGTTTTTCTCCACTTCCATCCGCCATACAAAGCCTCACTGACAGTCTTCTTTGCTACAGAGACTACGCTGATTTGCAAATGAAGGACGGAACACCATGGGGGGCCATAGGCAGCCACACCATATTGGCAACAGGACAACACAGCATGGCAGGCTATGGCCCACCAGCCTCTTCTAAATAGCAGAACCAAGCTAGGGCGGGATGCTGTTTTGCCACCCCACTAGCCTGCCACCCAGAGCAATTCCCCCCTCGTGCTCCCCCTCCCACGCAATCTGGGCCTGTTCCAAACACACTCTACTAATTACTATCTAACAAACTGGCAGGAAACACTCACGGAATGACTTTGATTTCTTCTTTTCCATGTAAGATGTAATCAATAATCTTATAAAAGTTGACTTCCTAAATGCAAAGGGAGAAAGAAATGTAAGAATCTGTCAATAGTATCCAGAAGTCTGTGATTTGGAGAGATGAAAGAATTGTACTCACTCGGCCATCGGGCGTTTTCGGTCCTTTGTAAGGCTCTGCTTCTCCCAGTTTAATTGGCCATTCATCATAGAATTCCTGGGAATAGTAACAGATGAATTAGCAAAATGTCCCTGAAAAATGGCACCAAGGATTGCGGGGGCGGGGGGGAGAGTTCATCTCTGATCTTGTGGCCAGTTAGGCTGCTTCAATCCCGCTGAAGTGGATTCGATTTACGTAGACTCACCATACACAAGATCATGTAGCCTTCCTGTAGCAGCAGCAGCAGCAACAATTGGGAAGTGGGGAGAGGGAAACAAACGGCATTTCGAGGAGGGGCATGCTTGTTCCACATTTATGAAAGAGAAATAATGCTCCCATCCAAAACATATTTTAGCTGAAGTAGTAACTCCTATTGATTTCTGACAGAGTTAACTTTCAAGTAAGCATGCTTAAGACCGCAGCTATATTTTAATGATGATTCGGTTACAATTTGTTTGTGCCTTTCCTTCAATTAAAGACGAGTGTGACAAGTGGGGGGCAAGGCAAGCTGCCTCTTCTCTGGCACCACCTCATTAGTCTTTTGTAAAAGTTTAGTTAGGTTAATTAGTTAGCTATAATAAATAGTAGTGACCTTCTCTTTGGTCATGTCCAGCAGACCAACAGAATATCTTTCACAGTTTAAGTATATTCGAATGGTGTACAGTGCTTTGTGAAACTGTCGCTCAATATCTGTAAGTTCTTCAAATACTTTGTTGGCAGACCACAAAAGCATCTATTTAAGAGAGAGAGAGAGAAAATGAGGAAACATTTAAAACTCTGACTGATGCAGGCTGAAGCATAAACGACAACACTGGCAAATCATGAGGAAATGTGTCACAATCAGTACATCCTTTTGCATTTTGGGGCACATTATGAAACCATAAGCAGCAGCAAGAAAAATAAGTAACGGGACTTTCACTGACTTCACATTTAATTAAGTAAGATGTAATACTTTACCTGACTTTTTCTGGATTCAATATTGTACAAGTATGCCGTGTGATACTGCTTTACAGCAAGTGCAAGGAAATTAATGTATTTGTTAAATAGCTGCAAAGGAAAGAGAGAGAGAGAGAATAACAATTATCATGGGCATGATCCAAACAAAGTTAAGTGCTTCAAGTTCCATTTATTTCAATGACACACTTAAGCAGAAAGATGTCTTACTGCTACTGAAGTCAATGGGCCTTCACAGCGCTTTGGTGGGATTGTGGCTCATAATGGGTTTTTTTTTTACTTGCACTGCATTCTTCCTTGGAAAGGCAAACAGCTTACACAAGGCTCCTAGCTTTCTCCTATCCAGATCTTTACCCACTAAGGCTGAAATCCTATATCCTCTTACCTGGAAGTAAGCTCCACTGAACTCACTGGGACTTACTTCTGAGTCGACATGCATAAGTTCCAACAAATGCTATAATTTCCAGTGAGTTAGTTGTAGCAAAAAATGGAAAGGTTCTTGTGGCACTTTAAAAACAATCAAATTTACTGTGGCATAAGCTTTGATGACAAGATTATCCGATGCATCAGGTTTTAATCTGTGTTGACTGTATATATATATATATATATATATATATATATTCATAATTGTAGAGACGAATTACAACCAGTGAGATCAGAGAGAAATTAAACGCAACCAAGTACAAAAAGTTATAATGACATAAAGTCATTATAGTGACTATTCACAGAACAGTATTGTTGGTAATGCAAATACCTGGCACTGGAAAGTTAATTAACACCTGTAGTGGGATAAAAACCCGTTATCCCAGTTCTGGCCACAAGGGATAGAACTGAATTTCTGGATTTATTTTCTTTTTATTTATTTTATTACATTTCTATGCCACCTTTATTTGCCAAGGTTCTCCTTCTCCCCATTTCATCCTCACAACGACCCTGTGAGGTAAGTTAGGCTAAGAGATGATGACTGGCCCAAGGTCACCCAGTGAGCTTCAAGACTGAGTGGGGATTCAAATGCTGGTCTCTCAGGTCATGTTCCAAGACTCTAACCCAGGCATAGGCAAACTCGGCCCTCCAGAGGTTTTGGGACTACAACTTCCATCATCCCTAGCTAACAGGACCAGTGGTCAGGGAAGATGGGAACTGTAGTCTCAAAATATCTGGAGGGCCCAGTTTGCCTATGCCTGCTCTAACCATTACTTCACACTGGCTCACAAACTGTAATTCAGCTGTTTCCTGCTGTAGAAATTCCTTTGTTAAATAATTGCTACTTTAAAAGCAGCAGAGTGTCCTGGGAGGCCGACATGTTTTGCTACTGATTTCTGGATATTGCCCTTTCTCATGTCAGATTAGCATCCATTTAGAAAATACAGTAGAATGCTACATTTGTCAAGTGACCTCAGGCCCATAGCTGTCAATGTTTCCCTTTTTTTAAGGGAAATTCCCTTATTCCAAATAGGATTCCTTGCAAGAAAAGGGAAAAGTTGACAGCTATGCTCAGGCCACTCAGTGAACCCAACTTGTTACTTCTTGTTGCTCTACAGACCATAGCATTCTTCATGTCAGTACTTACATCTTCATCTTCTTTAGAGAATTCAGAGGCATTTTGCTTGTTAAGAACCATGAACACAGCGAGAACCTCTTTCCCAGACACTATTGGAGCTGCAAGCATGTTGACGGTTGTATAGCCGGTTTGTTTATCCACAAAGTCGGAGAAATGATTATTCTGAAACAAATGGTACCAGTTCATTAGCCTTTCAAATATTATCAGCAATTCATTTGTCACTTTTGATTTGCAAAGGACTATACAATCTTTGGGACACGGGTGGCGCTGTGGGTTAAACCACAGAGTCTAGGACTTGCCGATCAGAAGGTCAGCAGTTCAAATCCCCGCGACAGGGTGAGCTCCCGTTGCTCGGTCCCTGCTCCTGCCAACCTAGCAGTTCGAAAGCACGAAGTGCAAGTAGATAAATAGATACCGCTCCGGCAGGAAGGTAAACGGCCAGTGGCATAGCGTGGGGGGTGCAGGGGTGGCCGGCCGCACCGGGCGCAACATCTGGGGGGGGGCGCGCTCACACTCGCAGCTCTCTGCCCCCTGCTAAAATCCACGGGTTAGGGGGCGCAAATTACTTGCCTTGCCCCGGGTGCTGACAACCCACGCTACGCCACTGTAAACGGCGTTTCCGTGTGCTGCTCTGGTTTGCCAGAAGCGGCTTAGTCATGCTGGCCACATGACCCGGAAGCTGTCTGCAGACAAACGCCGGCTCCCTCGGCCAATAAAGCGAGATGAGCGCCGCAACCCCAGAGTCGGTCACGACTGGATCTAATGGTCAGGGGTCCTTTTACCTTTACCTTATACAATCTTCATTGTGCTTGGTTTCACATTTATTCTTTCGGAATGGAGAACTCAGCCAGAGTAACTATCATATTGAACAGTGACACCTTTAGAAAAGTTCCAGAACTCAATTGGCTCAAGAGGAAGGTGTTCAATATGTTGTTGGACCACTTTCCCATAATTTCTGATCGTTGGCCATGCTGATAGGAGCTGTAGTCCCAACAACATTTGGAAAGTACCACGTTGGCTATTCCTGCCATAAAATCATACTGACAAAGTACCCTCATCATGGATGCTGAAATCTCCCAGAACAATGAGTATCTGGGAAATAACAGAAACAGAAACAGACATCAATTACACTAAAACTTGTTGAATTAATGGCTCTGGAATAAACAATCCCAGGAAGAGTCAATTAAATGAACCAGACAATCCATACAAACACAGATAGCTTCTCATTCAACATAATGGAGATATTGCAGAAATGTTCTCTTGCTGCAGAAAAATATGCATGTTCCCATGAGAAGCAGAATGATGTGAAATGATCTACATTCCATCTCTATAGGTTTTGCAACACAAATATTATACTCCAATTCTACACAGAATCATAGAATTGTAGAGCACCCTGAGGGTCATCGGGTCCAAACCCTTGCAATGCACAAATCTCAAAGTATCCATGATATGACACATTTTAAATAGGATAGGATGCTGAAAATGATAGTATTTATCCAAAAATTCTGTGCATTAGAACACAAATGAATCCATTTCTTTTTCATACAGAGGGCATGTTCTGAGTATGACTTAGTTGGATATCACTAACTAAAATTAATTTTGATCACAATAAATTTACTAGGTTTGCCATGTCAGTAACTGCTACCTGACCTAGAGGAGACTGAGTGTTCATTAAAGTGGGTAAAGAAACTTATTTAAATAAAATTCAAGATACAATCAATAAGCTCTTAACAGCAGAGGAAAAGGTAATGGCTACAATATTCTAGATGGGGCTCATGAACAGCAATAGCAGGCAGGCATACAGAGAGCATGAGCCAAAAACAGCCATGCATTTTTTCCTGACATCCTTTAAAGCAGAGCTTTCCAAACTTTGTGTTGCAACACGATAGTATGTCGGCTGCAGTCTGTAGGCATGTTGCACGAACTTTCCCCACGTTCGGTTTGCTAGTAAAACTGAATTACTGTGTTGTGAAATGATGCATGTCTAAAAAGTGTGTCACCAACATGAAAAGTTGGGAAAGCTCTGCTTTAAAGCCTTGCCATGTTGGAACTGTGCCCTGAATTTTCACAATGCCTTCGGTCCATTGACATTATTGCCATACCCTTCCATGTGCTGTTTGTGAAGCAGAAATAGTGGCAGGCTTGAAATACCTCCTTTAAAGCCATCTGTTTAAGCAGGCTTTCCCTGGCTCATAAGATTCATCACACTGTTCTGTTATTCATATATATTTAATTGAATGTTTTATTGATAGATTTTCTGTTTTTACAGATCTATTGCTATGTAATTTTGGTTATAGTGTTGTGTTTATATTTTTTCTTTTCTTTTAAAAATGATCTTATGGTGTTTTATGTAAATCACTTACTTATATAAAACAGTATAAATGTTAAAATAATAATAGTAATAATACACTTCTTGCTCCACAGGAGAGAGTGTGTGTCAGCAGAGGGTGTTCATTTAGATTTCTGGTACAGTATGGCATCTTTGTGTCAGCAAGCTCCTTAGTACAAACAATTTGTACTTACATTTCAGAGTGAAAATCTTTTCATCAGTTGTTGATCAGTTTTCTCAACAATTTGGACAGTTTAATGAAATTCTGTGAATGTTGCTTTCTAAAATAGCCAACTAAGAGTTGTTGTCTTTAATTTCAGTTGCCCCGTTATGGAGATCTAGAGGATCCTGCATTCAAAATAGCAATCAATGTTTTGCCCTCTAACAGGCTGTATATTACTTTAATTCCTACCCTGCAATGATTAGCCTCGATAAGATCTCTTCCATGGCATGGTCTGAAGGCACAGGAGGCCACCATCTTACTGAAGCTAAGCAGGTCTGGATCTTGTCCATGTCTGGATGGAAACCACATGAATGCTAACTTGGTTTCCATGATGGAAGAACAGCAGGATATAAATGTAAGAAAGTCTGGCTGCCTTCTCCTTCTAAACTGGTGTCTAGGTGGAGGAGAGAGTAGGGGCAGAGGAGAAATCAAATTCCATAAGTGTTTTAAGCCAAATCTGACAAATTTGCACTCTCCAAAACAATATGCAAACCAAAACATAGCTATCCTTCCAAATTTGCATTCATCCAACTGTTGTGATGGAGTCCCCCAACCAAACGTTTACAGAAATGCATATATTTTGGAAATGTGTGCATAAAAATGGACATTTATGAAAATAACATACAAAGATGCATTATATTAGGGGTAATTGCCTGCAAAAATGTGCATACTAGTCCAAACTGCCAATAAAAATGTGTTTATCAAGAGAAATTTGCACTGAAATGCTGGTGAATTTTCACAAGGACTTAAAAAAATAATAACCACAAATTGCTGCAAAATGTGGAGAACTGAATTTAAGACAGGGAAAATATGAAACAGAGAGTACTGAAATGAACAGATCCTTCCATCCCAAGGAGAGAAACTTTGCAAAGATGACTTGGTAGGAAGGTGCAGAGAGATTAGCCTATTATCTAGGAGAGAACACCAAATGCCTAGGAACTGTATACAGCATTATTACTGCTCTCCCATGCATTTGGGAGCCATCAGAGTTTCTGTGACTTCGGCACCCATTAAACCAATCATCTCCTACCTCACAAAGGTCACATGTAGAAACTACCAGATTTAAGCAGCCCTGGAACTTGCAATAAGTCAAGAATGACTGTGGGCGTATAAAGGTAAAGGTAAAGGGACCCCTGACCATTAGGTCCAGTCGTGACCGACTCTGGGGTTGCGGCGCTCATCTCGTTTTATTGGCCAAGGGAGCTGGTGTACAGCTTCCGGGTCATGTGACTAGCATGACTAAGCTGCTTCTGGCGAACCAGAGCAGCACACGGAAACGCCGTTTACCTTCCCGCCTGAGTGGTATCTCTTTATCTACTTGCACTTCATGCTTTCGAACTGCTAGGTTGGCAGGAGCAGGGACCGAGCAACGGGAGCTCACCCCATCGCAGGGATTCGAACTGCTGACCTTCTGATCGGCAAGTCCTAGGCTCTGTGGTTTAACCCACAGCGCCACCTGCATCCCTTAGTAGGAGTTATGTGTACCTTATTTTCAGTTTGCCATTGTTTGTATAATAAATTGCTTCATCGGCAAACAAAGAAAGTTAATAATTAATTCTGTGATATAACACATAAAATAACCATGACACAGAAGAGTGAATCAGTTCTGTTTGAACTCATGAGGCCAGATTCAACTAACAAGTCCCACTAGGTACAATGAGGCTTTCCCTTCTCTCTCTCTCTCTCTCTCTCTCCCCCCCCCCCCCCGTCACCCAATAGCCCAGGCATAGGCAAAATCGGCCCTCCAGATGTTTTGGGACTACAACTCCCATCATCCCTGACAACTGGTCCTGTTAGCTAGGGATGATGGGAGTTGCAGTCCCAAAACATCTGGAGGGCTGAGTTTGCCTATGCCTGCAATAGACTCTAGGAGAGTCAGGAGAACCCCGGAACAGCTTACAGGGAGAGGAGAGGGACAAGTCGAAATGCTTGTGCTGATGGAACAATTGCCATAAGAAAACACTTTATTCTAGTGATCAAATACATTTTAAGCCAACATGTTTGAATAATAATAATAATAATAATGATAATAATGCTAACAGCCCCATTAAACTAAGTTGGACTTGCATCTGAGTAGACATGTATAGGATTACACTGTGTGCTTGATACACTTAATACTGGTAGCCTCATCTGCAATTCCAAGTATATCTTATGTGAAACCTGACAGTAAGAGCAAAATGGCTTCTTCTGATGGCTTTTGGCAGAAATCTGTAGAGACCTAATTACTGCTTGTGTGACATATGTAACCAGAGGGGATCTGGGAAGTTTTGTACAGCTTCAAAAGTGTAGAAAACCCTTATGAGACTAAAGATCCCTCTAATCTAGCATTCTTCCAGTGAAAAGTTAGCATAAGATATGCATTTGTTTCTGAAGTGGTTGTTTATTTCCTGACACCAAGGACGAGAGGATGAAAAGTAAATACGGACACAGCATGCGCTGCTTGGTTCAAACCAGCATGAGTTCTCAAGAGTAAAACGGCAAAACCTCGGGAGATTTCCCCAAAACTGTTTCTGTCTTTTAGCTCTAGAAAACTATGCTATTTTCCTGTTCTCTGACCAAACTCAACCTGAACAAACTATTCTTTTCAGCTCCCATTCTGCAATTAAGTGTTACATTATGCATCATTTATATTGTGTTTTGGATAAAGACAAGTCTACTGCTTCATTAAGAAAACATTTTTTTCTTCATCATTAACTTAATCATTAACTAACATCATTAACTAACAGGCTATACAGGAACATAGAAGGAGAGGGATATCTCTTTGCTTCCTACAATACTATAAACAATATATTTGAAAGAGCACTGCCAACACAAACAGTTTGACAAGGCGTCAGCACTAAATGCCTTGCTAATGCTCTGCATATTTTACATAGTTTATTTCTTGGCTGAACAGCTAGCAGGCTTCCAGAATTGCTGTTCTTGGGTGGGATTCAATCACCTACAGAAAAAATTAGGATCCACAATTAAAATTGATTTGGGGCTTTTGCACCAAACACACACATTCCCCTTTTTGCTATAAGGAAAGAAATGGGGAAAGTGTGGGATAAGATTGCTTTGATGCAACGTCATCTAGCCTCTCAGAGTGAACGTTAATTAATTAACCAGTGTCATCTAATATCCCTGAAACAAATCAGGATAAATGCTCAACAAGCAGATTGTCTGGAAAAAATCCTAAAGCAAAACATTCCATGGAATCCTGCAGCTGTGCATATTATGGACTAGTCTTTGTCACCTGACTTTTGCCCATAGTGGGCACAAGTTATTGCATTACCTTTATGCAACATTAATGAAACATGTAAACAATGTCCCTGTCACATGACATGTAATTCCAACTTATTTTCTTTAGCAGTTCTGACCAACAACTGTAGCCTTGCCTGCATTAGTAAAGCCACCATCCTATGCTTGGCAAGATGACTTTGAAGGTGGTATGTACTCTGATTCTATGTGCAACATGATCTAGCTATTCTAGCTGAACCCCCTGCAATGCAGGAATATGCAGCTGTGCTTTACAGGGATCAAACTTGCAACCTTGGCATTATCAGCACCTCACTCTAACCAACTGAGCTATGAGGAAGCAGGTAATCCCCACACAGACTAGCAAAACCATCATAAGCATCACAAACAGCCTTAGTACAAAGTCAGAAGTAAAAGCTACCACCCCCAAGATAAAAACAGCCATATCCTTTTTGACATACTTTTGGTTTCACTTATGGGCTTGGCATTGCACAACTGTTGCTAGGAAACTTGTGTCAGGAAGCACCCTCATTCCATGTACTGTATATAGTGTCAACATTTGGAGTAAAAAGTAAACAGGAAAAAAACACTGTAGAATATTTTTAATAAATTGCAATAGCCTGCAACACAACTCCTGAACTGATATTTACCACGGTATAAGCAACAAGCATTTCAGTGAGTGGCATCTGTGGGGATGCAAAACCCATGCCAACCTCACAATGCTCCAGCTATTGGGTTGTCATTGCAAGCCACCCTAAATGATTCTGTTGCTTTTTACACTGAAGCATATTAAAGCAACTTACAAGATACAAAATCACAAGAAATATTAAAATGAAACAGAAGTAAACCAAATACTAAAAAGCAATAAAAAACCCCACCTAAAGCGCTCATCCAAAAATATATTCAAAAGAACATACAATCAAAACAATCCCTACCGGCAGGCAGGCAATCTAAACAAAAACAAAAACACAACACACCAGGGGAAAGGAATAGGGAGGGAAGAGGATAGGAGAGTAAAAAAAAATAATAATTCAGGCTTTATATGTAAAAATCCAACACTTTGAATTGAGCAAGTAAATTAACTGGTAGCCAGTGTAGTCATGACAAGGTTTGTGTTACATGTTCAAGCCATCCTGTCCCGCTAAGCAATCTGATTTCTAACCTCTGTACCAGCTGCTGTTTCTGAACAGTCTTCAAAGGCAGCTCCATGTATAACATACCCTCCAACATTTCTCCAATGAAAATAGGGACGTTCCATTCCATAATGATAATTTTACTATTTAAACCCCACACGTTGCCCCAGCCACTTTGGGCAGCTTCCAACATACATAAAAACATAATAAAACATTAAACATTAAAAAAACCCTTTCCTATACAAGGAACTGCAGTGATCTAATTTAGAAGTTATGTGATTTGACACTAAGAAGCTGCTGAATAGTCTTGAAGTAAATGCAATACTTGTGATAAAGCAGGGACATGTTTATAATGAAACAATCACATGACCCAAATAGTGACGATGGAGGTCACATGGCTGACAGCTATGTAATCATGACTGATCTAGAGAGTTCCAGTCTCACTTCTGCCATTTACTCACTAGGTGGCCTTACACAAACTACTGTACTCATTTATTGCATTCTGAGGCATTTGTTTTTAGGGCAGAAACTGCTCAAACTACATACTTCCACCACACTTAGAATGTCTCTTTTCATCCTGATACTGAATGCAAAGTTCTTTGAATGCTCTAAATTTTTATAGACATGATATTTCTTGGTGATGTTGATGACGGTAGCAGCCTAGCTCCCTTTAGATCAGACTCCACCAGGGAATTCTGATTGCCTTCACAACTTCTGTGACCACAGCAGACTGAACAAAATTACCTTGCCCTGAGACTTTGCTTTGCATCTCTGCATATTACTGTTCTGTGCTTGTCTGCTTTCAACCAGGAATCAGTGACTGATGCAGAAACATAGGGACAAGGATTGTCAGAGATAGTGGGTATTTTTTACTCTAAAAGTAATTCGTTTTGGCCGAATGCAAGTGGTGTGATTTAGTTTAAACACATATGCATACAGAACCACTCCTCATCTCAGCTATCAGGAATTTGAGGAATACTGAACAAATAAATCAGTTTTATTATTATTGGTCCAACATCAGAGATTTGGATCATCTCCTTGATCTCACAGCAGGTTTGCAGATCATGGGATCCTACCACCACATTATTTTCATTCATTCATTCATTCACTTGATTTGTATGTCACTTTTCCACAAAAACAAATCATGCTCAAAGCAGCTTACAATGAAGAAAACAGGAATACATTTCAAACAAACACTGCAAAAACATTTTCATAATAACATAGCAAAACCAGGGGTGGACCTTGGTCTTCCATATTTTGAGGGGCACACTGTGCAAGGACCCACCATGCCTTCTGTTCTGCTCAATTCACTACTTCATAGTTGCAGTGCTCTGCAGCACCCCTTAGCCTTGGCCCAGTGTGGCAGAACTGGTTGCGCTGCCCTAAATCAGTCACTGGCAAAACAATAGCAAATATAAAAACATAGTCCCTCCCCCCCCAAAAAAAAATCACATTTCAGTACTATAAATGCAAGAAGATTACAAAGCATGCAACATCCAATTGTTGTTGTCTAGTCATTTAGTCGTGTCTGACTTTTCGTGACCCATGGACCAGAGCACGCCAGGCACTCCTGTCTTCCACTGCCTCCCGCAGTTTGGTCAAACTCATGCTGGTAGCTTTGAGAACACTATCCAATCATCTCGTCCTCTGTCGTCCCCTTCTCCTTGTGCCCTCCATCTTTCCCAACATCAGGGTCTTTTCCAGGGAGTCTTCTCTTCTCATGAGGTGGCCAAAGTATTGGAGCCTCAGCTTCAGGATCTGTCCTTCCAGTGAGCACTCAGGGCTGATTTCCTTCAGAATGGATCGGTTTGATCTTCATGGGACTCTCAAGAGTCTCCTCCAGCACCATAATTCAAAAGCATCAATTCTGCTTTTGCAATCAGCCTTCTTTATGGTCCAGCTCTCACTTCCATACATCACTACTGGGAAAACCATAGCTTTAACTATACGGAGCGACATCCAGTAGCAAAGCAACAAGGAAGCTTCACAGTTTCACCTAAGTCCTAGAAACACCCCTCCATTATGTTGATCACAGGCAAGGCCAGCACCAGGTTTGAGCAGGCCTGCAGCATAGTTATGGCTACCAATGGCCTCCCTGGCATAGTGCCTCTCTTAAGCACTCCACTGAGGCCTCATGACAGCAGCACGACAGCAGACCTTGGCAGTCATGCTGGCACACTTCCAATGGGAGCCAATCAGTTGCTTGGCACTAGTCGTTGTTGAGTGGCTACCATTTAAAATTTCCCAAAATGCAATGTCCCATAGTGTCTTATGTAGTAAAATCCAGCCAATGGAGGATTAGTGGTAGCATCATCAGAGGAGACCTGACAGGTGGTGCTCACCATGAGGGAAGGAGGCAGGGTGGGATCCAACAGCTGTCATATGCCAAGGGCTGACACCACATCTGCTCTTTGGTTTTCGAGATGACGCAGTTGCTCTAATATTGGAGGAGGCATAAATCCCTCCTCCTTCACTAAGCTTACCAACCCTGACCTTGTTCATTGGAAACTCCCTTCCCAACACGGTTCTCTTAATCTTAGCCTTCTAGGTGCCGAAGATCAGCTTATGTTTCACCCTTCTGCATCAGATAGACCTCCACTGTATTACTGTGATAAATAGGGAAGCAACAACCCTTTCTCTCCCCAGCGGCCAAAAGCTGGAATGGAAGTGCCGATCTCTAAGCCACATCATTGACTTAGGTATCTAAAAGAATTTATAAATCACTTAATATTTTTTTTAAAATCTCCAAGCGGTTTGCAGTATTTTAAATATATGCATCATTAAAAGAAAAATACAATCTAAAATCAGTTAAACAGCAGTATAAAAAAGCAAATAAAACATAGGGCTTTACAAGATGTCTGAGACAAATATAAGTCTTTACAAGATGTCTGAGACAATTGATGGTTGCTGCTTCCAAGGTATGACAGGGGCAGCAGCATAAAATCTGTATTTAGGTCATCACCGTGCGATACTCTGAAGTGTATGGTGCCATGAGTAGAATTTCCTCAGATAATCTGAATTATCTTACAGGTTTGTTCTGAGGCAGGTGGTCTTTCAGGTACTACTATACTAATTTCACTGGATTTACCATATTTCACTGCGTAATGGTCACATTTTTTGTGCCGATTTTACCTTTCCGAAAAGGTGTGTGTGACCATTATGCAGTGAATTACCGGATGGAGGAAGGGGCCACAGGCGGGCAGTGGAGGTGGTTGCTCACCTGCTGCTTCCCCTTCTTGGCTGGGTTATCCTGCAGCATGAGCTGCAGCTTACCCCTGCAACTATTATGTGGGGAATGCTCTGGGACATTTTTCGGGGTCTGAAAATGGGGGGAGGGACTATTACGCAGTGGCAACCAGTATGTGGTGAAATACGGTATATACATTGTTACACGCCACCCCCAATCTCTGCCAAGCGATGACAAAATTCCAGGGAGTTCCCAGGGCTTACAAAGGGCTGTATTTCCTTTTGGACAATTAGGCACAGCAGAGGCTGTGGTGTTTTTATGAAATATGGTTTATACACACATATTTACAACCTGAGTCTAGACTCTAGATGGAGAGAGTTCCCAGCATTCACTTCACAAGAAAGTCCTTTATTGCTCTCCTAAGCGCAACAAGCTTGAACCTACAAGCAGAGGTATCAGCTATGCTGCCTGGGCCTCGTTGTTATAGCTTGTTCTTCTCAGCATGGCGCCCTGCCCACTTTTACCCTCCCAGAACCACTTGCAAAAACAACTGCTAGCCTTTCCGCTTACAGCATCACCCACTATTACCCTGGCAACTTCTCTTTCCAAGCCAGTCAGGGAGACTTATGTTTTGCAGCTGGCTTATCATTCATTATCAAACAAACCAGACCATTATCAAGCAATAGATTCTAACAAAATTCAGAATAAACTAATTTTAAAAGGTCTTGATTAAAAGTCTAAAGATGAAAAATACTAACCCACATATTGTTAACTGCATAACAGAATATGCATTAATACAGAGAAGCATTCCTGGTATGTATATATACAACTTCCTTACTTCATTTCTCCTTGACTGAAGTATAGGTCAGGATTAGCATCTCCAGAAGGAGACAGAGAGAAAAGGCTCTTTAACACTTATTATATTAATTTGTTTAAATATATGCAGATATAATAACTTCTCATGACTTCCTATTGAGGCTGAAACCTGAAAGGAAGACAGGATATATTGGGGCAGATTTAAAAAAAACAACAACAACTAGGCATTAGGGATGGGGGAGGAATTTGATTCAGTTTGCAGTTAAAGGCGAATCTGTCAATTTTGCACTTTCTGAAACAATATGAGAACCAAAGCACAGGCATCTTTCAAAATTCACACTTATCCAGAATTTGCTGTGCAGTTCTCCAACCAAAGAATATACACATATATTAGGGGAAAGTGTGCATAAAAATGAATACATTAGTGAAAATAAGACTCAAAAATGCATTATATTAGGAGGAATTGCTTGCAAAAATGTGTATATTAGTCAAAACTGAAAAAGGAAAAGTGTTTATGAGGAGAAATTTGCACTAAAATGTTGATGAATTTTCAAGAGGACTGCTGCAGAAATGTGGAGACCTGAATTTAAGATTGGAAAAATGAAAAACAGAGAGAACTGAAATTGACAGATCCTTCCATCCCTACTAGGCATTGAAGGTATCCACATTCATGGACAAATTCATGCTTCTTTTCCTTTCTTCTTTTCTTTATTTCTAACTAGATATTACAAAAACTGTACATATTTTGAGAAAGCATACAACAATCTTCCACTGAGGTCCCATTACTTGAGTAGCTGCTTGCAGATTAATATAATGTCTGTATATTTGCATGCTATCACCAGCTAGAAGATACTTGTACAGTGGTACCTTGGGTTACATACGCTTCAGGTTACATACGCTTCAGGTTACAGACTCTGCTAACCCAGAAATATTACCTCGGGTTAAGAACTTTGCTTCGGAAGGAGAACAGAAATCGTGCTCCAGCAGCAGCGGGAGGCCACATTAGCTAAAGTGGTGCTTCAGGTTAAGAACAGACCTCCGGAACGAATTAAGTACTTAACCTGAGGTACCACTGTATTTAAATGGTACTAAACAACCTGTATTCTTTCAATAGTCCTGGTGTGAAGGTACTAGGATAACATTAACTGCAGCCAAGGACTATTCCAGTAGAAATGAAATACAACTAATTGAACAACTCATTTGTCCCATTTGACTAACCATTTGTTAGGTCAGTGGGCATGGTTGCTTTCTTCTTGCCTGATACTATTAAATCCAGGATTAAACACTATTAGCTCCTGTGATCAACAGCGCTCTCTCTCTCTTACTAATCCCTGTTGGGGGAAGGGAACAGATGCTGTTTCTAAGCTAACTGATGAAGGTCTAGATCTTCCCCTCTCCTTTAACCCTCTGAACCATTAGTCAGGGCAAGGTGCTTCCTCACGTTTACTGGTAACTGTCCAAGTTTTAGGGAGATAATCTCAGGATAAATGAACACCAAGAAAGGAGTACCGTATCTCCAGTTTTTAAAAATGGATATTTCAACCCACTTGGCAAATTCTATTGATATTTTGTTTTCCGTTAGAGTTCCTGCCTTCATCTTGACATGGGTCTATCAAGCTTCCATTCTAGATGTTTGGTATAGAATCTCCACACCTTGTTCACTTGCCTTTTCCTGGAGGTCCACACTCTGCTATCAGCTCTTTGCAAATCTATGTTTCCCCAGCGTTTCTTCCATATTTTTTTCTTACCAGAGGAAGTCCAATGTTTTTGAGTAGATTAGCACAATCTTCACAGATATACATGCCTTTAGTGCTACCCTTCTGTCTTTTTGAAGAGGTCATTAGTCATTAGTTTAAGGTAGAAAGTGGTCTTGACATATCGGGCAAGTAAACCTATTCACCTTAATCTTTGCAGTGGTCACAATTCTATAGCCCTGCTCTTTTTTTATTTTAAATCCATCTTTTAATTAGTGCTAAAATGCTTTTCTTCCTATATATATTTGAATATTTTATTTAAATATTATTTACTAATATTAAAATATTAACAAAATACTGCTTAAATGAAAGCTATTGTTGCATAGCAGTCTCCAAGCAGTGCAAGATTTCCTTCAGAATGAGCTACAACAGAGACTGTGGTGTCTTTATGATATATGGTTTATTTACACATATACAGTGCTTTTTTTCTTTAAAAAATGTTTAGGGGTACTCTCATTTTGACTCAAGAAAATCACCATTTTATAGTTCAAATTGGGGAAAATAAATACCGCAAATGGACAAAAGTACAAAGATTCACAAAATGTTTAGGGGCATGCATACCCCTGCATCGCCCCCAGAAAAAAAGCACTTATATACAACCTGTGTCTACAATAGAGGATGTCACAGCATTAACACCCTAAGAGGGTCTCGCTTCCCCCTGTAACTGCAGCCTTGTATTCAAACAGAAATCAATCGTGGCTCTCTCTGCCTGCTTCCCAACCCACAGTTTATGTTACAGCTTCTAGCTCACCTCAATCCAAACTTTCAACTCTCTATCTTTCTAGTTTGCCGTATCCCACCTGTTTGCCGTATCACACAGAACCCCTTCCTTTGTTTCCTTAATGGCCCATTGCCCAGGCTATCACCTCACCAGGAAACCAGTGTGGCTATTCCAAGAATTAGAAGGAGGCCCAGGCATTCAGCCCCATAAAACTCACTAAAAAAACCTTTCCAGTCACCAGCATTTCAGCAGTGCCCCACATTAAACATTTCCAATCAACCTTTATGATCCACCAGAAACATTAAACTGTTTGAAGAAGAAACATATGAGTAGTAATGGGAGACCACTCTTAAATGAATAACCACTTAGAGCTAATGAAAGAATTGTGTGTGTGTTTTAAGGATCACTCAGAATGTTCCAAGTGGTCACTCAGGTAAATAGGACCTTTGCCTAACCTATCCAGAGTTAGCTATTCAAGCTAACTTGTGTGGATGGAACATAGCAGGGTGAAGATGCAGGGGAAAGTGCAATATCCCCTATAATATAATCACTTGCAGCTTACAAAGTAAGGGCAATGATTTATTAGCCCAAGGAGCCACCCGTCTGGAAGCAGCCCATGCCTCTTAAAAGCTGCTTGGTGGGTGCAAACATGGGATGTGCAGTTTTCGGTGCCAGGAAACGCTGCCTAATAGTCATTAGTTTCAGGTAGAAAGTAGAAAAGGTTAGAAATTCTGTGCTTATTAAACAAAGCCAGAATGGTTTGAGACTCATATCAAAAGTATATTACAGTATTGGATTTACATGAAGTGAAAGGATAAAACTGGCAACAGCAAGTCTTAAAAACAAATTCATTCTCTTGATTGTTTATCCCCAGGAAGTCAAAACAGCACTATCCATGCACAATATAGAGGAACCAGGAGGCTCTGGAGAATCCCAAGGTTTTCAGAAATAGGAAAATAATTATATAACCACCTAAAAGCGGCGGGCAGGGTGGATCCCCCAAAGCAGCCCAATGAAGACTAGGCATGCTCAGTGGCCACAGACTATTTTGAAAACGGGAGAGTGGGAATGGAATGTAATATCCGGGGAAAGGGTATGGCTAACTGATTGGCTATGACACTGAACAAGAGCTCTCCACACCTGTAAATACCATAAAACACAGCTAAACAATGTTTTACGTAACCGTTTTTCTATTTTATGGGTCTCCTTGCATTTTAATGACACTGTAAGCTGCTCTAAGCACAACAGGATGAATATGTTTCTTTTTTAAAAAAACAACAACTAAATGGATGAATAATTATTTAACCCTAAAGGTGTCATTTCAAGTAGATATTTCCTTTTTATACATTTCTTTAAAAACCATCTAAGCAGTGCTATTTTTCTAGAAAAAGAGGTACTGGAACTCACCATGAATACCTCTCTTGTTCTATTATAATGCCAAGGCACCCACCTGAGAAGTGACAGAAGTTCTGGCTGAAAAAAAGCCCTGTATCTAAGTAATGCTGTGTCTCACTTGAAATTCCTGTGGCTCAATCCTGACATAGTCAGCTTCTTCCAGTGCCCTGCCTTCTAAGGTAACATGGGTGGCCATTGGGAAGAGGACCTTTTCAATCATGCTGCTGTCCCTTCACATTTACCTCAGGGAGGTTTGCCTGCTTTTGTGTCTTTATCTACCTTTGTATTTTCTCGGGTCCTTTAAAATATTCTCAGAATGGATTTTATCTTGCTGTAGCTATGTTTCTTATTTGTTCAGCTCTTTAAAGATGCTTGAATCGGGTTCCTTAATATATTAGTTTTAACGTTTGAAATGTTTATTAGTATTCTATAGCTGCCCTGCAGAAATACGGAAGTGAGGCATGTGAAATTATTTAAATAGCTGTGCTTTTCATTTGCTTGTTTTCAAGGCCGGAAAAATGGCATGGAGGAAGGCAACCATACTGAAACGAACTGTGGCCTTTAAAATGTTTATGCTATAATAAATTATGTATCTTTGCTGTTTCATATTTCATGTAACAGTCGCAATAGGAATGCATGCACTCTGTGTGTCTTTCTCTGTGTGTATAGCGAGAAATGGCAATGCATTGTTTTTTCCTTGCTTATTTATTTTTTTCTGAGCAGCGCATATTCCAGAAGGTTCCATTAGGCCATCTTCCATGCACAAACACCCTAAAACTTTTGCCCCAAATATTAACTTAAAATTCCTTAAAGTAATTTCTTAAAACGGGGAAATTACAGAGTAGTAGCCATGCTAGTCTGCTGCTACGAAAGCAACAAAAGAATGCTGTGGTATCTGCCATATATGATAATCTTCATGCCTCTGACGAGATTATCTTTCCCTCACAAAAGTTTAGGCCTCAATATCTATGTTAGTCTTTATCAGTCTTCCTCAACCCCATGCTCTCATTATGTTTTGGACTACAACTCCCAGCCCACTCCTGGTTGGGGATGATGGGAAATGTAGTCCAAAGCATGGCATACACCAAATTAGGGAAGGCTAGTCTTAAAGGAGCCACAAGTCTCTTTGTAAAAATAGGGGCTTACTTAAACGACAACCGAATTCAAACTGATAAAATAGTTGTAAGTTCTAAAATGCCTATCTTGAAAAGGACAGAACGTTTCAGGAATATTTTCCCACTGCATTTTTTTCTCCTTTTCCACAGGAGAAATCATTCTAGAAAAAAAATAGCATAGTCTCTTGTTAACTCTGACAGAGAAGAAAATGATCGCAAGTGTGGCAACCAATATTTAGAAACATAGGCCTAGGAATGCCTCATAAATGAACTTTTACTCTTATACTGGTACCAGTTCACACCTCTGGTTTGCTCTTAGTTTTGTTAGATAAATGAGAAGAGGAATAGGTTGTGGGCAACAAATCCAGACCTTTCAGCTGGCCTTCTGACAAGGTCAGTTGCCCTGGCAACCTCTCACCTCTGTGGGAGCTGATGAGTAGCAAACAAAAGTGGCCCCTCAGAGAATTGCTCCTGGCTCAGAGACCACTAGTTGCAAGCTTCTCATTTGAAAGAAGAAAGAAATAAGTTGGGCAAAAGTACTGAAACTGATTGGTTGACATATAGAATTTACTGCAGTGACAATACTGTTCTCTCCAAGGATATCATCAATGACATTAATTAGGGTTGCCATATTCCCAAATATGGGTTTTGCCAATTCAGCAAAAATCCGCCCAGACGCCATTTTGCAGCCAGTTATGTCCAGGAAAACCCAGACGTATGTTGCTGCATGTAATCAAGACCATTTGCAGTACAATCTTCAACATATCTGCTCAGAAGTATGATTCAGTTCCTTGTGACTTGGCAGCTAGCATAGGAGCCAACTCCTAGGGGCTGTGGGGGCCTTGGCCCCCACAATAAAATATTTGAGGGGGCTGGGCTCCCCCACAGATGATGGGTATTCCCATTCAAATGGTGTGTGTGCACTGTATCATGTGATCAATTATTCAGGGCACGGCTTACCTGGGCCCCCACAATATTTTATTCAAGTTTGCACCCCTGGCAGCTAGTCAGGAAACTTTTAAAGATAGCCATTTTAGAATTTGCATCCATTTTATCTGTTTGGAATTGGTTGCAGTTCATAATCCCCTACCTGGAACCTCAAAGATTTCCAAAGACTGTAATGCTATAGGGTTTTAATAATGTTTAAAGGATTTCAAGTAGAAGCACTGAGGACTCCTAATATAATTAACCACAGCAATGGATATGTTACTGATTAAAGCCCCATATTTGAAGACCTCCCTTAGGTAACTTCCCAGGGACATCAAGGGATTTCTGAGTGAGGTGTTTGAGAAGAATCTCCCCGCCCCACTCCAGAGCAGGTTCACCATATCGGTTTCCATTTGAGTATTTGGCCCCACGTCCCGTCAAGGCTGCCTTTTGACTCTTTCATTTAACCAGTCCCCTGAATCTCAGGGCTTTTTTCAGCCAGAACTCAGTTCCGGCACCTCTCAGGTGGGCGCCATTGCTATTCTAAGAGAAGGAGGGACGTGTTCGTGGTGAGTTCCGGTACCTCTTTTTCTAGAAAAATAGCAGTGAGAAAAAAACAGCTAGCAAAATTGTAAGGATAAAGTACTAGTGAATGCAAGACTACATGCGGAGTTCCCAGACATGGAAGTCAAATAGAAAACCTCAAGTAATGGATAGTGGGGTTAATATTTGGCTTTACATGTTTGAGAACCACTGTGAATGAATACGGATAATTAATACATGAAAATCTCTATTTTCATGTTTTAATTATATTGTATCATAAATGATACATCATAAAATGATACAGCTACCATTTTGTTTTAAAATGTCAGTGACAAGCAAAACTTTATTTTTTGCTCTTTTATGAACTTCCAGTTACTGTAAGAATATTCTAAAGAAAAAGGAAAAACTGAATGTTGCGTTAGCAAATGTAAATGACACAGAAAACACACCTAATCCCTCTCCTGCTTTATAAAGAAACTTGAGCACAATATAGTCAAAGATAAAAATACAAAAAAACTGTTCAGCTCCATTAATTTCAATAGGAGATATCTAACTGGACCATGCCCCTAGGTTGGTTTGTTTCTTAATTATATCCAAATATCATTGGTACCAAAATGTAGAGCATACCATATTTCAAGCAGCAACAGTCACTCATTAATATTAGAATAACAGTGCTTAGTCTAATGAGATGCACATATTCTCTGGTCCTGTCGATCTTTTCTCCTGTAATCTGCTTTATGAATTTAAAAAGATTATCCACCCAGGCCTCTGTTGTTGGCAACAGGCAGTAAGTACAATATTGCTTGCCATAGAAAATGGTCCCAGTAATCAGAACTAAAATACCGAGACAGGTGCTATATGGCATGATTTCAAATTTCACACCTCAAATCTGGGTATATTTTGGGCGGTGGAAAGTAGTTTCAAAACAGGTCATAATGAGCCTGTAGCCAAAGCAGTCTGATTCTATAATCAAACACAGGCCTATCTGGTACGTCCAGATATATTATTTAATCCAGGTTACAAAGCATCAAGACAGTTCTCTTGTGCAAGGTCCATTGAAACAAATGGCAGCTGCATAAGGGCACAGCAGTGAATGGTTCCTTGGAGTTGCAATCAGCCTGTTTCCAACTGCATACCCACCAACATTTTTCCAATGAAAATAGGGACATCCTATTCTTCTGTGGGATGGCTTCTGTAATTCCAGGACTGTCCCTGGAAAATTGGGACACTTGAGGGGCATGCAACAGTACTGCTCTCAGTGGCGCCCAATACCTGAAACTGGATGCAGAGCCTCGTGCTAGCCCCGCCTCTGGCAGGTCTGCATCCCATTTATTTCAGTCTCTACTGAAGTCTTTGGGACTGCTCCAGATTAAAGCAGTTGAGTGGAGGTGGCTACTGTAAGCTTACACAACTTGTGACCCACTAAACAAACCAATCCAAAACAGACTTAGGCACACCTAAGTCTAACTCTGCAGAGGATCAGGCAGACAGCCCTGCGTTTCTCCCTTTTAAGGTATTTTAAGGTGGTTATTCCTGAGAGACTGAAAACTCTCTATACTTTTCACACATGTGGCTGAAAGCAGCTCTGAATCTCTCCCTCGCTATCTATGTGAATGCCACTGTTTGGATGTTCAACTCCCAAGTTTGCATTTACCGTACTTTCTTAACACACAGGGTAAATACAGGATCGGGAAATTTGTTAATTGACTGAAAGCTTCCCCCCTCCGCATTTCCAACAATATGTCTAGATATGGGTTTGGCTCTTGAAGGAACGGTCCTGTAATTCCTTCATTCCATTTGCCCCGTAAACTATAAACTGGGGTGGCCAATGTGGTATCATCTATATGTTTTTGACCACAACCTCAGCCAGAGTGTCAGGGAAGATAGGAGTTGTAGTCTAACAGTGTCTGGAGGGCACAATGTTGACTAGCCTTTCACTTAAAGGGGAGCGGGGAGAGGTTACCCTACACCAAACCCAGAAAAGCTTTCTCACTTACCTTTTTTACATCTGGTATGTTAAATACCTTCTTGGTATGAGCAACCCACCCAACTATCCCAATGTCCAGAGGAAAAACGACTTCTTTCTCAGGAGGCACCAGATTGCTCTCAAATTTGGAAGTAGGAGTGACATCCATGAGCCTGCTAGCCACTTCTGGAATACCATTGCGGGAACGTTGAATAAACATACTACACCGGTCAGCTGCCAGCAACTGTGCCAACCTTTGCAGGATTTTGTGCACTATCTTTTCCACAGAGCTGGCTTCTTCCTGGATTTCCATCATCAGCTCAAAAAGCACCTGACATTCCTCCAGCTTTGTCATTTCCTTGAAGGAGATTCCATCCTTTACATCCCCAGGGTTGACTTTGAAGACGCTTCCCACTACTTCCGCACGCAGTTTTTTGTCGTAATACTCCTTGGCAAACTGTGGGTTGTTCTCCAGATATTTCTCAACATCATCTTTACTTATCTCACCCATTTTTGCTCGGTAGCTTTTTCGCCGCTTCACACCTCCATCACCATCAAAGCAGCAGCAATCACGGCCAAAAGTCTAACTTTGCTTCTAAGGGGAAAATGGTAGATTGCACATTCTGTATAGAATATAGGCATAGGCTATAGACCTGTAGGCTTGCTCTGTGGCTTTCCAACCTTCTGAAATCCTTAAGATTTGACAGCAGTCCGCTGGCTTAGTGTCTTCTTAGTGAAGGATCCAGGAGACTGCTAATTAAAGAGATGTCAGGACACTAAACCCTTGAGCACTCTTAGCTCATAAATCCAAAGGGAGACATTTTAGAGTGATAAACTAAACCAACTGTTCCTAGATTGTGCAATGGTGTAAAAAAAAAAAAGTGCATGTAAGTGGGTGCCCATATATTCTCGCTTGCATTTTATGCTCTTTATTTCTTTAATGGATTAGAAATTTCCTTTGGTGTACAATGTGGGAAATATTTAAGCCTCTTTCCCTCCCCACAGGTATGCAAATAAGTACTTCACATGCCCACACGTGCACTCCTGTGCACATGCACAGACACTCTTCAGTATAAATGATACTTGTACCTTGGATACACGAAACACACCAGGAAGCCACTCATTGTATGGGAAAGCTTTCTCTTGCTAGGAAACTGGGTAGTTCTGGAAACAATAACTTCAGTAGTACAAATGTATAGAATGGAACAAACGTTAAAGTATTTACACAAAGGTGGGATGATTTAACTCAGTGAACCTGAATGTCCAAGACAGCTAGGTAAAGGCTGCAATCCTAAAATTAATGGCCATGACTAATTTAGACCCATTGATTTCAGTGGCTGTACTCTGAGTGTAACTTAGGAATACAAGCCATTGAACTTAATAAATTTCCCTTCAGACAAGACATGCAAAGGAGTGGGATGTACAGTTTGTTTTAGTATAGGAAGAAGTGAGCCAAAAGAGTTTTGAATCACAATATAGATTTTAATAGATAATTCTGTAAAAGAAATAACAAACTCTAATTCTCTTCTTTTTTTTAACGGCCAACATCTTTTAAGGAAAAAACTTCCCATTGGTTCAAACAATCATGAGATAATTTCCGACCTTAATCCTTGCCTAAGTATTATTAGTAAATATTTATGATGCTTTAAAAAGAGTCTTCTTTTTATTAAAATGCATTGTATTATTAGGCAAGAACTGAATAAAGAAATCATAAAATGAACTCTTAATAAACTGCTTCACATACAATATAGTCATAATCATAAAAATAACTTTTGTGTGCTAACCCTGATGATAATTTTATCACATAATTATGTATAGTGGGTGGAATTCATTGCTGCACTATGTTGAACATTCAAACTGCACAAGCACATCAACTTGCCAGACAGAACAATCCCCCTTTCCCCTCACCCCATGTGCTGTTCTGGGGCTTCCCCTACCCACCCCCCAGCCAATTTCAGGAGGGGGAGAGAAGATTGGGGAGCCCTGTTGTGCAAGCAGACACCTTGCACAGAGCATCAGTTGAGAGGGTTTGTCAGGTGAATCCCACCCCATGAAAGTAATATAGAAATCTAAATTTATTTCAGTACATTTTCTTTAGTCTGGCAGTTTATGATATATTTTTTTTTTAAAAACCCAAATTATTTCCCACAGAGGAAAGCAATGGTCTTTGTACATTTGATTCTTTCTCACATTAATAAAAGCTTATTAGATAAACTCTATTTACTTATCAAACTTAAGCTGGTGGGAGAGGCAAATTCCTAAGCCCTGGTGGCTTCCTCTGGCATCAAGAATACACAGTACCAGCGCCTTAAAAATCTGGTTTTGGCCCAGTTCTGTTAAGGTCATCTTGAATCCCAATTCTGTCTTCTGGAACATTGGCTACCCCTCCCAGTTTGGTGTTATCTGCAAATTTGATGAGCATCCCCCCAATGCCTTAATCCAAGTCATTTATAAAGATGTTGAACATCAACGGGCCCAGGACAGAACCCTGCGGCATCCCACTTGTCATTTTTTTACAAGGTGAAGAGGAGCCATTAGTGAGCACTCTGTATTTGATCGATCAACAAACTACAAATCTACCCGACAGTTACATTGCTCAAACTTGTTATATAAATAAAAATAAGCATGAGTGGTGATCAAATATTTCAGTAACACATGTTTTTAAGTGTACAATTTAATCTCACTTTGAGTATACAGGTTTTTGTTTTCAGGTCAGCACAAAAGAAGAAGCAAGTTTTAAATGCTGGATTCTGTTTTCCATATAAATGCTTTTGGAGTTTATGACTGTGGTGAACTAAGAGTATTTTTCTTTATTGTGTTGCGATTTCAAAAAAATCTTGATATACACATGTCTTCTTATTTTAACATGCATGACATATTGTTGACGCTTGCAGTTACAACAGCAAACACAACTATTTATGGAATGCTTCTTAGCCATACGCCATCTTTGAGCTCCTACAGTACATGGAAACTCCTAAGAAGGATAACTGACAGACATGTGGCTATTCAAAATAGATTCAAGTAGCATGTAAATGCCAAAGGTATTTATAAGGTTCCACTTGTTCAGCCTAGTGTTTACATCTGAGTGTAGTCATGGCAACAGGAGTTCATTCCTCAAGATGTGGCTCATCCTTCAAGATTTTCAAAAGAAATTGAGAGTTTGTGGACTGTACCAAAAAGGGATGAAGCGGTCTATCTTCTTCTTTTTTGTTTGTTTGTTTCACTTTCTCATTTTACCAATATTAAATTTAGTTCTCCACATTTCTGCAGCAATTTTTTTAATCCTTCAAAGAAATTCCATATGAAAAATCTGTGTTTCGCTTTCAGTTGTGTTTTGGCTGTCTTTCAGTTTGGTTTGAAAAATGTGAATTATTATTATTACTGTATTTATTATTTATTAAATTTATATATTATAGGTCTTCTAGGTGAGTTTGTCTTAAATGGGAATTGAATCAAATTTCTCTTCCATCCCTCGTTCTAGCCTACCACCAAATCATAAAAGTAGAAACAGAAAAGTCATGGGCTCCAATCCTTCATACAGGTAGGCTGTTTCAATTCCAATGCACTTCTCTTTAATGGGCCATGATCTCTCTCTGTCACACACAGAACATTCTTAACATCCTGCAAGTTATGACAAAGAAATCAGAAATTCATAGCTGTTAACATTCATTTCAAAAGAGATAACCCAAGGAAGGGAGGAAGCATCCTTTCTCTCAGCCGATATATGATAACATGAAAAACATCGTTCTTGGCTCTTGAACAAATGGTTGGGTTAAACCTGAGGTAACCCTGTAACCAAAGGAGGGTGGGTCAGTCAGCTTGTGCCCTCCTTTTTGGCCCAGCTGAGGCTACAGCACATGTACAAAGCCTTTTATATCTGGAGGATTTCCCAGTACATGGCTTAAACTACTGAAGCAGGGAGTCTAGCAATTATTTTATCCCGTCATTCCTCAGAGGAGCTCAGGGCAGCATATATCTACAGCCTCTTTTTTAATCGCATATCACACCTGTGAAGTGGCTTAGGCTGAGAAATAGTGGCTGAGTTCAGGGGTCAACAAACTTTTTCGCAGGGGGCCGGTCCACTGTCCCTCAGACCTTGTGGGGGGCTGGACTATATTTGGGGGGGGGGATGAACAAATTCCTATGCCCCACAAATAATCCAGAGATGCATTTTAAATAAAAGGACACATTCTACTCATGTAAAAACACGCTGATTCCCGGACTGTCCACGGGCCAGATTTAGAAGGCGATTGGGCCGGATTCAGCCCCCAGGCCTTTGTTTTCCTACCCATGGTTTACACACACAACAGGAGAAGCATCCATTGAAAAAGACAAAAAACGAAAACAAAACCAATCTTGAAATGCTGGAGAAAGGGTATGTTTCACACAGTGCTTTTCTGCATACACTTCACAGCTATCTCTCGGCCCATCCCTACCTCGTTTCACATCTACACAGCTTAATTAGTGTCAGATTTGTTTGTCTTTGTGTACACTCCAAGGAGCATTATCAGAGCAGGGTGTTTTTACTCTGTGCAAAGGTGTTCACCCCTTGACTACAGCATACCCTCCAACATGTTGAGTTCCCCAAACCAGGATGTGTGTCTTCCCAGCCATGCTCCCACATATGTCACGTGACTGACTTGAGATTGCTGCCCCCCCAAAAGGGCGAGATCTCGGCATTGAATCGGGTAAGATCGCAGTGCCCAAAATGGCTGCAGTGCTTTTGCAGGGGGAAATTGGATGTCCTGGTTTTTCCAGGACACATGGGGGTTATGCTAGAGAAGAATTAGGAATAGCTGAAGGCAGAGGTTTTCAACCTTTTTGGGTCCATGGCTCCCTTGTCCAACTACATTCTTTCTGTGGCACCCCTGTGGGGCTCAGGGACCCAGTTATGTCACCCTTTGCTTGCAGAGCCAGCAGCCCCTCACCCTTTGGGGAGTGTTCCCTCATCCACATCTCTTCTCCCCTCTCCTTAAGAGTCCTTTGGACAGCTGCAGCTGCTGGTCCTGAGCTGCCCCAAAGAAAGGTGCCTCCTCACACTGCCCCACAGGGGCCTGGGAAGCACCCCCTGGCCAGCCCCAGAGGCACCATTCACCTGAGCAGCTTGAAGCCAGGCCTGCTGCAACAAACTGCTGTGCAAGCCTTTGGGAGGCAGAGACAAAAGAGGGCATCAGAGGAAGGTAGGGAAGGAAAGAGGAACAGAGGCCAGTGTTGCCCACGGCACCCCTGACTATCATTCAAGGCACCCTAGGGTGCCACAGCACACTAGTCAAAAACCAGTAGTGTCAGGACTCCAATCGGTGCAAAGCTGGTTTGAGAAACAATGCACAGGATCCATATGCATTTTGGATAATGTTATGTGAACACGGATTAAAAACCCAGCATTGGAAACACAGTGAGCAGGAGTGTGAACACTAGCCAAGGCGTATCGAACTTGTTTCAACCAATCATCGTTAAAACAGTTCATCCAGGTCCAGTCAAGATGGCACGCTGCCGTTATTTTAAAAAAAACAAGCAAAACCTTCTGGACTCTTCTGTGTGGCTGCTCTGGAGGAGGAGACTGGGCCAAGGTCACAGTGCATTTTGTAACCAAATGGAGTTTGAACTCATTCAAACTCCACCATCCGCCATTCCACACTTGCTGCACTCCCCTCTTTTTTGTATTTGGATCCCATCACACTATTTGAAACTGAGTCCTTATGAAAACAGGATAAACAGGCCAAACTGGATGTGACACTTCCATGTCTATTTCCTCACTTTAACCAAGATCTCGGCAGCATATGAGTTAAGGGGAGTATTGGGGACGGAACAGCTTCGCCTTTTTTACCTTTTGGCCATTTGCCTTTTTTACCTCTTGGCCATTTGCTCTCCAAACAGAGATTCAGCAAACGCCTTCGGTTTTAACCTTTAAACACCCACTGAACACTTTTCTTTGCCACTTGGCTTATGCAGGCCATTAGGAAAATATTTTCCTGTAATAACAGATGATCTCTGCTTGTAAATTTTTGCAGGGTTCTCTTTGTGTATAGTTGTTGCAAACCATCTTGATATTTTTTTAATTATATGGTGGTATATAAATATTTTTATAATAAAATAAAATCACCCCTGGTTGCTTTTTTTACCAGTATAGTGGTACCTCAGGTTAAGTACTTAATTCGTTCCAGAGGTCCATTCTTAACCTGAAACTGTTCTTAACCTGAAGCACCACATTAGCTAATGGGGCCTCCTGCTGCCGCTGCGCCGCCGGAGCACGATTTCTGTTCTCATCCTGAAGCACTATTTCTGGGTTAGCGGAATCTGTAACCTGAAGCGTATGTAACCCGAGGTACCACTGAATGTGTTAGATATGAGGACTCATCTAGTTTGGGCCTGATTGGTTCTGTCATCCTGTCCTACTCCAGATTACATAGCTGGAAAATGTTTAACAGGATTCCTCTAATGCTTCTTGAGATGTTGAAACTACAGAACAAATATTGACCTGCGACGCAACACCATGTGCTCAAAGAGGAGCAAAATAAACATTTTATATAACAATAAAAGAAGCTCAACAACAAGGGGGGGGGACACATGAATTCTAAGGATTCTGATACCTACATTGCAGGGAGTTGGACTAGGTGACCCTCATGGTCCCTTCCAAATTTACAGTTCTATGTTTCTATGAAATGTGATTCACACAGAAAAGAACCGCAACATTGTACCCCATGGCCATAATCACTGGGTATATTTGTACCACACTTTGTTATGTTCTTCATGTGTCTGGAAGTCAAAAGCAAAGCCAACTTGTTGATCTCTATATTAATGTTTCTACACATTAAAGCCTGACAACATTACTTTCTTCACACATCTAACAAATCAATTCGAAAATAAAACCTTCTTCTTCTGTGGTGCCCTCACCCTGTATGAGATGTCGTCGTCATTTTACCACATCAGGACTCTCCTATCACATTGCCACCTCATTCTTCTTCATGGGAATTCTGACCACAGTACTGGGGTTGAATGTGAAAGACTCCATTGAAAAACATTTTCAGGGTTGTCACACATTAATACTCCACACTTCATCTCAACCTCAGTGAAGGAGGGGAAACATTCATACCATTGCGGACAAAGATTATAGAGCTGTTCACACAAAGGACCTCATCAACATGTTGATGTACCTCCTAGCCATGCCCCCTGAATGTTGAAGCACCTGCTAGCCTGCAAAAATATACAGATATCCCCTTGTAGCAACTTCTCTGCCTGAATAGGAACCTACCTAATCACTTAAGTGGAGGAGCCTTCCTTTGTTCCAGACTCAGAGACAAACTCTACAAAAGATTGTCAATATCACTCTTGGCTAATGGGGAGACCAATGTGGACTAGCAAGCTAGTAGGCTCTAATGGTGAAGCTAATGAATTACAAACCATAAAACCCTGTTGTACTAAACCATTGTTTAAGGTGATGCTCTCCAACATTACATATGAAAATAGGGGCATTCTAAATGCTTTAGAATGAAATGTCCCTGTTTTCATGAGGTATAGCGGCAAGTAATTTTCTTAACAATATGGGCGCTATGTATTGTATAATGGAAAGAAGAACACACTTCTTTCCCCTCATATAGTCTTCCTTGTTAGCATTTCTTGTCTTGTTGGCATCTCCTCCTCTAGGAGCCTCAAGTTGATCTTGCTGTGTCCCTCCTGCCTTCTTGGTCCCCCCCCCCTTTTCTTCTTCTAGGTTCTGTTTCTACAAACTAGAGAAGCATTGTCTGGTCTGAAACCCAGGGTGGATCATGCGTTTGCAACATCCCCTGCGCAGCCAGTGACCGGGATCAAAGATCACTGCAGCTCCATCGGCCTCCCGTTGCAGAGTTAAGCAAGAGTGTTGTGAAAACAGCTTGACCAGCAGCGGGAATCGATCAAGCTCTAGTGTGGCTCATCACCTCCCCCTAACAATATTGATCTTTTGCCTGCTGGGTTTACAAAAGAACTGCTCCCCGCTCCTCCTCCCTACCCAGAGCTATAAAACATGTATCCAGCCTTGCCTCTCGTACATTGTAGGTTTGACTCTTTGGATCTGCGCTGCTCCTTTACAGACCGACATATCCTCTTCAGCGGCTTTTCAACCCCACTGTCTGGTGATTATGGCTCTGTTATTACTGAAAAAAGGAAGGCCCCGTCCTTCCCTGCACACAGAGGACTTTTTAAAAAAGGGTGCGGGCTTCTTAGGATCTTGGAGGTGGTATTTATGAAGCTGTCTCCAGCTTCCCCCAAAGCATCTGCCATCCATTCTACTGATGTAGAATAGAATGTCCCTATTTCCTGAGGAATGTTGGGGCTGTGTGTGTGTTGGGTGCTTTCCTTTCTTCTCTGTCATGAATTGCATGTTCTGTTTGTTGCTGGTGCGTAGGAGCAAGATGGTTCACCTGAGAGGAGTCCTTGCCTGGTTGGTGCTTGTGGCCCTGGCGCTGTTGGACACCAGATGCCAAGCACAGCGCGACTGTCGAGTGAGCAGCTTCAAAGTCCAGGAAAACTTCGACAAGTACCGAGTAGGTCTTTTCAGTCTGTTTTCCTTCTTTTATGCTACTTGACATGTAAGATACTGCCTGTGTTGGCTTGTAAATTATCTGCACTTGAGTTCCAGTCCCTTAAATATAATCAAAACAGAGTTGCTTCACTTAGAATTATCATTTTAATTATTTTGTAATGATTACAGAGAAAGGAACACCAGCTCTTCAGCAAGGGAGCAAGTTGCGTATACAGACAACATACATTTAAAGCATATTTCTAACACATTCCACGCCCTGCCCCTGAGAATTCAGGGCAGTGTTTTACCCCTCACAGAGCAACAGTTCATAGCACCCTTAACAAACTATAGATCCCAGGATTCTTTGGGGCATATGCTTTTAATGTATGGGGTGTACACAGCCAAGGACAGGATGAAATGCACCAGAGTAGGATTCTTGTATAAGCAAAGACTTGGGATTATCCTTAGATTCTATAGTATTGGATTCCTCTCCCCACCCCAAAAAAAGAAAAGAAAAAGAAAAAGGATAATTGAGCAGATCAGTGTAGTGGATTTTCTAAAAACAGCAAAGTTCATTCTATAAAGCTAGGTGACTACATTTATTATCTCATATATTAGAGAAAACAGAAATACTATTTTGATTCCTGTTTCCCACATTTCTTGATGGGTTGCCTGACTTGTGTTTATTTTAAAACCACAGTTGCACTATAAAGCTGGATGTCGCTGGTGTTAATTTTTAGTCTGAAATATAACTAAGCCTAAGCACATATAACAACCAGAGATACTGTTTGCCTGTTTACTTTTAGTGAATTTCAAAAAGGGTAATTTTGTGAATCTCTGGCAGAAGTCTCTTTGCTGATTTGACTGTAGCATGTTTTAATTTCTAGCACCCAATAACCTGATTTTAGCTAATTTCAATGGTAGTAGTAATAGTAGTAGTAGTAGTAGTAGTAGTAGTAGTAATGCTTTAAAATACATTATAAAATAGGGGTGGGAATCTCAGGGATGGGGCCCAAATGACCCACAGGAAGAAAGGCTTTTCCTATGGGAAAGTACAGAATTCAGCTCTTAGAGGGCTCTAAATGTGTGGGTCAAGTTACCCTATGGATTTCTACATAGAGATTGCATCATAGTAAATAAAAGAATTGGTTTTGGATATTTATTTTACGTATGACAGTACAAATCACTTCTACTCCCTTAGAATTTTCCTTAAGTTTTTTTATCAAAACTGTTGGCTTTCCTCAGAATTCCTTGAATGTTTCTTCCATCAAGTTGAAGCTGAGAAAAATTTGCTGAGAATTCAGACAATTTTTCTAGCTAGCCTTACTGAAATTCTTCAGGTGTTTCAGCTGAAATGTCTCAAGCTGCTCCCCTTTGCTGCTAATTTTATTTTGGCAAAAATTTTGGGCGGCAACCTACATCTGGGAGAAGTCAGCAGCTGTGGCTAAAATCGGTCAGAACCGCACAAGCCATTTTAGCTTCCTAAGGTGGACAAAATGGTGGCGCACCATTTTATGTACAGAAGCTGTGGGCTGGCAGTTGCGTTTTGCTTCCTTTAAACCTGATGGCAGCCAGCTAGTTTTGTGAGTGCATGCGAGGCTATGTGGTGCACCCAGTTCCAATCTCCATCAGAGGAGAATGTCTAGGGGGCTTGGGAGGAATGGTTAATGGTGCTGCCAGAATATCTGTGGCTTAGGCAATTTCCTCCCTCTGTCTAATGATATGGCCAGTTCTGAAGCCCGTTCGAGATGCCTCTCCTTTCCTTATACTGCATCCCCTAAGCTCATCCTCTAGGCACCTCTGACAAGACCTTTTCTGCTCCTACTGCAGTATGCTGGCTTCTGGTATGCCGTGGCCAAGAAAGACCCCGAGGGACTGTTCCTTCAGGACAATATTGTAGCCCAGTTCTTTGTCGATGAGGCTGGGCATATGACTGCTAAAGCCCAGGGCAGAGTTGTGCTCTTCAAGTAAGTCTGTTTCTTTTTCCACTGCTTCCCCATAGGCTCCAAATCCCTTTCCGTGTTTTGTAAGCCCAAGCACACCCCTAAGCTCAGATTCCCAAGGCTTAACTCTATATCCATCGCTCCCTCTTTTCAGTCAGTTGGAGATATGCCCTGTCATGACGGGTATCTTCACGGAGACTGAGGATCCTGCCAAGTTCAGAATGAAATATTTTGGGATGGCAAGCTATCTCCAGAAGGGAAGTGAGTATTAGTTCTTTTTAGCATGCTGTATATTATTTGTGTTGCTTGTTTTCTGCTGATTGGTGTAACAAGTCCAAAGCTGACTAGTAAGGCTACCATTTGCAGAATTGTGTCAATCTACAGTATATATGATGCTGAAGGAAAAAAATTGGAAAGGAACAGGAACACACAATGTTTGATGTTGTGGGACAGTGGATGCATAGAGTGGCCATGTCTCCTACTTTACAGATGACAGTCCTCTGTGTTGAAGGGCTATCAGAGGATGCTGCTCTCTTTGAAGGCGTCTCCAATGGGAGGACTACTAAGCCCAAGTCTAGCCTAAAGATAAGGAACTATAAAAAGTGCCAGCAGGAGCCTTGAAGTTGCCCATCAACAGTTAGAAACACGGGGTGAGCAGCCACACAAGTTACCTGGTTTCTTCCCCACTACAGTGAGATATATTGCATTCCTGTTTAAATTCTAGTAATTATGCCTAAAGTTCCATCTGTACAAACAAGTTACCATATGCAAAATTGGCGTCCTTTTTTGTAGTTATGCAAATCCTCTCTTTTTTGGGGCGTGCATAACTTGCTACCCTAAGCATGCACCAGTAACAAAAAGTACATATAACTAAACATTATTTGCTGATAGTACATGCAGATGTAGAGCCATCTGAAGACATATTGCAGATTTTTCTGGTCTGTTGAGAAGGAGTGAAATCGACCTGTTCTTGACAGCAGTGGCAATTGTGGCCTGGCACAGCCATGGGAGAGCCAATCGGGGGGGGGGGGGAGGATTCTTGCCTGCGCAGCCAGCTTACGTCACCATTTGGTCTCAGCCAGTCGTGGGGGGCCGACAGGATTCCCCCCTTCTTTTCTTCAACCTTCAACAAGTATTCTACCTTTGCCCTGCCACGAAATCAAAGCATGCAGCTTCCTGAGGACTCAGAGTCCAAAAGGCCATTGTCCTTATCTATGTCCTTATGTGAAATACCAACTCTCAGCATTCCCTTTATTGAATGTTTTCAAATGTTGGCTCTGCAAGATGACCCTGTGAGGGCTTCTCCAGTTGACCTGTTTATTAAGCATTCGCCATGACTTGCTTGCACAATGGTTATTGACTGGATATAAATTATTCTGATTTGTGAGAGATTTATACAGCAGTGAGCATTTGTCCTGTTTGCTTGTGTGGAGTTTATAGGTCTTCTCATTAAATCATTCCACACTTTTTGATGCATTTTCCTGTCACTTTCCAAACTGCAAAAAGCCACTTTCAGTTTTTAAAGTGGATTGGTTGTGCTAAGGCAACAGAATGCTTTGATCCACTTTAATTACACAAACATAATTTTCCCAGCATGCACTTGAAACCTTTCCACAAAATTCTTATAGTCTGGAGGCACCTTGACAGAAGAATCTGCTAAAACGTAGCTATCTTTTCTGACATTTTGACAGCTTTGAAGATCAAGTAAAATCCATTTGTTTTCAAGCCCAGATTTACCCCCATTCATTTTTCCCTTTTACTTTTCCAATCTGTTTATTATTCTATCCTGTCCTTCTTCCCAAATTTGCTGAACCCAAGGGTCTGATCCAACCCCCTGCAATGCAGGAATCTCAGCAAGATCCTACACGACAGATGGCCATCCAACCTCTGCTTAAGAACCTCCATGGAAGGAGAGTTCACCACCTCTCGTGGGAGTCTATTCCACTGACAAGCAGCAATAAATACTTTACATACATGCTTTATATTTGCATGCACATTTTACATTTTTACCTTCCTTCTTGATTTTTCCTGAAAAGATTCATCTTCATATTGGAAAATGGTCACACATGTACCCCACTATACATTTAAAACACTCTTGTGCTACTTCAACAGTCATGGCTTTCCCTCAAAGAATGGCACCTGTATTTTGTTGAGGAGCTCCCAACAAAGCTTAGCACCCTTAACAAACTACAGTTCCCAGGATTCTTGAGAGGAAGCTGTGACTCTTAACATAGTACAAGAGTGCTTTAAATGTAGGGAACAGATGTGACTACCTGTATTAGACTTGATTCATATATTTTTATTTAGGCATGCACTTTAGATGTTTAAGTGCTATTTTGAAAACATAAAGTATATTTTTATTTATTTGTGTATTGTTCCTATTTATTGTCTAAACGGCAGTCAGACATCTTTTCTGCCACACATGGAATTCTGCATTCCATGTAAAACAAATCCTGGTTTAATGCAAAATGTTTGAAGTGCACAGTGGTGGCACAATGGTACTGAGCTTTCTTAATTGTTTTTATGGCTTCTTCCAGATGACGATCACTGGGTAGTGGCCACAGATTATGACACCTATGCTCTACACTACTCTTGCCGTCAGCTGAATGAGGATGGCACTTGCGCCGACAGCTACTCCTTTGTGTTTTCCCGCGATGCCAATGGACTACGTCCAGAAGCACAAAGAATCGTCAGGCAAAAGCAGACAGAGCTCTGCTTAGACAGACAATACAGGGTTATTGTTCATAACGGTAAGAAACATTTCAGTAGAATTTTACCAAAGGGTGGGTGGGCAAAAGTACTGTTGGTAATTCCTGTGCTGCTATGAAACCGTTTGCATGCCCAGGCACAGTAAGCCTGAGGTCACCGGGGAGCTGGAGGAGTGTGAGAAGCAGAAATGAAGACATGACAACTTTGGGGGATCAAAATGGCCACTACCCTTATTGTCGGCGTAGGCATTGGGTACCCATCTTGAACCAACCCGCCTGTTTGCTGGTTGATTATTCCATCGGGGTCCTCTGGTTTGTTTTTGAGGGGGCCAGACTCCTTCAATGTTCAGAGGGCTGCACATGTGATCCCAGGAGGTCATGTTGGTCCCCCACAATTTAATGGAGAAGTTGGTGCCTCTGCCAGGTGATAAGGATCTCTCTCTCTCTCTCTCTCTCTCTCTCTCTCTCTCTCACTCACACACACACACACCCATGACGTGGATTTATTCTAGGCAATCCCTCCAGGATGCTATTTTGGAAGTACTATGGCCTGTCACATCAATTTCCAGTTTGTACAAAAGCCTGTACACTAGAAAACAGGCTATTTATTCATTATTACATTTGCATTCCAACCTTTCATCAGCAACAGTTCCCATCACCCCTGACCTTTGGCTATGCTTGCTGTGGCTGATGGGAGTTTTAGTTTAGCATCATTTGGTGGGCAAAAGGTTCCCTGCACCTGATCCAGAACTTGTATTCTCTGACCCATGAGCCAATCTTGACACATCAGGGGGTCCAATCTTGACACATTGGGGAGCTCATTTTCCCCAATCCATGCCATGGCATGACATGGGCTGACAGGGGGGAGGACAAGGTTTAAACTTCCATTGGCTGTAGAATACTGTCAAATTGAGACTTGCTAATTCTGATTTGAGACCAAGGAATAAGGGTCATAGGTAATATACTTTATTGTGGCAAGATTTGAACTGATACACATGCCAGTCTAATTTCACAAATTAGCTCTAGTTGCATATTATTATGTTAACACCTTGCCTCTATTTTGTTATGTCGGCTTAGACATTTTAACAGCTTTTCTTTTTCTTTTCCGTTTTAGGATACTGCTCTGAGGAAAACGCTCAGTAGTTGCACAGTTTGAAAAACTAATTGTTTTGTAGGAAAGTCCTTCAAGCAGATTCTTTTCGATTTTGAGTATATTTATCTGAACTGTACCATTTACCCTGCCAGTATGTGGAATTTAATAAACCTGAGATTAGTGAATTACATTTTATTTGTGTTGCAAACACATGTTCATGAATTTAACATCTGTAATTAGCATGTTGCACCAGCTAAACATTCTTTTATGCAAGTGCTTACAATTATAAATCCATATTGTAGTAACTAATTTCTTATCATTTTGATGATGATGATGATGAATTTTGGTCACCACAGGCTTCCCCCCCCCCCAAGTTGGCAATCCTAGTACAGTATTTCAATTTTTAAAAAAATACAAAGTATCTATTTTGTTTACTTTCTGAACAGGAATACTTTATTCATTATTTAAAACTTTTATTCCCAGAAACAATGGCTTGACATTTTGCACCTGATCCACAAATGCTGTTGTGTTGATACATTCCGATCCATCACCATTCCAGAGACAGCATACCTGGGGAGTTCATGTAACACTCCCATGCCAATGGCTGAAGGACAATGTTCTGTGCTGACACAGCACCAAACTAGCACTGACCAAGGTTGCAAGTTGTGACATCCATGATTGCTGCAACTGCCAGTTGGCTCAGAGCCCTTGTGATAGCACCAGGTCAGGAGCTATGAGTCCATTTCTTCCATGACTAGGTTGGTGACCATGGCAACCAAAGGGCCAGGATGCAAAGGCCTCATTAAATATGGTGGAACTTTCAAATAAACTGTGTTGGGTTCATCACAGATTATCGCAGTCGTGCTTTCAGTAGGACCACACCAGTTTAAGCAGTCTGAATTTGCCCCAAAGTAAGGTGTAGCTAAGCTGAGAAACACCTCTACTCTGAAAGAGGTTTATGTCACACAAACTGACATCCTCACTACGGATTCCATGCTGAGGTTGGCGCCATCTAAAATTTAATACTTTACTATTTCAGTAATTGCACTGACATCCCTCTTTTCCTCCGAAGAGTTCAAGGCAGCATACAAGATGAATCCCTCCCGAATTTTATCCTCACAACAGCCCTGTGAGGAACGTTAAGTGAAAGAATGACCACTCAATATCACCCAGTGAGTTTCATAGCTGAGTGTGGGATTTGAACTTTGTCCCCTTTGTTCTAGTCCAACACTCTAGCCCTGACCTCCCCAACCTGGTGCCCTTCTGATGTTCTGGACGACATATCCCATCAACCCCAGCCTGCACAGCCAATGAATGAAACCACAGACTAGCTTTTTTAACCGTAGCTTGATTGAAACTCCATAGGTTTGCCAGAAGCTGTGTAAAATAACTTTTGGCACAGTTTACCACCTTCAGCCCTCAACTGTCCCTCCTGCCTCATGAGCTCAGAGAATTGTAGAGTTGGAAGGGACTCTGAGGAACAACTAGTCCAACCCCCTACAATGCAGGAATAGGCACTTGTCCTCTACAGGGATCGAACCTCTGACCTTGGCATTATCAGCACCACGCTCCAACCAACTGAGCTAGAGAAGGGTTGGGGAGGATAAACTCACATTACAATGAAAAATATTTTTTTCTTTTACTGTATTTCTTATTGGACTAATGATCAAGTTGTTTGTTTTTTCAAAGAGCATGCTGTAATGCTCAAAATCCTATCTAAAGCCTCCAAGGAAGCAAACTCGTTTTTTATTCTGGGTGGGGTTTTGTTTTCGGTGACATACATTTTGATTCTGTGCAAAACTACTCAGCAGCAGCCAAGTAACAGGGCTCAGTGGGGCTTACGTACATCCCAAACAAGTGCATTGCCTCCTGATCCTGGAAACCAGGAACGCAGAAGGAGATTCCATACCCACCGCTAGTTTTAAGGAACTCCTTTCATTCTACTTAGAAGAGTGACTAGTGGGGTGCCACAGGGTTCTGTCTTGGGCCCGGTCTTATTCAACATCTTTATCAACGACTTGGATGATGGACTCAAGGGCATCCTGATCAAATTTGCAGATGACACCAAACTGGGAGGGGTGGCTAACACCCCAGAGGACAGGATCACACTTCAAAACGACCTTGACAGATTAGAGAACTGGGCCAAAACAAACAAGATGAATTTTAACAGGGAGAAATGTAAAGTATTGCACTTGGGCAAAAAAATGAGAGGCACAAATACAAGATGGGGGACACCTGGCTTGAGAGCAGTACATGTGAAAAGGATCTAGGAGTCTTGGTTGACCACAAACTTGACATGAGCCAACAGTGTGACGCGGCAGCTAAAAAAGCCAATGCAATTCTGGGCTGCATCAATAGGAGTATAGCATCTAGATCAAGGGAAGTAATAGTGCCACTGTATTCTGCCCTGGTAAGACCTCACCTGGAGTACTGTGTCCAGTTCTGGGCACCACAGTTCAAGAAGGACACTGACAAACTGGAACGTGTCCAGAGGAGGGCAACCAAAATGGTCAAAGGCCTGGAAACGATGCCTTATGAGGAACGGCTAAGGGAGCTGGGCATGTTTAGCCTGGAGAAGAGGAGGTTAAGGGGTGATATGATAGCCATGTTCAAATATATAAAAGGATGTCACATAGAGGAGGGAGAAAGGTTGTTTTCTGCTGCTCCAGAGAAGCGGACACGGAGCAATGGATCCAAACTACAAGAAAGAAGATTCCACCTAAACATTAGGAAGAACTTCCTGACAGTAAGAGCTGTTCGACAGTGGAATTTGCTGCCAAGGAGTGTGGTGGAGTCTCCTTCTTTGGAGGTCTTTAAGCAGAGGCTTGACAACCATATGTCAGGAGTGCTCTGATGGTGTTTCCTGCTTGGCAGGGGGTTGGACTCGATGGCCCTTGTGGTCTCTTCCAGCTCTATGATTCTATGATTCTATGATTCTACTTGCCCAACAGATGTTTGTTTAGTTATTCTCCAACACATTTGTGTCTGGCTTTTCTTTCATGAAGCGTAGGGTGAAGGGGTTCTGAGGAGATCTCCCATCTAGGCACTGATTTCGCTCTAGGCAAGCTCCAACAAGGTTGCTGCATCATTGTCAAGTACGAGAGTTCCCCTCCCCCTTCTGGTAGCTCACCGATAAGAATTAATGAGCATTTGGTAGATTTATAGTCCTTTAATTACAGCATTATGTTACAAGCACAACAGGCAACCCTCCGCAAGGATATCAGTTGCCTACTCTGATTCCTCCCCACTTCCGCAGCAAGAAGCACACCAGTGAGAAGTGCCTAACACACACACACACCCCTTGTATCTCCTTTGTTCTATGACACGCTTGGACCTCCGAGTTTGGGGGGAGGGAGGGGTTCCAGCTGCTCCCTCCCTTCTGGTTGCTCAGCTACTATCTCTTAGCAGGGTAGCTCCTCTCTCAACCGAGCAGCTTCTGTGTCTGCCTCTCTCTCTGCTTCTGGAAACGCTGGAATTGGGGGGGACGGGGACAGCAAATATTTCTCCTCCTCTTCTGTTAGGAGCTGATCTCCCTGTGACTGCATTCCCCAATCTTCCGATCCAGACCAGCCCCTGACAATCATGTGCTTTCATCTGTTCAGTGGATGGAAGGTGAGCTGCCTGTGCTAAGTCCCACCTGCACTTATGCCTCACTTTCTTGACTGAACAGGTGATGCCAGAGGTGACCATGTGCTAAGCACCTACATGCACCATCCTGTGCATTTCTCATACCCCAGCAACCTTTTTACACCAGCTAGGCACGAATCCAGTACAAGAAGAAAACCCATAGACACATGTTCAAAACACACAGTATTGTTTGAATGGCTGAGTCTCCCTGTGGCTGGCAGCTACTTGTACATTTATAAACCTAGCAGTCACATGCGAACGTTTGGTTGTGTCCCTGCCACTTACACTTTTTAAAACTTGTTATTTGTTAACGCCGATCCTTTGGCTCTCACGCAAGGAAGTGTCGTCGTCCCTGCCCCATGCCAAAGATCCCACAAAATACAATCACTTTCTGAAAGATAGTAAACTGCAGAGTTCAGTTATGCTCTGCAGTCAACATTTTAACTTCTGTTTTAATGCCATCAGCACCTGTATCCATTGCTATGGGAGAGTTATAAGGTCATTTTCTGCAGCACCAAGATTTCCCAAGACCAGAATATGCTGTGCAAATCTTGATATTTTAATTCCGCCTGCCTCCCTCTTTCCCAGACACTTTCTTTAGCACACTGTTCTAAATAGCTGGTGAGATTACTGCTGTCAGAAACATCACATGGTTATGTGGAAATAGCAGACACAGTAAAATGTCTGTTGTTATTCTGTCTTAGCGTAGTGTCTGTTGCAAGTGCTTTTCTTCCAAGAGGACCTGGGCAGCAGAAAAAGATTTTCCTCCATTCATGCCTGAAGTGGGAAACATTATATAAAACTGGGTTGACAATTGAATTGGAAAATGTGAAAGCCACTATCCAAAAGAATAAAGAAGGCATCAGGTTCACGTTTGGATTGAATTTCTGCACTAAAATGAGGAGAATGGTGATGATTATCGGACTCCACATAAGAAAGAAAGAGATCATCAATACAAACAAAGTCCGCAACAGTCTGAAGTCTTTCTGGGAAATTCGAATGTGATGACCCTCTGAGTAGGCCATGCCACCATGAAGACGTCTCCTTGATTCTTTTGCAATCTGCATTAGAACATTAAAAAAACACCTTTCAGTAAATATATTTTAATTCTTTAAAAATTGTTAGGCAAACTCTGTGATTAGATATCAATAAATTAAAAAATTAGTTTTTTCTGATTAAGAACAGCTCAACAATGAAAAAAATGACACGGGGTGTTGTGGAATCTCCTTTGGAAGTTTGAAAGGGTAGAGTGGATGGCATGAAAATACACATTTTTAAACATGTTTTGGTACCCACCTTTTTTTTTTCAGTGAGCCAGATAGCTGTGCTAAATGTACTCACACCTCCACCCAACTTCCTCAGGGGATAGGAATATACAGGTAATCAAAATGTACTTTTTTAAAATGAGAGGCTGTTTTCATATCTGGGATTTTTTTTAATTATTTTTTTTAAGAGTACAGTATCAGCTCCAGGAAAGGCTCTCGCCGCAACCAGCAGCTTGCAGATGATGTGGACATCACTTTGTCATGCCTGCCTTCCAAATGCTGCTGCATCCAAGGAAAATATGCCGATTGTTTAGAAATGTGCAAGGTACCAAAATAATATGGGACACTCCAGTCAGACTTACAATCAAGGAATATCAAAATTAGCATGTTGCTCTCAGTGAGCACTGAAAGAGGGCGAAATATTATGATGAATGTTCCACCATAACAAAATTAGTAGTTTTGTTTCCTCTTGGGAAAGCAGCATTTAATCCTTACACAAATATGATTTGTATAGTGTTTGAATATTATGGAAAAAAATATTTCTCTTACTGCTTCTCATTTTGCTTTCCAATTACTGTGTTTTTTGAAATGCCAGGAAACTAATTTTGCATGCACACTCATCCACTGTTCTTCTACCTGCACACTGCTTTTTCTCAGATGGGGAAACAATATCAGTTTACAGCAGCTTTTCCCCAACCTGGTGCTCTCCAAATGTGTCAGACTACAACTCCTCTCACCTGCAGCTAATGTGGAATGGACCAATAGTCTGACTCATATCACATCTATATACTGTTTGCTATAAAATATACTAAATCTACAGAAAGTTAATGGATTGCAAATGTTATCTAGTGTAAAGAACAATGGAGAGGTTCTTTGAAATACAGTTTTATTGTCTTTTAACTTCCAAACATATTCCTTGATGGCAAAATGGAATTCTACAGGGAAGACATAATCTTCTGACGAAGGGAGGATTAAGTCATATGTAACTCTCTAGCACCACCTTCCTGGGAAATGTGTAATATTGACAGCATCTTTCAACAGCGCTGTTTGGCCACCCACAAACAGGAGCAGGGAGAGGAAGTTTCCCGGTGAAAATTCCAGAGTGCTACTTATTTAAAACATATCTTACTCATTTTTCATTGCACAGCAATTGCAGTGCAGGCTTCAACTGAAACAGTATCAAAGTCATAATGCAATGAATAAAAACAAGAAGGTCGGTCGGTCGCAGCCAGCCAACGGAAAATGTCAGTAGCAGCATCAGATTCTGCTAAAACCCTGTGGGAATAACCAAGCCCTTTGCTGGCATCTAAAATGAAAAAAAGCAGGCAGCCCGTGTATCACAGAGGGGAGGGAATTCTTAAAGTGGGGTACCACTGCCAAGAAGGCTCTCTCGTGCACTGCCATATAGCAGGCTCAGCTAAAGATGGTAAGGCCTCCTTGACAGATCTTAACAAAATGGGTAAGTCTATACGGGACAATCCATTTTTTCAGGGCAGGTAGCAACTTTGGGGTGATTTTCTGGCAGGAAAATGGCATGGAGGAGAAGAGCTGTCAACACCCCCCACACATACCATGGTGCCAGTCTAGATCAGGGTGCTAAGATTGCTTTCAGTTAAGAGTGAGAAGTTGCTGTCCAAATCACATTGTTTAAATAACATACAGTGCTACCTTGGGTTAAGAACTTAATTCGTTCTGGAGGTCCGTTCTTAAGCTGAAAGTGTTCTTAACCTGAAGCACCACTTTAGCTAATGGGGCCTCCTGCTGCCGCTGTGCCGCCACCGCGTGATTTCTGTTCTCATCCTGAAGCAAAGTTCTTAACCCGAGGTAATATTTCTGGGTTAGCGGAGTCTGTAACCTGAAGCATCTGTAACCTGAAGCGTCTGTAACCCGAGGTACCACTGTACTTAATATAATATGTAGTTTAGCCCTAGATTAATGAAATGTTGAGGATATGAAGTGATAAACAGCTCAGGTTTTGCGACTATTGCAAGTGAACTAGAATAAAACTGTTAAGAACTAGGAAGTGTGCTACTTTTTTGGCTACTTGTGGTTTGTTATTACCATCTCTAAAACTAAAACTCCATTTACTATGAGAACTCTGATTCAATTTTAATTGTGGATAACTCTATTAGCATCTTTTTAAAAAATGATGATGATGATGAAAAATACCTGTAAAATCTTTGAATAACTAATTACGATGACTAATCCTGGTATTAAGAAGATCACAGTTGCAAAAGACACATCCCAAGCAATCTCTCCTGAAACGCTGGGCCAGTCCAAGGTGCAAATTAACACTTCCTGCAAGAAAAAGAACAAAATCCCTATAAGTTTTTAGTGTTTGCTTTCACCATTATGTTTGAGAAACACAGAGAGGTGCACCTAGAGTCCCTTGTGCCTTTGGCAAGGAGCTGTATCAGTGCCTCCCCACGGGGGGGGGGGGGACACTTTAGTGCAATAGACACATCAGAAATTACTACATTTTACATGACCCCAGCACGAAGCATCCAGAGTAAAGGTGGGGCAAGGAATAAGTGCGGAAAAAATGCATGCCTTTGTGCTGTGGTGCAAGAAGGACGGGAAGATTCTCCTGTTTTTGCTATTGCTGCAACAACAGTGGCACATCTCCACACACATATACGTCATACACTTCATAGTTTGATAGGTGGTTTTTGAGCTTCCCCCCTAGGTACGCCTCTGTCAACATGCTCTGGCTTGGTGCCTGTTTTTAGAACAGATAATCACCAACCAAACAAGATCTACGGAAATAGTTAATGATCAAAATATCTTTATGATTTTAACCTGGAACATATTCAGATAAAATTCACAATTTTATTCACAAGATTTGGCAAACAAAACAAACAAACAAGCAAGCAAGCAAAAAAATCCTCCAAAAACCTACAATTTGAACCATTATGACAATGTGATGAAATAGTTTTACAAATACTAGAAGCTAATGTCATACCTGACCTCATCTTACTAGCATTAAATGTGATTTCCTTGCAAAGACAGCTGGCAAGGCGGACAAAAAATAGGAACGTAATCTATTTATTTGCTGATGATGACTCTCTCCTGTTATCTCCTGTGGTCTATGCGGTCATCTTACATGTCCACATAAACATCTGCTTTTCAAGCAATGCATAGGTACAACAGAGCTTGTGTGTTCTTGTGTGAAAGATACAATATGTATTGTAGAACATGGGACAAATGAAGAGTTTTGCAAAGGCTAGTCACCAATTCAATTCTAAACTTAACTTTGCGCATGTTGTGCTCCTCCCATAGTCACTGAAAGTTGAAAGGTTAACAGGCAAACTGAGGAGAAACTTTCATTGCTTTTTTGGCAAATAAATCCGATACTTAAATAGCACCAAGTCAGTTGATAAAAAATTGTATTTATTATGAATTCTTAAGAAATTCCTAAATTTTAATGTTTTTTCTTAATCTGACAATCAAGGTGCATCATGCCTGTGATTAATTAAAGAAAAGTCAGACATAGGTGCATGCTACCCTTTTTTCTCTGGGTCATACTTTTAAAATTTGCTCACCCCACAACATATTTCTTTATTGATAAGAAATACATTGTAAAACAAAAAGAAATAACTCCTAGCAGTACTTGACTTGTAACACAGAACACAACTACTTGAATCTTCTTGAATCTTCCTGCCACATTGGCCATCCTCTGCTGCCACACCCTTTGAGAACCACTGGCGTAATGTATAGTCTGGAACTCAAGGGAGCTGCTTATGCCAGGTCAGAGTGTTAAACAGTGGTAAACGGTGTTTCTGTGCGCTCTGGCACTCATCACAGTGTCCTGTTGCACCAGAAGTGGTTTAGTCATGCTGGCCACATGACCCAGAAAGCTGTCTGTGGACAAACGCTGGCTCCCTCAGACTGAAAGCGAGATGAGCGCCACAGCCCCATAGTCGCCTTTGACTGGACTTAATCATCTGGGGTCCTTTACTTTCATCTGTCTACACTGACTGGCATTGACTCTCCAGGGTTTCAAACAGGGATCTTTCACAGTCCTACCTGGAGGTGTCAGGGATTTAATATGGGACCTTTTGCATTAGCTTCACAACTGAGGGCTTACCCACACTTCCACTTGTGTAGAAAACACAGGTTTGTGTGGTTTCCCCTTTTCCCCCTTGCTCCACTCCTTTCCCAGGTAAAACCTGCTCTTTAGCCATGCATCAATTACTAATCCCGAAAGGGACTCTTTAATTTATCCGAATTTAATTACCCATTGATGTGGCATCCCTCGAAGTGTTCAAGTCAGCTTGCATGATTCAAAATCACGAAAACCCATTTATTTGCACCTACGCCAACTCCTTTGATACGCCTACTCACTATGTACTCTCAGTGAAGGACTCAAAGGATTTGATAATAACCAGCCTTGCCTTAGGAGAGCACCACTGAAATCTCAGCAATACCTGTGCTTTTCCTGAAGCCCTGTATGCCAGAGACAGTTATCGGGCCATTTACCATTGGTCTCTAGAATATAGGGTTTTCTCCCACTTTCTGCTTTCATGTCTTAAATGTTTTTTGGGCTTGACAAAGCCAACCAAGCAGTGGACGCATGTTGCCATGTTCTCCTGCACGGCCCTTAAAGTTTATGGAGAAGAGATACCATGGTGGAGAATAACAGCCTCTTGATAAAAGCAAACAACAGCAGTCAGCCAGCCCTACAAATCCATCATCTTCAAATGAGAACACTCCTCTTTGTTCAGATTGGCACAGCCCCAAAAGAATACAAGAGGTGTTGCTTGTTTGAAGGGGAAAAATAGCTTCATAGACTACAGAAGATTTTTATGAGATTTCTGCTGTGTCTCTTGTCCCTCCACACAATTCACAACAATAGGGGTAGCCAACAGTGTACCCTCCAGATGTTATTGGTCTCCAATTCCCAGCAACATGGTCAATGGCGGTGGATGATGGAAGCTGGAGTCCAACACCATCTAAAGGAACCACCTTGGCTATCCCTGCAAAATCAGTCTCTGACATCTCCCATGTTATATCTCCCTATTCTGACCAATAGAGATGTGAAATATCTAATCTGAAACTATGCAAAAGCACAGGAAGCATGAATTATCTTCAAAACCATTCTAAAGTCGAAGGCTACAATCCTATGCACACTTACCTGAGGCACTTCTTGGATGCATTTTCGAAGTGTGCATAGCTGACTCTATAACCATTTATATGCAGAGGGGTTTGCACTGGATTGTTAACAAACCCAAACAGCGGACTATATTGAGGGTTCACAGCTCAAACGATAAGCAAAGGGAGATTTATTGGCTGCCCCTTACAATAGGAGCAATCTGAAATTATATCTCCTCTCCATCTGTTCTGCAGATTCACCATAGTCCAAGCTTGCAGAACTTTTGGAATATCTACATGGTTTGGCTTTACAGGGACAGTTGACCTATCTGCAATGGTGTTCTGACTTAACTGAATTGTATTTTTAAGCTTTTCAATTGTTATTCACCCCAAACCTTTAGGTGGGGGGTGGAATAGATCATTACTTTGAAACCAATAAATCTCTCTCTTTGTGGAACTAACTTCACATGGACCAATTATCCCTTAACACCTATTTCAACACTTCATTGTGCAATCAAGTTAGATTCCTCACTTGCACTTCCAGTACATAATTGGGGGGTGAATTTGGGAGACCACCAATGAGCATTCCTCGAAGGCAGGACACCTGGGTTGTTAGTTCCCCCTCCCCAAATCAACATGTAGCATGGGATTTTGCAGGTGTGCCCTAAGAAATATATAATAGCAGGCTGCTTCTGTAAATGTTTCACGTGACATGAGCCCCACTGAGTTCAATGGCGTTGTCCCCAAGTGCATAAACCTATAGCCAGACTTTCTGAGCCAACTTCTTACTGGTGTGGGTGGGAGGAACTGTGCCTAACGGGAAAGGCTAATATCATACGCAGACTTAATCGAAAGCAAGTTGCACAAAAATCAGTGGCATGCCAGTAAATGTGTGTTGGGATCTGGGCAGTAAAAGGGTTGCCTTTTGTAAAAAAAAAAAAAAAAAAAAAAAAAAGACCGCCTTGTCTGTTTTATAGGGTCAGCTCACCTGGTGCTTTCCGGGCAGCGGCTGGACTGTGAAGAAAAGGCAGAGGGGCAGGGTGGCCAGCGCCGAGACGACCCAGATGAGCAGCAGGAGTCCGGCCACCAGCCTGCCTCTGTAGGCCCTGGAGGGCCGGAGCCGGACGATGCTGACCACGCGCTCCAGGCTGACGGCGGCCAGCGAGAGGATGGTGACGCTGCCGCTGAGCCCCATCATGTAGAAGAGCAGGTGGCAAACGGCGTGACCCATGGTCCAGCTCTCGGTCCAGCGCACCACGGCGATGATGGGGATGGCGCTGATGAAGAACAGGTCGGCGCAGAAGAGGTTGAGCACCAGGCAGCTGGCCACGCTCAGCCTCCGCTTGCGGCGCGCCAGGAGCCGGATGGCGCACGCGTTGGCCGCCAGAGCCAGCGCGAAGATGCACGCCAGCACGGCCGTCTCCAGGGCGCTGAGCGCCACGCGGCTGGCGCCCCTGAACTCCGAGAAGAAGGGGAAGAAGTCCGTGCGGTTCCCGGCGGGGGTCGTCCCAGCCCCGGGCATCGGGGGGAGGGCGCCCAGGGCATGAGGCAGCCTGGCCGAGCCGAGGAGGAGCCCTATCTCTCTCGCGCGCCCCGACAGGGCAGCTGGCCAAACACGCGGCCGCCGCCTCCTCCTTCCCTCCGGGCAAGTTGGGATAGCACCGTGCACCTTGCTGACTCCTCTGAAACGAGGAAGTGATAGGAGGAGGCTAGGAGGTAAATAGTGGTGCTGGCCGGCGACAGAAGGAGGGATTTATGAGCAAGGGACTATATATGACAGGAAGGCACCAAGGCCTCTTTGGCTGCGAGCCACCAGTTGCTGAGCAAGCTTCCTCAGTTGGCAGTAATGGGCATGCGGGGAATGAATGGCCATTGGAACCTAATGACAACAAACTGAACCGGGTACATTAGATGAACCATAAAAGACCGGTGGGAATTGTTGGGGTTGAGAGACCATTGTGGGCATCCTTGGAATGATATGGGCCTAGGAAGATGGGAACTAAGGCATCAGAGGAAAGGGTGTTAAACAGAACCAGTTTGGTGTAAAGTTGAGTGCCAGATCAGAACAATGGTGGCTTGAGGGAGACAAATAAGATCAGTAGAATGAGGGATCCTGGGTGAAAATACTGCAGTGCAGTAGGAGAGATTTACAGCTCATTCCCTAGCCATGTCTACTCAGAAGTAAGCTCCATTAGTTCAATGGAGACTACTTCCAGAAATGTGTGTATCGGATTGCAATGCCACTGGGCTCTGTTTTTACACTTCAGATATTTCACCTGTTACTTTTCTGGAAGTGGAATGAAGTGGGGTGGAATATTCAGTTAGAAGTTATTATTGCTAGTATTCATATTAATTTTATTGCCCACCTTTCCACTTGTCTTCCCTCCCTCCATCAGCAGGTCCCAGCGCAGATTGCATACAATTTAAAATCCAGAGGTAAAAATGGTGCCATTACAGGAATAGGGATTCCTATATCAGTGGGGTCTGTCATTCCTCTCAGGATTCCCTATTTAGAGTCATATAACAGTTTTTTAGTCAAAAACCCTATTTAGTCATGCTTATATTATCATTCGTGCTCACCCTGTTTGCTTAAAATGGCCATTGATTTTATCAGGTCTCCTGTAGTCTGTAAGGAAGATGCTTATTAATTTGAAATTTTCAGCAAGCTAGATTTTATTTGTCTGCTTAATAAAATGTAGTAGTAGAAGAAGAAATCATAAAATCATAGAATTATAGATTTGGAAGGGATCCTGATGGTCATCTATTCCAATCCCCCAATGCAGGCCATCTGACCTCTGCTCAGCAACCTCCAAGGAAGGAAGGTTCGCCATGTCTTCTGGGAGCCTATTCCACTGCTGAACAGCTATTACTCCTAACAGAAAGTTCTTCCTGATATTTAGTCAGGATCTCTTTTCTTGTAACTTGGTTTGGGCCTTAGAACATTCTAAGACATTTGAGAAAATTTGAAAACATTCCCACCCCACCCCACCCCCCAAAAAATGTTAGTGACTTTCTCTATTCAGGCTGAAGTGCAAATATATCTTAAGAACATGAGGAGTGCAAATGGACTCATGTTTCGTTTGTGGGCTTCCTATAGTCATCTAGCTGGCCACTGTGGGAACAAATGCCCAACTATATGCGCCTTTAGTCTGATTCAACAGGGCCCTTCTTATATTTACATGGCAAATTATTATGAATATTGCATTACTATCACCAATTGCCTCTACACAGTTTATTTTACGTTGCTTGTGGTAATGGACTGAATGGAAGTTCATGCTTTGTTGCAGAGTGCTCATGTGATTACTTGGCAGGACACTTCAATCCAGGCTAGTAGCTCACACACGAGTGACCTGATGCACACTTTGAAGTTGCGTATCTTGCCCTCAGTTGACCCCAAATCTCCCTCTAATAAAATTTCCACAGCATCATTTAACTGTCAAGGTGGTGCAATTCAGCAATGCAGTTATCCAGTCCACAGCAGTCAGGCTAGATTGATCCCTGCTTCACCCATACCCTGTTCCTTAACTGCATTGAACCTCTTTTATTGATGATCTCACAAGCTCAAGAATACAGTGGGTTCCACCACCCCATATTGACACGGGCTTTGTGGTCAGGCTGCAAACTATTCTTTGCTGGGTGCGTGATTTGCGTGAAACCCAATCAATACAAAAAACCAGTGACAGTTATCAGACTGTTTACCATCATCGGTCTCTACAGCCACAGCAGGCGCTGTAACTCTCCATCAATTTGACTTCACTCCTGAAAGTGCTCCGTTCCATTGTCTCCTGAGGCAGACGGATGCCAGCCCATCTAAGAAAAGCTACAACAACCCACAGTTGCTCAGTTTAGGCATTTGGGGCCTGGAAGTGCATTTTTATGGAACCCAACCCTGGGTGATCAAGCTCTCATTCTGTGTATCTCTCTTATAATGAGTTGACATAGCACTGCCACCTTAACAGGTGTATTATGCTGTTCAATGTTTACAAAGTGCTTTTACATCATTGTATTTGTGGTGTTGATTTTTAGTCATAGCAAGAGTTCATTCAAAAGGCAGTTGAGATTAGCAGTTGAGTTTCAAGAAACACAGAGGAAGTAAGGCAATATCCTTACAGCACTAACGTTGGAACGTCTGAAGCTGTCTTGTAGAGTCCATCCATTGGGCCATCTAGACCACCCTCCCCCAAACTGGCATTCTCCAGCTGTGTTGGCTGGGGCTGATGGGAATTGTAGTCCAAAATATCTGGATGGCATCAGGTTGCAGAAGGTCTATCGGCGGCCGGTTGTAGCTCAGTAGTAGAGCAACTGCTTTGCATGCAGAAGGTCATTTGCCTTTCCAGGTAGGGCTGAGAATATGCCCAGTCTAGAGTCCTGGAGAGCTGTTGCCAGCAAAGTGTTGACAGTACTGAGCTACATGGACCAATGGTTTGATTCAGCGTAAAGCAGCTTCCTAGACCAGTAGTGTCTATCTGATTGACAGCAGCTTGCCAAGGTATCTGCTGAGATTCTTTAACTGGATTCAGTTTGGGCCCTCATTAATTGAAAGCATGTGCCCTACCACTAAGGCACAAATCCTTCAATAATAGAAAGCTTAGGAGTTACACAGAACTCTTTTGCCAACCTGCTTTACAGAGCTTTCAGAATGAACATCACATTTTATTTTATTTTATCTGTTGCTGCTCAGTCAAATCAGGGCATCTTGTTAGGGTGTTTTGTTTTGTTTTTAAAAACCCTTTTGATAAATGATTAATAATGTCCCCCCCCCATGTGAATATAGTTTCTCTTGTTCCCCATGTTTGAATTACCGTATAATATACCATAACAATGCTGAAGCGCTTAGATTGTAAAACTGTTCCGATCCATTCCATTCTACAGCTTGTCTTGAAAACCTGGATTTATGGTAAGCAGTATTTCTTTTTCCTTTTACAGAATCATGTGAGACAAACTGTTTTAAAGTGTGTGGAAATGAGTGAAAGGCTTGCATATAGCAGTGTTATTCACATACTTTTACAGGGAAGTACATCTTGTTGGGCTCAGTGAGAATTATTCCCAGGTAAGCGTGTATAGATTGCAGTCTCGGTCTTTGGGAAATGTATGTTTGCCTAGAGGCGTAAGTCTGTGTAGGCTTTGAAGACGTTGTGTTCTTGGTGCTTTCATACTCCTTTACATGTGAGGGGTGACACATAGCATCTTTAAATATTTGTGGTGTTTGGCGTGACATATTAAACTCTACCCATAAAGAAGGCAGAGTCCTTTTCAGCTGGCCTTCAAGGGCTGTGAAAAAGAAATTGTTTATTGCATTCCATGCATGAAGGCATTCAGTCCTTTATTTGCATGCAGCAAATAAGAGCAGGCCAGCTCAGTTCTTTTTCACCGTCTTAAGGCAAACAGATGGCAGAGATATACTGAATATGAAGAAGCAGATGGCGAGCAGTTGACATGGTGACGAGGGTAGGCTGGCTGAGTTTGAAAATAGTTGTGCAGGAATAGGTAGGTCACTGGCCTAGGAGAGGGGGGGCGGAATAATTCTTCCCCCTCCTAAAGTTTCTCAGTTGAATCTTTCCCACAGGTTAAAGTGCTGCATTTCTCATTAAAGTTCCAGAGAGGGCCTGGTGTGGAAGATTGCATCATACTATTAACTATCTGAAACAGAGGAGCATCCAATGTTATTTGGGGTCTGAAGCAACATTATCTGCATTTCCATTTATAAACAAAGCATGTTTCAAATGAGCAGGGAAGGCTTTATGGAAGATGGATGATGTGCATCAGTGGACTTCTGTTGTGCAGGCAAGATGGACATGGATGTTGCCCACAGTTTGCATCTTAGAGGCCTAAAAATAACATTTGATGACGGCAGGTTAACACACCTGGGCAAAGACAATCCCAGTGCTGTTTGGTTGGTTGAAGGGAAAAGAACAACAAACACGTTCAACCTGACTTAAGCTGAGGTCAGTGATGGGTAGTACCAAACCAGCTGATGGGTGGGAGCCTTTATACATCAAATTCTTACCACTTCCCTGTTCCATGAGTTGCCTTTAAAACCACACTAAGACTAAGTTCTTCAGGCAAGCTGTATCAGTAATTACTATCTGTGTGACTTTAGCTTTAAGACAAATGTATTTTGTTTTAGGGAATGTTGCCTCTCGCGTGATTCTCCCAGCTCAGTCAATGGGTACTTAGGTCTTTTTTGTTTGCTTTAGTTTTATAGATTTATATGCCACGTTTCAGTGGAAGTATTTCCAGGGCAACGACGCAGTCTGCAGATAAAATAAAACATGCAAGAATAAGAAAGCAGGCGGAACCAGCATTAAAATAATCAAAAGCAGATAAAAGGCTGCACTGGAAATGCATCAAAACAGGTGACAGGCAAGCCTGGGGGCAGTGGTGTGGAGCAGTGGTGTTGTGGCATCTGATGCAGCCTCTCAAATTACCAACCAGCTCTTCACAGATAGCAGAGAAACCTGGAGGGATTCCAAAGATGGCCCACGTTCATCAGCAGGTTGATATGGCAATAGATGCCCCTTCCGCTTTTCAAGTCTGAAGCAGCATAAGGGCTCTTGAAGGTAAGGACCAGCACTTGGGACTGATCTTGGAAATGGACCAAGAAGCCAGCTGAGCTGTTTAAGCACAACAAAAATGTTCCCAACACTTCCTTGTTGTTAGCTGCGGCAGCTGTATTCTGAACTAACTGCCATTTCTGAACAGTCTTTGCCACCTTCAAGGGCAGCCCTGTATTCAACGTGTTGCAGTGGTTTAATCTGGAGATTGCCAAACCATAGACACCTAATGGCCAAGCTCTTCCTATCTATGAATGGCTTCAGCTGGCAAAAGGTGCTCCATATCACTTGAGCTTCCAGGGACAACACTAGATCTGTGTGTCTCTCCAGAAGACAAATCCTTTGGGGAGGGGAGGGTTGTACATGTTGGAAACCACCTCCCTGAACAGTCCTGCCTGCCTGCTCAGCAATGGTACTTCCATCTTGTCAGCTTTGAACATCAGTTTACTGACTCTTATCCAGTTCATTATTGATTTGACATTTTTGATGATTCTCAGCTCTGAATTCTCAAGACAGCCTCACTATAAACAGTTTCATGCAGAGGTTGTAAATGCTACGGGGTGAGTGACAATGCCCCAGATCACCTTCTAGAATTGACAATCCAGTGGTCTATAAAGCCACTGAGAGGTACAAGAGAAACAAGATGTTCTCAGTCCCCATCATCCTAACATCGGTTTGATGACTATCAGAATACAAGGAATTTTGTCAGCTCTTGACAACACACGTTTTGACAAGTATTCCCCTGATATACTGGCTTGAACTTCCTGCTCGATTGCTGTTTTAACTGTTATGTTGTTGGGCGTGTATATTATACATTTGAACTATGAATGTTTTGAGAGTTTGGGTGAAATTGTTTTACTACAGATTTTAATTATGGGTCGCATTATTTCTATTGAGTTTTATACCTGTTATTTTGTGGTTGGTCATTTCACGTTTTTGAACCACCTTGGTATTTCTTCTTGAAATGAAAGGCAGTAGATAAAATCATTTAATGCTACTAATAGTTTACATAAGGCAGCAGACAGCTTCCCTGCTAAAATCAGGTCTGAAGCTAGATTTAAATTGACCCAGGTAATAAGTCTCCTCCGGGCAATGAGTGAGCATATGGCCTGGTAATGAAAAGGTATCCAATGGCAACAGGTATAACATAATCCTGCCCTGCCTCCAAATCCTTGTCATAAAGGTTTACATACATGCTTACTAATGGGACTCCCTGATCAACACAAGCCTACACACGTATTGCTACATTTGTTAGCATTGGAAATGCTACAAAACCGTTTTGGCCACAGCGTTACACCTCTGCAAAGCTAAACTAATGAAATGTTCTATAAAGTGACTTGAGAATTTGGACCTGGGATGGTACCTTGCATCTCTTTATGCTTGCTTAATACTTCAATACAGTAGTAGAACTCCAAGGCTTTAATAAAAAGCTGAATTATTTAGTGTCAGTATAGTTTCTTTGAGTAGGGTGTGTGGGCAATTCAAGGATATTAAGTTATATTAGTATTACTTATCGTTTACTTTTGGGAATCATAAATCTATATTTGAACAGATTGAGTTTATCATGAGAATTTGAAACCAAAACTTAGTTGCATAATCCACTGCATTCTGCGTAACGGAAGCTAGACAGAAGATAACGTGCGCCAACTGGGTCAGTTTGTTCCAGTCAGGTAAAAATTAGCTTTTCCTCAAGCTTGGTAGATTTTTACCATGGAAAGCTACCTGGGTAAATACTATGCCAATCTTGGGCCTGCCCTCTTTTCAGAACAGTACAAAGCACATTTGTCACTGACAACCCCTAATACCTTAACGTTCCGGAAGGCAACATTGAGGGGAGAAGTGTCAAAGTCAGCTGGTTTACAGAATAAATTTCCTAATCATGTGCAATAGAAACACACAAAACTGTACCACTGCCTTAGCCAATCCTTCAACTGTTTTGGGCTATTATTTCCATCAGCTCCAGCCAGCATTGACATGTTAGCTGAAGCTAATGGGAATAATCCAAAACCTCGGGAAGGCCTCAGGTTGGAAAAAGCTGTCCTACATCAAGAAAGTGAATTTATGTTGGGGGAATCAATACTACACACTTTTCTTTCTTTTTTGCAGAACCCAGCTCCACTCAGAAGTCTTGAGTGTATTATCTTTCTCCAGAGAAGAAGCACATTTTGGCACTAACCCAGAAGAACAGTCTTTTAACAATACTACATCACAATGTCTCCCAACTGGCTGATAAATAAGCCTACTAACAATGCTTTTCCAATGAATATGGTGTTCCAAGTAGGCCAACACCACGTATAACACAGAATATACATATTAATAATTTTTTGTGAGAGTACCATTTACTGTTAATGGAGTAGCATACAGTCAGTACACTTTCTTTTCCTCTGTATCCTGTGGGCTTAGTTTCTCTAAAATGAGTCCTTCTGTCCCAATGGGGCTCATAAGAGAAAATGGGCAATCTACAGGCTGCATACAGCCCTCCCACATCCTTTGTTCTCCTACATCAAAGAAGCTACTGTATTTTGCTGCTGCCCTAAAGCAGCAACAAAAAATGTCCATCTAGGAGACAGGCATTTCTGGGCACATTCTGCCCATGCACAAAGCCCTGTCAGAGTGGCCATTCCAGACATTGTTGTTTTTCAAGATATATTTTTATCTGCAGCAGTTCTTCTTATGGTTCAACTTGACAGTTTTGTGTAGGAATCACTGCTTGATTCTGGTGAAGGCAGGCAGGTTTGCAATGTTTTGGATGGGTGTGTGTGTGTGTGTGAGAGAGAGAGAGAGAGAGAGAGAGAGAGAGAGTGTCTCGCTTTTTGATTGGTCTTGTCTGCCACTTGGGATATGTGGTCCTCCCGCAGACATAACCCCCCACCCGAAAACGTGGCACTTGATCCTGAAATGTTTGTCCACTCCTGATTTAAGGCAATCATATGTTTCAGGGATATAAGAGGCTAAATGAAATAAGAACATTGTAAAAAAAACCCTTATTTTAAAAATGATGACTAATTTTTAAAAAAGCTAAAACCCGTACAACACAACCAGTCTGAAAAGCCTTTGCTATTTGAAGGCAGCATTCTGTTCAATGCTTTGTTGTTAAAAGGGTTCTGCAGAGTGGCCTGAGGAGTCGAGTGCAGTGCTAAGTGTGGTGGCCCTGGTGGCTGGAGCTCATGCTTGCTCTACCACAAACCAGTCAAGATCAAAGCACGTCTTTGTTGATTTAAAGCAGAGTCTGTCGTGCCCAGCGGAAGGATGAGCAGTACGTGCTACATACTCTATATTGCTTTATTTACAGTTCAAAGCTGGTATATTACAGAAAGACATCTTGCCTCTGCCGAAGCAGAAAAATGCATCCTCTCTCCTCAACAGCTCGGAGAGAATCACACAGTGAAAAACAGGAAACCAGTGTACGTCACATCCAGTCTCCCTTTCCCGTGAGAAACTCCAACAGTAACTCTGACTGTGGAATGCAAAACAATGTCTTGTGACTGCAGTTGCTGCTCAGTGAAGGAAATAGAAACCAACATCCTCCCCCTTTCTGTGAACATCACTGGGCAGCGTGTTTGCACAATATCAGTACAAACCCAACTTCTGCACATAGGTACAGTGTTGATCCCTTGATACAATCTTGGACAATACATCAGCAGGAATTTCATTACCTGGCATATAGGACACCGTTACGAGTCCCTTCTGAATACATTCCCTAGCATGCTGCAACTTTAATTGCAAGTGCTTTGTGCTTTGCTTACAACCTTCAGACTTCAGCAAAGCCAAACATGCTTTGTTGTCCTGGTAAACCTGGATTGGACATTTGACAGGAATTTTCATATCTTTGCACAATTGTACTAACCATTCACAATCCTTAAGTGAATAAGACAGTGCATTCAGTTCAGCTTCACAAGTACTTAAGCTAACTGTTGTTTGCTTCTTGCATGACCAATCAAACAGACTCTGATTGTACATGTAGCAAACTCCAGACGTACTTTTCCTGTCTGTAGCGTCACTTCCAAAACTTGCATCTGCAAATATCTCAAGACCACCAGACTTCTGATTGTTAAATCTCAGTCTGTAATGCATAGTGCCTTTCAAATACCGCGCTATGCGTTTCAGAGCTTTCCAATCCTTGACACTAGGATTGTTGACTTGTCTGCTTAGCAAATTACAGCTAACAGCAATGTCTGGTCTTGAACATCTGGCAATGAAGTTTAGCTTGCCTAGCACACTCCTGTACAGTGTAGTGTCAGAAAATGCTTCTTCAGTGTCATCTACCTGATAACCTGTTGTCATCGGTGTGTCTACAGGGTTAGCATCCATCAGAGTTAGTTTGCTTAACACATCAGCAATTTTCCGTGACTGGTGTACTAGAATGTTACCATCTTGATCTCTCTCTATTTCCAGAGATAGGTAGTTGTTTACCTCACCAAGATCTTTCATGTCAAAGTGCTCTTTCAGTTGAGCTAGGGCGCTATTGTACATTGCGACATCTTTCCAAAAGAATAATAAATCATCAACATAAAACAAACAGTACAGTTTCTTTTGCCCCTCCTCTTTGACAAATACACATGGATCAGCTTTCCCTTGCTGAAAACCTAGAGAAAACAATACTTCAGTGAGTTTTGTGTGCCAACACCGTGCACTTTGTTTGAGACCATAAAGGGATTTCTTCAGAGCACAAACAAATCCCTGTTTTACCTGTACGCCATCAGGTGGAAGCATATAAAGTGATTCATCTAGAGATCCGTACAGAAAAGCTGTATTAATATCATGGTGACTAATGTGTAGATTTTCCTCTGCAGCTAGCTTAAGCATAAGCCTAATGCTTTCATATCTCACTGTGGGTGAATAGGTCTCGTGATAGTCTTCACCTGGTACCTGTGCAAAACCTCTGGCTACCAATCTGGCTTTGTGTCTGACTATCTTGCCATTTTGATCTGTCTTCGCTTTGAAGACCCATTTGCTTCCAAGCAGTTTCATTCCTGGAACTACTGGAACTAGCTCCCATGTTTTGTTCCTTTCTAAGGAATCAAGCTCAGCCTTCATGGCATTTAACCATGGCTCAGCTTCCTTTGAATCCAAACCCTGGATTTCTTGGAAACTTGAAGGTTCAAATACCTTCTTGGAGCTTTTAACAGCTGTTACTGCTATCTTAGCAAACTCATCAGCAAATCTCTTTGGAGGTTTGCCTTTTGTGACTCTCTGTGACCTACGAATTAGCCTTAAGTCTTCAACACTCTCCTCTTCCTTCTTAGGAGAAAAACGACCTATTGTGAACAATGGTTCCTCCAATTCTTGATCAGAGCTTTCAGAGGGTCGCATAGAGGCTTTCGCACTCTTGAAATCCTCTGAATCACCCGATTCAGTTTCAGATTCAGACTCAGAACCTTCATCAGTGGGTGTGGGCTGTTGTGGTTGCTTTGACTATCCTCAGTCTCATCACCGTCATCAGGATAACATTGGAAAATTCCCACATTCTCCCCCACTTTGCATTGTACTCAACACTTCTCGTGAGCTTAATTGTCTTAGAGTCAGTCATCATTATTCTGTAAGACCCTTTCTGATAACCTAGAAAGATACCATGCAATCCACGCTTGTCTAACTTGGAGTTTTGTGGTGAGCGAACCCACATGTCAGAACCAAAAATCTTCATGTGTTTGATGTATGGCTTCTTGCCAAACATCTTCTCATAGAGGTACAACCAATCGCTGAAGATAATCTGCGATTGTAACTGTAAACAAAACACGAGAGAGATTCGGCCCAATAACTCTCTGGAAGATTGGCATCATGCAGCAAGGTTTTTAAGCCTTGAAGCAATGTCTGATTTGCCCGTTCCGCAAGTCCATTCTGCCATGGCGAGCGAGGACTAGACAAATCGTGTTGAATTCCTTTCTCAGTCAGAAAAGCTTCAAACTGCTGAGAAGTGAATTCCCCCCCGCGATCACTGAAAAGAGTCTTTATCTTCTTACCATGCACATTTTCCAACCAAGCACAGAATTCCTTGAACCTAGGAAAAGCCTCCGATTTCTGCTTGAGATTGTACACAAAAATATATCTAGAAAATGCATCAATGAGAACCATGAAGTATCTATTTCCACCCAAAGAGGGCGATAGTGGTCCAACCAAATCAGCATGAACAACCTGGTATGGTTCTGTAGCTTTCCTACTAGACACCTTACCTTTCGCAGCCATTTTCACCTTGTTTGCTGCGCATGCTTTGCACTTCATGTGGTACCTGCAGGGTTTAATAGTCATACCTTCAACCAAGGCAGGCATTTTAGATACTGCCTCAAAATGCAAATGACCAAATTTTCGATGAAAATCGTGAATACATTCTGCATGCAAACTTTTGTTAGAACCTGCAATGCAACAAGTGTCATCCTGCACCACATCATCATAATACAAAACAAACAAATGATCAACATATTCTGCATGCAATACATAATCATTTTTCTTTGTGATGATGCACTTCTTGTTCTTGAAGGAAACGTCAATGTTCCGCTCATTCAGCTGTCCAACGCTGAGCAGATTATGTTTGGCGTCTGGCACGTAAAGCACATTCTGTATCGATAAGTCCAAACTGTGAAGAACAACAGTTCCGTAGCCTTTACTGGGAATAGTGTGGTCATCCGCCTGGTGAATCGCACCTTCCTGCGGTGTAAAAGACACAAACAGTTTCTTATCGTTGCACATGTGGTGGGTGGCCGCTGAATCAACAACGAAGAAAGATCTAGACGTCTTCTGGACCTCTGCAACCTTTGGAGTGAAGCGTGAAACCATAGCCTTGTGCTGCGTTGTCCTAGACACCGGACCTTTGCCTTTGCCTCGGCCTTTTCCGCGCGATGAGCTTTCGCTGCGCTGCTCTGTCTTGGCCCTGGGATGTCTGCATTCCCTCTTCATATGGCCTAGACGTCCACACGAGTAGCATTTCACTGCCTGCAAAGCTTTAGCGCCATCTGGTGGTTCCACTGCACTATGGGATGACGTCTGTGAAGACTCCCCCTTGCCCATGCAGCTAGCACCCCGGCGATCTGCTTCATTTAAAATCACGGCAGTAACAAAGTCCACTGTCAGCTGAGCAGTTGGTTGCACAGCAATCTGGGTTGCAACAGACTCCCAACCTGAACCCAAAGATTGTAGTATCATGAAAGAATACACAGCCTCTGGAAAGTTGAGTCCTCTCTGTTGCAGCTCATGTCTCAGATTTTGCATCTGCATCAGATGTAAACGCACATCTCCACCTTCAGCAAGAGCCATATTATGCAGCTTGTTAAAATAAAACATAGTGGATCCAGCTTCTGTCCTTAAGTGAGCCTCTCTCAGAGCGTCCCAAATTTCTCTGGCTGAGGTCTTATCACGCAATAGACAGAGCTCTTCTGGGGATACTATCAATGTAAGAGTTCCCCTTGCTTTGGAATCCTTAGCTTCCCATGCATCTGTAACTGGAACTGGGGGGGTTTCTGTAATCACCTCAAACAAACCCTCTTTCCGCAGAATTGCCTCTGCATACTGAACCCAGTCGCTGTAATTTTTCTTGTTGAGCTTAGGAATCCTACAAGCATCCTGAAGGGCCATCATGACTCTGGCATTAGCCTTCAGCGTCATATGCTGCTTTAAATCTTGCTGCGTCACTGCTGCAGCTGCTTCATTACAAAGGCACACTTAAAAGTTACTTTCGATTTCCCCAGCATAGTGACTTGTGCCTGGGAGCCTTTTGCCTATTCCCGGCAAAACCGGCTTTAAAAGTTCAAAGTCCAGCCATAAAGCCATTAACTTGAAGCTGGCAGGCTGCCCGGAGCAGTAGCACATACCTCATCAATCACTTCTACGCGCAGAGCAGATTCCTTTCCGATCCGTCCCTCTGCATTCCGATCCTTTGCCGGCACTCCGATTCGACCTCTGGAGTCCATAACCACGTGTTGATTTAAAGCAGAGTCTGTTGTGCCCAGCGGAAGGATGAGCAATACGTGCTACATACTCTATATTGCTTTATTTACAGTTCAAAGCTGGTACATTACAGAAAGACATCTTGCTTCTGCCGAAGCAGAAAAATGCATCCTCTCTCCTCAACAGCTCGGAGAGAATCACACAGTGAAAAACAGGAAACCAGTGTACGTCACATCCAGTCTCCCTTTCCCGTGAGAAACTCCAACAGTAACTCTGACTGTGGAATGCAAAACAATGTCTTGTGACTGCAGTTGCTGCTCAGTGAGGGAAATAGAAACCAACAGTCTTAACATGAGCCTGGCCAAATCCAAACTTAAGGAAAGAAACTTCAGAATTTTACTAGCCAGTTTTGTTTGGCGAGATTGCAAGATAGGACGTTTTTCTTGTAGCATGGTCTCTAGTTTGGCATCTGTTCACCTAGTGCCATACAACCAACAATATCTGTTTCCAGATTGGTGTGCGATACCTGCGAGGTGATTCACTGCAAACAGTTTGCATGCCAAATTGGGTAGCGATTTTACAAACACAAGGCATGGGAATTTCCAAAATATAAGGCATTACACCCCAATGGGATTTCTGAAAACGAGCAGTGACTGTTTACAGTCAAGTTAACTTAGGCTGGGGAGGTGGCATAATGAGAAGAGTTAAGGAAGTGGCAAAACAGGGATGAGGAACTGAAGGCAAATGAAGGTGATCTCGTATATTTTAGGGGATAGGAGAGGATGATTTCATGAACTCTGAGAAACACACCACTGCATACATAGCTACAATTTGCCTAGCTGTTTGATTTGCCTTAACGTTCACCAGCTATTAAAAAAAGACACAGAGAGCGTTGGTGGCATAGCCAATTCTGTTTTATTCATTTAAAAACCATTTCCTCATACAGGTTCCCTGATAAATTCTATCCCCAGCTTTTAGCTGTGGGATAGCAGAGTGCAAACAGGAGTGTATTTCAAGCAAACAAAATGGCTGCAACAGTCTTAAGAGGCACCCTGATGCTCTGAATTTTGGGTTCACTCTTTTTTTCCTGCACACAAACACAAAATGTTTGATGGAAGGTAGAAGAGGCACTATATAAATTTTCTGCTACACGCAATTGTCGCCACACATTCCCTCAGGTGGGCTACATCCTCACAGAGACGCATATATTAGAAACATTTTCCTTTCTGCCCCAAGGTTCTGAAAATGCATTTCTGGAAACAGACAATATATAAAGCAGAAAATATTAATCCAGTAAAACAAACTACGTATATCTTCAAGATCGAAACAGGAATGTTAGGCAGTAATTTTGTTGACTATTTGCATGGGGGTATTTGGTCATGGAAAATAAAATCAAACCATTTCTACTGGCTCCGGCTGTGCAAATACGGCACAATCAGTAGTTTAGAATTTACATTATCACTCTAAAACAAAACTGTTTCCTGTTTCCGTAGATACTGTTAAGGACTAACCCTTTGTAAAACAATAATAATGAGAATAGAAGTGCATATCATGGGAATAGGAACTGTGGTCCTTTAGAATCTTGCTGCTTTTTTAACAAGCCATTATTTTCTGTCAAAAATACATGGGAGCGACAAGACATACCTACAAGTTTGTCCTTGTATTTAATCTGCACAGAAGTCAATATGGGCTAACAGCTCCCTATGCTGGCTTGTAGGATATTGTGCTTTGCATTTGGGGCACTCCAGGAAACTTTCATCAAGAAGATTTGAACGTTTGGGTGAAGGACATTTGTTCTGTATTGTCAGCTTGTCTTCAAAGGCAGCCTGGAAGTTGTGCAAGACTTCTGTACATCCTCCACACTCTGGAAGCTTCTGGGGAAAAATGAATTGGTGCATCTAAATATTTCCCTTTACAAATTAGCAATATTCCTTTATAGGTCTAGCCAATCTTCTTAGCACCCAATGACTCTAGAAACACAGTACTACTCACTGAGGGCTCAAGGCGAGTTATTTGGTCCCTTGCCTTGCGCAGCTCCTTAAGGACTTTGCTCAACTGATGCTGCAAGTTCTGACGGTCGAGCTTCTCATTCTCAAAGTCAGATGTGCATGCCTGGATCTGGAAAGAAACGTTGGGTGAAAAATCAGAGAGTCTGTTACACACGGCAGATTTCATGCTATAATTACATGAGCTCCTTAGGAAAACAAAAGGTTGGATCTAAAGCAAATAAATAAATTAAAGCCTATTTTGAAGGGTTCGTGCAATGTATTTTTAATGTTCTGCTACTGCATGTACGGGGACATGGGTGGCACTGTGGGTTAACCACAGAGCCTAGGACTTGCCGATCAGAAGGTCGGCGGTTTGAATCCCTGCGACGGGGTGAGCTCCCGTTGCTCTGTCCCAGCTCCTGCCAACCTAGCAGTTCAAAAGCACGTCCGGCGGGAATGTAAACGGCGTTTCCGTGCGCTGCTCTGGTTCGCCAGAAGCAGCTTAGTCCTGCTGGCCACATGACCCGGAAGCTGTACGCCCCCTCCCTCGGCCAATAAAGCAAGATGAGCGTCGCAACCCCAGAGTTGGTCATGACTGGACCTAATGGTCAGGGGTCCCTTTACCTTACTGCATGTACACACATGTTGTTAAGTCCTTTAATATTTCAAAAAGCCTCGCTACCATAACCGTAGAATTAAAAGAGTAGAGATTCTACAGAGGGATGCCAATTAAATGATGAATGGATTTTAAATTCTCACTTAGTTCAAAACTTTCCTATCAGCAGTAAGTAACAAGACAAATCGCTATCATGAAAAATGCACAATATATCTCGATATCAGGAAGAACAGCTTCCTTGCTTGTATTGTAATAAAACTGCCTAAAATATTAACATGAATATTATGCCTATGGGTTTTAGTTCTGACTGAAAAGTGTAATTAAAATAATAGTGTGTAACCTGGTACCTGCTGTTCCAAAGCTGTTATCCTTGTGTGTTCTTCCTGCTGTTTTAGCAAAGATCTCTGAAGCATCTCAACCTATACCATGTGTAAAAGACTATATTAACAAGACAATTCTATAAGGTGGTTTCAAATAATCAACCTATGTAAATCCATGGGTTTTCATTGGTTTTATACATCCTTACTGGTAAGATGGTAGAGCTGCTACTCCAGGTTCCTTGCTTTTTAAAGTTTTTAAGCATGCTGAACAAGTATTTTTAGGAACAACCCTATTATTGGAATTGTGTTTTATATTGCTTTTATTGTTGCACTTTAAAGTGTTGTAACCCACCCTGGGACTTCAGAGTGAAGGGAGGGTAATAAATTAAATTAAGAATATTTTGCTTCTACTTGGTTATGCATCTCACCTAAGAAAAAGGGACAGGGTAGAGAACAGTGGTTCCCTCCTTTTCCTGCTGCCTCCCCCCCTCCATGTTTCTTTGCTCAACTCACACCCAAGGAGACCAATGCATGGAAGCACATATTGCTTGCCAATATAGGACAGGTATCTAAGCAAAGATGCTGCCTGTCCACACTTGGTTGATTTCAGTGGTAAGGGCCCTTGAAATGCACACTCCTTTGAAAGCAATGCAGTGTGGCTAATCAGCATTGGCACTTACCACATTTATATGTGCATCTGATATAATTCACAGCCCATTGAATTAGGGAGGGGGAAAGGGGTAGGGATCATGTTGGAGGTCATCTTCCACCCCAACTCCATAAATGTGTACATTGTGAAAGTGAAGTCAGCAACTCCCCTATATACCAACCTGGGATGAGAGTGCTTGCGTTCGTTTCCTTTCTTCCTCAAGCTGGTCTCTGGTCACTTCATTTTCTTGAGTAAGCCTCTGCAGCATCTGCCCTTTGAGGTTGTTTTCGTCCTGAAGAGTCTGAATGTCAGCCTGCTTGTGCGACTTTAGTAGACTATTTAAATTCATCACCTCCTGCTTGGCTTCGTCATACTTCCTTTTGAATTCAATGAGGTCAGAATGCAGCTGGGCTACGGAACGCCTTTCTGTCTCTAGATCATTTCTGGCGGCTAGCAACAACTGCTCGTAATATCTTTGCTTATCTTCTGGCAGGAACCCACAACAGAACATGGAAGAGAAGGGGAGGGGATGCTTCAACGAAGATCCTTAGCAAACTCACACCCGCAGAATGTATTTGTAAACAAAAATGAACAGCCTTATTCTAGACTCTGCCTTGCCCCTCGCAGTAAGCTGTATTTCCTTATTCAGTTACTCAGAGGGAAATTTAAGACGCTAATACGTTGTTAAAGAAGAACATATTCTATACCAGGATAGGGGGCAGATCCAATCCACGCCACTATGTGGCAATCTTGCAATTCCTCGAGAGGGGAAAGAAGGGCTCCTTCTACGTTCAGCAGACTCTACACAGCCAAGCTGCCGGGGCTAGGCAGCAATGGCACCATGAAGGGCCCCCGACTCTAGTCCTCAAGCAACTTGGCAAAGGTTTTGAATAGAACCAAGGCACACGCCTTTTATCAGAGGACAAGGTTAGCCCCATCACTTCCTGATGATTCCATGAAGTCCATCCCTTTGATGACTGAGGACTCACAGAACCACCACAGAGCTAATCATGGGACAGACTTCCTCACAGCGCTACAGCCAGGTTATAGATCATCAACAGCTAAATTGGCTAAAAACCACCAGATGCTTAATGAGCGTGTTTTATAGTAACAAGAGAAAACTGATCGGTTTCCAGGAAGAAACCAGACACTATGTATTTGATGGATATGAAATCAGCACAGGCAAGCAAACTGTAAGGCGACAATGACCTGTTATCAAGAAGTTTCTCCACAAGTTTCTGTTCTATGGAGGTAGCTAGTTCTTAAGAGATGCACACACTCCATAAGAGTCGTATATTTTTCTAATTATCCATGCTTTAAAATCCACACCTACAAAACAACTTCATATATCTGCTACAAAAACGAATGTCACATGCTGGTGACTTGAGCAATGCCAAGACAACTCAATATTTATTTATCCCAACACCCATGATTCGCAGCTAAGCAACAATCAGTATATATTTGTACACCATTTTTATTTTTTATGTTTACAGCACGTGTATAAGTATCCAAAAAGAGTGATAATTTAATTTAGTTTTATGCTTGTAAGTGTTCATAACTAAAAACAGAAAACTGATCTGGGATATCTTTCTCCATATAAACTACTTTGTTGTGCAATCTGTTGAGCCTGAAGAAAAGCCAGCTAATACCTTCTGCCCTGGTTTCATTTGGTTGGTGTTGGTTAACAGTTTCCAGCTGCTGTTCCAGTTCAAAGAGCCTTGCCACAAGGCTCTGAACATAGGCCTCTCGCTGTTGGTCATATATTAGCCACTGCTGGTTTTTCTCCAGAGCCTTGAGAGGGAAGATAATAAGTAAGTTGGTTAAGAGTTGCTTCAAGGAAAGTGTTGATAACTTACCTTTCTGTAAGTCATATGTATTATCAGTACACGAAAAGCATCCTACTTGGCACAGGCGCCTCAGCCTAAAGAAGACTGTGTTTTTCAACTTTATGCTTTCTGCCAGTTTTGAAATATTTAACTGTTAAAGATCATGTGAACACAAATTTCAATAAATAAAATTCAACTTTAGCTGCAAAGTGCACCTTGGAATTTCCGTCAATCACACACACATGCCTGTTTTTGCTATTATTTATGCAAGAGGTGTTTACCCGTTTTATCAACCTGATAAAACATGCCCAGTACCACCAAGGAGCACTCCCCTAAATCTGAGAAACACCCTTTGGGTATTAAGAGGTGCTGCCATCACATGTTTTCCTCAAAGTGATTCGCAATGTCAGAAGCTAAATACACATAAATGAATTTACTTTTAATCAAACAACCAGATCAGCTTTTATTTAAGATCAGGAAAACCTTGTAAAGATAGGGCGAGTATAGGCATACCATCTGCTGATGTCATTGGTTATCTCTTGCAAACAATACAGATTGTGAAATACTCCGGGAAACAGAAGCTACCTGAGAGATTTTCCAAAGCACTTTTAAGCATGTATTATTCTTAAGATTCACTTCTAACGATGACAATGCTACTGAAACCACACTTATTCACATTATGAAGCCTCAAGATATTTGCTTCAACATACAATTCCAAGAGTTAATTATACTGTTTTAATAAGATCAGCAAATTATTATTTTATAATATAATTGCATATTTTGAATGTTAAAGAAAAATAGGCACCCCAAACAAGCTTTGAAGTTGGCTTTGTATAGGCAAAGCAGTTACAAAAGTGTGGTAGGAGGTTGCGTTTCCTATTCCAATACCTATAAAAATTTATGGCTCCATGCAGCCCAAACAGTCTGTACCTGTGCTACCTGGTAAATCTCCTTTCTACGTTAACTTTGGCCAGGATCCAAAGAACTACTTGGGCCTGCAAAACAGGCTTGTGCTAGCGCAGTGAAATTTGACTTTTTCTTGAACCACCACCTCCCAAGTCATATTGAACAGTCTTCAAAATGGTTTTTAATTTCTGGAGTAGTTTGTATGCATCCCAGTGGCTGCAGTTAGGGGGCATGATATACTTTCTTCCAAGGCTCACAGTACTATTTTCGTGTGTGTGTGTGTATTTGACATATGCAAAAGTTAGCTACAGCAACATAAAGGGCAGCATCCAACGAAGTAGTCTGTTAGCACAAGGACTTCCACCTAAACAATGTGACTTTCCCTGCCTCTCTTCTGTGCACTTCCTAGACTGCTCTGGGTGTTCCCCCAATCCTCCAGAGCAAATTTAGTTAGGGTGTGTAGGGAGGGAAAGTTCTGTTGTGCAGCCATAAATCCTTGTGATAACAGAACTACTTCATTGGACACTGCCCAAAATCATAGGCATTCAGTCCTGAGGCTCGCCTACAACTCTATACAACAGTTCAAGCTTCGAGATATGCATTTCTATACAATTAACCACTCTAATTGCTAGTTTACTGAGAGTGTAGTAGCAGAGGCTTATACACAGTCAAAAGGTAAATGTCAGTCTTGAAACATTATTTTGTATTATTTCACACCCATGGAGGGAAATGCGGAGCTTGTTCGCCTGTCACTGTCCCTTTTGCTTTAAAAAATAAAAATTCTAAACGATGCACAGTATTAAGCATACTTAGATGCAGGTGTGTAGCAAGGAATGAAGCCATGACACAGGTAGGGCAGTGGCTCCATCTGAGCAAGTGAGCAATGGCAGATGCCCAAGAGATCAGAAAAATTTGGTCTGCATGTAAACGCCCTGGTGACTAAATACAAGGAGTCATCTGTAGATTATAGGGAAGTTACAATATTAAAAACTAAAAATGCATAATAAGTACAAAAATAAACCAACAATTCTTCTTTCCACAACACATTCATCACATAAAGCTTGATTGGGGAAATTTGCCCTTCTTTGAAGGAATCGTAAAACACCTGAACATAAACTTGGCACAACCTATCCATAGGGCGCCATCTGTGGTGCGGTGCTGAGACAATCCCACAAGCCAGTCACAGTTACTAGTTTGGGCAACATTTTTTGAAGAAATGCTGGGCTGTATAATTCTCATTTATGGTCAAGTAAAGGAGACTCATGGAAGCAGGTATAGCTCACTGAATCCTGCCCCCACCCCAAGTGAGGAGACCAAGTAGAGATCTGAACATGGCCCAAACACAGCACTCTAAACATTGCCAATTCACATTTCTGCGGCACAAGTATAATTAGAAGTGTCACTTACAATGCCAGCTAGAACATTGCTAACGTCTGAAAGGTTACTTGCATTTTAATGCAAAGCAGCCCGTAAAGTACCATTTCATATCTGCTTCACCTGTCTGGGAACTAATTCTTATGTGAAGTTGCGGGTGAATAATGGGCTGGAGCTGTTGCTTTCAAGTTCTGAGCAGTCTCCCAAACGCAGCCAGATGCTTGTGAATGTAAATCTGGACTAGACAATAGACCTTGGTCTAATCTAGCATGGTGGTTCCACTTCTTGCACTCTTAAGTTTACATAGGAAGCTGCCTTATTCACAAGGATAACATGGGTCCATCTAGCTCATTATTGTCTACAATGGCTAGTAGAGCTTCAAACGTGGGTCCCCCCCAGCCCCACCTGGAGATGCCAGGGTTTGAATCTGCAACATTCTGCCTGCAAAGCAGATGTTCTGTCACTGACCTCTACCATACACATCTATTTGGGAGCAAGCCCCGTTTCGAGGACGTAGAACTTGCTTCCAAGTAAACATGCAAGGGATTGGCCTGAACTATTAGGTATTTCTCTTCAGTAGTATATATACACACACAGTGCCATTTTAAAAAGAATCTTACATCTTTCAGTTGGATTTCAACTTCATTTGCTGGTGTTCCAGTGCAGTTTATAGCAGTTTCCTGCAAAACACAAACCAGTTCAACAGTTTAATTTTGCTAAGCTGGGTGTACATGTCTCTTATTTTTAGACAAGAATATATACAACCACATCACGGCATGCATTCTTCTAAGACCAACTTGTTCTATGTAATAGGGAAAGCATCGTTTTAAAAAGCCAATTGACTTCTTATGCGCACTACATCAAATATCTTCTGAAGAATTATTTTCTTCTGTATTGTGGGTTGAAAAGGAACTACCTGCAATAGAAAAACTTCATTAAATTCACTATGGGATATGCCCCCAAACTCTCAGAATCCTTTGATTAAGCTCCAATGATATTGCTTTGATTGCTCTGACCAACTACATCCCCAAAGAATATAAAATATTACACATCAACATTACATAAAAACCAATTAAAATGCAACATGATTCAGCCAATACACTTGAAGCAAGCACCATGGCAGCAATACAGGATAGGTTAATATATTCTTCATAGAAAACTAGTTCTACAAATGCTTTTGCAGCATGGCGCACCTTCAGCAACTAGAACAAGGGTATTAATGCAGTGCTAGATGCACCTCTGGGATAGATTGTTCCAGAGGTGGGGAAAGATGACATAAAAACCCCTACACCCATCCCTCTGCTTCACCCAGGATGGGACAACCATGAGGGAAGAGGCATTCTGTCATATATTTTGGCTCCAAACAGTTTAGGAATGGATGTGTTACTAGCACCTTGAGTTGGACCCAGAAGCATACCAACAAGTGCACCTCCTTCAAAGTTGGTGTGGCCTGTGTTCATACTCGGCTGCATTTTGCACTAGTTGCAACTTTTACGTAACAGGTGCTAAAATGGATTTCAAAAGATTTCGTATTTTAGGTATTGGGAACTATTTTCAGCAGACACTATTAAGTTACACACTGAGTTATTTGCCAATCTGCGCCTTCCAAACCCAAATGGGGATTCAGAGGGCTTTTGCATTACTAGGGGAATATATATCTATATATCAACACACACACACCCTTTGGAAGCCTTTTCGGTTTATTCAACTCAGTCCTACAGGAGTAAGTATATTGCCCATTAGCAGAAATTAATTCCCTTCTAGCACAAGGCTGATCCGACTTGAACGTAACCTGCGTTCAAAATGCATTTTCAGCAGTTGCACATCCTAGCCACAATCCCATATAAACATAAGTATGCTTAAGCTATTGAAATCAATCGGCTTAAGTGCATTCAATTCTGTACTGGACTGCGGCCAAGGGGTTTAAATACTAGGATTCCCAAATGGCATACTAAAAATTAAACAAGGCGCTAACTTGTTGCCGGCCCTAAAATATCAGGACTAACTTCTTTTCCTGTAAATGTTTGATCACCAATTGAAAACACACACAGCCAGCCTGTAACTTATACAGTGGTACCTCGGTTTATGAACAGTCCTGTTTACAAACTATTCGGTTTATGAACTCCGCAAAACTGGAAGTAGTGTTCCAGTTTGCGAACTTTACCTCAGTCTACGAACGGAATCCGAACGGTGGAAGGGCACCGCCGGCGGGAGGCCTCATTAGGGAAAGTGTGGTTTAAGAACGGACTTCCGGAACAGATTAAGTTCGTAAATCGAGGCACCACTGTATATGCTGTTTCACACAATGTAGCTGATATTCTATTGCCACCTACCTTCTCTTCATGGTATTGCCATAATTGTTTTCCACAATATTCTACGTCAAATCAAAAGCCTTTTGCAAGGAATCAGACTCACCAACATTCCATTTACCAAACTAGAGATTACTAAAGTTATCTGCTGATGTTAACAATGCTAAAAGTCTGTCGGAGTTAGCAATGGGATAATTAACGGGCTAGCAAAGCTGTCAAATTGTGGAACTTGCTCCAGCAGGAGACAGCAATGGCTTTACAAGAAGATTGGATAATTTGATGGAGGATGAGCCTATCAAAGGCCGTTCACCACAATGGCTGTGTTCTACCTTCACTGTCGGAGGCAGTATGTCTCCGAATGTCAGTTGCTGAGAATAGCAGGTAGGCAGAGTGCTTGCGTGTTTCCCACAGGCCACTGCGAGAACAGGATGCAGGACTAGATGGGCCATTGGCCTGATCCAGCAGGCTCTTTTTACGCTTTTTATGTTAAAAGAATTTGGTCTAAGCTGATGCTATGCATCAGTTAGAACAGGGATGTCCATACGGTTGACCGCGACTATGGCCCCATAAGCCACCTAACCCAACCCCCTGCTCAGTGCAGGAATTCCAGAGTTAGAGCATCCCTAATAGATGGCTGCCCAGCCTCTATTTGAAGGCCTGATGCAAAAACAACAACAACAACTCACCACCACTGTAGGCAGTTGGTTCCATTGTCAAACTGCCCTTACCATCAAGAACATTAAGCTAATGCTGTTTTAATTGTAAATGGTATGGCTTTCAGTAGTGATGTATGGAAGTGAGAGCTGGACCATAAAGAAGGCTGATAGCCGCAGAATTGATGCTTTTGAATTATGGAGGAGACTCTTGACAGTCCCATGGACTGCAAGAAGATCAAACGTATCCATTCTTAAGGAGCCCCGAGTGCTCACTGGAAGGACAGATCGTGAAGCTGACGCTCCAATACTTTGGCCACCTCATGAGAAGAGAAGACTACCTGGAAAAGACCCTGATGTTGGGAAAGATGGAGGGCACAAGGAGAAGGGGACGTCAGAGGACGAGATGGTTGGACAGTGTTCTCGAAGCTACCAGCATGAGTTTGACCAAACTGCAGGAGGAAGACAGGAGTGCCTGGCATGCTCTGGTCCATGGGGTCACGAAGAGTTGGACACGACTAAACAACAACAACATATAGCTTTAATTCTATCAATGTTTAATTATTTTTAAATTGTTTTCTATGCTTTAAACACTTCTCGTTTTTATCTGTAAGCTGTCATTTGTCCTGTCATGGAAAGTGGTGGGGTAATAAATATATAGCAACAGCCATAATAACTTACCTGGGAAATCTGCACATTATTGGCTCTATTTTCAAGGTCTGAACAATTTGTAGTAACTGCAGATAACTGGTTTTTCAACCGATCCACCTCTTCTGAGAGGGAATGAAGTAGCTGTTCTCTCTTTGCCACTTCCTGTGTTTTCTCTTCTAGTTGACTAAGCAGAGAAGTAACATCACCATTTTTACTTTTGATCTTCAGCTTGTCTTTCAGGAGCTGAATTTCTTGATTTTTCTCTCCAAGGATATTATTACATTTTGCATTTTCTGTTTCAAGGGCAAGTATTCTCTACATGAAATGTAAGCAAGCATATTATCACAGTTAACAAGCCAATTTTGAAATAAAATATTCTTAATTGTACAGGGCAAGCAATCATACCGGTACTGTTAGCAACTATGATGGTATAATTGGTGTTTTGTGGCAAATTAACTGTTATCTCCCAAGTTATGACTTTGAGAAAGAAGACAGTTTAAAGGTTCAAAATTAACATTCAGATTTTAAGTAATATGCAATACAAAATCACTCCATTTGTTAAATCTTCAATGATTCCTTTACAGTTAACAGCACAAGACAGGAAGTTTTGCATGCAGAAATGTTTATATCACCTCCAGGAATCTGTTCTTTTCTTCTGGTGTCATTTTTCTTTTGCCCTTAGTGAGGTCTTCCAAAGATTTTTTAAGGGCTGCATTCTCTTTCTTATATACCTGCAACTCAGATTCAGATTTGGAATCACCAGACTTCAATCCCCACTTGCCGATATTCATCTCTTTGATGTCCTTTGATGTCCTTCAGATTTTCTAAAAATATATAAATAACCAGGTACCATTGAAGGAACAGCCTCTTCTGTCCTTGCATTATGTATGTTTCCTTGCAGTGTCCCAAGTGGCTTGTAATAAAGCCTCAATTCAAGTCTCATTAAATAAGCTGAATAACTCGTCTTTCAGCCTGATCTTAACCAAGCTTACTCAGAAGTCTAACCAAATTCACTGGGACTTCCTCTATAGAAATTATTTTAAAAATTTGGAGCCATAGAGCTGTAGTCAGTGTAGCACTATGGAAAACTTTCCTTCAATGCTAGGATTTCACACTGGGCAAAGGAACATTCTCTCCTTCTCCCCTCCCTAAATCTATTCTGGAGTTCCCCTAATCCTCTAAAGCAGATTTGGAGGCAATGAAGGGTGCACAAGGGAGGAAAGGTTGGCGGGGGGGGGGGGGGAGGAGGAAGTACCACTGTGTGACAACTAATCCTTTTGCACAAATGTTTAATTGAATACCACACTTGGTCCCAAACATGCATAAAACAGGATTATAGCAGTAAGTTTGACTCACAAACATTTTGAATAGAACAAAAATCCCCATTCAAAGAACATAATATTTCCACTGAAATAGGCAGTGCTCCTTCCAAAGTTAAGAGCAGCAAAATTAAAAATGTGTAGAATTTGTGGGCTGATAGTTAGAAACAACAACATAACTGCAAAAAAACCAAACTGAAATATTTATGATCCCTGTTACAGTTATAATACTTAGTTAGTCTGCAACAAAACATTACAACGGAATATATAAAAAATGCAGCTGTGTCTGCCACATCATGTGATGCTTGGAAAATATGGCACAAAGGAAATAGTAAATACTGAAAGGTCATAAGGACTAATACATTTTATTATATACTGTAAAATTATTATTATATGAAACTTCTAGTAGACTTCTGAGAGAATGGCTGGCACAATACATTTTGCCACCAGCAAAATCCCCCTATCAAGCTGTATACCGTATTTTTCGCCCCATAGGACACACCGCCCCATAGGACGCACCTAGTTTTTTTGTGGGGGGGGGGGGAACTAAAGTAAAAAAATTATTCCCCCCCCCCGGCGCGGGGCTGGGGCGGGGGAAGCCCGAGCTTCCCCCGACCCCAGCCCCCAGAACAGGCTGCTGCCTGCAAGCCTTGCGAGCCCGGCGGGACCTCCCGCCGGGCGCGGGAGGCTTGCGGACACCTTCCCAAAGCACGGGGCATCCTCCGGAGGTCGCCCCGTGCTTCGGGATGCAGGCTGCCGCCCCAAGCCTCGAGCGCCTGGCGGGACCTCCCGCGGGCGCGCGAGGCTTGCGGACACCTTCCCGAAGCACGAAGCGTCCTCCGGAGTGCGCCCCGTGCTCCGGGCTGCAGGTTGCTGCCCCCAAGCCTTGCGAGCCCGCAGGAACTCCTCCGGGCTCGCAAGGCTTGCGAATAGCTTCCTGAAGCCTGGAGAGCGAGAGGGGTCGGTGCGCACCGATGCCTGGAGAGCGAGAGGGGTCGGTGCGTACCGATGCCTCTCGCTCTCCAGGCTTCAGCGAAAGCCTGCATTCGCCCCATAGGACGCACACACATTTCCCCTTCATTTTTGGAGGGGAAAAAGTGCGTCTTATAGGGCGAAAAATACAGTAGTATGCAAGTTAGTCAAGTTATTCTGATACCTGGGGCACAAAATCCCACAAGTACTTCCCCTTCATCCCTGGCAATAACAACACAGTAGTAATTCACTTAAATAACAATTTGCTGCCTTCTGTAACACCTCAAAGCATTTGCCTTATTATTATGATTTATTGTCATTAGAATGTCTTGCCTACCAGAAGCTCCAGGGTGCATTACAACCTTACAAAGTACGATAGGTACTAAAATCAGGCATCAGATATTTTATGTAGCTTGCTACTCCCAGCATCAGATCCCTCTCCCATCTGAAGCTCAAGCACAATATACCGTATTTTTCCCTCTATAACACGCAGATTTTTTCTCCTAAAAAGTAAGGGGAAATGTCTATGCGTGTTATTGAGCGAATGTGTGGTCCCTGGAGCCGACTGGCCCGAGTGCATCACACATTTTCTTCAAGGGTCGTCTTCGTTGCGGTCAGCAGAAGCCAGAGAAGTGCTTGCTAGGAGGTTTGGCCACTCTGATCGCTTGATTGTGTGTGCAGCGCGACTGTGTGTTTGCTAGTGTGTGTGCTTTGTGAGTGTGTGGTTGCCTGTGTGTTTGTTCGCTAGCGTGGGTGCTTGGAGGGAGTGAAAGAGTGACTGACTGCTGCATCTTCTCCTGCAATTTGCCTTTTAAAAAATTGGAAGCAGCGGGGCAGTAAAAACCACCTCCGAAAGCCCCATTTTTCCCTTCTAAGGCTGCAGCTCGGCTTTGGGAGCCCTGAACCCCTGCCTTGTTCTTGAGGGATCTTTGAGGTTTTCCCTTTAGCTTTAACCCAGCCCCCTTATTTTACCAGTTTATCTTCATTCTCGGTGTGGTGATTGCAGGCAGCCACACGTGCATTGGAGCCTCCCGAGAGAAAGCTGTTGCTTTCCTGCATTCTGCCTCAGGGTCTTACTGCCCACCCTCTTCTGTTTCGTTACTGTGTTTGCTCAAACGGAACAAAGAGCAGAGAAAACCCCTCCCCTCCAGGCAAGCAGAGGGGAAAGCAGAGCGTCCTTCCTTCTAATTCCTCTCCGTGCTGTGCTCCGGTGCTGCTGCTGCTGCGTCTAGGGACTCGCAGGCAACATGCAGGTGGGGGAGAGAGAGAGAGAGCTGGCTGGCTTGGGTGGGTGGGGGAACTTTTGCCTTCCTTTCCTCCCTCCGGTAAAACCCCTCTCCTGCATTCTTAGCCAGCTGCTTCTCTGCACACCCCTCTCGGTGCTCCTTGTCCCTTCTATGTTTTTCCTTCCCTCCCCACTTAAAACGTGGTTACAAAGCACGGATCCACATGGATCCTCAGGATCTTTGCATTGGGTCACCCCAAATTCACCATCAGATCACATAGCATGTCCATGGCTACAGCCTGCACCAAAAAAATCACGCACCCACTGTTGCCTGGGGCTGCAATGGCGCAAAACGTGGTTACAAAGCACAGATCCACATGGATTCTCAGGATTTTTGCATTGGGCTACCCCAAACTCACCTTCAAATCACATGTCTGTGGCCACAGCATGAAGCACAAAAATGATACATCCACTGTTTCATTCAGAATTTTTTTTTCTTGTTTTCCTCCTCTAAAAACTATGTGCGTGTTATGGTCGGGTGCGTGTTATCGAGCGAAAAATACGGTAGTCTATTTCCCCCTTCCCTTCACTACTTGCGGGCATATTTTCTTAACGCTTCGCTTTGTTATTTTTTAAAAAAACAACAACCGGAAATGTAGTGCAGGTGCAAGAGGCTGCAAATTTCTTCAGAGCCATCATGTTAAACCCCCACTGTGGTGCCACTTCTCCAATGAAAACTGGCCCCTCAACTATTGTTTGTCCCGTAGAGGAAAGATTACAGCCATTTCATCTCCAGGAGAGAAATCACACCCATCCACCCCGGATTTAGCAGATCTCCCACACAGCACAGTAGGGTCGTTTATTGTATTTGGTAGGAAACTTGAGGTGGCTAGAAAACGCCTAGCGGACAAGTCGAAATAGAGATGGATTGGGAGGAGGTTTCTCTATGTGGGCAGGCAAAAAACTGGATAAGGCAGATCGCACACCTCCTGGACCATCAGTGTGCTGAAGAGGTGTTTGGTCCGTGGATGTATACAGGGCCAGATTTAGGTTTGATGAGCCCCTAAGCTCCTGAAGGTAATGTGGCCCTTTATATGTCCAGCTGTCCTTTGTCAACAACAAATTGTTGCTGTTTTTTGGGTTGAATATATGCTATATGGTAATTTCTGGACCTAATAGGTATCTAAAGCCATTTGCGCATAACAAATTACAGTACGTATTTTAATAAAGTAATTGTTGAACTGAAATATAAGTATATTAATAGTATATTAATATAGTATATTAATAGTACATTAATATAAGTATATTAATAGTGAAATACAACTGAGAAGTAGTATATTAATAGTGACATAATGATTAAGCTCTAACGTAAAATGATTTTTTTATCCACAACAAATTTAATAATGCAAACACAATGGCATTTGGCAATAACAGAAGTTCCTTTAGTAACACATGTTTTCCTTTATAATTTTTTGGGGCCACGGGAATAGACCCTAAGCTATAGCTTGTTTAGTTTATACGTAAATCCGGCACTGCATGCATGCATGTACAGTATTTCTGTTTTGTCCCTGCTGCAATAACAAAAGCATAACGCCCTCTCCCCTGGAGCGCCTTATGGAAAAGCAGAGCAGGTGCAAGCAGCGAAGCCAACCCAATATTCTGGGGACCCGCGTTTCTCTCCCTGACCCTAAGCCACCCCTTCCTTCGCCCATCCCGAGCCGAGCTCTCTCTCCCCCACTCCGCTCCGTTTACCCGCTTTCTTTCAGCCTCGGGTGGTCGCGAAACTGTGGAGAGACCCGGCGAGCGTCGGGAGGACAGGGCAGCGTCAAGGCTGCTGCTGCTGCTGCTGCTGCAACAACGGCGCCGCCGCCCCTCCCTTCCTTCCACCTCTCCGGGAGGGACGCGGAGGGGAGCCGCTTTACCGCTCCTCTTCGAACCCGGTCCCGCCCGAGCGCCTGCTTCCGGGAGTTTGAATGCCGCGGCTCCGCTCGACGCCATTTCCGTTTCAGTTGGAAAGCGACGGGGCGCGGGAAGGGTCAGAACGAGGCGAAACGCCGTCGGAGCTGGAGCTTGCGCGGAGAAGGCGGCGCGAATGGTGGTGATTCCGAGAGGGGCGGGGTTGAAGGAAGTAGGCGGAGAAAGATGAGTGGGGAGGAGGACGTTGGAAGCTTGCAATTTTTTTTGCGCGCCCGCCTCCTTTTTTGGTGTATTTTAATAGAATGCGTTGCCCTGCTGTGGATTTTGTAGTTTCAGCATCCTTCGCCGCTGCAGAAGCGTTCTTAAAATTTCCATCAGCAATTCTGGAATGGGTGGTTTTCAACGTAGGAACGTCTGAGCGGATCGACGCTGATTAGCTCGTGTGTAACCTCGTGCGAAAGAACACAGCAGAGCAAATAATAATAATAATCGGTGTTTTTTTCTAAAACAAACAAAAACAATGTTTAGAGGTGCTTTCATTCTGACTCAAGAAAATCACCATTTTGTAGTTCAAGTTGGGGAAATAAATACAGTAAATGGACAAAAGTACAAAGATTCACAAAATGTTTAGGGGTATGCGTCCCACCAGAAAAAAGCACTGATTAATAATAATAATAATAATAGACGGAGCTTCTCTCGAGCAATCTTGACCAGAGACCAGGTTTGCCATATGTTGCAGATTTTGCTCACTTGGTTACACCGGCATGCGCGAGAGTAAGGGTTGCACGACGTGTGGGAAGGGCTGTGGATCAATGGCAGAGCCTCCGTTTGACATGGAGAAGATTCTGACCCCGGGCATCTCCACTTTGAGCTGGTGGAGAGCCCTTTGTGAAATCCCAGACAGCTGCTTCCGGCCTGTGTAGACATTACTGAGATGAATAGACATGCTTCCTATGTGTTTTGGTACCTGAGATTGAAAAATATGAATAAGCACCACAAGGCACTAACAAGGTGACACATGTCTCGTCCCAAGGAAGTAACATGGAGTCCAGACTTTTTATGATGGTACAGGATTATAGCCTAAATCCTGTACCGTCATAAAAAGTCTGGACTCCATGTTACTTCCTTGGGAGGAACTCGTGACTCTTGATAGATCCTGTCAGCGAGTAACTCTAATCTGTTGAGAACTACATGGACGAAAGCTTTCCCCAAGTACCCAGCAGGGGGATTCCACAGTTGTTACAATCATGGTGGTCACCTTTGTTCTTATAGAGTCACAATGATGGGGTTGCACATGTCTTATGGCACAAATCCTTTCCCCCAACACTGCAGGAGAAGGCTGTAGAGGTGCATCATGAAGGAGGACTTAAGGCTTTCAGCACTTCTGTTGGGATTCCATCCTGTCCTGGGTCTTTACCACATGCCTGAGAGTTGATGACAAGCTTCAGCTTGTCAAGAGAGGGAGGGAAATCCAGCTCTTCCAAGACAGGCAGAATCCGGATGCTATCAGTTGCTGTGTTGGGACTCAGATAGATTGGTAAAGAAAAGGTGTTTTATATGCATTGTATATGAATGACACTCTGACACCAGATGGTGCTGTGGAGTCCCATCTTTCTCTATATGTATAAGGTTAGGTAAAGGTAAAGGACCCCTGACAGTTAAGTCCAGTCGTGAATGACTTTGGGGTTGCGGCACTCATCTTGCTTTACAGGCCGAGGAAACCGGCGTTTGTCCACTCCGCAGACAGTTTTTCCGGGTCATGTGGCCAGCATGACTCGCCGCTTCTGGAGAACCAGAGCAGCACATGGAAACACCGTTTACCTTCCCGCCTATTTATCTACTTGCACTTTTTGGTGTGCTTTCGAACTGCTAGGCTGGCAGGAGCTGGGACTGAGCAACGGGAGCTCACCCCGTCGTGGGGATTCAAACCACCGACCTCCTGATCGGCAAGCCCAAGAGGCTCAGTGGTTTAGACCACAGCACCACCCGCTTTCCTGTCTATATAAGTTTACAATGTGTTTAACTGAATCGCTTCTTTGACGTGTCTAGATCCAGCCTTGGAGACTTATTTTTTCCAACGAGTACAGTTTTTGATAGTGCTCTGCCCATCTATTGACAGTAGAATCATAGAATTGTAGAGCTGGAAGGAACCCTGAAGGTCATCTGGTCTAACCCCTTGGGATGCAGGAATCTCAGTTAAATCCAACCTCTGCTTAAAAACCTCCAAAGAAAGAGTTCACCACCTTCTGAGGGAGTCAGTTCCACTGTCAAACAGCTTTTACTGTCAGAAAGTTTTTCTTGATGTTTAGTCAGAGTCTCCTTTCTTATAACTTGGATGCATTGGTTCAGGTCTTAGCCTTTGGAGCGGGAGAAAACAAACTTGTTGTGTCTTCTATGTATCAGCATCAAAAAAGGCTATTTGTTGCCTTGCAAAAAAACAACAACAGTCGTTGGGGATTACATAGACATCCTGGCACTGGTAAGTTAAGTAAGACTCATAAGAAAAGCCTTTATCCTGATTATTATATAACTATAATTTAATCTCCGTCTCTGTTGTTACTGTGCGTGGAATTCTGACATCATGGCATGCAAGAACATGGAGGGATAAACTGGCTGTACTTACCTTGCACAGGTCAATGGACTTTAAAATGCCATTTATTCCAGTGGCCTGACCTGCCATAGCTCTTTTGATTCTCAAGTGATGACTAATGAAATTGAAGGTTACATCCCTCAACTAGAGAGAGACCTGCTAGATTGTAATGTTAAAGTGATGTCTAGAATGTGTAAGATGTTATTGGAATGGGAGACAAAAGATGAACAAGTGAAATCTTCAGTGATACATTGGGCAATAGATATGGGTCATAACAAAGAAATGCAGGCATGGGAACAATTATGGAAAATGGATATAAACTTTACAGCATGTTATGGTTTAAGAAAAAAATATATGAACATGTTATATAGATGGCACTTAACAGACTGGCAAAAATGTGGTGGTCTTGTATTAAGGTTAAAGCTTACTAGCAAATGATTTATAATGAATTGAAAAAGATGTTTACGATAACATTTGTTAAAAAAATCAGAAGCTTTATTCTTAGGGATTTTGAGATCAGAATTACCTAAACAATAAAGAAATTGCACTGCAAGAATGATATTTGCCCAAATATGAAGGAGTGAGAAGTCCCAACGAGAGAAGAAGACTAATGGAATATGCAGAAATGGCGAAACTTACCAGAAGAATAAGAAATCAAGATAACAAACTTTGAATAAGGAATGGAAATTGTTTGTTGAATTACAAATTACAAACAAATTAAGACATTAGCAAGATTATTGTAAAAACTTGCAGTTTCTAAAACATATAGGAAATGGATGAGAAAAGGAATAAATGGAGATAATTTGGATATGCAGGAAAAAAGAAAGAGAACACATTTATGGAACCGCAGAAAGAGGGGGGTGGAAGTTGAAGATTTATATATAAGAATTGTTTCCTTTTTTGCTGAAATCTTTCTCTGTTACAAATGAAAATAATATTTATTTATTTATTTATTTAAAAAGAATGTTCTTTTTTGCTTTATTTCCTAATATACTGATTGGTGAAAATACTGTACATAACCATCTTACAAATTTATTTCCCAGGTTATTTTTGATCCCTCCAGAAGGGGGCAATCTAAGGCTGTTTTGATTGATTGAAGTCCTGGATGAAAAAGAAACAAAAAATTGACAGGAGTATACCAGCTGATGGCATGTGGAAAGAAGTTCGTTTCAAAAGGGAGAATATTGCTATGTTTTATTGCAAAAGTTATATTAACTTCTTTTCACATCAATAGCAAAACAAAAGGGGAGGGGGAGTTCTGTGCGTTACATTCATATTTCTTTCCCGACTTTAATTCATATGCAAAAAGATTCCCACCATCAACCACCATACTTAGCAAATTCCTTACTTTGCACTGCCAGAATTCACAAGTTGGTACCACTTTTTTCTAATACCACAGGAATGGTGGGTGTCAGCTTACACAAACCCTCTCCCTGCTTAGCCTTTAGTAACTAACTCTCTCTAATACCACAGGGAGTCAGTTTACACAAATCTCCCCCCCCCTTTAGTAACTAAACTTGTCATAGATCCACCCATCAGCTGCACTTTACTGTAACAGAGCCATTTCCAGCCTCCTCCCGCTGGCACTTCAGACTGGAGGCTGCAGAGAGTCTGAAGTACACATTTCTTCAAAAACGGCTGCAGATGAAAAAACACTGAAAACCATGCTTCGGGTAATTGTGGAATCTGCTTCCAATATCCCTAGACATAAATTCGGAAAACCAGATCCTATCGTGTCCGTTATTTTTAAAGGTAAGGAAAGCTAACTTGTGAAAGATTATTTTAAGGATGTTTTTCAATGTGCCAAGGTGCCATGATAAAAAGTGTAACAGTTCTGGTAATTTGCAAATGACATACTTCTGAAGAAAGTAGTAACTTTTGTACAACACAGGTTTTTTTAAAGAACTGGAAAGTGGTTGGGTGGCATTTTGTGGAGCGGCTCTTTCTAAACTTCTGTATAGGCTTGTTGCATCTATGCCCACACATACATAGAGCCCCTTTTTAGTTTGGATTAATGTGTAAGTGAATTTCACGTTAAGAAATTACTTTTTTGCAACAGCAAATAGTGATTTTGAGTGTTTAGTTCAGATCTTTTTTTTTAAATGGAAACACAGATTTCTTTTCCTATTTGCCTTAAAATAGTTTTAAAAACATTTTGAACATTAATCATCTATGTTGTTAGACTCCTTCCCCCTTCTTGGAGGCTTTTTGCTTTTTAGACTTTGTGCTTAGCAAAGCAATAAAAGATGAGGGAGAGAAAAAAGGAAGCTCATTTGCATTTGTCTGTAAGTGTGAAACTGACAGATTTATTCCACTTTTCTTTGGTGTAAACTTCGTGGCGAATTTCAGTTTGTGCTACTTCCTATCTTCATAAGTAGATGGTTGTAATGCTGTTATGTTAAGGTGCATATAGAGTCGTTTGCCTTATAGCTCATCACATACATTAAACTAGGGTTGCCATGTTTCAAAAAGTAAAAACCAGGACACCCTGAAAGAAGTTGTTGAGCTTTTTTCGATTGACTTGCCTAAGATCCATGACAAAGCACCACCTTTCGGAAATTCCCCCTGATGTCTGCCTTTGGAATCCCGGTAATGTCCGGGAAACTCCGGACGTATGGCTGCCCTAATTGAACAGGACAGTGGCCTGAAGTTTAGATATATTATTCTTGAATGCCTGTGCTGAAATGAAAAATAGGTTTTTCTGGATGCAGATAACTGCAGGGTACTGAGTTTACAATAGGCTGAGATTATTTAAATAAGGAACTACAGTGCAATAAGGAAGTTGGTTTGTACCGTAATACTTGAAAAACTTATTACTGGAATATTTGAATGGCATTGTGGAAAGGTGTGAACCATAGTTTCCTCTACTCCTAGTTGGGTTGTTTTTTTTTTATAAAAAAGGTTTCTGTCTACTTCAGGCTTCCTCAAACTCAGCCCTCCAGCTGTTTTTGGCCTACAACTCCCATGATCCCTAGCTAGCAGGACCTGTGGTCAGGGATGGTGGGAATTGTAGTCTCAAAACATCTGGAGGGCTGAGGTTGAGGAAGCCTGGTCTACTTGCCATATTTTAGGATATTCAGCGCAGTCCTTCTGTTCTGCCTTTGCAGAAAACTCAAATGGTGGCTTGTGAAACAGGAATTTATGGGTGAATAAATGCAGTAGTTACAAACCGACAGAGCAAGCCTTCTATTCACATTACCATGGGACTTAAGATATACTACTGCTGTTCAGTTATTTCTAAAAGCTCTTTGAAAGCAATAGAAGGAACTTATTGGTGTTAGGCCTGGGGCTAGTGCAAAGTTGCGTCATCTATGCGGGTGTGGCTATGGACTGATGTAGTATAGGATGTGGAATGTGCTCCTCCCCTGTTCTTCCCACAACACACCCACATCTCCCCCCTCCCCCGGCTATTCCACCAGCACATCAAGGGTGTTCCGCCAGTGTGTCTGTCCTGGTGCATTGCATTTGGTATTCCCCTGGACGATCAAGGCTTCCGCTGAACCCCACAAGTTCTCAACCAGTAGATCTGCAGCATAGGATTACACCCCTAAACTACACTTTTGCAGACCTTTCTTGGTTTTTCAGAGACATCGCTTTGTGAAAAAGCCAAAGGCTGATATATGATATTCGTGATTTTTTTTGTGATTCATTCATGGTTTACACAGTCCATATTTGAGCTTGCTCAAGGTGTATTTACCTTTTAAAACAAAAACTTAGCTGGCTGGATTTTTGCACGAGGCAGTGTATGGGTAGCTTAATCGTAGGATAGGGGTCAAATGATATATTGCACGTTATCTGTATTTACTATTTTCCCCTCAGCAGTGCAAAAAGGAGCTTACCTTGGTGGCAGGGCTGGGAGGGGTGTAGGGTGTGTTAGGTGATAAAAACCACATGGCGTAAGGATTAAAGACACCCTCTCTCTCCCAATCTAATTCTCTCTTCTGTCTGCCTGTTGGCCTGCCTAAAAACAGGTGAGAATAAATTCACAGGAACATAAAGAGCTACCCCATACTGAGTCAGACCATTGGTCTATCTGGATTAGTAATGGATGCAGGTGGCACTGTGGTCTAAAGCACTGAGCCTCTTGGGCTTGCCGATCAGAAGGTTGGTGGTTCAAATCCCCGTGACGGAGTGAGCTCCCATTGCTCTGTCTCAGCTCCTGCCAAGCTAGCAGTTTGAAAGCACGCCAGTGCAAGTAGATAAATAGGTACAGCTGCAGCGGGAAGGTAAACGGCGTTTCCATGCGCTCTGGTTTCCATCACGGTGTTCCGTTGCACCAGAAGTGGTTTAGTCATGCTGGCCACATGACCCAGAAAGCTGTCTGTGGACAAACGCAGCCTCCCTTGGCCTGAAAGCAGAGATGAGCACCACAACCCCATGGTCGTCTTTGACTGGACATAACCGTCCAGGGGTTCTTTACCTTTTTTTCACCTAGTAATGAGCACGCTGGCTGGTATCAGCTCTCCAGGGTTTCAGGTGTGGGACCTTCCCAGCCCTACCTGCAGATGCCTGAGATTGATCCTTAGACCTTCAACATACAATGCAAATGTCCTAAAGCTGAATCTGCAGCAAAAGATAGAATTTGACCTTTAAAAGGGCCCCTGTCCAGTACGTAATATAGATTTCATTTTTAAATTACCTTCCTAGCAGTAGTGTAGCAGAGCCTCCACTTCTTCCATCAAGGTCATCTCTTGAGGCGCCATGTGCAAATCCTCTGCATGCAAAATAAGTTTTTTCTCTCGCATACAAATCTACAAAACAAACTAAGCAGGGAAAGACGTACGTTATATTATTGTGCATGGCTAAGGGTTAAGCCGCCACCTTTTGGTTTATTTTAAAATCCAAAATCCCTTAATTACAGCCAGCCAAAAGGTCACAAAATAGTGAGTGAGCGTTGGAGCCCACCAGAACTCCTCATAAGGCTGAATGTTGAAGTTGGTGTGTGAGCGAGTAAGAGAGACATGGCAGCTTGATATTGAATTGTCTGCATTAGTCACAACTTCATTTTTGCTCTTTAAACTTAGAAAGAATGTAGCTGTGGGGGGCACGGCTATGAGGACTGGTTCCTACGACCCCTGGGGTTGTTTGGAAGATTCACAGAAGTTCCACAATGCTAAACTCAATAATTGCTGACATCCTTCTTTGAGAGACCGCTTGTTCCTCGGTTTTACCAATGCGTAGCCCCAGGGAATGGTCTGTGGAGAGTGATGGTAGGACCAGGGCCCAGCCAACTTCCTGTGTCAAATGAACATGCCACAGAATGCCCCGATTTCCTCAGTAGATAAATATATGTAGGAAGGCCTGATTTCCTGAGGGCAGGATTTTAATTATTTTTTAAGTTCATTTTAAAGCCTTTGAATCACGTCTTCCTCTCTTCTACTTGAACTTTCCCTTGCATGCTCTAATATAGTTTATATAAAAAACATTTTGAGGCAGTGAATTAGTTGTTATATTTAATTGTGTCTTTTTCACCCTGGTTGAATGCAATGAAAGATAGATATGCAGGTTTTATATTATTTGTCTTCCTCTACAATTCTGTAGCTGAAGTTAGGATACTTAAAATACAGTCACCAAAAATGTGTTGGCATGTTTATGGGTTTTTCAACATTCTTCAAGCCCACAGCCTTAATGAAGTTGAACCATATGCATAAAGTCACAGAATGAGAGACTTTAAGGCCTTCTGGGCTCATGGTGGACCAGGCAGATTACTGACTTTCCACATGCAAATTTGAATCAGATTGTTGGAGAAGAAGTTTGGATAAAAGGGCAAAGGTTTATCCTTATGGTTCTTCACCAAATGTTGTTTTCTTCTTGAAAATTTTAAGTGAATAGCTTCAATAGAGAGGGAAAACAGCAAAGTAGTCCAAAGATGCAGTAATTCTAGAGCCTCTAAGGGCCTGGGATGTGGGTGGTATTTACAGGATCAGAGCCAAACTAAGTGTGAGTAGAAGCAAGTCAAGGAGAGAGATTTGGGAACCAGGAGAATATCCTACCAGCAGCAAGCACAGGGATAGGTTGATCAGAATATTTAGAAGCAGTATCATCACCATTCCATCTATTTCTGTTTTTTCTATGTCTTTATAAATTCTTGTTTTTATCTGTAAGCTGCCTTGAATCCCATCAGGGAAAAAGTTGGGGGTATAAATAAATATGTAATAATAATTTTGTTATTAAGGCATGAGTGTTGATGCAGACCAAGAGGGGCATTTCATCTGGTTAGGGGAAGGTTGAATCTCCAAAACTGCCCAATAACCACTGAGCAATAGCCTTGGAATGCTGACTGACTGGGGCAAAACCAGAAAAACTGGTAGGGGGAATGGACTAGAGAATCCTGCAGGGGGTCATGATGGACTGAGCGCAATACTGAAAAGAAACACTTCACATTGGTTAAGGTTCTGTTGTAGGTCCTGCTTGCCCTTCTGACTGCCAGGTGATAATGGCAAATAGGAATATAGGAAGCATATAGGAACATATACTGAGTTAGACCAAATATGTCCATGGAGGTGCAGGTCAATTCTGTGTCCAGGGCAGCTGTCTACCAGCTCCATCTGGTACGCAGGCTGAGACCTTACCTGCCTGCAGACTGTCTTACCATAGTGGTTATCTCCCGCTTGGACTACTGCAATGCGCTCTACGTGGGGCTACCTTTGAAGGTGACTCGGAAACTACAACTAATCCAGAATGCAGCAGCTAGACTGGTAACTGGAAGTGGCCACCAATACCTAATGGATCCTCAGTGGCTTCCAGTACGTTTCCGAGCACAATTCAAAGTGCTGGTGCTGACCTTTAAAGCCCTAAATGGCCTTGGCCAAGTATGCCTGAAGGAGTGTCTACACCCCCATTGTTCAGCCTGGACATTGAGGTCCTCCTCTGAAGGTCTTCTGCTGGTTCCCTCATTGCGAGAAGTGAAGTTACAGGAAACCAGGCAGAGGGCCTTCTTGGTAGTGGCACCTTCCCTGTGGAACACCCTCCCCTCAGATGTCAAGGAAATAAAGAATTATACAACTTTTAGAAGACATCTAAAGGCAGCCTTGAATTGGGAGGTTTTTTAATGTTCGATGTTTTTATTATGTTTTTAGATATGCTGTAAGTCACCCAGAGTGGCTGGGGAAACCCAGACAGATGTGCAGGGTATAAATAATAATAATAATCCCTATTCAAAGCCACTTGCCCCATTTTCTTCTGCCAGCAAAGTATTGTAGCTCTCCCCCCCCCCAAGTGTATTTAAAGCAATGGCCATTTATCATTCTGACTGAGGCTGACCAGAGCTGTAATCTACCAATATATGGAGGGCCACAGCACTCCCAACCCTGAATTAGAAGAATGATAACAAAGAATTCTGTATCGCCATGTCCCTTAGCTGCCCTACATAATAAGCCCCTGTCCTTGCCAAAGGAAAATTGTATCCTTGGCTACTGCTGCTTTTTCCATTCATTTCTTCTACGTGAAACAATTAGTTTGGACCAATGCCTGATATTACTAAATACATGTTAAACCACAATGAGCTACAATATCATTCAGTTTAGACTTATAGCATTGTGGTAGATATTTTCCTGTACGAGTTGAAAATTTACAGTTTTTGTGGTCTGGTCTGAGTCATTGTCCTGCATAGTCTTTCTAAAATGATTCCTGTTACAGGAATGTGAGTCAGTTCCCCACTCCCTGCACAAGGGCTAATTGTCATCGCCTCCTCCATATATCCAGCAGAGAACTATCGGGAGTACATCAGAGCTGACTGACTCAGTGTTAGACAGAGAAGGGAAGGGGGAACTTGTTGATTTGTGTTCCTCCTCAACACACAGTGCAATCTTGTTCATGCCGACTTGGAAGTCAGCCCCACTATGTTCAATGGGTTTACTCTCTGAGACTCGTGTTAGCCTTAATTCAACATGATCCATTAAAGGTTCAGAGATTATGAACACTGTAATGAAGGGATGGGGAACCTGTGCCCCTCCAGTTGTTGCTGGACTCAGATTCCCAGCTGCTTCAGCCAGTGTGGCTAGTGCTCAGGGAGGTGGGAGTTATAGTTCAACAATTCCTGAAAGTAAAGCAGTTACTGGATCACTCGGCCAAAGCCATAAAAAAACTGCCTTATATCAACTCAGACCATTGGTCTATCTATCTCAGTGTTGTCTCTACGCTGATTGACAGCAGCTCTCTAGGGTTTGGGGCCAGGAGTCTCTCCCAGCCTATCTGAGATGTCAGAGGCTGAACCCGAGGCCTTTTGCCTGCAAGGCAGATGCTCTGTTGCTGAGCTATTGTCCTCCTACAACACCCTGCTTCACCATTGTTTGTGGTGAATGAGGTTAAATCAAGGTGTGTCTTAAACAGCGGCTTCACCACAGACACAGCAGAATCTACACGAACAGAAAATATCTGTTTTGAAAGGTGGGGGGGGGAGCTGGCAATATAGTTAGGCCAAAACAACTTTATTGGGAGGCAGGTTTATTATGTACACAAGCACAAAACATTCTGTATAGATTAGATACCATGGCCAGCAACCAAATAAATCAAATCAACCCTCTTGCATTTAAAAATATATATATTATTTTAATATATTGTGATTGCTGTTTTATATATCTTCCACTAAGTAAGCACGTTTTTGTTTATTTCCAGATGAAAAAAAGAAAACAAAGAAAATTGATAGTGAACTCAACCCTGTTTGGAATGAGGTGACTTTTTTTTTTAAATTGGTTCTGTTGTATGTGATAAGGCATAGCATGTGTGACAAAGTTCAGCCCTATTCTCTGTTGCATGACATTATGGAACAAGAAATCACATGTCACAACCGACTGGTCCTGTGATTCTCTGTATCCAGAAACAAAACCTCCACAGTTCCTGCTAAGGGGAGATGTGCAATATCTGGTACACAGTTTCCCTATTTCACTTTAGTGGGAGAAGTCCTTGTGCAGGTGGAATAACTTTATTGGATGCAACTCTATGCTGAAGTAACTCCCACTGAATTCAATAGTGCTTTTTGCCACATATGAGGACTTAGACCTGCAGCCTGATTTATTCTATCTATGTCTTGTTTCATGGGATTCCAAGTGAGCTTCCATCATAGATCAAGGTCGCAACTGCTTAGCTTCATTAATGTTGGAGCATTTGGTGTTCCCAGATCATCCACTGCAATGTCTGCACCTCTAAAGACCTACACAAAGACCTCCCAGTACGTTTTTGAGCACAGTTCAAAGTGTTGGTGCTGACCTTTAAAGCCCTAAACGGCCTTGGCCCAGTATACCTGAAGGAGCATCTCCACCCCCATCGTTCGGCCAGGACACTGAGGTCCAGCTCTGAGGGCCTTCTGGTGGTTCCCTCCCTGTGAGAAGCCATGTTACAGGGAACCAGGCAGAGGGCCTTCTCGGTAGTGGCGCCTGCCCTGTGGAATGCCCTCCCAACAGATGTCAAGGAAATAAACAACTATCTGACTTTTAGAATAATCTGAAGGCAGCCCTGTTTAGGGAAGTTTTTAATGTTTGACACTTTATTGTGCTGTAAATTTTCTGTTGGGAACAGCCCAGAGTGGTATAAATAACATTATTATTATTATTATTATTATTATTATTATTATTATTATCTTAAACCTAGTTTAATATCTTGATTTATGCCTGCTGAACCCAAAATTACACATATTGTAATGACATAAATGAACCTTAAGACCTTGCTCAAAATTAGATTTCAAGGTGCCAGCAGAGGATTATTTTAAGTCTTTTCCAGACTTTTTGGTTGCTTTTCTTTCTTTTTTTAAAGTAACAACATATTTCAGATGCAGGGCAGGGCAACACAAGCTTGTGTGTATTCCTCTGCAGCTGATTCTTGTCACCTTCCTGTCACCTTCCACTTTATAAATGTTAGAAAGATTGCAAAACTCCAGCATATTGGGACAGTTTAGCAAAGGTCAGTTAGACTCAGAACTAATAATAGATAAATCAGTGGGGCTTTCTTAGTCATGCTGTACTTTTAGCCCAATCTTGTGCATGTCACTGTGCATCCCTTTCAAAGGGACATAGTCATGACTAACCTTTGGTAGATTATCCCAGTGTGCACATGGATGTACATTTGTACACCCCCCTGAATATATAGCAGTTACACATTTGATATTGTCTGAACTGGCCTGGAGTTCTACGGGCATTTTGAACCTAGAGAACTACATGCAAATATAGTCTGCACTTATCTATTTAATTGTGTTACTGATGAAAAATATTGATTCCTTAAATCTTTTTTTATTGCCTGTTCTTTGCATGGTTATGTTGTTGTTTCAACTTCTAAGGGTTATTCTAATTTTTTTGCGCAGATTCTTGAGTTTGATTTGAAAGGAATCGCTCTGGATATTTCATCAGTCCTGCAGATTATTGTGAAAGATTTCGAAACTATAGGGCAAAACAAGTATGTTGACTTTTTGAAATTTTGAAGGGGAGGGATATATTTCTTTTTCAGTGCAATTTGCTTCGTGCAAAAGGTGTCTTTTAAAAACTAATTGCTCTAATTTTGCAGCATATCTGTATGGTTGGATTTGCTAAATATAAAGGACTTCAGACATCTTACTGGGTCATTTACTGTTGGCTCTTCTGACTTGTACTTCAGCTAACCTTTCAGCCGTATTTCTGAACTATGGGAAGACAAGATCTCTGTAAACATAACGTTTTCTTATTCAGCATCCCGACAATACGTTGGGTGTTGCACCCAATGTAACAGTGATGGAGCCCACACTAGAGGGCTTACAATATAATGTCGCAAGGCAACAGTGATGCTGAGATGTGGCCTCAAGAAAGTATAGGAAGGATGGGTGCGTTCAGGAGAGAGTTAATCTGTAACTGAGAAGTGCCCAGGAAATGAGGCTTGTTCAGGAAAGATTTTGAAGAAGTCAGTTTTGAAGTTGTGGGTGGAGTAGCTGTTCTAATTATAACACTTTACAAAAGGCATGGAGCTTGTCAATGTGTGGCAAGAGGGGTTGGTTAGCCCACTGGTTACTGCCCATTGAAAAGATCTGGAAGAGGGATGAGAAACTGCAATGAGTAGCTTTCTTCAATATGTTTTGGGTCAGGACTGCAGCTGTGCCCACGGTATCCAATCAGAGTAGCCCAGGCCATACATCTTATGGATATACTTCAGTGGGATGTTAAACAACCAAATTGTATGGAGGACTACAGCTACCTTTGCAAAGTGTGTTTCCCTATATTTTCCCATTGTTGTGGAGATATGCATGGAGATGATGCTGGAGGCGTCACAGATGTGTTTATGCTTGTGATTTTTATCTCTGAATGCCAGCGTAGGTGTGTGAGACAGTTGGATCTAGTCCTTATGGACACACCCTTTCATTTCAGGATGTCAGAAAGGGAAAGCAAAGTTCTTTTAGAACTTTTACATATTGTACAGTTTGCTTTCTGATTCATGGGTAAAAATATTGTTCCTAGGAAATGATTTAAAGTTCACCAAGCAATGTTTATTTAAAAACCCCACTTCCTGCAAACAATTCTTTCTTTCACTCACTTTGCAACACATTTTAAGCAAATTGCATATACTTTTGCTGCTAGGGAACCAAATCACAAAATTTCTACTTTCTGAAGAAAAAGGCAATTCCCAGTTACTTAGAGCTTTTAATATCTGGTAACAGACACACAGATTGAGATAATAATGATATGTTTACAGTGTAATTCCTCACATGTCTATTTAGAAGTAAGAACCACTGAATTCAAAGGGGTTACTCTCAGGTAAGTCTATGAGATTTTAACCTTAGGCTCCAATCATAAACACACTAATTAGGGAGTAGGCCTCATGGACCACAGAAGGATTTATTACTGAGTACACTTGCATAGAAATGTGTTGTTAGCCTGAGAGGTAGAATGAGATGAAATTAATCCTGCATTCAGTTCTGAATATACAATATTCATGGGACACTGAAAAACCAACCAGGGCAATAAAGCTCTAGAGCTTCTCATTTACCTGGTTAACTCGGGCCAATCCAAGGTGTTCTGCTGTCTGCAGTGAAGGACATGGTGAGATCCCCAAGACCATTCAGTCGAATCTTACTTCAACCGGGCTGGCTTCCACTATCCACAGGATAGCTGCCCAGGTTTGCCTAATGATAGGGCCAATCCCAATTATGTGTACTAAGAAAGTACACCGTAGTTCAAATCTCATGGAATTCTTGGGGTATGTGTTTTCTGGTGAGAGAAACTCAGGCGCAGGCCTCCTGACTATAATAGAATGCTCATGAGATCACAAAAATAGGATAGATCCTTATCTGTACTCTAGAACAGGTTCAGTCAAGCATCCGTCCTCGGATTTCAGGTGATTCTTTCCCCCTTCTAAACCAGATATATCCATTTCTAGATGAAGGGCATGTTTGCAGCTACCCACTTGTTCTGTTTGTGTTTCACATGATGATCCAGTGCTGATCATTACAAATATTGGTTCTCTTATTTATGAGTAGGGAGTTGGCTTCCAGCTTGTCATGCTAAGTAAAACTAATGAGCAAACAAAGAAAACTTCTTGGGAATAAGTAGCTTCTCCCTGCCCACTTAGGCCTCTCACACAACACTTTTCTCTCTCTCTTCTTGTAGTAGTAAACCTCTTTTAAAAAAGAAGAATGTGTTGTGCCCTGCATTAAATTGACTTGCTAGAAGTGCTACACTGAGGTGGAGAACTTCAGGCCCAGACTTCTCTACCTGGCCCTCATAAATCTCCTCAGGCAACTCCTCTCACTAGCCCTGCTTCGTGCCCTGAATTTTTTCACCTCACCCGCTTTTGCCTCAGGGCCCTGCATACTACTAGCGTTTGGCCCTTTTTAGGCCATTCAGAAGGGAATGTGGCCCTCGGGCTCTGAAAAAATTCCCCACACCTGTGCTACATGAATGTTGAGATTGGGGGAACATCTTTTCCTCATGGTCTGTCATAGTTCTTGTTTTACTTGCTCTCTCTGAGCAAAATCTACCAAGATGTCCTCATTCCGGTGGGGCTGGTGCAGAAAAACGTCCTGGTGAAGTTCAAACTGCATTTGTGCCAAAGCAACACAAATCGAGGAAATTCCTTGCAGAGAAACCCAGGGTGGAAGGAGTGTTCGTGGGGGTTTTTTTTGAAGTCTTTACTGAGTTTGCTCTTTGGAGAATAAGCCTGGTAAATGTTTCCTTGCAGTTGTGTACTGCCAGCAAACTACTCATCGCTGTGGCATGTTTGTCCCAGTATTTAAAGCCAACACAGCCACTTCATATTCCCGCCCCCCCCCGCCCCCTTTTCCTGGAAGCTGAAACCTGCTTTGACTTGCAGAAACTTTTATCGTACCTTCAGATCAGAGCAGGCTTAATGTGCAGGTGCTGTAACAGAAGCTTTACCTCACTGGAAAAGTAATTTTAAAAGCCCTGACTGAAAAATGCTAACATGCATGATACAAAAGTTGCTGAAGGTCCAGCTTACGTAACGATTTGCACAGCTAAGTTTTCCCTTTTAAGGAAGATGGGAAAGAGGATGGAGGGGGGGACACACATCTGCTTTCTGTTATGTTAGCTTCCACTTTGAAGTCTGTCATTTAACTAAAGCAGCTTCTTATTCTTTTATTTTACATGTAAAAAAGAAATACAAAAGAAGTGTAACACAGGGGGGAAATTTTCTGCTACTGCATAGTATAGAATAGAAGTTCATGCTACAGAAAGCAAGTTGCACCAAAAATATGTGTCACGTGGTTTTATTCCATAAGTGGGAGGAGAAATGAACAGTCGTACATATTTTTCCAAACACTGAATGGTTGGTAGCCTAGCAACAGAAGAGAAAAGTGGTAGGTCAGACTTTTACTCAAGAAAACAGTCATTTCTTCACAGTGAGGAATATAAATTTACAGCTAACTTCTCCAGCTCTGGTCCTCTGCATGTTTAGTCCAAACGAAGTCCAACATTTAATAGGATTGATTCCCAGGAAACTGCCCATAAGCTTGTAGTCTTAGATTTGTAAATGAAACTATTCAAATAATTTACTTGAATTTTCACCTGTGTTGAAAGTAGTAGAGATTCTGTGCTGTCTGCAATCCTATGAGAAATTTTGTTAGGATATATCCTGACCCATTTAATGTTGAAGGAGGTAGAGGAAAAAGTTGCCACTCAACAACCTTAGGCAATAGGAGTTTATGCATCTTGGTTTAGGGATGCCCCCAGTTTAGATTTTATCTGCTTTAAATAAAGGAAATCCTGTGTGAATTGGCAAGGGGGGTCTCATAAAATGAACATTGCAAATGCCACTTACAAGCAGCACTTTGTGCTGAGGTTCACCCCCACTTCTTCAATTTGCTTTGACATAATTGTTCTATTGTTATCCCTAACAATTGTTCGATAATGCAACTATTTTGGTAGACCAAACCAACCAACCAACCAACAAACAAACTAAACAATAACCCAGTCTGGAGATAAATCAGTCCTGGCCATGCATCTTGTGGGATCATCCACATAACCTCGCCTAGTGAATGAAGTCACAGGGCAAAAGGAAAACAAACTGATTGGCAGGAAGGAAAATTGGTTAGAAGTTACTTGGCACGAAGGTTGCTTAAGTCCCATTAGTGTCCAACAAAATCAGTGGCAGCAAAGGGACAGATTGCAATGCATGTAATGTAAAATTCAGAATATGATCTGTAGGGACAATAGTACTCAACAAGGGAGGAGTTTGTTATTATCTGTGATGCCTAGAGAGAAGGATTATGCATGTTAGATAAGAGCATTAAAGTAATCAATCCTTCAGTCATGAAAGCAATTTCCCTAAAGACAGCTGTTGAGACTTGGGCTGTGTACAGCACCATACATTTAAAGCACATATGCCAAAGGAATGCTGGGAAGTCCAGTTTGTTAAGGGCACGGGAAATTATTGTTCTTAGAAGGGTGAACTACAGTTTCAGAAATTCCGGGAGGCGGGGAGAGTCACATGCTTTAAATGTGTGGTGTGCATGCAGCCTAATGGACACAGATACAACTTTGGAATGGGAAATGTTGTTGAAATGAATATTCTAAACACAGCTGCTCTTGGAGCCCTAAAGTGTGTGGTGGAAAAATGGGGATGGCTATAGTTATCTAGGAAGGCTCCTTTGTATGAGCTTTCTTTCTTTCTTTCTTTCTTTCTTTCTTTCTTTCTTTCTTTCTTTTAAAATACAGCCTTTAAGAAACACAATGTCCTTAGCTCTAAATTAACACTATAGAATAGAATGTGCAAGTGAGCTTCTGTTCTGCAATTAGTGGCAATTTATAGATAAGCCCACACAAATGTATAATGCAAAACAAGTCAGCTGAATCCAGGGAGAACCCAAAACTCTTGCAAACTTTTTTCACAGCCTTGTGTACAGTAGTGTGAGAAGAGCTGGCAGGAATGTGCATGTTCAAGGAGCTTCAAACAGACTTGTCCAAAAATGGAAACTGTGGCTCCTACCCTGAAAAAGAGGAAGTGAGATGCACAACAGGCTTCCGAAGCATACAGAAATAGATGGAAACCCAGAATAGAATTTCTCTCCCCAAGGCAACCATCCTGGTGAAGCCCTCACCCCCACTTAGGACCAGCTGAGATGCCCACTTTACTACACAAAGGAGGAGAAGCTGGAAGGGTAAAACTGGTCGCCATGCAACCTGGAATCTGCCTTTTCCACACACACCTCTCTGATGGTCCTTGTGCTTGCATTGTTGGAGAAATTGGCCAGTCTGAAGTCTCTGCTTTGTCACTTCTTCCTTCATGTGCCTCAGCAAGAGGATGATGTGGAGATCGAGAGCTGTGGGCCTGTAATTCTTCTTGTACAAATGCAGTGGTACAAATGCAGCTTGAAGTGATCCACCTTCCCTTCCCCCCCCCCCCCGCCCAAATTAAAAGCAGTTACCTATGTCACTTCTGTGTCTGAGAATACAAGCAGGCTTCTGTAAGGAAATGTCTTTAAACAAAGATAATGGAAATGAAGCTGTCTCATCTTGTTGACAGTGTGAGCAGCCACACCCTTGTACCTTATGACAGCCGTGTAAGAACAGATTTACAGTCAGGATGGTTTTGAAATTTTCCAACTTTCGATACCATTTCCTCATAGTGTGAGGGACTGTCTAACCAAATTACACTTAAGAAATGAATTGAATGCCGCCTCCATTTTCAGTGACGTTTAAAATTATGGGGACAACAGTTTCAGCAATATATGAAGTGCCATCTTAATTTGCAACTGTTCATGCATTAGGGTTACAGCTCCATATGAATCCTGGTTTATTATTTATTTGTTTATTGCTATAGCACCATCATTGGGTGTGGAGCTTTGCACAGTACAGTGGTATCTCGGGTTACATACGCTTCAGGTTACAGACTCCGCTAACCCAGAAATAGTACCTCGGGTTAAGAACTTTGCTTCAGGATGAGAACAGAAATTGTGCAGCGGCAGCGCAGCGGCAGCAGGAGGCCCCATTAGCTAAAGTGGTGCTTTAGGTTAAGAACAGTTTCAGGTTAAGAACGGACCTCTGGAACGAATTAAGTACTTAACCCGAGGTACCACTGTACAAGAGGACAGGCCCCTGTCTCCAAGGAGCTTACAATATTATAATTCACCACAGGGAGAAAAGAGGGTAAGGGGAGGAGTAGTCTAGGAAAGAATAGGTATTGCCAGATTTACTCGAATCTAATGCGCACCTTAATTTTCACAACATAATTCGGCCAAAAAAGTGAGCATTAGATTCGAGTAAATACAGTGTTTCAATTACATGTACATAAGTCACGCTTGCTGTAACAAACATTAAGTGGAAATTGTTGGGCAACATCCAGCTGTGACAGTCCAGTTGTGCAAATGAGACTTAGCCTTCCTCCCCTCTTCCATGCAACCCCCTGTGCTGCTCCAAAATCCGAAGCATTGGGGGACCCTTTAGAACAGATTAGGAGGGTACAGGGGCTACAAGAGGTGGAGGATGAGGAGGAGAGAGGAACTAGGTCTAATCTGCTGCCATGATGTTGGAGCACGGTCACTGTATTTCCCCCCCTAGCTAAAATAATGTAGTATTTGCACATGGGGTAGGTAGGATTTTCATGTGGGGACTTACTCTTGCACAGTGAAAATACCATCAAACAGAAAATATATTATGTCAGCTTTGAGAGCTGATAACTGTTCTGGAGGTTGGGGACCCAGACCAAGATAGGAATGCCATTCCCCTCTCTTTCCAACACCTGGACAGGTGTTACTAAAAGGTGATCAGTGCTGAGGACCTTGGAAGCAAAAGAATAATTCTTTTGTACAGATAAAAGCTGCTAAACTCGGCCCAATATCTCTCAGCACCTTGTTAACATCTCATATGCATTTGAATACAAAACTAGAAACTTAACAAATTGTGATTATTTGGTTTTTTAAAAATAATATTTTTATTAGTTTTCAATTGCAACAATCCAATAAAAGCCTCATTATAACAATGCCAAATAATAATACAGTTAATAATACCAATCATTGAGATGCCAAATTATGCAATTTAAGTTACTCCCCGCGTGCTAGAATTGATGGTTTGATTATTTACTTTATTTCTACATTCTTATAAATTTATAAATCTTATAAATTCCAATTATGCTCCTGTCAAAATAACAATCCCTTATATCGCAACTGGAGTTTTAACAACTTCCCTTCGTATTGACACATTAAATGATTTATACAGCTACAGGTAAAGCATTCAAACTCTCTCCTTGTTATTCCTGTATGTGGCAATTATTCTGTCCATCATGTTTCTTCCTGTCCTTGTGATATATTATGTCTATCGTAAATTGTGATTATTTGTTAATGCAATAAATTGTACCATATTCATTTACAACACCTAAACTTTTAGAACTGACTTGAGCCCTCCTGCCAAAAATGCCGGTTAAGAAATGGCAACTGATCAAAGAAAGGTTTTCTGTCCTTTTTGTAAGACTCTAATCATATCCCTGGGCAACGTCCTTCCCTCTTGCCTTCCAGGTTAATTGGCACAGCAACTGTATCCCTCAAAGAACTAGTAGGCACACAAAGCAGATCGCTTCCATTCAAGCTCGTTTCACTGCTGAATGAAAAGGGACTGGAAACCGGCGTGAGTGACCTCCTTACTTTTCGTAGTTGCATGTTTTACAGTATAATCTATTCCAACAGCATAGGAAACATTTTGGCAACATATATTTCATGGAAGCTGCATTGATCAATTTAAAAATTGCTATAGAGAGGGAAAGTGTATTTGGAGGCAGGTGTTAAGGTGGGTAAGGAAAGTGCCATTTTGCACAGTTTTTTGGGCATTGGGTGCAATTTTATTTCCTATCCATTAGGCACATTTGTTTCTGCAATCAAACAAGAGTTTGGGTTATGTTTCTTTTGAAGCACAATAAAATCTGAAAAGTGTTATTGTGACATGAAATTAGGGGCTGGCAGCCTAATAGGCTTTTGCCGATTCCTCTGCATGAACCTAAGTAGCTCTTTCGATCCTATATGTTTGTGATTTTTCTTTTCCTTTAATTTAGGCAACAATTGATTTGGTGGTGGGGTATGAGCCACCAGCTGGACCTCCGAATCCAAATGACCCAGGGGGAACAGATGCACAAGGCACTGAAGGTATTTCAGCTCCCCCCACCCCCCGAAGCCTTCCTCCTTTTCCGTTCCCTACAGGAATGTTGTTGTTTTTTAAGGTCACTAGATTTTTAGAGAGAGTTTCTAGCCAGACTGTTTCCTTTTTTAAAAAAATGTATTTTTATTGAGGTTGAAAGGGACTTTACAATACATCATAAAGCTGGGAAGGGGGGAAATTAAGATAAAAACAACTGGTTGTAAAAGCCATTCCTCACCTTTATATATTATGGAATTATTTTTTTTAAGAGCAGAGGTAAGGATCCTGTCAGGGAACTGCGATCGGCTCAGGGGCGAGAGGGGAAAAGCCGGATGGATTACAGAGAGCCCCCAAAGATTGTGGGAAGCAGCACCTCCTCAGCGGAGGAGAGTAACCACATCTCGAGTGGAGAGGAGCTTCAGGGCTCGGAGGAGGCGAGGCGGTGCCAGGACACCTTGCCTGGGCAAAGCGGGGAGGAGAGAGGTCCTCCATTACCCACGCCCTCCCTGCGCAGTAGGCTTCCGCACCGAGAGGGGAGGGTCAAGAAACTACTCTGCTGGGGAAGGTTTAAGGACCGCCCACTCACAGATTCTGCCAGTGAATGAGCCAGCCATGGGAGAGTGGTGCTCTGCACAGAGAAAGTTTATTTTGGCATCAAAAGCAAGGCTTCACAGCCGAGCAGGGAGGCATTTGCCTACTTGCTCTCGAGCAACCCCTTGGTACCCTAACAGATCCCATAAGATTAAGAAATAACTCCTACATATTCTAAATACCAACAGAGTTCAATAGTCAGCTAAGAACATTAGGTAAATAATCTCCTTCTTACAAGCACACAGCAAGACAACAAGCCTCCAGAAGGAAAACCAAGCAGCCAGGGGATGAGGTTCTTATGGAGAATTGATATAACTTGGGCTCACAGATTACCTGTCCTCTTCCTTCTCCTTCCCTGGGGCAGATCCTTCTGCTTTTAAACTGACCAGGGATTCCCATCTCATCTGAACTCTGCAGGACATGCCATGGCCATAAACCACAGTTCAGACCCTTTCCAACAACCCTGTTTATTGAGCATTCAGGATGATTTGCTTGCACAAAGCTTACACAGAAGTTAGGGCTCTTCCAGACTTACCTTTGCTCTGTATTTCTAGGCACAGGCCTGGGTGAACTAACCGTAATTCGGAGTAACCAAGATGTGTGCACATTATTGTTTACTCTGGATCCACTGTGCTCCCAGCACTGGCTCTCAAATCGGTGTACACAGGCGTTACCCATGATGCAGAGTCATCCTGCGGTTTCTTGAGAAATACTGCTGTCTGAAGCATTTGCCCTCAAGCCAGAGCTTCAACCTGATGTGCATCAGGTGGAGACATCTGCCCGCCCTCTCTGGTGTGTTCAGCAACATGCAAATGTGGCTTGAAGCACAGCAGGGAGGGAAAGACCTTGTTGCACTTTAAGCCAGTTATGTGTACGTAGCCTAAATATAACTGGAACTCTGGTTAGTGGAAGTATAACCTACCTCCTTGTGGCTGTGCCATAAGATGGGCTGGTAAAGGTGTAAGAGGCCATAAAGTTAACATTGCATCCAAATGGGGCCGATAGAACACAAATAAAACAGCCTATCTATTCTATGATAGTCCTTCAGAGCCAAACGAGACAGGTTATGATAGGTGCAGGCACTTTTTTTTTTTAGTTGGGCTCCACCCAGCCACCGGCACATTTTCTTAGCTCAACCCAGCTCAGCTGGCTGAGGAGAAAATTGCTTGCGGGGATGGACTGTGGGAGGTGAGCTACCTGGGACACTTGCAAACCAATTTTTATCCTTTCCAATTACTTTCTCTGGTATTTTAGAGGAGTTCAGCTTCCCCCCATTTTCTTTCTTCCTTCGAAGTGATGCTTTTTTTCTGGAAGCAAATGTTTCCCCCCCGAAAAGTTGCCCGTAATTGTACCTCAAGTTAAGTTTCAAAGGTCCATATTGTAAATCCCCAGCATCAGGGCTGGCCCACCCATGAGGCAAGGTGACAAATCCAGCTTCCAAGGAACACCTTGCCTGATGTTGTGATGCCAGCTGCGACTGCCACATGCTCCGTGGAACTACCACCTCCTTGACAGCCTCCCCATGCTGCCTCCACAGCGGCCTCTTGGCAAATAGGAGGCACTGCTGGTCTGTTCCCACCCCTAGGAAGGAAATGGCAGAGTCTGCCCTCTGGGGTTTCTTAGGCTCTGCATCCAACCAGCATGATTCAGAGTGGGCCTCTTTCCCCCTATGATGACCTTTAATTCATAGTTCAACCGTTGGGTAAGGTTTATTATATTCCCTCCCTTGCTCCCTATGTAGAACTTTGCTCACCCTCTTGTACCCTGGAAGGAGGGGTCACTCCTTAAATAGCTCAGGCAGTAGAGCATGAGACTCTTAATCTCAGGTTTGTGGGTTCAAGTCCCACATTGGGCAAAACATTCCTGCATTCCAGGGGATTGGACTAGATGACTCTCAGGGTCCTTTTCAACTCTACAGTTCTGTTTCTAACCATTTTGTGGCTTGCCTCAGGTGCCAAAATGCCTTGAGCTGGCCCCATCCCAAATTCTATGTTAACTCTTCTAATTCAGAGTTATGACACACTCCACTTCACTAAACGTTCAAAGTGTCACCTTGCTTACCTCTATAAATCAAACTCATGCCTGAAGCTCTCTGTTTCAGTAGTTACTGCCGAAGATAGTCACTGTTATGATTTAAAGCCTCTCCCAAATGTTAGCTTTTTATGTCTTGAAAACCAATTTGTTAGTTTACAGAAAGCCTCTTGTATTGTCATAGGTTGTATGGCCTTGACTCCCAGGTGAGAAAGAAGGATCCTGCTAGTTAAAAATATATACTTAGAGGCCAGGGTGTAACCTTTCCCCAAGCTACAGAAACTTGTTCTTCCAGTTTTCATCAAGTAGCGTCACCTTTAAACTTTAAATTGTATTGTGGAAAGTGAATCTGCTAGGCTCTTGTGTTTTCCCCAGGAACGGAACATGCTGGAAGGTAGGAACTGGCCTAAACAAGAGAAATGTTTCATTAACTTCTCTTAAATCAGAAAAGCACTCATGCAAAATGTGCTTTGTGACACAGAAGGAGGTATTGCTTTCAGATGTCTGCTTGAAAATAAGAGTTTACTTTTGCAAGGTATTTTTGCAAAACAACATGCAACCCCTCATCTATACTTTGAAGTGGTACAGCCTACAGATAATTTAATCACACAATTAACTATTGTTATTATTATTAGGAAGTTCTGAGGCAGCTGTTTGTATCTTGTATACATAAGCAGATAGGGGTTTTTTTAATTAGCAATTTGGTTTCTGATCAGTAAAGTATGTGAAGATGAAATCTACTTTGAAAGAGAAAAATAGTATGAATAAACAATATGAGTTCCTGAGAAAGTCTTACTAAATTTATTCAAAACCTTCTGTTTAGGGATCATGAGTAAATACGTTATGGGAGACGCCCTTTGTGGGTTAATTATTTGTGGTAAAGTTTTGTAATTCAGAATTTCTGAGGATTTGCCACATTTTATTACACCATTGTGAATGTCACAGTTTCAGTTCCTGGTTGAAGATGGATGCACAATATCATATTTACCTGGAAGAGAGGATCTATATTTTAGATATTTATTCAGCTTATACACCGCCCTATACCCGGAGGTCTCAGGGCGATTCACAAACAAGACCACAACATATAAAATCAAACCAAAAACAATAACCCAATAATCCCCACCCCCAAAAAAGAACCACATTCTAAAAGGATATTGGATGTAAATAAGATTAACCAAAGGCCTGGTTAAAAAGGAACCATTCTCGTGTTGCCGCCCTCCAGACGTCTTGAGCAGGAGGCACACGAAGGAGGGCCTCGGAAATTTATCTCAGGGTACAGATAGGTTCATATGGGAAGAGGCGGTCCTTGAGGTATTGCGGTCCTGAGCCGTTTAAGGCTTTATAGGTTAAAACCAGGATCCTGAAGTAAATTCTATTTCTGTGTTGCAGCCCAGCATATTCCAAATAAAATGGTTTCACATGGAGTAGTGCAATATTATAGTAGTGCAAATTATGCAATTGTCATTCATATCCTATGCAGAGTCAGATTAGACCAGTGGTTTTCAACCAGTGTGCCGTGGCACTCTGGGGTGTCTTGAATGATGGTCAGGGGTGCCATGTGCAATGCTGGCCTCTGTCTCTCTTTCATTCCCTTCCTTCCTCTAATGCCCTCTCACATCTCTGCCTCCCAAAGGCTTGCACAGCTGTTTGTTGCAGCAGCCCTGGCTACAAGCTCCCCAGGTGAATGGTGCCTCTGGATCTGGCCAGGGGGTGCTGGTTGCCAGGAGCTGAGGCAGCTCAGAGACCAGGGGTTGCTGCAGCGGCTGCTTGGCAGCGGCCCCAAGGAGAGGGGAGAGGAGCAGAGGCTGGGGGAACACTCCACAAGGGAGGGTGAAATATACTCAGAGTCGAGAGTGGATTTCATGCTCTTTACTCAGCTCATAGTGGTGAGGAGGGAATGAAAGTCCCCTCAAAGTATCTGCTTTATATACATTATTTACACAATGGGCTGCACGTGATTGGCTAATTCCGGAATTCTCCGGTAGGCCAATCAGGTTGTGGATTCACTTCTATCTGGAGCTGGATTAGGTGGCTCCTGCCGACCAATCATTTTGCTGCATTGTTCTAGGACCAATCAGACTACTGTATTCTGAATCCTATTGTTCTAGGACCAATCAGACTGCTGCATTTTGGATCCTATTGTTCTAGGACCAATCAGACTGCTGCAGTTTGGATCCTATTCAACTCAGTACATAACACCCCTCCCCTCTAAGTTCCAGTCCTGCCCGGGAGGTCGCATTCATAGTCCTCAAGGTACGCTGGCGGCCTACGTGTGCGTTGCGGTCTGGGGTGTTCCCTGGTCCGGGGTTCAGGTTCTAGCTCGTGTTCCAAGGATGCTGGCTGTGATGGGGCCGTTCAGTCGTGGTTCTGGTTCCAGTGTTCTTGCGGCCTCGCGGGTCCTCTCTGTATTTACTGATTCTGCCTCTCCTGCTGGCCCCTCCTGTTCTATGGGTCTCACTGCCCCAGTGTTCCCTTGGGACTCCTCTGACCTGTCCTCCTCCTGGTTTTCTCCCAGGAATCGTCGCCATATCTGGCCGCAGTGGCAGCGCCAGCATTGCCCCCCATCCGTTAGCACCCCGTACGACACGGGGCCAGTGACCCTGGTGACTGGTGGGTACCCATGCTGGGCCTGCCCCAAAGTTCTTTGCGTACACTGGGTCCTGGGCCACAAAGGTCCGGGGGTTCCTGCCTTCCCCCACCACTACCTCATCCTGAGCTCTATTGGGGTGAAGGCGGTCCAATCTGATTGCAAGGCGCCGATCCATTAGTAGTTCAGCGGGGCTCCGGCCAGTCGTTGAGCTGGGGGTGCTGTGCTGTGCTAGAAGGAATGTGGCAAGGCAGTACTCCCAATCCCCTTGCGTCATGCGGCAGAGGGTGTCCTTGGTGGTCCGCACCATGCGTTCTGCTTGGCCATTGGTGGCAGGGTGGAATGGCGCCCACTCCCATTGTGGGGACCTTACGTTTCTGGAAGTCCCGGAGGGTGAATGGGGTCGGCCTGAGTTTGGGACCCCCACTAGGACACAGTTTACTTAAGGTCCTTGCCGAGATTATGGATAGAGTTGAACCCGTGTCAAGCTCCATGCGGCACGGGGCCCCCTCTATCTGTACCTCTACATAAATTATCTCTACGTTGGGGTGGGGCAACTGGTATACCTGGAAGTCTGTGAGCTCCATCGAGTTGCCTTGGTGCGTTGGGCCCTGGGACCTGGGGCTCTTGGATCGGTCATCTGATGCCTGGCATTGGGTGGGCCAAGCTCGACACACCCGAGCGATGTGTCCCAATTTTCCGCACTGCCTGCACTCTGCGTTGCGGAAACGGCTGGTCCTCCTCTTGTGACTCTCCCCGCAGCTTGCGCAGTTCCCTCCTTCTCGTCGAGGCAGCTGTGGTCTGTGCGCTGCTTGAGTGCGCTGCTGTACTCGGTGCACCTCCTCCCTGTCAGATCCTGAGTCATCGGTGAGGTCTTCGTGGTGGACCCTTGGTTGGGGCGACAGGCTCGGCTGTGCCTCTTGCGTTGACCTCTCGGCAGCTTCTGTTACCAGGGCCTCCTCCAGGGCGACCTGGAACGTTAGGTCCTTCTTAGCGTAGAGGCATCGTTGCAGCTTCTCATCCTTCAGGCCACCGACAAGGCGGTCACGAAGCATGTTCTCCAGCTCTGAGAAGTTGCAGAACCGGGCAGCTTGGCGGAGAGAGGTCACAAACCCAGTTATGGTTTTCCCAGGGGCTTGCCGCTTTGCATAGAAGGCATTTTGACGAGCCACCACTGAGGGCTGTGGTGAAAAGTGCCCCTTCAGCCGTTCCATTATTGTTTTGTATGGAACAGTAGCGACGTCTTCAGGCGCAAGGAGAGCCCGGGCGATTTCAAACGTCTCCTCTCCGCAGATGCTGAAGAATATCACCCTCTTCTTGGCATCTTCTTCGTCGGTGACCCCTTTGGCTTCTAGGAGGAAGGTGAAACGGGAGGCATAGGCTTCCCAGTCTCCGGATGCTGGGTTGAACGGCGAGAAGCTGCTGTCGGTTGCCATTCTGAGTTCCTTGGGTCCCGGAGCTGAAGCCTGGATACACGGTGCGAGGCAGCGGTGCGGCAGGTGGCGGTGCTGCGGTGCTGTGTGTGGCGGTCAGCTCAGCGGATCCCATCCTCGTCGCCAGTGAAATATACTCAGAGTCGAGAGTGGATTTCATGCTCTTTATTCAGCTCATAGTGGTGAGAAGGGAATGAAAGTCCCCTCAAAGTATCTGCTTTATATGCACAATGGGCTGCACGTGATTGGCTAATTCCGGAATTCTCCTGTAGGCCAATCAGGTTGTGGATTCACTTCTATCTGGAGCTGGATTGGGTGGCTCCTGCCGACTAATCATACTGCTGCATTGTTCTAGGACCAATCAGACTGCTGTATTCTGAATCCTTTTGTTCTAGGACCAATCAGACTGCTGCAGTTTGGATCCTATTCAACTCAGTACATAACAGAGGGTGTTCGAAAAAGGGTGAGAGGCTGCCAACTTGGCAGGCAAGGAGTGACGTAACTGGGCCCCTGAGCCCCACAGGGGTCCCACAGAAAGAATGTAGTTGCTCAAGGGAACTGTGGACTCAAAAAGGTTGAAAACCTCTGGATTAGAGAGTTATAACATGCCCCTTGTGAGGCTGCCTTTGATGACAATGTGGGAACGAAACTTGGGTCAAATGCAGTTGACAGATTGCTAAATGGAGCATACAAACAGGAACATATCACTCTGATACTTTTTTTCATCTTCCCTGGTCGCCTGTTTGTTTCCATTCTGATTCAAAGTGCTGCTTTTGACCTTTACAGGCCTAAATTGCCAGAGAGTTGGATATTTTATGAACCTCCTATTTGACTCTCTATCTCAGCGGAACATCAAATGCCCTGCTCTTCTAGCCCACCATGACCAGAGCTATTTAGGTGCATGCAAAAGTGACGTGGAAATTGTAAAAAACAAAGAAAAACTTTTCTAAAGGAGGTATAATATGTGAAGACACGGCTATTCCAACAACGCTTTGGGTCTTATGCCTACTGATAATGATTTTTAATTAACTTAATAATTTTATTCATATGCCACTTTTACACCCCCCCCCAAAAAAAAACCTTCTCAGCCTCAGAGTGGCTTTTACAACAAAGAAAACAGGAAAGCATTTCAAAATCAAAGTGCAAAAGCAATTTCATAATAACATAGCAAAACAACACAATAGCAAATATAATAACATACGAGAAGCAACATTTCAATACTATAAATGTAGCAAGTTTACATTAGCAATTCTCAGCATCAAAAAAAAGCAAGGGAGCTGGACAGTTCCACCTTGGTCCTAGAAATAGCCCTCCATGATGTTACTCAGAGTCTCTCTCCTGCAGGAACTTCTTATAAGGTTTCCAAAGGCGGGGGGGGGGGGCGCGGAATAGCTGGAAACAACCCTCCCATTATGTTGCTCCTCGTTTTAGTTTGAACTGTTGTGAAATGTGTATTTTATCCTAATGTTCGGTATTATTCCCCCCTCCCCGGTAGCCCGTATAACATTTTATATTATGCAATTCTTTTGTTATGGTTTTGGTTTTCGGATCAATGCTTTTTTATTTAGGGGTGAACTGCCTTGACTATCCTCGTATAGAAAAGTTGGTTATAATAGATAAATGAGGTCACTGCCTAATTGCACCTTCAAGCAGCATACGCTCAATTGTATTTAGGTAAAGTCGTGGTCACGCTGTGTAGTTGCAGGCGTAGGAATGAGCACACCAGTCCTTGTTGTTTTTGCTTATGTTCATCTTGTTTCTCCAGTCACCGCACTGATTTATATCTTTGGCAGATGGTGAAGAAGACGGAGGTGATGAGGAGTCGCCTGACGGTGGAGCTGGTCCCGTTCCCCAGGGCGGTCCACGTGGCACCCGCGAAACTCAGCTTGCTCGTCGAATTGCCAAAGGAAAGCAAAACCGGAGGCTGCTTTCTAACAAGCCTCAAGACTTCCAGGTTGTAGAGTTGATAAGTCATATGCATTGCAAGACCTAATATGCCAGATTTCAGGATGACCTCAGGCTGCAGTCCTGTGCACAGGTGCCAAGGAATAAACCTCACTGAACACAGTGGTGTAATGCATAGGACTGCATGATAAATATCAGTGAAAAGGAAAATTCATGCATAGTAAGCATGTGTAATTTTTCTGTTCTGGAATCTCCAGACGTTTCAGAAGCTCTCATTTAAATCTTGGAAGATTCTTTCCCCCGGTGTAATGTCTGTTGGCTCCAGTCTAGAATAGCAAAGGAGCGGTATGAATAAATCTCAGGATTTAAAAGTGAGGTCTGGAGTATTCCTGCCCCCCTCATCAATATTTGATACGCAGCAGAGTTAAAAGTGAGGATGCAGCACTCCATAAATTTAGTGGTTTTATTTCTTGTTTGGGCCCAGGAATGTTCCATGTAGCCAGTGGAAACTCTTAGTTTCTGCCCATTAGAATGAGATGTTCTTCTGGATTGTCTGACTTTGGTTGATAGATTCCAGTACTGCTGGTTAGTTTATTTTAACAATAAAAGAAAAGAAACACTTTGTCAGTGTGACATGATGAGAAACCAGCCGATAAAAGGAACACATCAGTGATCTAATATTTGCATTTGTTTTTCTCCCTGCGTTAGATTCGTGTCAGGGTCATTGAAGGACGTCAGTTCTCTGGGAATAACATAAAGCCAGTTGTGAAAGTACACATTTGTGGACAGACACACAGAACAAGAATCAAAAGAGGCAACAATCCTTATTTTGATGAGGTATTGTGTTACACATCTTTGATAATCTCCTAGCTGAAAGGCATAGGTTTTTTTACCTGGAAAAAAATAAAAACTTATTTTATCTATTTCTATCTTTAACTCTCACCCCACTCCTTGTGGCTAACTGTTCTCAGTAAAAAAAGAGTAAAGCAAAGCTACTTTCTTATCTGTGCACAATCTAAGTCTAGTTGCCATAGTTTATGAGAGAGATGGATAAGATGGCTAAATCCTAAACAAACATATTGGGAAGTAAACTGTTGAAATCATTGGGATTTCCTATACTGAGAAGTCCCATTTTGTGCTTTAAAATGATTAAAGAACTTGGACTGAAAGTCACATGAAGAAATGGAACATGCATTTGTGCTGGATTCAAACAGAGAGTTTCCTCTATCATGAATAAAATTCCTCATCTGAATCCTTAGCGTCTTTTAACTCCCATGAATATTCAGATTTAATAACCAAGCTATTTCTTCCCATGATTTAACAGATGTTTTACTACAATGTCCACATGACCCCTTCAGAGCTCTTTGATGAAACAATAAGCATTCGGGTAAGTAAAACTAACAATGTTCTTTATAATTGCCTCATTATTGCTGAATAAAAGTAAAACATTATTCCATTCCTATCATTCAATTATAGGTATATGATTCTTATTCTTTACGTGCCGACAGTCTAATGGGGGAATTTAAAGTAAGTATTCTTGATGTCTCACCACATGCTTTCTGTTTACCCTCTTACCAGATCTGTGATGAAAATGTTGGGAAAGGGGAACACATTTCTCACAAAAGATGAAGTTTTATTTGTGAAAATTGTTATACTTTCTGCTATGGTACTTTCTTTGTTGTTGTTTTTTCTGGGGTGTTAATATGCTAAACCTTTGTTTCAGATTGACATTGGCTATGTCTACGATGAACCCGGTGAGTATGTGCCTTTAAGGCACTATCTTCTGTATTTCCCTCCTAGGGAAAAAGGGGAATAGCTGGCAGGGGACAGACCATGATTATGAAGGTGGTTTCCCCAGGGTGTGAGTCATCCATTGCACTTCGGGTGTGCTGACCCCTGCAACAGCAGCAATCTTTGGAGTTGGTCTGGTCTGCCCCACTCCACCTACCAATCATACCCAGCTCATAACAAGTCGTTCCATCCAGCTCAGGAATGTCTATAGTGACTTGCATCAACTCTCTGGAGTGGGTTTCAGGCAGGAGCCTCTATCAGCCCCTACCGGAGATGCCAGGGATTGAACCTGGGACATTCTGCATGCAAAGCAGATGCTCTACCAGTGAACTATGGCCTCCTCCCCTTTCCCCTCCGCATTTGATACTCCTGCTTCTCACTGCCACTAGTTATCATCACAGTTTAAATGTGACTCCTTAAAGAAGAAGAAAACACCTCCTGCATATGGCTGATTTGAGAAAATTAGAATACAGTGGTGCCTCGCAAGACGAAATTCATCCGTTCCACGAGTCTCTTCGTCTTGCGGTTTCTTCGTCTTGCGAAGCACGGCTATTAACGGCTTAGCGGCTATTAGCGGCTTAGCGGCTTTAAGAAAAAGGAAACAAACTCGCAAGAACTCGCAAGACGTTTCGTCTTGCGAAGCAAGCCCATAGGGAAATTCGTCTTGCGGAACAACTCAAAAAACGGAAAACTCTTTCGTCTTGCGAGTTTTTCATCTTGCGAGGCATTCGTCTTGCGAGGTACCACTGTAATAATAATAATAATAATAATAATAATAATAATAATAATTTATTATTTGTACCCCGCCCATCTGGCTGGGTTTCCCTGGCCACTCTGGGCAACTTCCACAGAAACCAAAAATACACTAAAATATCACACATTAAAAATTCCCCTGAACAGGGCTGCCTTAAGATGTCTTCTGAATATCAGGTAGTTGTTTATCGCTTTGACATCTGATGGGAGGGCGTTCCACAGGGCAGGCGCCACTACCGAGGAGGCCCTCTGCCTGGTTCCCTGTAGCTTTGTTTCTCGCAATGAGGGAACCGCCAGAAGGCCCTCGGCGCTGGACCTCAGCGTCCGGGCAGAACAATGGGGGTGGAGACACTCCTTCAGGTATACTGGGCTGAGGCCGTTTAGGGCTTTAAAGGTCAACACCAGCACTTTGAATTGTGCTCGGAAACGTACTGGGAAACAAATATTATTTCCCTGAAGGGATGCTATCTTCTCTCTCTTTTTATTTTCAGGACACGCGGCCATGAGAAAATGGCTGCTTCTAAATGACCCTGAAGATTCAAATTCAGGTGCCAAAGGGTACTTGAAAGTCAGCATGTTCGTTCTCGGAACAGGAGATGAGCCACCTGTAAGTTTCAGTCATAAACAGATATTTTCCTTCTACTAATATGCTTCACATGGGTTAATCTATGCTTATGTTGGTGCCAGAAATTACATTTGAAGGTACTTTAATGACCGAACCTGCTTACTGTATGTTTCTTTTCCCCAGTTCTGCTTGCTCCGCTACTTTCCACCCTATCGCCACAGCACTTCTCTCCCATGGCCTTCTGCATCGCTGCCTTTCAAAGGTACATCTCCCCTTAACTTTTCCCAATTTCTCATCTTTGGGGTACAGCCTCTTCTTGCTCAGGGTACTGCTTCTCCCCTCTGCTGTTCCCAGATGCTTCATTCAGTCACAGAAAAGACTGTGAATCTTGGGTTTTTTCTCCAGATGCTCTTGGGAGTGTTATTAAAATGGGGAAATGTTCAAATCTGCAAGGATACATGCCATTCGCCCCCCCCCCCATTTTATCTTCACAATAGCTTTGTAAGGTGCGTAAAGCTGAAGGATTCTGATTAGCCCAAGGCCAGCCCAAGGCGATATTTCATGGTCAATAATATATATCATTTCAAAAATCTTCTGGAATGTTGTTATTGTTGCTTTTTATGACAATATTCTCACATTAAATTTGACTTCTAAAATGTCAAAAGATTGTAATTCAGAAAGAATCCAGTGTAGAGTGAGCCCATTTTTATCCATTTCGGATTATATACATTGCAAACAAAATGCCAATCATGTTTTAGCTAAACTTGTGCTACATAATCTTATGTGCAAGTCTTGACCTGCGAAATTCAAATTGTTGGACATATTAGTCAGCCTAAAGGTTTGTGCCGATAATCCTCACATTCTTTTGCACTGAAGAATAGTGAAACTGACCTTATGGAAGGTTTCCTCAAAACTTCGACCCTCCAATTCTTAGACCCTTGTCTAAGACACTAAAAAGTGCCTTGCAGCCTCTTACACACTTTGTACCGTGTATTTAGCTAATGCTGAATAGAAGACAGAATGACACTGTATGATGTATATCGTTGCTATTATAGGTTCTGCATAGGATTTGTGATTGTGATACAGAGGAAAAACAGCTAGCAGGGGAAAGTAGGGGAACCTCTGCTTAGCTTTGCTGTCCTGCTGATTACGCCTTCCCACTTTGCAGGAGAATAGCATTGGTGACATGTGGTGGCTAAATCATCTGTGTGGAAACACCCTGGGTGTGGTCTTCTAAGATTTATATGCATGCATAATTCCAGCACAAGCTCACAGCCCAGCATTCTATGATCTGTGAAAGGCACAGCTTTCTTGTAAGCTGCGGTTGTTTAGGGGCAAAGACTAATCAGTTCAAAGTGGAGTTGCCACAACTCTGTACTTCACTCTAAAATGTTTGCAGGTAGTGGCTATTTAACAAGGGCTTGCTTGCTGTCTGCTAGGGGAAGGAGAATAATGCATTTGAATGTGTCTCCAACAGGTGGAAAATAGAGAACGGGAGAATGAAAACGATGATGTAGAAAGTAATCTTTTGCTTCCGGCTGGGATAGTACTCCGATGGGTCACTTTCGTTCTTAAGATCTACAGAGCTGAAGATATTCCTCAGAGTATAAACTTTTTTGTTTTATTTTCTGAGTTACACATTCGTAAAGTTGGAATTGTGTGCAACTGATTTTTTTTATACCAATATTAGTTTCTTGAGAGCTCAAGAGATGCTTAAGACTCAGTTCTTACCTAGGTGGTAAGCCTGTTTCTGGGCTGTACTGCTTCAGACATCATTTAGGGGCTCATATAACTGTATAACCTTTTTATTTTATTTTTAAAAAATCCTCTACATATATCATGGGTGTACCCCTATCTGCATAACCTAGCAATTATAAAATACAGACGTGCTTTTACTCTCGCAAGATTGAATGTTTTGCCCTCGGCTGTACTTGAGGGACGATTCCAACAGATTCCACACAAAAACCCCTTATGTCCCTGTGTAGATGTCAGTACCGAATCTGTGGCGCATGTCCTTCTGGCTTGCACTCTTTATAAAGACTTGAGGAATGAGGTTAACACCCCTCTTTCATTGTCCATTTCGGGTCGCCCAGCCACTGCCACAGGGTCCTTTCTCTTGGCAGATCAGGATGAGCAGGTGACGGCAAAGGTTGCAAGGTTTTTAGCTGGGGCCATTAGAATAAGATCCACTATTTGACTATAGATTCAAAACCCTAAAATGTATTTTATATAATTGACTTTTTATTTCTACTCTTTGTGTATCATATTGTTGTTTTATTGCTGTGGCTGATAAAGGTTTATTCTTCTTCTACTACCTGTGTGCAAATAAAGGTTTATTCTTCTTCTACTACCATGGGTGTAGAATTCAAGGCTTGCCAAACTGCCCAATTTGGCCTACAAGGTCATTTGGGCCTAGCTACACTCACCTGCCATACAACATCAAAGGCAGGGTAGGTAAAGTTGTGGCATCAAAGGAAAAATCAAGAGCCTTAGAGTGTCCTCCAGATTGCATTGCAGCTCTGACTTGTGTTCAGCATTGTTTTAATCTGGTGCCAAATGCAAGCCCCACTAATTTGGAGCTCCCCACTGGAACCCCGTGAGCACTGCTGCTTTTGACAGGGCTCAGATCCACCCAGGAATGACCAGTCCCAGCCACCATTTTATTTCATTCCAAATCATTGTGGGACAAAGCATTGTAGGGGAATGGCTAGCTAGTCTCTGCAAAAAAATGGCAGCCACCAGTGGGGATTTCCATCTTTTTGGTGACAAAATAAAGCCTTTTTTCCCCAAAAAAAAAGGCAGCAAAAAAGTTGCCACCACTCCTAAAAGTAAGCCCCTCTGCTATTGTAGTGAATATTGCCCCTGAATTTGGGGTCATTTTAGCTGCTGCCCATTTCTCTGTTACCTCTAGCTTGGTGTTTCCAGGGCAAGACATCACTCCAGAAGGGGCCAAATCTGAGCCCCATGTCTCTGGCCGCTGATCCCTTGTTTGCTGGATTCAGTTTTCACTATCATGCTATTTAAGTTCCACAATACCACACCCAGCTGCCACATTGCTGCATGTTCATGAAATATGCCAACTTTGTGGCTCCGAGATCTTGGTTGTGAAAAATGATTGCCATTTCCCCCCTCTTCTGTATGTTTTCTGTGCAGTGGATGATGCTTTTGCGCAGACTGTAAAGGAAATATTTGGTGGAGAAGCAGATAAGAAAAACCTTGTGGATCCATTTGTGGAAGTTTGCTTTGCTGGGAAAAAGGTATTCAGTGCTAATAACAGAACTATATAAATAAATATGCTTGAAACCAGTCAGGATCATTAATCATATAAGCCATAAGAATACTGTGGAACCTCGGGTTACATACACTTCAGGTTACATACGCTTCAGGTTACAGATTCCGCTAACCCAGAAATAGTAGCTCGGGTTAAGAACTTTGCTTCAGGATGAGAACAGAAATCGTGGGGCGGTGGCAGTGGGAGGCCCCATTAGCTAAAGTGGTGCTTCAGGTTAAGAACAGTTTCAGGTTAAGAATGGACCTCCAGAACGAATTAAGTTCTTAACCCGAGATACCACTGTAGTCACATCTTGCCTAGGTTCAGAGACACAACACAGTTTCCCATTATGTGCTGAAGCCTTGGACTTACACACTTACCTCTGAGCTCATGTGTTCTCCCTTCCCTCTCTTCCTCTTCCTCCCCTCCTCAGACATTTATAGTGATATATTTTCAGATAACTGCAGGTTTTTTGTTGTATTTGAACCTGGACAAAATGTGCTTGGTCTTGTGGGATATTGGAACAACTCAACTTCAGATCACGTTTAGTGATCCAGACTTGTTTCAAGAAACCATTTAATGCCAACCATAATTTCTGATTCAAACATAATCGCAAACTGTGGTTATTTGAAAATGCAAGCAGATGCTCCTGAACTTCACTCAAGTCTTGTGCACATTATGCTGTAGATTAGCCCAAGAGTCACCAAACTTTTGGGACCTGTGAGCACATTTGCAAAATGGATAAACTGTCATGACCACAGATGGACACACACACACCAGCACATTCATTTGGTTACAATGAAATGCTTCTTTTAAAGCTGATTTCAGTGGGAGGAGACAACCCTGTGGGCACCAGGGTAGGCATCTGTCTACACCTTCTGCATATGTACTTCTGGGGCAGGAGGTGCAAATTTGAATAAAATATGGGGGGGAGTAAGTTCCGCCCTGCATTATTGATCACAAGACAAAGTGTGTACACACCTTTTGAAAGGCAATGCCCATCAACTCGCGGGAGGGGGGGGCAGCCCCCTCAAATATTTTATTGGGCACCTCAGCCCCTAGGAATTGGCTCCTATGTTCTGGGGCCATATAGGTGACTCCTGGTCTAGCATTCAGGCCAATGACTGCCAAAAACTGAACACAGTCATACCTTGGTTTCTGAACAAAATGCGTTCCAGAAGTTCGTTTGACTTACGAAATGTTCGGAAACCAAGCCGTGGAAGCTGCACTGGACATTTGGCTTCCAAAGCAAAGTTTGCAAACTGGAACATCTACTTCCGGGTTTGTGGCATTCGAGTTCCAAGTTGTTCGTGAACTAAGGTACGACTGTATAGCGACAGTTACTATACAGAGCACCCATTATATTTTGTGAGCATTTGTTGATCTTCCTTATGTCTGAATAAAAGCTATTCCTAGACATAGAACTGTTCATAACTTTCATATGGGGATTTTTTTCCCAGGTTTGCACCAATATAATTGAAAAAAATGCTAACCCAGTGTGGAATCAACTTGTTAATCTTCAGATCAAGGTTGGTTTGCTGCTGTACAAAAAACTATTACAATGTTGTTGTTTCATTTAGAAATAAGACTTTGTTTAATTAGTACTGTCTTCTTTTTTCCTAGTTCCCTTCGATGTGTGAAAAAATAAGACTGGTGGTGTACGATTGGTGAGTTCTCCTTTGTTGTTTATAGAGTTGCATGCGAAGCAACAACGACAATGCTTGAAAACAAAAAGGTTTTAACATACGTTGGTGACTTGTGCCGCACAAGCTATCGCGGAATTAATTAAGTGCTCTTTGCAGAGCGGTGCTCAGATTATTTGTAATGAAGTTGGTTATAGCTTGGTGTTCTTAATAATTGCCGCTGTTATGGAGCATGACAGGCCTGCCTGTTTAAAATTCCCACGAGTTCTCATTCATTAGCTACTCAGCTTGAACCATTATAAAGATTATAGAGATCATTAGAATTGTTTCATGGATAATTATGTCCATTAGGCTTACTGCTGTCAGGGTTGTCAGCGGTCAAGGCAGGGGGTAATACAGGCACATAGTCTTTCTACAAGGTGCTAAAAGATATGTGTACATCCTTTAACAATTGAGTTGTGCCATCTGATGGCTACTGGTGGAACTGAAATCCTGTCACGGACGTATAGGTGAGTGTAGCAGCCATAGGATAACCTTGTGTGTTGTCTTCTCCTAACCTTGCTGACCTGGGCTTAGGGATGGGGAGAAATTTGGTTCAGCTTGTATTTTAGTGCAAGTCTGCCTAATTCATACTTCTTGAAACGAAATGTGAATCGAGACACAGCAATTTCTCCTAATTCTGTGATGCAGTTATCCAACCCCCAAAAAAATTTGTACTAAAATGCATGTATTAGGGAAACGTGCATAAAAATGTGGGGTTTTTTTATTAAAATAACATACAAAATGCATCATATCTGGGGAAATTGCTTGCAAAAGTATATAAAAATGTATATATTAGGAGGAATTTGTACTAAAGTGCCAAAAGATTTTGTGAGGAGGTTTTTTTTGGGGGGGGGCTATTTTTGCAGAAATGTGGTAAACTGACCTTAACATTGAAAAATGAGAAACTGAGAGAACTTGAAACTGACTGATTTGCCCATGGCAATATATATACATACATACATATATATATATATATATTAGTTTCTTTACAAATGCAGTAAATAATAATGGTAGTATTAGTGATAAATATACAATTTTCAATACAGAACATGGTTAAAACAGGACCTATATAGTACTACAATTTTATATGCTTAAGACCACACCCACATCTGAATATTTAAAATGAATACTGACGATTACATCATTTCATGAAGGGATCGCCTCACCAGAAATGATGTCGTAGGCACCACATACTTGAGCCTATCCAAAATTGCTGCTTCGGGGGGAGAAGTTGAAGGTAAGGTAGTTTCTCTTCCAATGTTGTTTCTTCAAAGGAGCACCTGTAAGTTCAAAACAGAAGAAAGAAGAAGGAAGGACAATGTAAGAAATTGTATTTCTTCACTCAGGTTCAATGTACGGAGCCATTGGAGAGGAGTGGTGGCGTCACATACCAAGCCTCCTGGCATAATAATAATAATAATAATTTATTACTTATGCCCCAACCATCTGGCTGCGCCTCCCCAGCCACTCTAGGTAGCTCCCAACATATTAAAAACATGATAAAACATCAAACATTAAAAACTTCCCTAAACAGGGCTGCCTTCAGATGTTTTCTAAAAGTCAGGTAGTTGTTTATTTCCTTAACATCTAATGGGAGGGCATTCCACAGGGCGGGCGCTACATCTGAGAAGGCCCTTTGCCTGGTTCCCTGTAACCTCACTTCTTGCAGGGAGGGAACCACCAGAAGACCCTCTGCACTGGACCTCAGCGTCCAGGCAGAACGATGGGGGTGGAGACACTCCTTCAGGTATACTGAAGGACCACTTGCCGGGAGGGGGGAGAAACCAGGCGCTAGGAAGGTTGGGTGCTGTGCAGACACATCAGCAGAGCCAATCTGATGCTCCTGCTGATATGCCTGCACAGCACTGACCTCGCTGCTCCTTTGTCCCACCTCCTCCTGGTAAGCAGCAACTCAGTTCCTTCTGACATTCCTATTCATACGTCCTGCTACCTGATTGGTACAAAGTGCCATATGAGTCTGCATGTAACGCTTGCCTAGAGTAGTCCAGGGGTAGGCAACCTAAGGCCCGGGGGCTGGATGCGGCCCATTCGCCTTCTCACTCAGGCCTGTAGATGGTCCGGGAATCAGCGTGAGTAGAATGTGTGCTTTTATTTAAAATGCATCTCTGGGTTATTTGTGGGGCATAGGAATTTGTTCATTTCCCCCCCAAAAAATATAGTCCAGCCCACCACATGGTCTGAGGGACAGTGGACCAGCCCATGGCTGAAAAAGGTTGCTGACCCCTGGAGTAGTCATTTTCTCTCCACAGGGACTATTTCAGGAATAGTGTGGTCATCCCACCGTGGATGTTGTTGCCCTGATGAAAGTTGGTTGGCCTCACCCCCCCCCCCAGTGAAACTTCCCACATTTGGGTAGAACAGTTATTATTCTTCGGAGGTGTCTCTCTGAGACCAATCCATTATGTCCTTCATAATGAGTGTGTAGTACACTATTGTTGAAAAATGAAAACTGGTTGCTATAGGTCTATGCATACCATGCGCTATCTTGAGCTTCCTTGCCACTATGGGGTGCTATATTTTCTTCTGAAGCTGATTTAGCTTTGAGGACTAGTTCCTTTGAGGACTGCATGAGAGTGGCACCTCTGATCTTAAATGTTTGCACTTGTCTGTCATCCTGTGATGCCTGCATAATAGCCGTAAAATGCTGCTATAATTTCTTATTTTGTGAGGTTGATACCGGCAAAGCTGTCGGCACAACCCATCCTAAGTACTTACGTGATTTAGAAGCAAGACTTAGGATCAGGACATACCTTATTTTTAGATCAAGACTCCAGATTCACTTTGATTTAAATGTTTTATATGTTGTGCATTCTTTATACAGTACTACATACCAAATAATGTGTTGTCTTTTGTAATCTATAGAGTTTTCATCTTCGGGAGCTGGGGTTTCATCATATGAAGGTTCATAATCATATATTGGAGTTCAATGCAAATTCTTGCCCTTTCCGCAAACTAATATTTCCTTTTAAACCCAAATGTGTAACCTATACACTTACATTAATGTTAGCAGCTGCGATGATACTTATGATGATAATTTTTAACAGTTTGGGCATTGGATCATGATTGCATGAGATTTTCTTTGACTTTTGCATGGCTTTACTGTATATTTTTGCATGCAATTGTTTAATTTATTCTATACCCCAACTTGTAGTACTAAAGATATATGCAGGAGCTTTGGAGACAGTGCTTGGTGGTTTGGGCCGTTAATGGCTTGCTGTCTTTAATGAGAGCACATAAACAGATTTTATCTATGAAAACTATCACAGGCAGTATACATTTGCCTCAAATTCTGTGCCTGATTCCTCAAAGATTAAAAAACTTTTCATAAAAATGGATGCAATATTAAAGATCTGCCTCTGAAAGGTACCCATAAAACTTTGTTTTCTCATCCAGAAAATTTTCACATTTCTGTGCTGAATTGCACTGAAAATTTAATTATGCAACAGTAATTATACTGTGAAATTTCTAAGAAACCTTTGCCTGATTAGTGAATACTTTTAAAAAGGAATTACACACACACACACACACAAATATATATAGTGTGTAACTTTATATTTGCCTGACCTCGGCACATTTAATTGGAGAGAAGATTATATTTTTTTCACATTACAAAGAATTGTGGGATGAGAGTGATTCACACTTCTAATTCTACACTACTACGGAAATAATGTGAATAAGATGGTTGGGTGAAATACAGGAGGGTGTATAATAGGGATTTTATCATGGCAAACATAGGGGATTATATTGTGGCAAACGACACCTGCTGAACTTCCTGCTTCTGCACAACTAGTGACTACAGGAGCCCCAACCTCCTTTGCATCTGCCCACCCTAAATGCAAAAAAAGAAGAGTTCTGAATCTCACTTCTTCATAGATTGCTCTCACTGTGCAGTTTGGAGAGCAGCTGTGGTTGTGTTTCTAGAGGGCTATGAGTTGGTTTGGATATTTGTTCCCAGCATTTAACAGCAACTGATTCTACTAGTCTTCTGCTGCAACATCTGATACAATTAAATAATTCAATTATTACAACCGTGTACTGATCTACGCTAACCTTTCACCTGTGATTGTAACAGTAGTTTAGATAGAATGTGTGACTAATATCTCCTTTCAGTTGTATTAATGTACAAAAAGCAGTAATACATTAACGTTTATGATCAGGAGCTAAAGAAGAGAGAAAAGCACAGTGTTGAGAGAACTATGAGTATAGCTGGAGTTTTTTCTGGATGTTTCTTTCTGCAGAGGAATCTACGCTGATAATAACAGCTGTCAAAGCTCTGGTTGTGCCTGTAGTTCTCTCCTATGCTTACATCGCCTTCCTTTGGCTCCTGAAAAAAGATGTTAATACAGGACACATATTTCTCAGTGCTATGGTTCTTTTGAATAAATGAAGGTCTCTTAGCATGAAGGTAGCACAGCCAGTTTATTCTATGGGGTTCTTTTCCCATAAAGTTTTGACTAAATTCAAATTTATGCATCACCGTTCTGACCCAGAGCTCTCCAGACACTGTCATGTGCAGTGGGCTCCTTTCATTGAAGTGTATGGAGACATCCTTGTGGATCCACATACATAACTGGTCTTGCCATAGATCCTGCCCACTCACTGCTCTTTTGCAGGAAGCCAAATTTTTGCACTGTTCCTGTTTGGGAGGCTAGATTTTCCCTGGGGCAGGCAGTTCCTTACCCCAGTGCACCCCAGAGGAGGGGGTGGGGAAACTGTGGCCTCAAGATGTTGCTGGACTACAATTCCCAGCATAGCTGGGACCGAGGGTATTTGGAGTCCCACAACATGTAGAGAACCACAGGTTAGTCACCGTGGATTAGAGATGGCCCAGTCACAAAGAGTTTATGGGTCATGGTTAATCTATTGAGAGATATTCCTGGCACTTGGACTTTCTTTATACCCATAGAATAAAATGTTCTTATTTGACTAACAACTAACATTTAACATTTTAGTTTGCTGCATCCAGAGTTAAAGTTTATACCCTCTTAAGGTAGCCCCTAATACAACATGTTTTAATCATGATGTTTGCTTATCAGTAAATACTGGAGAGACGGAAGTGGGATTCTTACCAACATTTGGGCCTTGTTATCTAAACCTTTATGGAAGTCCAAGAGAATATACTGGATTCCCAGATCCGTATGATGATCTAAATTCTGGAAAGGTTTGTTTATCTTTTGGAATATCTCTTAGTCAAAATATCTGCTTTTTGCTGTTCTCTTGCTTCCACACAATGGCAGGAGAAAGAATGTTGGCAGGGAGTTGAGAATATAGTGTTATAACTCCTTCACCAGTTGTCCTTTCAAACACTCCATCACATGTATAAAATAATGTGTACCTTTTAAAAGGATTTGATGATGTCATTTTCAAGCAACAATAGTACCGATTCTCAAAACACAGTTTGTAGTCTTCAAACATAACGTGCAAATTGTATTGGTGCTAAAAATAAAATATTGTTATTTCTCTGGTACCAAAAATCACTGTGGCCCTTTGTAACATGCACATCTTGCAAAGTCTAGTCCATCTATGGGCCCTAGGCATGCAGAAACAGGATTGGGAGATTCTCACACAAATTGCTGCTTGCCTCTCTCCCCAGCAGCTAAGATTGTGCGTGCTTAGGTCTGTAAAGGAAGCTGGAATTGCATCAATCAACTGTTTGGAAGGCACGAAAACAGCCTGGATTCAATCTTCCCACCCCTTCCTGCCAAGCGGCTAATTGGCCCGATTCCAGCTGCCTCAAAAGAAGTGGTTCTGTTTTACTTACTTTAATAACCTTATTGCTTTTAACTGAGCTTATTTGTAACCACCCAGGGATCTTCAAATGATGTAATCAAACAAATAAACAAATAAGCTCAAGATCAATATTATAAAATTGTATCCAATGACCCGTGTTTATTAGTTTCAGTAGAAAAACTGGGATTGTTGACTTAAATTATGTCGGGGGGGGAAGCCTATTTTATTGTGAGATGTGATAAAGCATGCAAATTGGAGGGTGCAGATGATACTCACAGTTTTAAAGAATATACTAGCTTTGCAGCTTACATACTATAGATTGAAGTATCGCGTTTGTGTTTCAGGGAGAGGGGGTATCTTACAGAGGCCGGATCCTGGTTGAACTAACCACACTGCTTGACAGCAAACCCCTTTCTAAAAAGATTGAAATGATACCCAGTGATGATGTACTAGTGGTTGAGGTAAGTGCTGTTTTGTTCCCCAGTATGTGAAATATGAAATATTTCAATCTTGCTCCTTTTGGGCAAGGCCCACCACACAATCAGAGGTCCTTGATCTCATAGGGTGGTTAGGCAAATCACACCCCTAGACATATCTTTGGAGTGGGCAGAAAAGAATACTATGCCTCCTTTTGCATTTATTTTCCACATAAATGGTACCTAGGGTTACAGACGCTTCAGGTTATGCGTTTTCGGGTTGCGCACCATGCCGAACCCGGAAGTGCCGGAACAGGTTACTTCCAGGTTTCAATGCTCACGCATGTGCAGAATCGCGACCCGCGCATGCGCAGATGCGGAGCTGCGGGTTGCGAACGCTGCGGGTTGCGAACGTGCCTCCCGCATGGATCAGGTTCGCAACCCGAGGTTCCACTGTATTGGTAGCCAGCAAATCATTTAAAATGTGTGGTTTCGTTTGACATTTAATGTTTCTCCACACTGGTAAATGTATGTGTGTGTGCCTATATGTATTTTAGGTGGGGTTTTGCTTCAAAAATTAAACCACTGTTTGTTGAACCACTGTTCTTGTTTGAACCTACAGAAATATCAGCGGAGAAGAAAGTACAGCCTCAGCGCCGTGTTCCATTCTGCCACCATGTTGCAAGATATTGGCGAAGCCATCCAATTTGAAGTCAGCATAGGGAACTATGGCAATAAATTTGATACCACCTGCAAACCGCTGGCATCAACAACTCAGTACAGTCGGGCTGTATTTGATGGTGCGTATTACTGCGGACGCGGGTGGCGCTGTGGGTAAAACCTCAGCGCCTAGGACTTGCCGATCGCCAGGTCGGTGGTTCGAATCCCCGCGGCGGGGTGATCTCCCATCTTTCGGTCCCAGCTCCTGCCCACCTAGCAGTTCGAAAGCACCTCCGGGTGCAAGTAGATAAATAGGGACCGCTTACCAGCGGGAAGGTAAACGGCGTTCCGTGTGCTGCGCTGGCTCGCCAGATGCAGCTTGTCACGCTGGCCACGTGACCCGGAAGTGTCTGCTGACAGCGCTGGCCCCCGGCCTCTTAAGTGAGATGGGCGCACAACCCTCGAGTCGGACACGACTGGCCCGTACGGGCAGGGGTACCTTTATTACTGCTACACAAAGCTAGCAATAAAGACATATTTGGGTGGGTGGGGGCTGTAACTTTTAAATCTGTACTTATGATTAGGTAGAGCAAGGCAGATTTTGGGTGCCATTGTAGGGCATCAGGTTATTAGTTATTTATTTTTAGATATGTATATATCTAATAACCTGAGATATTCATTTGCATTTTCTGCTTTAGGCAGAAAAATAGCTTGCCCAATCTTGGTTGAAATAATGTGAATAAAGATTGTTGAAATCCAACAGGTATATTGTATATATTTTTGTAAGAGGACATATTCCCCCAAATAATGTGCCTATTTCACTCCAGGAAACTTCTATTACTACCTGCCATGGGCAAACACGAAGCCAGTGGTGACACTTACTTCATATTGGGAGGATATAAGTCATAGACTGGACCCTTTGAACCTTCTTCTTGCCATAGTGGAAAAACTGGTAAGTTAATCACAACTGTTTCTCTTTCCCATAATTCATATATACAACATTGTTGTGGCTGTATATAAAATAAGTAAGTAAGTTATAAAGCTTCTTCTTGGATTTGTATTCTTGCATTCAGCAATGTAATCAAAACTGTGGTAGAAAGTGGGCTTCTGGTTTCACAGCAGGCAGAATTTCAGTCTCGTCCAGTGAAAAATGCAAGAAACGTTGTTGTTTTTTGTGTTGTAAGCTGCATAAAATACAGCTGCAAGGCTGTTAACTGGGCCTGGACATTATGAACATGTTATGCTGGTGCTTCATACGTTGCACTGGTTCCTGGTCCATTTCCAGGCCCAATTCAGAGAGCTGGTTCATGACTTTTAAGTCCATTACAGCATGGAATGAGGGCACTCAAAGGATCACTTTTCTCCACATATGGCAGTGTATTAACAGGCATATGCTGGGACTGTTGATCTGATAAGAACATCATCACAAGCCATTTTCCAGGTGTCCCCATTATCTGAGGTGCAGTGAGCAGGTACCTGGGTAAGGTCCTTCTGGAAAGTGGCTCCCCATTTGTGGAATTCTCTCTCTTGGGAGGCTTGCCTGGCACGTGCCATGAGGTCAGCTGAATAACTCTCCCCGCCCCCAATACCTTTAATACAAGTTTTTAACCTTCCTGAAAGTTTTAAAGAAATTATCAATGTGGACTTCTCCACAATTTTCCTACAGCAATAACAATTATAACAACAGTCACAGCAGTATAAATTCTTATACCAGCATGAAAACAGAACAAAACCATGCCAAAGGTATTTGGTATAGTTTTAATGTGTATTTTGTGAACCACTCTGGTATTATGAATATGGTATATGAGTATTTGAAAATGAAAATAAGTAACAAATGAGGCTTAGGTTAGTCACAATGGCTGGCTTAAGCCCCATTAATTTCAGTGGGTCAGCTCTGAATATGTCTAAATCTGGATCCGACTGTGTGCTTTACAAATAGTTTTCTGTAACACCGATGAGAGAATCTCACTGGGGGAAAAGGTTGCAAATGAGTAGCACATATGGACTTACCCAACTCTTTAAATCCATAGCAAACAAACCTGACAGCCTTAAAATCAGGAATACAAGCAAAGGTTTCGGAAAACCAGTTGACTGAAACGTGGCTGAAGCTAATAGATGAGCTTATGGAGGACCTGAGGTAAGTTGCTCTGTATCTTCCCTCTTCACAACTGCCCAGAAATTCAGTACAGAGATTGGTTCCTTCTGCTTAAGAAGTGCCCCAGTTCCTCAGGGAGGAAGCAAAACTCCTGAGCCAGAGTCTCTTTGGGTCCATGGTGCCTTACACACCAATGTTTGTGATGCTATTTTAAAAACTGACTTCAGGTTTCACAGCCGTTCCCACAAACTGTTGGTTGATTGGTATGTTTGTTACTAAGAAAGCCTACTCATTTCTTCTTTCAGCAAGGAATTCCCAAGCCAGCAAGGCAAACACAATGTCACGGTCCTCGATACACAGATCTACAAACTGCGGGAGAAATCAATCAGACAGATTCAGGAGGCAGCTCTGAAAATGAGGAGCGAAGCCACAGATATCAAGGCCACACTGACAGAAATTGAGGATTGGCTGGAAAAATTAATACTGCTATCTGAAGAGGTTGTTCTCTCTGTATTGATAATGGGCTAACTTTTTCTTTCTTCTGAGGGTCGCAAGCTAGCGGTGGGTATTGCTAGTACACAAACAGACAGACAGGCACATAGAGGCCACATACTTATCACTCATACAGGCAGGAGGGGGACAGGCTCCAGCAGGCAAGCAGAAGCAAACTCGCACATTCAGGCAGGCAGGCAGACCAGCAGTGCCCAGTGTTTCTGCTCCCCACTACAGTGCTAGTTTCAATATTGTATCATGGAGAAAAACTGAAGCATTTTTGCCTCCCACATCAGCACTCTTGTCCTACCCCAGCACTATAATAGGGAGGACGCACAAAGCTTTTCCAAGGTCTTCTTACCTTGCAAATGTGCCTCTTCACCCTCTGATCAGGAGTTACTGCAAGAAGTAAATCAAGAAAAAAGGAAGGAGTCATAGGCAATGCCAAACCATAGTTAAAACAAACCAAGGTTTGTAAGTAAACAACAAGCCATGATGTCTTGTTAGTAAGCAAACCACAGTCAAAGGGCTGGTCAGGGTTTAGACGGCCCAACAAACCGTGAATTGACAAACCGTAATTTATTAAACCATGGTTTAGCATTACATGAAAACTAGGCCATACTGTGGTCACCTTTAGAGGATCTGCGTGAGACACCTGGTATTTGAGATGTGACTAGTTGTGACAGGAAAGAGACTTTTTGGAGGTGGTAGCTGCTTGTGGAATTGCATTCCCAGGGCAACTTACCAGAAGAATAACAGTGTAGATACAAGGTATTCTGTGACTCAGGTGTCACGGTCTTGAAATAAAAGCATTACATTCTCCATATTCTATTCCCATTTAGCATATGGTTGTGCTGAAGACAGAAACTCTTGTGTATTAGAATGTTTTTGCCTGTTGTTTTACATGTTTAATACAGCCACCCACGTTAGAGACCTGGGATTGGTTGTAACTTCCTTTTGAGTGCACACTCAATAACAAACTTGGCCAATATATGAAACATACCAGAATGCCTGCTGGCCTGCCATATCTTTTTGTTACTGTATAATGTGATATAATTCTTTATAGCAAATTATCTGTCGTGCCTTCCCCCTCCCCCTTAAATGTGAGTCTACAAATGCTTTTAATAGGAAATAATATTGTTTTACACAAACTTTGTCTCATTTCCCCTCTCATTGCAAAACAACAGCCACAGAACAGCATGCCTGACGTGATCGTTTGGATGATTCGGGGGGAGAAGAGGCTTGCCTACGCTCGCATTCCTGCCCACGAGGTTTTATATTCCACAATTCCTGGGGCATCTGGGAAATTTTGTGGGAAGTCCCGGACCGTCTTCTTAAAGGTAACCTAAGCCAAACACTTGTCTGCCCAACATGGTTAGGTCTCCAGTGCTTCTTCAAATCTGTGGCCTGGAGAGCAGTCCTTTTCAGAGTCAGCTTGGTACAGAATGCCACTACTGGAAATACAGTAGTCCTGGCAGAGATGCTTGAAAGCATAACACTGAAATAAATTTATGCTTTCCATGTACATGCACACAAACTGTGTACGGATCTATTTCCTCTTAATTTGCAATAACCAAATGGATTGTGATAAATAAAATAAATAAACAGAGGCTTCAGAGTCCAAAGGCTCTCATCTATCAAGGAAGGGGCCTGCTTGTGTCTCCTCTGTGTGTTCTCACCAGTGGTGGGCAGGAGGCAGAGGCAGTTGCATTCTGCCGGTGGCAGAAATCCTGTGCTCATTGGGACAGGGTGCTGAAGAATTGATGCTTTTGAATTATGGTGCTGGAGGAGACTCTTGAGAGTCCCATGGACTGCAAGAAGATCAAACCTCTCCATTCTTAAGGAAATCAGCCCTGAGTGCTCACTGGAAGGACAGGTACTGAAGCTGAGGCTCCAATACTTTGGCCACCTCATGAGAAGAGAAGACTCCCTGGAAAAGACCCTGATGTTGGGAAAGATGGAGGGCACAAGGAGAAGGGGACGACAGAGGACAAGATGGTTGGACAGTGTTCTCGAAGCTACCAGCATGAGTTTGACCAAACTGCGGGAGGCAGTGGAAGACAGGAGTGCCTGGCGTGCTCTGGTCCATGGGGTCATGGAGAGTCGGACACAACTAAATGACTAAACAACAAACTGAGGTCGGAGGACTTCAGGGCTGCCACCGACCTGGAGCTTTCCCAAGCTCTGTCACCCCTGGTTTTGACTCCAGACAGTGACCATTTTAGGTGCATCCAATTGATGCACAATCACCAGTGTGCAGGTCCTTTCGGACCCAGAGGACAGGGCGGGGTGGCTTATGCACACTCCACCATCTTTACACGGGGTCAAGAATGAGACCCCCATGCAAAACGGTCTCTGCCTATATTCAGGAGGACTGCCTTTTTCCAACCCGGCTTTGCTGAGGTGGGTAAACACACAGTGTCTTTGCCTCAGGTGGGACTTGATGATTCAGTCAGAGGGGGCCGTTGAAGTGGTTTGCCAGGTGAAACCTGTGCAGCATGGCAAAATAGAGGAAAGGGGCTTCCTGCCTTTAGCTTCCATCACTGGGAAAGACGGTTGTAGACGTGCATGTGTATAAGACAGCCACTGCCAGTGCTGTGCAAACAACGGTTGCTGAGTCCTGTTTAGGCAAGTTTTTGATGTTTGACGTTTTATCGTGTTTTTAATATTCTGTTGGGAGCTGCCCAGAGTGGCTGGGGAGGCCCGGCCAGATGGGCAGGGTATAAGTAATAAATTGTTGTTGTTAGTCATCCTGGCATGGGGACAGGCTGCCAATGTCATTAGGGTCAGTGGCCATATGCTTGCATGGTCGTGTGCATCACTCACCACCTCCCCATGCTAAACAGTAAGGTCAGAAAAGCTCCTATCCTTCTGGCACCATGTTGTGCCTCATTAACTGGCACTGCCTTCATTCATTCCTATCTTCTCTCATGAAGACTGCCTGCTGTAGCTCTGCACAGAGTCACAGAATAGGCTTATCTGTTCCAACCTCCTGCCCGGTGCAGGAAATCCAGAGCTGGGGCATCCCCACATATGGCTGCCCACCTTTGTGTGAGTCATTTCTTTGGAGGTTGACCTCTTGTAGTCAGGGCTCCCTCTCAGAAAAGCAACCCACTTGGATACACGAGGTGTGGCTCCTCTGAAAGGGCCTTTTTACACTCCACATTCTAAAAGTCCAGGGTAAGATTAAAGCGTGCCTACAATTGTAATTTGGAGAGGGGGAAATGCTTCTCTGCTATCTGTAGTGGTGGATACATTCATGCAAACATCACATCACACAACTGCTTTTCAGACCACTTATGGTGAGGAAATACTAACGATTGGTACTGCCAAGTTCTCAGAAATAGGCAGGAGTAAACACATTGTTAGATAAGAGCCAAGAACGGAATAACAGGAAAAGAATTAACAATCTGGCTGTGATTGTCTCCTAATTGTAGGGAAACTGCTCTATTTTAAAGTTGGTTTGGGGACACTGCTGAATTTTCAACACCTTAAGTTTTCCTACCATTATGAAGTAACCTCTGGCACAGGAAAATGTTGGCCAGGAACATACATGCCAATAAGCTGTCACTGGGGCACAGGCTACAAATATTTCTATTGTATATCTTTTGTTAGTCCTTCTGACACATCGGAAAGTAACCGCTTTTGTGTATGTGTGTGTTTTGTTTAGTATCCACAGGACAAAAACAACGGCAACAAAATACCCGCACAGTTGCGAATTAGTTTTTGGCTTGGCTTGAGTGCAGTAGAAAAGAAGTTTAATAGCTTCGCAGAAGGAACATTTAGCGTCTTTGCTGAAATGGTATGTGCAGTAAAGATTACTATTTAAGATAAGGTCCCAGGGATTTGAATTTATTTATTTATTTATCTATTGCATCTTCCCCAAAGAATTGTAATGGTACAGTCCACCAGGAAGTTCTCCTGCACAAGCACCATTGAAATGAATGGGAGTCATGCAAAAAGCGCACCCATTTCAATTGTGCTGGTGCAGCTCCCACTCATTTCACAGGTGTGTGCAGAGGAGAGCGTCCCAAGGGTTTGTGCCCTAAGATGCCAGATCAGATGTACATGAGAACCTTTGCCCCAGCAGTCCCGTCAAAGAGAAGAGACTTTTGTATCACTTTTATCATCTGTGGTTCCTTTGGTGCTGTAATTGGCATTGTGGGTATATCGCCTCTTTTCAGACTATTTTAAAGGCACTCTCTCAAAATTTCAAATGTGCCAAAAAATGTTAGCCTGGTGTAGGCAGTGCTGCCCCAGAGGAATCAGTTGTCTAACTGAGCAGAAGGCTTCGTATACTGTTCATATATACATATACCCGGTATATATATTCAGGGAGATAGATATTTAATTTATAAAACTTTTTTCTGCAGTCTGTGCAGTTGCTTTATTTTTTATTTTATTTTACTTTCTCGACAGTATGAAAACCAGGCACTTATGTTTGGGAAGTGGGGAACTTCCGGACTCGTTGGCCGCCACAAGTTTTCCGATGTCACAGGAAAAATAAAACTGAAAAGAGAGTACTTTCTGCCTCCCAAAGGATGGGACTGGAAAGACGACTGGTTCATTGATCCTGAAAGAAAGTCAGTTTTTTGTTTGCATTCCTCTAAAATAAGACAAAGGGAGAGGCTTATGTAATTTCCCACTAAGGAAATTTCAAAACTCTTGCGAAAAGAGAGGGAGGCAATAAAATGCCAAGTTTCAGTACAAAACAGCTCCATTAGGAACTCCCAAGTGAAGATGTTTATAGTTGTCATGAGTAACAGTGGAGTCAGTCCTGTCTTTGGATATGTCCATGCTGCTGGTAATTTCGTTAATATAACTTTACTGACATCTTTGGGGAAGCAAGGCAGTCTGTGCTACATTACAGGATGTGTCACTATTTTATAGCCCATTTAAAAAAAGAGGAACAGCATTTTAACAAGCTTTTACACAGTTAGTCTGGACAGATGTTTCATACTTCCTGGTTGTGTCCCACCCTTCCTCTTTAAACAAAGTGTAAAGCACACTCAAACTATGCTCCATACCAGGCATAGGCAAACTTGGCCCTCCAAATGTTTTGGGACTACAACTCCCATGATGCCTAGCTAACAGGACCAGTGGTCAGGGATGATGGGAATTGTAGTCCCCAAACATCTGGAGGGCCAAGTTTGCCTATGCCTGCTCCATACAGAATACATGCTTGTCTGACGCAGTGGTTCCTCATCAGGTTGGAAGTAGCTTTGATATGCGAGGCTTTCTCAATGACCTTGTGGTAATCAAGCTCTAATTAGTGCTTGGAGCAAAATATTTATTAATAATATCCCACTCCCCGAATTTCAAGGAGATCATCGTTCCTCTATTTTATGCTCACAACTACCCTGCAAATTGGATTAGGAATGGCGACTAGCCTAAGATGACCTGGTGATACTCTGTGGCTGAGCAGGGATTTGAACCTCTGAGGCGTAAAGAATAAATCTTCTGTAATAAACCATTGGGGACGCGAGTGGCACTGTGGGTTAAACCACAGAGCCTAGGACTTGCTGATCAGAAGGTCGGCAGTTTGAATCCCCGCAACTGGGTGAGCTCCCGTTGCTCGGTCCCTGCTCCTGCCAACCTAGCAGTTCAAAAGCACGTCAAAGTGCAAGTAGATAAATAGGTACCGCTCCAGTAGGAAGGTAAACAGCGTTTCCGTGCGCTGCTCTGGTTCACCAGAAGTGGCTTAGTCATGCTGGCCACATGACCCGGAAGCTGTACGCCGGCTCCCTCGGCCAGTAAATCGAGATGAGCGCCGCAACCCCAGAGTCAGCCACGACTGGACCTAATGGTCAGGGGTCCCTTTACCTTTACCTAATAAATCATTATGAGGATGGTGGCGATTGGAATGCAAGATTACAGCCTTAAGATGCTTTCCGCATCTGAGGTAAAATTTGCTCCAATCCAATTCGTAGCAGAATTTGGAAAATCTATGCTGTCCGGAATGTTCATTCGCATTGAAGTGCCTCTCAAATGCTATTTCAAAGGAAAGGGAAGCCTCACGGAAAGACAGGTTGAGGTAATACGAAGCAGCCTTTCAATGGGCGGAAAATAATCTACAAACTGTATTTTGGCCAACAGATGGCAGTATAGAACAGTTGTAGGCTCTTTTTGATCCCCGCTATAAATAGCTGAGTATCTTTGGTATGAGGTGTTTTCCTCTGTTGTAGTAGTATTTTTTATAACATTGCATATATGTGTTTATTTTGTGTGTGTTTTTTAAAGGCATATATTAATAAGAGTGTGCTACATCAGCGATAATGTCCTTTATGGAATAATGTGATCCACTGTACCATGGAAGAAACAGTTTACAGTCCTGGCTGCAGATCATTTATAGCTCATTGTAAATTCAGTGCCACAAATGATTCCTGGCAGCCTGCTTAATTGCCTTCTTCCTCCATTTCTTTATCTAGACGATGCCTAGGAGACAGGAAAGGAATAATAGTTTCCAGATTGCAACTATGCATTTCAGCACTTTGGAATAGCTTCGTGATTTCAAAATATTTAAAAATGTTGCCACTGATTCCTACCTAGTGAGACTATTCACAAACTGCCAACGTGGTTTGGACCAAGTCCAGCCATGCAGAGAAACATCCTTTCCCCCCAAATAAAGTCTTTACCGGAGTGGTTAGCATTGGCCCGGGTCACATTGGCAGCCCCAATCAGCTAACACCCTTAGGTAGACTCCAGCACAGTCCACTTTCTCCATGACTGCCACCCTGGTAAACTGTGGACCTGACTATATGTTGTGTTAATTGTTGTGCTTAGCAATTAGCTGTGCTGCAACTAACAATAGAAAATCCTAATACAGATTCCACAGACACCCTATGCTAATTGCAGCATGAGGGCTTGTTTCCAGTGGGATCATAGCTGAGAAGGTAAGGATTAAACCTCCCCTCCTCACCACATGCTGTGGTCCCAATAAAAATTGGGATTATTATTATTATTATTTAAAATACCCGGATGTGGCCTACAAGGGTGTTAGATCTCCTCTAACACAGTCCAATGGATCAAGACTGTAAAATGAAAAAACTACGTATGTTAGGGTTTTCATTGGCTACAAACGAAGGAGAAATTTGATTCAATATGCAATTAAAACTGAATCTGTCAAACCCCCACTTTCTGAAACACACATATGCACACACATCCAACCTCTGCACTACAGTTCTCCAACTAACCAGTGTTTACAAAAATGCAGATATTGGAGGAAAATGTGCATAAAAATAAAGATATGTGTGAAAATGCCGTACACAATGCATTATATAAGGGGAAAGTGCTTGCAAAAGAGCATACGTTAGACAAAGTGCATTTTAAAAGGTGTTTCTCAGGAGAAATTCACACTAAAATGTTGAACAAGAAAATTGCAAATTGCTGCCAAATGTAGGGAACTGAATTTAGGACTAGAAAAAAATACGAGAAAATGGGAGAACCAAAATTATTATTTATTACTATTCATTAAGTTTGGATACAGCCCTTCATACACAGATCTCAGGGTGGTTCACAACATAAAAAATAAAAACACAAAATACACAATAAAAACAAGAACACACAAACCAGTAAGTCCCCCCCACACCTTTAATTGGCAGATCCTTCCATTCCTAGCTGCAAATATGCTCTTAACTATGATAAGCCACCATGAGTAGGCCACAAGAGCACATGCTGCCTTTTGCTCCCTTCCTGGAAACAATTTTTGCCTCTCTGCATTAACCTGTAAGCATTTCATTGGCAGCAATGTTGACTGCAGTCAGAGCTATGTAAAAGTTCTCACTTAATCAGGGTGTCAAACTGGCTTCAAATCCTGGCAGCTGGAAGAAAAATTAAAAGGTCTGATCACATGGCACTTACCCACATGGGACCACGTGGCTTGTTTGAACGTTCTTCTAGCTCTGTGGCAGCTGCTCATGGATAAGTGGTTCCTAAGTGGTTGTGGGACTCTGGGAAATGGATCTGGCAGATAGGTCAGATCCTGAATTCCCGAACCCCAGTGAGTCACTTTGACAGGTGGGCACAGCATGATTCTGTCAGTGCAATGTGTCCAGTGAACGTCTTTTGGCACCTAACAATAGTTGGAAGGTCTGCTTCTGGTTTCACAGCTTGCTGACGGAAGCAGATGCTGGTCACACTGAGTTTGCTGATGAAGTGTATCAAAATGAAAGCCGCTATCCTGGAGGAGAATGGAAAGCAGCTGAAGACGCTTTTACAGATGTGGTGAGGATCACGCTTTTGATGAGCCAATGTGTTTAATTTCAATAACCTCTCTTTAGGTTACAGCTGCAATGCATGTAAGTTAAGGCAGCAAAATATACTTAAAATCCAAATTGCAGTATAAAAACAGAATAAAAAGGTAAAGGTACCCCTGCCCGTACGGGCCAGTCTTGCCAGACTCTAGGGTTGTGCGCTCATCTCACTCTATAGACCGGGAGCCAGTGCTGTCTGCAGACACTTCCGGGTCACGTGGCCAGCGTGACAAGCTGCATCTGGCGAGCCAGCGCAGCACACGGAACGCCGTTTTACCTTCCCGCTGGTAAGCGGTCCCTATTTATCTACTTGCACCCAGGGGTGTTTTCGAACTGCTAGGTTGGTAGGCGCTGGGACCGAACGACGGGAGTGCACCCCGCCGCGGGGATTTGAACCGCCGACCATGCTATCGGCAAGTCCTAGGCGCTGAGGTTTTACCCACAGCGCCACCCGCGTCCCTAAAAACAGAATGCATACCGCTAAATTTAAAGCAGGCAATGGAGTGAACTGATCATACAAAGTGGAAGTGGAATTGCAATTTCATAGCATCTTCCCACTTCCTACAGAGGACGGCATCATTTCAGTAAAACAGGTACAACCTTTTGATCCACCAAACCAAAGCCAGCCTACTAAGCACCCATCAGGGGCTCTATATAGTTTCTGTGTTAGATTCATGCCTGGGATTGGAATAACAGACATTGCCAGCACCAGACAGGCCAAAATTCATGGCTGGTGTGCAGCATTTGGCTTGGTGGGCCCCAAGTTGTGCAGGCCTAGAGTAAAAACAACAAGGCTACTTTTGAGGGTCAACTTTTGTTGATCTCATGCCTCCAAAACAACAAAAAGTCTTGTACCATTTACATTTATTCCCACATCAGTTTTTGTGGACGAGATTTAAGTCTTAAAGGTTGTCCAAAAATTTTGTTTTGATTTTTGTGTGTGTGTGAAATCCTATTAAGTTTAGATGTGTGTTATGTGTAGTCATTACTACTTTTTAAGTATTGGTATCACTGTCTTGGAGTGTGTAAGTGTGTGTTGCCTTTTCTGTTTCAAAGAATGGAGAAAAAGCACCACCACCAGGTGAAATGACCTGTCCTCCAGGCTGGATGTGGGAGGATGATGCTTGGATATACGATATAAACCGAGCAGTGGATGAAAAAGGTAAGGGTTAGAATGGACAGAATGCCTCTCGTGTCAGATTCGTAATCCGTGGGCTAGCACCAGGCAACTGTTTCTGCATTCCAAATTGTTCTTTGAACTTCTGTTCCTCAAAATGTAGACCTCTACATGCTGCATGGCAAAATCTGTTTAAATTGGAGGAGAGTTGGCATGATGGCATGGGGTGAAGTGCCAGCTATTAGGGACAAATCAGAAGTCCTGCAGTGTGACCCATAGGCATTCACAAACATCAATACATCAATGCACATTTGGGCATCAATACACATTTGGTTTTGCTTATTCAGTATGTACACCACTGTACCCCAAAGAAATAAGTTACATTAGTTTTTGTGTGATTTTTAGTCTAATCAAAATATTTAGAAAAACAGTATAACCTCTAGGAAATGTACAAGACACAGATGAACTGATGGGGGTAAATGGTGATTTTTTTTTCATAGAATTACACCAAGAAACTACACTAAGGTTAAGAAACATGATACAATAAGTTATTTGAATAATTAGGGGTAGTGAATTAGTGTGGTTTGGCTTGTCAGAGCTACGAATTTGATAAATCAGCTACCATATTGGTCACTGAGTCAAAATCCTGTTATGGTAACCAGTGTATATTTTATCTGTGTTATTTTAGCTTGGGAATATGGAATTACCATTCCCCCTGACGATAAGCCCAAGTCGTGGGTTGCAGCAGAGAAAATGTATCATACTCATAGAAGAAGAAGGCTGGTTCGAAGACGCAGAAAAGATCCAAACCAAACAGTTTCATCAAGGGTAAAATGGCTAAATATAAATTGCAACCAAACATTGGCATTTACTAGAACGTTGTGCATGTTTATTTAGAAAAATAATGGTGTATCAGAAAATAAGGCATGCATTGATTACAGAGTTCGTCATTAACCCTACATTCTGGCCATTGTGGATTGAGTTTTTGCAATTGTCTTCTAGGCAACCACACCCTATGAAGATCAAGAAGGATGGGAATTTGCATCACTGATTGGATGGAAATTTCACTGGAAGCAGCGCAGTTCCGACACTTTCCGCCGCAGGCGGTGGAGGAGAGAAATGATTCCTTCTGACACATGCGGTTCATCGGCCATCTTTAAGCTTGAAGGAGCTCTTGTAAGAAAGAGGAACTTAACTTGCTGGCTTGTTCATGCTGCTTAACTTCAGCATTAATTATTATCTCAAAGTTAAATGAGAATCATCAAGTGGAATGGGCTGTAGCTCAGAGGTAGAACACCTGCTTTTCAAACAGAAGGGTCTGGGTTCAATCCTTGGCTGGTAGGGCTGGAAGAGACCCCTTTGGAAATCATGGAGAGTCAGTGTCAGTTAGGGCTCACCCAGAATTGCTCTTGCCCTGCCACTTTCCCCTGGGAAAACCCCATCTTTACCACTGATTTAAAGCAAATGTCAATTGTGTTTTCTCTGGATTGATGTTTGCTCCAATTTGTTGTTAAAGAGTGAGTAGAGTAAGGGCAAAACTGTTCATAAGCAGAAAAATGCTCAGACTCGTACTTTCTAGGCACAGGACAAGTGCAAGTCTGGATGAGCTCTCAGCGTAGATAACCCTTTCCTTTCCTCTGCTCTTTCCAGGCACGGTCCGTGATTTAGAGCCCCATGTCCGAGTGCGCCACAAAAACCTGCTCTTTAAAGCTCATCCAGAGCAAACAGCAGTCCGTGGAAAACCCAGAATGACTTTGTTCTGATTCAAAGAGCGGGTTTTCCCTGGGGGTGGGGGGAACCCTGCAAAAGGCTTGGATATTGAGCATTACAGGACAGGCCTGTGCTTGGAAAGAGCAGGGTGAAAGGTATGGCTAAGCCCTGAGTTAGATAAATCAATGGTCTGACTTCATGAGGCACATTTCTATATTCCTGCATTCTAAGTAGTACTTGAAGGTGACTAAGACTGTGTGGGAGAGTTTTCAGCAGAATGCCAAAATGCTGTAGATGAGTCTGTCTGCTGTAGAGAGAAAAAGGAATGCAACAGAGCTTGAAGTGTATTTATATTTTACCATAGCTGATGGAATAATTGAAAGCAGTGTATAAGGAGAGGCTGTAAAATGCTGGATTATGTGAAGGCAATTAAATCAACTAATGCTTTCATCCGGCAGCTTGTAATAGCAATATAGAAAGTTCAGCATAAAGCAGGGCCTCCAGAATCCTGTTTTTTGACGTTTTAAAGTACGAATACTTACGATCATCCCAAGCTGTCTTCTCTCAGTCTTCTTCCTCCCAAACTACATGTGGAGTTAAACATGAGGCTTAACTTTTCATCTTTCCATGCAGTCTTTTGATGAACTTTTATCTAACAGCACTGACCTTGTAAGAATGTATTAATAATGGACAATTATGTCTAGGAGTGGTGGAAGGGATCAAGGAATAGAAATTGCTTATTTTTACTATCTATGATCATCAATTGCCTGTAGAAGTGAATTTCAGTCTCTCCCTTTCTTTGAAGTGTTCTGGGTATGACTGGTTTAGGGTCCTGACATTACTCTTTTGAACCCACAATAGTGAATAAACATTAGTGTACTTTTTAAAACAGCAACTACAACTCCTTCCAGGAATATCTGAATCAATAACTGGGCTTTCCGTTCAAGTTTTATAAATGAGAAACAATAATAATATGCATATAATCTTAGGGAGCAGATACAAGCATTGATGAGGGAGAAAAATCTTCTGAGAAGACCAAAGAGGCAGCAGCAACACGCATATTCGGTGCAAGCACTCCTATAATCTCTTGCAACTTTGACAGTAAGTTCGTGTGAATTTCCTTATTTGAGACTGTATATTTCTTTAAGGGGCTGCAAGACTTTTTGTTGTGCCTGCATGACTAGTTTTCTAAAGGCCTTACCCTTTTCCTCATCTGATACAGCTTTCTCTGTGTGATCAAAATATTAATAACTATTTTTGCCTCTCCATGGATCTCTCGTCCTTAACCACAACCTGTAACAAACCGGGACAAACCTTGGCTACAAAATGTGGTGAAGAAGCAGATACCTTAACCATGATTTTGGTTGCACAATAGGCTAAACCAGTGATTCTCAGACACCTTTTCCCTATGGACCACTGGAAAATTGCTGAGGGTCTTGGCAAACCACTTCATGATTTTTCTCTGTGTTGTAGCAATTGCAATGTGCTGTCCTAGCTGCTGGATGATTTTTAATTCTACTGCTTCCTTAATTTCTTATATGTTGTATTTCATTGCATTACTATTCAAATTCCAGTGAACAAATGAAAAACAATGCAGTATATAGGAAATTAAAGAAATAATAAAAAACGCAATTAAAAATCAATGTTTTAATGCATTGGATATGTTATCTCTCATCTTCAACCACTTGAATGAAGTTTGTGGACCACGAAAATCAGGCAGGGTGGGGTGGGGGAATGGCCATGGAAAGCACACCAAGAGTCAAGTGATGGGAAGAAGCAGAGATGCTGAAGTTTAGAGCTGAAAAGGTGAAGTTGCTATTTCATTTACAGCCTTCTGATTTAGCTTCTTTTTCTTTTTCTTTTTAAGGAGTCTACAGTTACCACCTTCGATGTTATATCTATCAAGCAAGAAATCTAATAGCTTTGGATAAAGACAGCTTTTCAGGTACTTAGGCTGAGGTGGGGATCTATTAAATCCAAAGGACACATTTGTCTGCCAAAGCAAGTCCATTCTTTTTTTTCTGCAGCAGTTAGATTGAAATGTTCAAGGCTTTGGGAGTTTCTCTTGATTTTTTTTTCATGTCCGCTCCCCAATCCCATTTTTTCTCCCTTAACCCTCTGAAAACCTGTCTCTTCAAAGAATGTATTTAACACCTTTTCTTATTAACGACCAAAAAAAGTTAAATGAAATTAGATCCCTTGTTAAGAGGTCAGTGAGGATGGCCTCCATCTAACATTTTACATTGCTCTGGGCACTGGGTAATGACAATTTGTACAGGAAATGCTAATACCCATAATCAGGTACCTTCTTCAGAGGCCCTGATGGTTTAAAAGTCTTTCTAACAGGAGGCCTAGAGCTCTTTAATCATTCACCTCTGCTTCATAATAAGGCCATAAATAACTACGTTTTAGACTCATGTCAGATCTGTGTGTTCAGTTTGTGGGATGTACTATTTAAGTTGCAGGTGGAATGACTCTCTTGTTCATGTGTCCTTAGGTGTTGTACCTTAGATACAAAGGTATTAAAGAATGGTTACCATGCACAAGAGTAATTTATATTGGATTGTCTAAGTGTATCTTATCTACAACGGGGGTTGGCAGACACCCAGCTTGTCAGATCAACTTTTGTTTGCCAATTATAGAAGAAAGAGAGAACGGGAATGTAAAAGTCAGTCTTTTAAAATGGATCACTATACCCATATCTGTTCTCCTGTGGTTTGTTAGATCCGTATGCTCATGTTTCATTCCTTCACCGAAGCAAAACAACCGAAACCATCAGGTCAACATTGAATCCAACATGGGATCAAACTGTCATATTTGATGAAATTGAAATCTATGGAGATCCCTACACGGTAGAACAAAACCCTCCTCATGTGGTTGTTGAACTCTTTGACAGTGACCAAGTGGTAGGTATCATATCAGCTTTTATCCAGATTTCCTCTTGATTATATAATGACAGCAGATGGTTACAAATTCACCATTTTGGATTCGTCCATTTTTGCAGGGCAAAGATGAGTTCCTTGGAAGAACCTCTTGCTGTCCTATGGTCAAGCTCAACCCAGATATTGACATCAGTCCGAAACTTCTCTGGTATCCAGTTATAAATGGGGGCAAGGCTTGTGGAGATGTGCTTTTAGCAGCTGAGCTTTTGCTGAGTGAAAAGGTAACAGAAAACAAATATATTGATTTCAGACTTAAAGCCACCTTGATGAGATGATTGCTCTGTATGACTTAGGCTTTATATGCATTAAGAAACCCTTTTCTTTGTATCTTTGAGCAGGGTGGAACCAACCTTCCAATTCTTCCTTCAAAAAAAGCATCAAACCTTTATATGGTGCCACAAGGAATCAGACCTGTGGTTCAACGGACTGTTATTGAGGTACTGTTGTTGTTACTTGAAAATAGACAATGATGCACAGGTCCATGCGCTTAATAAGATTCACTATAATTCATAGATACCTGCATGTATAAGGCCAGGTGCTAGCCATGGCAAAACCTGAGATATTCATAAGGCTGTGTGGAAACAACAGGTGCTGTTTTGGATCAAGAAGCATTAAAGTGTTCAGAATGTTTTTGGGGACTAGGCTTTATTTGTGCAAGCTTCTATCCCAGGTTGATGGCAACAGATAAAGATCCGTTCATGGTAAACTGTCACCAGATGTATAGCCAATGGAATGCTTGAGAAATGAGTTGGGAAGTTCCTTGTCCAAATGTAATCAAAGTCATGAACTTAGCCTTCGGTTAGCAAATGTCTCTCAGCCCTGCATATGTGATGTGGGTATGACAGTACCAGCTTATCTTACAGGGCTGCAATGAGATCCCATGAGTGATGGACACTGAGTGCTTACAAAAAGTGTTGCATAAATGCTGACATTTATACAATGTATTTGAATTAATAAACAATGTAGTCTTACCATTGTGGGTCCTCTACTTCCTTGAACCCAGCCCCAGCACACTGTTCATTATACAAATGGGAGGGGATGAGTTCTGCCCCCCATTTCCTTACATTGGGCAGGTGTGAGTTCTATATGGTGGTCACAAGCAGATGTGACAATATGCCATAAAGTATGGCTTGTTTAAGCACTGTATGCACCAAGCTCTGTGTAAGTGCATGCAGCTGAGAACATTCCCAGTGATATAAATCTGTAACTTGTGGTTTAAATGAGTGGCAAAAAATGGAGATTTAATCATTGAACTGTTTTGAGGTGGTCTCATGACTGCTTCTCGGGTTTCTAAGTGTGCTCCCAGGTCTGATAAGGTTGGAGACCCAGGCAACAGAGCATGTTTTCCTTTAGCAACGTTGACGGTGTTTGCTTTGTTTTTTGTTTGAAACAGATCCTTGCCTGGGGACTGCGCAACATGAAAAGCTACCAAATGGCTTCTGTTACTTCCCCTAGTCTCATTATAGAGTGTGGAGGTGAAATGATAGAATCTGTTGTGATTAAAAACCTGAAGAAGACACCAAATTTTCCCGGATCTGTTCTCTGCATGACAGTGGTATGCTGCTGAATTCTCTTTTATTGAAGATCTGTAGCACACTTGTGGTGCTGGTAAAGGGGGAAATTTGAATTAGTATGCTCATATTACAGCAATAGCAGTGGATATCGGGTAGCCTGAGGCGTTTTGGCACCTGAGGCTAAACAGCCTGCTGTCATCCCCACGATGGGAGTGCAAATAAAAATAAATAAATAATAACAACAACAATAATAATATATTTATACCCCGCCCATCTGGCTGGGCCTCCCCAGCCACTCTGGGCGGCTTCCAACAAAATATTAAAATACAGTAATGCATCAAACATTAAAAGCTTCCCTAAATAGGGCTGCCTTCAGATGTCTTCTAAAAATCTGGTAGTTGTTGTTCTCTTTGACATAATTCCATAAGGAGTCTTCCCTGATGGATGGATAGGGGGGAGAGTCTTTCTGGGTCCCCCCTCCTGCCTGCCAGTGAGCCTTTGAATCCGTTCCTTCAGGATAAGCTCGTGCAAAACCCCACCACACCACCAAGCGGGGAAGATCTTTCCCCCCACGCCCGGCAGCAAAGCTGGATGGCGGAACACATCCCCTCTTGCTGACTCAGGCTTTGCCGCCAGTCCCTCTCTGTCCCTAGAGGCCAGGGAAACCAGTGGCAAAGCTGGGTGGCAGAACGAGGTGACACATTTTCAGGAGTGCCGCCTGAGGCAAACGCATCACCCAACCTCATGAAGGGGGGCTGCTCTGATTGAGTAAATGAACCCACCCTGGAAATTACCTTTGAGGTAATTTAAATATTTCTAGAGAGTCCTGTGTGCAGCAAAGCACTGTGTAAAGCCGTTGTTGCACATGGATGGCCATGCTCAGTGGCACTGACGTTAGATGTGGATGTATATTTGCATGCCCATCCAGGGAAGGGCTGTGTAAGAGGGTGGGAAACTCACGTAGCACAGATAGCACTTGCATGCCCGTGCATGTGCATTCATGCCTACTGCAAGAATGCTTCACTTTTTGCCCAGTGGATTTCCCATCCATTCTTGATTACAACTCACAAACTGGCTGTTAGTTGCTCCCAAGCTAGATTCAAGGTTATACTACGGGTGTATAAAGCTCTCTCTTGTGGGTGCCTTCAAGTAAAAAAAAAATGAAACTATTCCATTATCCAGTCCAGGAGCCCAACTGAAAGGGAAGCACTCAGGGGTAGAGTTTGAATGGAAATAAGTTTTGGGTGTGAGGAAGTTTAGCATCCCCATCCAGGCATCCCTTTTGCTCTTAAAGTTGGCCCACCCACATTCCGCTTTAGTACAGACCTACATACATTTAAGAGTTGCCAGAATCAGGGCAGGTTGTACAGCTCATTCGAAAGCAAAGGAATCCTGTGAGGTGTGTATTTGTTTTAAGTCAAGGAACTGTGTTCTGTTTTTTTGTTTTGAACTAGTCGCTGCCCAAAGAGGAATTGTACACGCCATCACTAGTTATTAAAGTGATAGACCACAGGCAATTTGGCCGTAAACCTATCGTGGGACAATGTACCATTGGGGCACTGGAGCGTTTTCGCTGTGATCCTTATGCGACGAAAGCCGACATTGCACCACAGATGAAAGGTAGAGCTCCCATAATAATGACATTTTTCTTATCGGATGTAGGTCTGTTAACAATCAACACAATTTGCAGGAAACATAGCAAACATGCAATCTCTTGAAGTAAATGTACGCCGACTTTTCTGTAGCTTCCATTCGTTTATGAATGTTGTAGAGGCAACTTTTTCCATGGATGTTAGACTGACTCAGCACACCTGGCAGTATCGTTTTTAAAGAACTAGTATTCACTAGGGATGCTTGAGGAAAACATTATTCATGAATTTTGATACAAATTGACTGTACCAATATCTTCTGGACCGTAGAGGTCTGTAGAGACCTGAATGCAGTTTTCCTTTGGTTTTTATACTTCTTCAGATGTTGTGGTACAGTTCTCTGCATGTTGGGGGATGCATTTAGAAATGGGTGCTTTGAGGGAATACATGTTTTGAGAGAAAATATGGATTTAAACAAGTTATTGTGTGGATTTAAAAAAAAATGTAGATTAATGTGGAAACAGGACAGGATATACTTATGAATGAACACATGCAGAACTGTCACAGTCTTGAAACGAAAACTGATAAGTCCATCCCTAGTATTCACACATAATGACAGAAAGTTGAGAAAGCAGCAAGAATATTAGCGAATGATTTTGCAATGTCACTCTTGGTACTGCTGTGACCCAGTCCCACCTTTTTAATTGTTCTGCACACTGAGTTATGGAGTTAATAGTTTTCAGCGCCCTGGTGGAAAGCAAACGGGTTGGCTCAAACCTAAGCTAGTTACATTCCCATTGAAATCAACAGGGCTGAAGTTAGTCATTACTTTTTTTTTTACATTAATTTCAGTAAGACCTACGTATGACTAACAGTTAGATCCAACCCATCTATCTTTATTGTGGGTTGTATCCAATAAAGTTGTCACAGTAGGGCAGTAGAACTTCTCCCCCTCTCAGAACAGATTTTTTTGGGGCGGGGATTCCATTGTACAAATGGAATGACCTTGTTGGCTACATGGGCATATCAACTGCCCCTTTAATCAAGGAAAGAAATAAAAATACTTAACTAACTGACCAATTGTGTTACAGATAACTTGGTTCTGCCCCCCCTACCCCCAACATAAAGCCTGACTTACTACCCTGCTTTTTAGGCAAGATTTTCTCCCAAAGTCGTGTACAATAAAATCCACACAAAAGTACAATATATAAAGAATATTTTTGTGTGTACATGTTTGTTTGAGCTCTAGGCAGCTGACAGTTTGGTGCAGGCTCCAGACTTTTCTAGACAAAGAGAGATAGCAGGAGGAATTAGAAAAAAATAAAGGCTAGAATTATGACTAAAAAAAAGTTTACAGGTGTGATTTTTTCCCCCATGAGTTGCTTATCATCATGGAATGTTTGATTTGCAGTTACTCTTCTGTCAGCTGCACCTCGGCGGGATGTGATCATTGAAGTAGAAGACACGCAACCTTTACTAGCAGCGCAGGTAATCGCCTTAATTTGCAGGTTCAGTTCTTTCCATTTTTGTGATCAGTTCATTGGCTTTTTAGCCTACAACTTCAGCAGACACAAACCTAACCAGGCAAAGTGTTTGTAAAAGTTGGAGGGAGCTCTGGGAATACAATGTAGAAGTATACTTTGTTATTTCTCCAGTCTTACTATTTTATTTATCTGTGTAAATGGAAATCTCTTACTTGTATATGTTCATGCTGGTTGTGAATTGTTTGCCAGCAGCTTTAGAACATATTTGCTGTTCTAAATTATTCAGTGAATAAATTGATGAATAATGTTTGAACTCTTATCCTGTTCACTGGCAATCCTTGAGGTTCAAAATCCAAAATATTAATTAGATTTGGTTGAATTTAGGGAGCCCAAATAGCATTTTCATGCAGGTGCTGTTAAACAAAACACCTGTCAGTTGCATGGCCTACCTGTTATTTCCTCAATTACATGGCAAGATGAATGGCTCAACTTAGATGAATGTAGTGCACATTTGCATTTAGCAAGTTCAAAGTAATTTTGAACATCAATACGTACTCCTATATTATTTACTGTAAACTGAGTATTGCCAGTTAACTAATATGCAAGATTGTTCATCAAAGGCAAATATGAGTCCAAATGCTAATGCTTAATGCATTTTTTAGCTTGCGTGCTAACACATGATGAACATATTTGAAGTTCATCATTTAATACAAAAGCTTTAAAATTGTGATTTATATGTTTCTATGTAATTGCAGGTTGTTTAAAACCGTGTTTGTCTTGCTTTGAGAAGCCCCTTCTCCCTTGTTGACTGCCGTTTCATTTAGTCTTTGATGTAGTATAGCTGCCCTTTAATTGTACCATATGAGAGAGCCAATTAGATGAGCAAACATTGTGTTATTGTAAACACACTGAGTGATGATAAAGTAAACCACAGAGGTCCATGTCCTTGCAGATAATAACATATGTTTGTTGTATCAGTAAGTCTTCCTGTTCGACTGTAATAATTAGAGGTCACCATTCACTAACCACTATCAAGAAAGATTGGAGAAAGGAAGGACTGTAGGGTTGTATACTGCCTGTGGCTTGTAATATTTTACTTGATAACTTCACATTTTACCTAGAGGTTGTAGGATTACACTTTTGAATGAAAAGGAAGAAGTGGTATTCTCAGGTTCTGAAGAGATCAACGTAGCAAACTTTTAAAAAAACTTTAAAAAAATCAATATATCAATAAAATATGGACTTCAATTATTTGAGATATTTTAAAGGTAAGACAAAATAAAGGCTTCTTGGGGAAGCAAACATTAAAAAAGAGTATGCCGTTAACAGACTAGAATAACAGATGTAGAACTTTCCTAAACTACATTCCAATTTCTAGTGTTTAAGCGGTATGTCAACAGCACTCAGCAAAATGGCTTCTCCAACAACAGTGCATGTATGTATGAAGAAAACGCATGCGCACTATTCACCTGGGGCCTTAGGTGCTTTGGTTCACTTGAACTTTCATTCCTCCTTTGAATCTTCTGCAGGGAGGTTTTGGAGAAAACCAACTTTCAGGTTTTAAAGCAGAATGATTACTTAGAAAATAAATTTCCATTCACATTTGGACATTTGCAGAGCAGCATTTCCATTTGGAACTGGAAAGCTTGCATTCACATTAGCAATTCACATAGGGTGCGGATTTGGATGTTGACGATAAGATGGAATCATATACAAATAAAACATAATAAAAATATTTTTTAAAAGTTAAGTTGGATATTGAAGGGAAATTCTTATCTTCACATGCAGTAGATCAGGGGTCAGCAACCTAAGGCCCATGGGCTGGTAGCAGCCCATGGGGCTCCTCTATCCGTCCCATAGCGACCCCTGCTGCCCCTACCGCCCACTCAGCATGGCACAGCGCAGCGCGGGGACCAACTTCCGAGTTGATGGTGCCTGTGTGCATGAGCACAGGCGCTCCTCCGACCTGGATGTGTGCCAGAAATAGTGTGTGCGCACACGCACAGGCGCTCCTCCGACAGATGGAGCATGGACTGGCCCATCGTCCGGTAAGCTTGCCGACCCCTGCAGTAGATGATTCTGATCTTTACATGGATGTTTTCTCCAAAATCTCAAACTTATTGGTTTTGGGGACACAATGAGTGTTCATGGGCTATACTATAATCAGTGGCATTCACAGCTAGAGGTTATAATTGTAGTTTGTTGTGGGAATTTGTTTTACAGACTTACACAGAATCATCAAGTTTATGTTTTCAAAATATCAGGGCAGAAGTGGTGGTGGTAGCTGTACAAAGTGCAGCAAGAAAATAATGGTTCATTTTGCGTGTGTTTTCTCTCTCTTTCATTAGAATGCCAATCGAAATAATAATTTTCACAGTACTTTCTCTCTGTTTCGAGCTCTAAAGGAGGGCTGGGGAATCTGGGACCCTCCAGATGTTGCTGAACCTAAACTCCCATCGTCTCTCATCATTGGCCATGCTGGCTTGGGCTGATGGAAGTTGGAATCCAACAACATTTGGAGATGACAAGTTTTCTACTCCAGAAAAAAAACAGTTTCTCTCTCCCCCCCCCCCAACGCCAATATAGAATAATTCATGGGACTACAACTTTCAATAGCCAAATGGTCAGAGCTTTACCAGGTGCTGAGGGCACAATATTGTGTGGAAAGTATTTATTGCACAAAGTCTGGCTTTCACATCATGGTAAACTAATAAAATAAAACAGAGATTAAGGTTGCAACCCCAAAATAAGTCCTATCAAACTCACTGGAACTTACTTTTCAACAGACATGAATAAGGTGGTTCTGTAAAGTGCTTAGATATTTATTTATTTATTTATTTATTTATTTATTTATTTTCTCTCTTGACTACCCTCCCAAAGGAACCCTGTGATAAAACAATGCAATTCAAAATAATGTAAGCCTATCTAAAGCACGGATTTGGAATCACATGGCGTATGACCGCAATCTTCATAAAACTGAAAATAAAATGGAATTCTTATATAACACATCCTAGTCACCTTTTAACAGTAACAGATCACCAGTGCAGTTTTAATTACTTGGAAGATTCTGAACAAATGAATGAGTCCTGGAACTGTCAGGCTGATAATCAGGTTGAGCCCTTGTGGTAGTTCCATTAGATGCTTTATTTTCCAACTGTATCAAATTGCTGTATTAATTTTCTGGAGTATCAAATTGTTGGATTTACAGGTCTGATGGTTATGAAATGGACATACTACCCTAATAAATTCTTGGTCAATATGCAGAGACACACACACACAAAAATATATTGCCTGCACATTTAATATATTCATTAAACACCCACAATTTATTTTATTCAGTGTATAGAACCGGGGGGAAATATTGGTTGAATTTTAACTATTCTGCTTTGGTTTTTCCTTCCCCATCCCTTTGGATGTGTCCTCCTGAACAGCTCACAGAAAAGGTAATGAAATCTATCCTAATTTTGGTTATGTAAACTATTCCCTTTGTACTTATTAAGAAGTCTCACCATGTTCTAAAATATGTGGTAATACAGCACACAATAACTTTACATTGTTAAAGTTAACTAGCCTCAACCTGGTCAGTTGCGGCTGCATGAGTTTAAGTTTCTGGAAGGAAGAATACGGTCGTACCTTGGTTTTCGAGCAGCCTAGTTCTCGAATGTTTTTGCTCCCAAATGATCAAAACCCGGAAGTGACTGTACTGGTTTTCAAATGTTCTTTTGGAAGCCGAACGTCCAACAGGGCTTCTGCAACTTCCGATTGGCTGCAGGAGCTTCCTGCAGCCAATCAGAAGTGGCGCTTTGGTTTTCGAACACTTTGGCAGCCGAACAAACTTTTTTAATGGATTCTGTTTGACTTCCAAGGTACAACTGTATTAATAAAGGGGTGGAGCTAAATGCAGTTTGGCCCACCCATTTCCTCTCAAAAAGCAGCTCTGAAAGGAGGACCCATTGGAAGAAAAGTTCCACGTTCCTCGTTGTATTTATTTAATGAGATATCCACAAGAGAACCAATGAAGCTCTGTTGAAATGAAGAGATATAACAAGCAATAGCAATTGGCCAGATGCACCTTTGTCACTTCAGTTTTCTGCTCTGTATTTCGGACTAAATCTTTAGCTTCTTACATATTCTGCCTTTTATTTGCAGTGCACTCCCTGTACAAGTTGCATGGAAAGCAGGTTGAGTGTCACCAGAACCCAAATTTAGGGTCAGGGAACTGCAAACGTGCAGAGCTCCCGACACCTTGCCATAGATGTGCCAATGTGAATCTTAACCACTGGAGGCCTCTCTGTGCCCCTCAGGTCACCCAGAGCCAAGTCTGCCAGTTTAGTGCGCCTACTCTGAAGAGATCTGCTGGGAAGAGCCCTTGCTGGGATTGTGGGGAAAGAGGTCCTATGCCAGGAAAAGGCATCTCATGCAAGAGGGTTTTCTGGCATATCCAATGTAATCTGGCAACATTCCAGAGGCTTTGAGGCTCTGTTAGATCTAGAGCCATTCTCTGCCTTGCAGCTTTTTGCTACAGGAACCGTATGATCTGTGAATCTCTCTTGGCCCCATCATAGACTTTTGGGCCATTTAATCAGAATGTCTTCTAGTGAGGTCTACAGCACACATATCCAGCTTAAGGTGCCCCTTCCTCTGCTTGCTGTGATTGGTTAAGCCTTGGCCCTTGCTATACATGTGTGCTGCCTAGCTTCCACACCTAAGGACTAGATCTGAGGTGGGGAGCCTGTGGGGAACTTCCAGGTATTGCTGGACTTCTAAATCCCTTCAGGCCAAGTTAACATGGCCAGCAGATAGGGCTGATGAAAGTTGTATTTCAGCAACATTTGGAGGGCCACAGGGTCCCCATCCATGGGCTAGAATAGATCATCCTGGAATTTCAGTTTGTTTTTACATACACCTATAATCTCCCATTTTTATATAGGAGGAAGAAATTGTCGACTGGTGGAGCAAGTTTTATGCTTCAATAGGAGATACTGAGAAATGTGGACAATATATTGCAAAGGGATACGATACGCTAAAGGTATTTGTTTTGAGTGCATTCTTGTTGTTGTTTAAAGATGTTGCCAACTTTAAAAATAAGCAGACTTTAGTTCAATGTACTGTTTTTGGTTGAACTTGCCACCCTCAATTTTAAAAAACTTGAGGCATATTGCTTTTTTATTTTTGTACAAGGGGTTGTGAAATAGGTCCCGGGGGGGAAACTCCAAAGTTACCTTGAAAGAGGCATATTCTCTTGCATGATCACTGCACATTTTGCATGAGTGCTATGGGAAAATGACAAGATCACGCCACCAAAAAACAGATTGCTGCTTACTGTATTATTATCCCAGGCAATCTAAAGTTCTTTCACATGCACCATGAATTATATATACACACACAGTCACTTTCTTTAAAACTTAGGGATGTTTTGCAAAGTTGTGCATTTATTGAAGCTTGCCACTTGTTTGTTTCTAATGCTTTTTTTGGTAATTTTACCTAACTTTTGTTTCAAGGTGTACAAGAGTGAACTGGAGAATGTACCCGATTTTAGGGGTTTAACAGATTTTTGTGATACTTTCAAGCTGCATCGGGGCAGGTCTGAAGAAAATGATGACCCTAGTGTTGTGGGAGAATTTAAGGTAAAACACGCACACCTTAAATTACATTATTAGGCAGAAAACCAAGCTTAAGTTCTGCGTAGTACTCCATTCCTAAGACAGAACAGATACCTAATAACCAAGTAAAAAAGGCTTGTTTTGGTTTGGACTTACCTTTTCATTTTTGTTTAACTTCATAGGGCTCTTTTAGGATCTACGCATTACCAGATGACCCTAATGTACCACCACCTCCTCGGCAGTTCCGTGAACTTCCAGACAGTGGGCCTCAAGAGTGTATCATTCGGATTTATATAGTCCGAGGCTTAGAACTCCAACCTAAGGATAACAATGGAATGGTGAGTTAACATTTCCAGATGACCGTTAAGATTAGACCACTATTGTCTACAACAGGGACATCCAACTCCCAAGAGACTGCAATCTACTCACAGAATAAAAAACTAGCAGTGATCTACCCGAGGTGTTGAGTTGTTGAGCTTTTTTTAGGGAGGAAAGTCCCATTTTGGAGAGGAAAATGTCGCTCACCAAGGGAACAATCTGCCTCGCAGTGAAAACTCTGTCTTCTGTTCTAACGATCATGCGTGAATGGAGGAGGGGGAGGGGCCGGATGCTCTTATGCCACCACAAGGGAGCCCATAATCAACACCGGAACCTCATGATTGACCAGTTAGACATCCCTGGTCTGCAAGTTGTAGTACAGCTTTGGACCAGGATTCTGGTTTCGACCAGGATTCGGGTAATATTATTATTAATAGTAATAATAATTTTGCAATAATTTAGCAGGGAGAAATAGGCAGATATATACAGTGGTACCTCGGAAGTCAAACGGAATCCGTTCCGGAAGTTCATTACACTTCCAAAAATGTTCACAATAATAACAATAACAACAATAATAATTTATTATTTGTACTCCACCCATCTGGCTGGGTTTCCCCAGCCACTCTGGGTGGCTTCCAACAAAGATTAAAAATACATTAAAATGTCACACATTAAAAACTTCCCTAAACAGGGCTGCCTTCAGATGTCTTCTAAATGTCAGGTAGTTTGACATCTGATGGGAGGGCGTTCCACAGGGCGGGCGCCACTACCGAGAAGGCCCTCTGCCTGGTTCCCTGTAGCTTTGCTTCTCACGGTGAGGGAACCGCCAGAAGGCCCTCGGCGCTGGACCTCAGTGTCCGGGCAGAACAATGGGGGTGGAGACACTCCTTCAGGTATACTGGGCTGGAAACCAAGGTACAGCTTCCGATTGGCTGCAGAAAGCTTCTGAAGCCAATTAGAAGCCGCAGAAGCCATGTCAGACATTCAGGTTCTGAAGAACGTTCGCAAACCAGAACACTCACTTCTGGGTTTGCGGCATTCGGGAGCCAAAAAGTTCGACTCACAAGGCATTTGGGATCCAAGGTAGGACTGTACAGAGCTATGAATACTGAAATGTTTTATAAAATAATACCATGACTGAGAATGCCAGACTTGGAATTGAGAATCTGGCTGAAATTTTCAGGTGGACGTGGACTCCCCCAGGTGCTCCTAAGCAAGTCACTTCCCCCATCTATATCTCTTAAAAGGCAGCATCTGTTACCTGCCTCACAGTGGTGTCGCAGCAATAGATGAGATAAGGATTGCAATGAGTAACATAGCAATTACTTGCAGGGACCAGTGCACCAAGGCATAAATGGCGCTCCTTGCTGGGAAGAGCTGGAGTGGTTCTCCAACCTCTTAGGTGAAAGGGCCAGCTCTATCTGCACAAAAGGCTGCATGCCCAGAGCTGTTCCATCGGCCAAATTTCCTTGGGAAATTTCCTTGTGTAGGAGCTCCATATATAGACATGGACCTTCGTAGAAAATGTGGCATGTATTAATTATCAATCCTACAGTGCACATGAATTAACAATACCCTTGTTTCCAAACAGTGTGATCCTTATATTAAAATCACCTTGGGCAAAAAAGTGGTGGAAGACAGAGATCATTATATTCCCAACACTATCAATCCAATTTTTGGCAGGTAACTTTTAAGACTTCCTCCTTCTGTGTGATTAGAATGGCTCTAATCCTCTCATAGATTAAAGAACAATTATGCCTTGTCATAGCCTTAATTTTGTTTCAAGAAATCATTATTTCACCTTACTCTTACTTATGGAAAAAAAGTCAGGGGAATGGGGAAAAAGTGTGGCATGCTCTTCTTCTGGTTTTTTGTTATTGGAGGATCCTGAATTGGATTAGAACACAATGAGGGATGGACTAGAACATTCACCTCAATTTACAGAGGAAGAAAATTCTCCCATTTAAAAATGCTTATATATTCTGCTGATAGTACTAATATTCCAGTTAATAAACTGGAATTGTATACAATTTTTTAAAAGGGGTGGGGGATTTTGGAAGAAGGTAGAGAGTTTAATCCTTATGCTAATGATATGCTAATGTCCTCAGAATGTGACGAATTAAGATGTATTTATAAGTTAGAAATAAGGATTTTTATAGTACTCATTTGCTGTTTTTTTCTATCAGCCAATTATCTTGTATCAGCCCACAGGTCCATAGTGACCCTTGCAGGGTGTTTAACTAGTAATTCCAATTGCAGTGGCTTACTGGTTTATGAAAAATGCTGATCGTATTTGTTGTGAGTGTCACTAATGTTTTCAGGGTGGTTAGTTTTCTGAATTTCAAACATGCCAAATATTCCTGTGTTTAGAATGTACGAACTGAGTTGCTTCTTGCCTCAAGAGAAGGATCTGAAAATTTCTGTTTATGACTATGATATGCTGACTCGAGATGAAAAAGTTGGTGAAACCATCATTGATTTGGAAAACAGATTTCTCTCCCGCTTTGGATCTCAGTGTGGAATACCACAGCAGTACTGTGTGTAAGTTGCTCACTGCTATAGCTATTAAAAACATGGAAAACCTAAGCCCATGATTAAATGTCTCCCTGCGAAAACGACGTTCCTTAGAAGCAGTTATCTTGGCTGGACTTAACGCCTCATATTTACTGCATTTTCACAGACTGTGATAGGATATGCTATGGTTTTCCTGATTAAAGCATTGTCTCCACTGAACTTACCTCAGTTCAGAATCCTATATATATATGCCAATGTGCCCCTGAAGCTCCTGCACATGTGTGCTTTTCAATAAGGCAGCTTCATAAGTAAAAAGGATTCATATCTAAGACTGCTGCTTTCATTACAGGAAATGGGAAGCCCTTGTGAGCAGTGCCAAATAATATTTTACAGCTTCAGTGTGTGTGTAAGAAATCAAGAGGGAAGCATCCTTCATGTGGGCACTTCATTTTCATTGCAACAAAAAATATAGCCTAGAAGTGTGTGTATGTTTGGCTTCATTCAGACATAACACTAAACCATGGTTTCAGGAATGAGCATAGCATCCACCCAGACTCATATACGGTACTTCATTCTTTTCCTCCAGCTTGGCTAGAAAAAAATTAGAAGCTCCGCTTCCATTTTAGATTAGCCACAGTTTAGTGTATCCGCCGAACCATAAAATGTGGTTAATCTTAACTATGCTTAGTGAAAACAGCCAGCTTTATCAAGTATGATTTGAAGCTGAGTGAGCACAGTTTGTCCAGGCTTGAAATAGGTGATTGGCAATGGAGGGAAAATCACTTGGGCTCAGAAGAAGGCTAAACTAGTTCTCATAGGCTCCAAAATAGCCTAGCATATTTTAGTTTCGCAAAACACCCTATTGTGGAGTCGAATTCCCGTCTTTTAAATTCAACATAATTCCATCCACTCGTTCATCATATTGAGGAATATGGCAAAGCATTACTAAGAAATGATGTGCCTGTATCCAAGAGACACGCTGTCTATCTATCCTGAATTTTTTTTTTTTATTTTTTTTTAAAGCAATTTATTGGGTTTTACAATAGGAATAAATGTAATAAACAATATAACATTCGTCTTGACATAATTTCACATTTTCTTTGGACTTCCTCACATCTCCCGCTCCCACCTTCATCATTATAACATTTTGTCAGCAATTTATCATCTATTTAAATTCTATATCTCTTCGATATTTCATAATCTTAAAGTTCTACTAAAGAGTTAAACTTTCACAGTTTTTCTTATTTTCTAAAGACTTCTGGGTTAAGTGGTGTGCTCAGTTGGTTTAGTCTAGCATCTTGGTCTGTGCATTCAGTCAAACCACAATGTTTTTGTAAGTAGTTCTAAATTTCTTCCAACTCTCCCGATTCTCTTCCTCCCAGGTCACGGATTCTTGGCCAGGTCATTTCAGTCAGCTGTGGCTATAGTCTGCATCAGTTGCATCTGCCATTCTTCCAGTGTGGGTGGATCTTGAGTTTTCCAATGTTTTGCGAGTAGTATCCTGCCAAGGTTGGGGTTGCATACATAAAAATGTCTGGTCCTTCTTGCCACCCCCTTGGCTGGACAATACCCAAAAGGAAAGCCTCTGGTTTTAGTGAAAGTATATTTAATACCTTTTCATCCATTGGTAACTGCTCTCAGAACGCCTTCACTCCTTAGGGCAGGTCCACCAGAGGAAAGAACGTTCTTCCACACTCTTTTACATTTCCAGCACTTGTTATCAGACAGGAGGTAAATTTTTGCCAGTTTGACTGGGGTCATATACCATCTATAAATCATTTTCATTACATTTTCTTTCAAAGCATTACATGCAGTAAATTTCAATCCATTACTCCCACAGCCTTTCCTAGTCCTCAAACATACCACACCCACATCCTGTGCTCCACCTTTTATCATAGCCGAGATTTCACTTGTAAGGCCCTGGCTTCAAAAGGCAATTTTAAGCTTGCCCTTGCCCTAAATACCCTTGTTTCTAATTTCGATTTCCACCTGAACCCTAGTTTCTACCATTTTTAAACTTCTTTAATCTGAGCATAGTGTAACCAATCTCGCACTTTGTCTTTCATTTTCTCCAAACTCTGCAATTTCCAATTGTCTATCTATCCTGAATTTTTCTCTTAATTCCTAAAAAAGCTCAGGTATCAATACATGGAGAGACCAACTGAAGCCAACACAACTCTTGCAAAATTTAGCCAGGGTCAAAGGCTATTCTCCCCCAGTCCTTTCTGAAAACGGGAGGAGGATTAGTTATGGAGGAAGAGAATACACTTTGGAAGAATTTGGTGAGTTTTCTCCTTGTTATTGAGTTTCGCTGATTTGTGTTTGTGCTGTCCCCACTGTGTTTTCCTTGAGCATTTATATTTATAAGAATATAGAATTGAAACTTCATTGTCAATTGTAGCCAGCAGTTTTGATGTGGAAAACCAGATCAGCATGTGGAACTGGGGCTTTCCAGTTGTTCACTATAGGAAAGTGAAAGAGATGCAATGCATGACTGAGTGGAATTTTGCCTTTCCATAGCTAGCAGTGAAAACCCCATGTGCTCATAGATCTAGCAGGCTGTTCTTGGTCCACAATAAATCTATTGAATGATTGTATATATTTATACTTGCTAATTTCAGTATTTGGCTGTGAATGCCTACTGATTTACATTTTTCTTTCTTTACTTCAGAGGCCAACAAAAAACTGCATGAACACCTTGGGCCTGGTGAAGAACGGCTTGCCCTTTACATTCTCAGAACTCAGGGCTTGGTGCCTGAGCATGTAGAGACAAGAACTTTGTGCAGTACCTTCCAGCCAAACATCTCACAAGTACTATACATTTATATTTTATTTATTACTGCATTTATATCCCACTTTTCTTTCAAGGAGCTCATCTCTACATCAGTTACATCCACCAAGTCCCCTGGTGACTGGCTTGGCATCACATACCTGATGTAGATACAGTGTTTTTTTCTGGGAGGACGCAGGGGGACGCCTACCCCTAAACACTTTATGAATCTAAGTTTGGCCTCATTGAGGGGCAGTATTTCAATAGGAGCAGGAAAATGACAGTACCCCTAAACATTTTTTTAGAAGAAAAAAAGTGCACTGTGTATCCACTGGGACCTCTAGCTGTATCAAACCCCCCCTCAAAAAAATACCACACACAATTAGAGCTGGATGAGGATTTTTCATCTTTATCATATTTTGTCATTTGGGGGCAGGGTGAGCTTCTGGCTCCCCCCCCCTGCATGTTAAGCATTGTTTGTTTGTTTGTTTGTTTGTTTGTTTGTTTTGTTATTATATGAAGTGGTATGAGAAGCTGTTCCATGGGTCACTGCAGTATTCCGTTCCTGATGTTTTGGTAAAGACCTGTAATTTTTCACAGCACTTCAAGCGCTGTATTGACTGTGGCAAGGGCTTGGGCGTTCCAAGTGAAATTTCTGACATCTTCACCTTGAAACAACAGGAAACCCAGCAATGCCATGTCATAAATTACTTTTGAAAGGTCTCATGTGTTTCAACCATGTGTTGCCATGTGACATGGTAGGCAGGTGTAAGAGTGGAGAATCAAGCCCAAGATCTAACTGTGCATATGCAATAAGCTGCATGGTTCTTTGGATTCAGGCCATGATATCAAATTGGAATACTGATGTCATATAACAGGGTTTTTTTTTAAAAAAAGACCTGACACGATTGCCTTACTTGATACAGGGGAAGCTTCAGATGTGGGTGGATGTTTTCCCCAAAAGCATGGGTCCACCCGGCCCCCCTTTCAACATCACTCCTCGCAAGGCTAAGAAGTAAGTAAATAAGGATTACGGTAGGTGGCATGCTTTTTTGGAACTTCCATGTTGACTCTTTAACTGCAGTGATGATTATGAGCACAGTGTTTGCATTTACTTCATATTCTGTTCCAGTCCTTTCCACTGCTAGAATACAAACGTGTTCTTTATACTCCACAACAGGGATATCCAACCAAGTGCCTTCCAAATGTTGTGGACTACAAGTTTAACCATTCCTTTTTTTAAAATATTTTTATTAGTAATTTCAACATAACATTATCAAAAAGCATATCATCCTTAAATCCCCCCTATTTTTCCCTCCCCCCTCACCAAAACATAACCCACCCTCCCCTTCTCCCCCCCCTGGACTTCCCTCAGCTCCTCTCTCTGGTTTACCAACATATGTTATTTTCTGCATGTTACAAAACTGTACAGATCCTTAATTTATCTATCTAAATATTATCAGTAAAAAGTTTGTGAATGTTTATTCAAAACCTGCCAAGGAGTCCAGTTCATTTTGTTGTTTCTTTAAATACTGACACACAAATTACATGACAAGGATAACTGTGACTTTAAAGATGAATGGGAACCCTTTACAAGTTTAACCATTCCTGGCCACTGGCCATGCTGGCTTGTGATGATGGGAACTGTAGTCCAAAACATCAGTAACGAACCATATTGGCTCCCTCTGATCTGCTGGATATAAACCTAAGAGCAAATCCTGTATTCCAGGTATGAACTGCGGGTAATTGTGTGGAACACAAAGGATGTCATCCTGGATGAAAAAAGCATCACAGGGGAAGAGATGAGTGATATCTATGTGAAAGGGTAAGAGACCCATATCCCAGATCTTGTTAATGATGAACACAACTGTAAGATCAATTTAAAGGTCTGGTTCTCATTAAGAGTACCACTGCATTGAGCTTTGACTGCAGAAGTTTCCAGGTTCAATCCCCAGCAGCTCAAGGAGGGAAAAACCCGTGTCTGGAAGCATGAAGAGCCACTTCCTGTCAGAGCAGACAGAGCTGGGCTAGATGGACTTGGTACAAGGCAGCTGCCTGTGATGTCATTACTGGAAGAAGGAATTAATGAAAGGCTGGAAAGTTGTCCTCAGGCACAAAAATGTCTTGAGCTGGCCCTGTCAAATGACTTCTTTGTTATCTTGGGTGTAGGAAGTTTAATGGGGACATTGGGACCGATTACTGGCAATATATCTAACTGGCAGAACTGGCCACATTACACTGAGATTAGTGGAGCTATTTGGGATGAAATCAGACAAGAGAGTGCCAGGGTCTCTGTTTCAGTTCTGATGTTTTGCAACGTAAACATTACAGCTCCGAAGCTGCAGTGAAGTGTTGCTGCATTGTGCAAAGCCATCAGTCCTATTCACTATACACAGCTAAATGTCATTGTTTCTGACTTTCAGATGGATGCCTGGCCATGAAGAAAATAAGCAGAAAACAGATGTGCATTACAGGTCCCTAGACGGGGAAGGGAACTTCAACTGGAGATTTATTTTTCCTTTTGAGTATTTCCCAGCTGAGCAGCTCTGTACAGTTTCAAAAAAGGTGATTCTTCTCTGATTATGTTAATAATAAAAATTAAGCTTGGCCATTCACAGCCAAAGGCCTTGCACCAGGACACTGAGTTGTGTGTAGATTTTTCCTGAATCTTTAAAAAAAATAAAAAACGACACAGCAAACTGCAACCTCCACAGCCACATGTTTTGGTAGATCTGTTTGGAATGGAAGGAAAGTTCTGTCCCCTCTATTGTTTTTTTCTGCTCAGATTTGCTGTTCCCCTGCACAGATGCTTTTCCATCCATAGAGGAAAAGAGACAAGTAGAAAAGTAGCAGAGTATAAGAACATGATTTTGGGAAGGAAATGACCAGAGTAGAAAGGGTTAAAAAGCCCTTCCCACTTACTGTTCTTCCACTGAAACTTCCAGCCTCCCACATCTGCTTTTCATATAAAGAAAAATCAGCCTTAATATTGGAAGAACTATTACAGGTGTCTGTAATGTCATATCTAGAGTAGCCCATAGGTAGGTCAGATTGTGGCCTTTACCAAATTCACACATTCAAGCAAGTATTCGTCACTCCTTGCCACCTGAATATTTTAAAATGCAAATATTTTGTTATGAAGCTTGCTTTGCATATCCCTGAGATACAGTTTTCTTTCCACTATGTCTGATGAGTTCTAAGATACAAAAAATAAACTCCACACCTTTTTGGCTCCAGAACTACAAACCTGCATAATATTAAAGTGTTTCATAGTGTGAAAATTTCAGGTAAGATTCTTTTTTTAAAAAAAGCAATATATTGACAGTTCAGATGCAAGGAAACCAATTACTTGTCTGCTGTGAGTGCAGCAGCAAAAGTTTTCACCAGCTTAGGCAAGCAGAGGACCTTCTAATGAATTGCTTTTGAATGTGATCCTTTTTGGCCAGCAGACCAAATCTCTATCTCATTCCACCTCTACTGGCCAACTTTGACAGGTGGGTGGAGCCATGCACTGTCAGTCATGATGATGTCAGGTGTCTGACTCATCAAAATTGGCCTGCAGAGGTGAGGGGGGAAGAGATATTAAGCAGCAAATTAGCACTGAGTAGGATTTAACTCTTCGCTCATTAGCTGAAGTTGAGCGTGCTGCTGTGGCTGCATAGTGCTGTTCCTTGTAGGAAACAGTGAGTCTGGCCAATGCAGAATTTAACTCTGTCCATCAACTGAGATCACCTGCCCAATCATGAGCTGATTGAAAGGTAGATGTGGTTTGGGGAATTGGGTCCCCCGGTGGGCCAAAAGGTTGCCCAACCCAGCTTTAGGCACACACTTTTTTCCTGTAGTCACAACTCCCTGTTTGTGGAAATGCTGCTGACAGAGAGATGGAATTAGGGGCAGTGGGAGGGAGGTTGGGTCACTGCAGCAGGCATGAAAATTACTATTTCTTTTTACTGGTTTTGTTCTCCTTAGGAACACTTTTGGAGCCTTGACAATACAGAATTCAGAATTCCACCCAAGCTGCTTATTCAAATATGGGACAATGATAAGTTTTCCTTGGATGACTATCTCGGTATGCCCTTTGAAGTATAATATGGGTTGGTTGGGTGGGGAGTTTTGCAAAGGGAGAGATTTTTGTCAAGTTTTCATTTGGAGAGAAACGAAGTGTGTGACCAGATTTCCCACCCACCAACCCTTCTGTCTTTTCCTATAGGTTTTGTTGAACTTGATTTACACAATGCAATTGTGCCAGCAAAGTCTCCAGAAAAGTGCTCTTTGGACATGATTCCAGAATACAAGCCAACTAACACTCTCAAGACCCCTAAGATTGCTTCACTCTTTGAACAGAAATCCATGAGAGGATGGTGGCCATGCTATGCAGAAAAAGATGGCTCCCGTGTTTTGGCTGTACGTCCCCGTTAATATGCATAAATAGTTACATCATTAGTTGCCAGGGTTTCATTTTGCTTCTAAATCTCTTATAACTCCCTCCCCCTCCAGCACTTCTCCACCTTCCTTAAATACCATGAGCAAAATATCATAATAGCATAACTCAGCCTTCCTCAAACTGGTGACCTGCAGATGTTGTGACCATCATCAGAGCTGGGGCTAATGGGAGCTACTGTCAAAAACATATGGAGGGCACCAGGTTGGAAGAGGCTGGAATAACTTGCCAGATGTGCACAAGATCCAGTGATTGCAGCCAGGACCAACTGACATGAATAGTTTATCTCCCATTGATTTTAATGCATTCATAATATTTTCTGATTCAAGAGCTGTGATCTATATCTCCATGCGACACCCCCCCCCCCATTTTATATGACTTGAAAATATATTATAATTAGTGTTTTGTGGCATATAAACCCAAGGATTCTATGCACACAAATTTCCAGTTTTATTTCTTAAAACTTAATGGTAGGCATAAAGAACCTAGCCCACCCTATGTAATTCCTCTTCTTCATCTGTAATGCCTGACACTGGAGGTCTGTTTTACTTTCATTGTGAATCCTTGATGGTATTTTCATTTATTTTAAGGGTAAAGTTGAGATGACTCTGGAAGTCCTTGGTGAAAAAGACATTGATGAACGGCCAGCTGGTAAAGGCAGAGATGAACCTAATATGAACCCCAAATTAGAGCAACCAAAGTAAGATACTTTGCTATATTTGAATTCAATATTCTTTAACCTTGAGTATCCAGATGTTGTTGAACTACAATTCCCAGCATCCCTGATTGGCTATGCTGGCTGTGGATGATGGAAGTTGTGGGGATAGGAGATGAATGAATGCTATGCCAAATCTAGATGTCTGTGCCATACATCTGAAGCACCCTTATACCACTTTAAAAGTCATGGCTTCCCCCAAGAATCCTGGGAGCTACAGTTTGTTAATGGTGTTGAAAGTTAGGAGACCTCTCACAGAACTACAATTTCCAGCACCCTTAACAAACTACAATTCATGGGGGAAGCCACGACTGTTAAAAGTGATATAAGAGTACTTAAAATGTATCGTGTGGGTGTGACCTTAGTCAGGCTTAATGTAAACCCATTGAAATAAATGATTTTATTCTAAGCATGACCAAGTCAGGATCCAACACAGTGTTCTCAAGAAATAACTGACTGTAACATGAATTAAACAAATCAACTATTTTAATACATTTAGCATCAACTATATACTGGATGCTTTATAGAACCTATCCATGATATATAGGCCCTCTCTGCAGCACATAATCAAAATTCTGAACTGTCTGGTCTTTAGTTTTATAAATATGAGACATTATATGCTAGGCTTTACTAAGTTTCCAGATAATTTAACTTTTATACCTAAGCAGCAAATATCATGTGCCTATTTTCATTTAAACCCCACTTGACTGATTTGCCAGTAAGGAGTCATGTAAAAGCCCAAGGCAACATGTAAGTAATAGTAATGTGATTTCATTAATAAAAAATTGTCAATGAAACTTGGCATTCAGATTTCATATTGGGATTCGGCTCCCTAGTTTTTGAATTGTTTGAACCTTCTCAGAGCAGAGTAGGCAATGGAAGTCATGGAGGAACCATTACAACTGTGTGACATCAGAGCACAGCTGGTAGTGGCATCAAGAGAGGTAAAGGCCAGGCAAACACTGCAAGAAAATGAAAAGGATGAGGGATAGAAAACTACTGTGTAAGATTTATAAGCAAGGTTGCCCTAACTACAGGGCTGGCAAAATTCCAAAGGCACCATGCAGCTAGGAAAATGCTGGATGGGAGAAACCCAGCTTCCTTTCCCCAACTCAGTATTCAGAATAGCAGGCTCAGCTCCATAGAAGTGAATAGATTGAAGACTCTCACCTGAAGACTCCTAACCTGCATACAAGAAGATGAAGGCAATAGAAATGTGAATTTACAGCAAATTGGCTCAAACTGGTCTTATTTTAAAACATCTGCCTTTTGTCTTTGTATGAGATGCTCTAAGCATGATCAACTGTAATGGGGTAGCCAATGTGATACCCTCCAGATATTGCTGGACTACAACTCCCATGATCTCTGACTATTGCTGGCAGGGGTTGATGGGAATTGTAGTCCAAATTGTTCAGAGGCTACCAGGTTGGCAATCTTTGTCTTACACAAAATCGAGAACACAGCCCATTAGCAATAAATATGCTAGTTACTTGGTATCCTTTGTTCCTTGCTAAGGTAACCAACTTTTTTTGTTGTTGTTCCAAAATATAGCCGACCAGATACATCTTTCCTTTGGTTCACAAATCCATGCAAGACAATGAAATTCATTGTGTGGCGCAGATTTAAGTGGGTCTTCATTGGCATCCTCCTCCTCCTGATTGTGATCTTGTTTGTAGCAATTCTTCTGTACTCACTGCCGGTAAGCACTTAAAAATGTGTAATAGTGTTTTTTGCTTGTGACATTGCGTCTGTCTGTTATAGGCTTATATTCAGGATACAAGCCTGCTGCTCCTGTCCAGGAAGCAGTACATGAATTACTATCATTGGAAAGGGAAGGAAATAAATTGCCTGTCATTTCCCTTAAGGGAATTTTATATCTTCGGAGGGTTTATCTCTGAAGATAACTTGGAACAAGATGTAATGCAGATGTAGCAGCTAGCTGCTTTGTTGACTGAGGCCACTAGCCAGAGTTACTCCAGTTCTCAAAGCTCTGCCAATACATTTCCCAGCCAAATCCAAATTTTACAGATGATGCATCTGGGGAGGATGATCCTTAGCATCCCAGCATTAGAATGGTATATTTTGCTGGGAAACAAGGGCAGACATTAATGGTGGCGCCCTAGTTTTGGAATTCCCTCCCCCTTGAAATCTAGTTGGTGCCTTAACTGCTAACCTTTAGATGCCAGGCTGTCCTGTCCATGTCTTTGACAATAGCTTCACTGCCATTTGAAATGGTTTCAATTGCTATTTTGATTGTATTGTTGTGGTTTTTTTAATTGATAATATGGTTTTATGGGTTTTATTGTTACCTGTCCAGAGATCTGTGGGTGTGGGACAGGATATAAAAAGCCTAAATTAAATTAAAAGTCTGTTGAACTGAGTTTTTAGCAAAACACTCTTCAACTAAAATAAGTGTGTGTTTAAATTCAGAGTGCACTTTGATCACTTTTCCTTCTCTTTTTTTGTAGAACTACCTGTCAATGAAGATTGTGAATCCATTTCCATCTGGTTAAGGAAGATCGTTTTCTATAAAATGTTACATTCCAGTAAGGTTTTGAAACCTCCACCTTTGGACCTAACATAACCACCTGATAATCCTATACCTATCTACTCAAAAACAAGCCCCACTGAATTCAGTGGGACCTACTCCCTGGATAGGATCGCGGCATAAATCAAACTGCTTGTGTTTTTAACCAGGAAGAGGGTCATTTCTAAGAATTGAACTGTTATGTATGATGTATTGGGTGGTGCCAACTGTAAAATACTATGCTACAGTTCAGCATTTTGACTACAACAGTTTATTTTCTCGTTTTGTTATCATCTTTGTTTTAAAAATTACTTTCCAAAAACATTATTCCAGAAAGCTTTCCCTTTCTCTCTTCTTTTTAAAGATGCACTCTATTTAAAGTATTGTTTTTTTATCATGAGCACTTTGAAATCCTGCCTCTTGATTTATGGAAAAAGCAGGCACTACTTACATTTTTAGAAATGAAAAAAACAAAACAGTGCAATAATAATTGTTCACCAGCTGTGTGAACCTCATGTTTTTAAAAGGTCATATTTACAGCAACAAGCTTCCATTCTCTGTGGTTCAACTTTTTGAGCAAAACGATGAAATAAAGCAATATAAACTCGTGATTTATCATTGTGATTATTATAGTTACTTCTAATTTCAATTATGTGTTCACAACAGCAGAAATCAGATGTCAAGACAGTGGCAGTATCATAATTACAGCCCTGTGCAGTTGGATACCCATAATCCCACTGAAATCAATTAATGGGGTGAGTGAAGATTAACTATATAGGACATGGGTCGGCAAACTAAGGCCCGGGGGCTGGATCCGGTCCAATAGCCTTCTGGATCCGGCCCATGGTCAGTCCGGGAATCGCTGCGTGGATCAGTGTGGGGATTCTGATCGTTTGGGCCGCACCATTTACCCCCCCCACACACACACACACCGTGGCGGCGCCTCCTGCCTCCCTCCTCCTGGCTTCTCCCCGCCCTGCCTAGAGGAGGAAGGGGGCTGGGCTTTGTTGAGCCATGGTTGGCTGAACACCATTTTAAGCAGCGCCTCTCCAGAGCCACCCCTTTCGTGCCACTCATCATCCCTCCACTGCCACCACCGCCAGCCCCTGGCACTCGCAAGGCACAGGTAAGCAGCCACCGGGGCTCGTCTGGTGCTGTGGAGAAGGAAGGGGAAAGTCGGTGGGGAGAGATTCCCCCCCCCAAAAAAAATAGTCCAGCCCCTCACAAGGTCTGAGGGACAGTGGACCGGCCCCTTGCGGAAAAAGTTTGCTGACCCCTGATATAGGATTAGATGCTACAGCAAGCCAGGGGGTTGAGGGTACACTATCCAATCACCTTGGCTTCCCACTATATTTGTACCTGGGAATGTGGTTTGTTGCTCCCTAAGGAACCGCTAGCCAGTTACCGTATTTTTCTGTGTATAACACACACACACACCCCGTGTATAAGACACTCCTTTTGGGGGGACTCCAAATTAAGAAAATGGAGGGATACACTATCCGTGCATAAGACAACCTCCAAATTTTAACATAACTTTTTAAGATAAGATCCTAGTCTTATGCGCGGAAAAGTACAGTAAGTGTATATAGCATTGCTGCCTTAAACATCCTGCAAGTCCATCCTGCCCTCTCTGTAACTTATATGTGTGAATGAGCCATCACAGACAGAACTTTCATGCCCACCAATATCTAGCACAATCTTTTAAAACAGAGCAAGTCCACACATGCTGCTGAGAGGAATCAAATCTTGTATAACCAAGATGGTGTATATGTGCACATGTGAACCAGCCCCCCTCTTTTGACATTGCCCAATTCATCCACAGTTGTCACTAACGAAATAAAGAAAGGGCTTTAGTTACAATACAATAGGCACCCCTACTGTAGGGCACCCTAAACTGTAGTTTTAACATATGTTTATACTTATATGTGAAGTGTGGTTATGAGCAAACATTTAGGATTCTGCAATTTGGCTTTATTTCCTGTTGGAGCCCAGCTTGCCCTGTCACTACCAATAAGAATATGGCAGCTATAGATGTTACGAGGTTCTCTCTGCCATTGCTATGAGTCATGACAGGGCAGACCTTGCGTCTGTGTAGAAAGATGTGTAGATTTCAGTCAGTTTGCACCTTTTTGTGGGTAAATGATAATCAGCTAAATTTTTCTGAGGTAAGCTGGTGGGTATAATTTCAGGAAATCATTTCCATAATGTGGAGTGTTATGTGCCAGCGTGGAACGGTTGTGCTGTCAAGATATAATAGCCTTTTATTTGGGATTGGAAAGAACCGACTTGAGAGGCATGACCTAAACGTGACAGCTCAGAGCTGGAACTAATCACAATCCACATGGATTGTCACTTCAGTATTGAAATTGTAATACTCTGGCAGCAACCAGCAACTTGTGTCAATGCAAGTTTGATCACTCCTGATTTAAGGCCTTTCAGTCGATGACACAAATTTAACAGGGGATGGAAAACACAGAAGAGTTGCTTTTCATCCAAAGGCTAAAATACTATGAAAGAGAGATTTGGTCAGCGCCATTCTGGGGGAAACAATAATGAAAACGGAACCTGAGCAATCCTTCACACTTGGAGTGTGAAGGTGACAAGGAGATTTTTTTTTTAACTGGCAATGCATCAGCCGCTCACAGCCCTAACACCACTGAGCAGACCTTTTCAATATGTAACAACTGCTCATCAAAGCCTACAGCAAAAATGCCTAGGACTTGCTCAAACACTTTTAAAAGCACCATGCTTTGTAAGAGTACCCTGCCTTAAGGGAGCTATCCCTACGTAGCTTTTCCTGTTGCCTCAGTCATGAAAATGTGTTGCAGGAGAAAGGCTATTTGGCTAAAACAGCTATAGCGTCATAAACTTATGATAACCAAAAGCTGGAACTTAAGGTGTTAGAGTTACCCCATAGTCTGTGTTTTATGGTTAGCGTGATGTCTACAGTTGGCAAGCAGTGGAACGCTGGGTGACTGAAGGAACCTGAGGCCTAGGAGTATCAAATGGTAAGTGAAAAAGAGGAAGAAGACAGTCGCTGGCCACTGAGAGGGAACTGAAGAAAAGGAAGAAGGAGAGAAGGCACAGAAAGCCACACCATGCATTTAAAGATTATGGCTTCCCCCAAATAGTTCGTTAAGGGGACTTAGAACTGTGGCTCTGTGAGGATTCTTCGGGGGAAGCCATGACTGTTATGATGATAGACATGTGCTTTAAATGTACAGTGCAGATGAAGAAAGGGAGGAGGGGGAGGGGAAGAACAGTAAGCAAAGAAGAAGCTAGTGGAGTGAAAATAAAATTAATTGGCATTTTAATGTATTTAACAGATGTTGCAGGTACTGAAAGAGCATTTCATAAAATTTTGTGAACCCACTCCTGTAAGCACTTGCCAAGGATAGAATTCTTTTAGGATAGGAGAGAGGAATCTTCTTTCAGTACTAGGGCTGCATTCCCTCTTGGGAATCTTTTGGGGGAACCACATGGTGGAAATGGGATCAGAGGCAAAAATGGGTGGGGGAGCAATTGGTGTGATTCTTACTTTGTCAGATTCAGAGATTTCTATACCTGCACCCACTTCCATTTAGGCAAGCAAGAGGCACATTTCAGCCATGCAAAAGGCCTTGAGGAGGGTGCAGGGTAGGGCTAAGGAGGGATGAGGCCAGCGGCCTGGGGAGGGAATGTAGTCTAAGGAAGAGTCCCAAGGAAAAAATAGGCCTGGAGGACTGCAGTCAATATCTGGATTCAAGGTTCTCTGGCAGCGCTGGCAAGCATATGACTTCTTAGTTTATAAACAACCTTATTTTTTTAGAAACCATTTTAAAATGCTTCAAAATCACTAATTCCCAGAGAACCATTGTTATAGACCACCCTACTCCATACCCAACAGTTAGCTAAATCAAGCTAAAACTCTTTACTGTTGGAGCCAAAGCAGACCTCCCATGTTTGGGATTGTGTGCACCTTTGCTTGTTTAAGCAAGCAACTGATAGGAATATATCCTTTTTCTCTGTACAATTCCCCCCCCCCAATTTAACTGATCCCTCCCCGCACCTTGACAACTGGTATTCCAATGTTTTCTTCTGTGGTGCAAATAGCTTGATGGCCTTAAATTAGGAAAAGTGGTTGGGTAAAAGCTTCTCCCCCAACACTATGGCTTCAATCCATACTGGGACATACCACAACTGCTGTTCATTTCAAAGAAACACGGACTTCCTGCATCGCAAGGTATTATGACTAGCGACACCTCTCAGGCACCTGCTTCCTGCTTCTTCAAACTGGAGGTGCCAGCAACTGAACCTTTGACCTAATCTAACAAAACATGCATGACCCCTCCCTCCTCAATTCTTTTGTTCTGATGTTTTTGTTGTGCTCTGTTCTTCCCTCCGCCACTTTCAACTCTACCAGCCTTTGGTGGGAAGAGTTCATTTATGTTGAATAGAAGTCTAGACAAACAACGTGCTGTGATTATTTCCTCTCTCTTTACCAGCTCAATGTATACAGCACAATTTTTAAAAATCTAATACCCATTCACCTGCCTCTGCCCTTCCTAAATGCATTACACACAAAGCTCTGCAGGGGTGGTAAAACTTGATCTCCAGATGTTGTTGGACTACAACTTGCATCATCCTTGACCAGACGTGCTGGCTTGGTCTGATGGGAGTTACTGGTGTCCCACAACATCTGGAAGGCCACAAGTTTCACCATCCTGACTCTACTGACATCTGCTTGTATTTCTTCTGCCAGTCACAAGATGTCAGTATACACACCAAAATTCCACTCAAATGACTTTGATATACTGTACGCATAAACAGACTCCAGTGCCCATGCAGAGGGATGTGTAGTTTGTGTAATGTTGTAACTGTCTAATGTGACATTCAGAGAAATAGTACAGTTCAAGGTGCAATTTTCCTGCATGCACATTATGATAATGAAACCTGAAAAGTGTTTTGAAATATTCATTGTTTTAAATGTTCCAATATTTGGCAACTTGGGGGGAGGGATCTAATTATAGTCCTACTTAGAGCAGACCCATTGAAATTAATGGGCATGGCTAACTTAAAGGTAAAGGTAAAGGGACCCCTGACCATTAGGTCCAGTCATGGCCGACTCTGGGGTTGCGGCGCTCATCTCGCTTTATTGGCCGAGGGAGCCGGCGTACAACCTCCAGGTCATGTGGCCAGCATGACTAAGCCGCTTCTGGCGAACCAGAGCAGCGCACGGAAACGCCGTTTACCTTCCCGCCAGACCTATTTATCTACTTGTACTTGATGTGCTTTCTAACTGCTAGGTTGGCAGGAGCAGGGACCGAGCAACGGGAGCTCACCCCGTCGTGGGGATTCGAACCGCCGACCTTCTGATCAGCAAGTCCTAGGCTCTGTGGTTTAACCCACAATGTCACCCGTGTCCCATAGCTAACTTAGGCCCATTAAAATCAGTGGGCTGCTCTGAATAGAAATTAATGGTGATAAAATACAATGGTTCTATTCAGAGCAATTGGGCTCATTTTTCTTCAGCTGAAAATAGATGTCCTTCTTAGGATACATTAATAAGAAGCTAACTGAATGCTTTGGTTGTGTCAATCAAAGAATCATTTGAATGTTGAAAAGCAAAAGC